CAACTCCCCACTCCCCCCCCCGGCCGCGACGGGAGAGGCCGGACTTGCGTTCTTACACATTGTTGCTAATGGAAAATGTTGGTGAAATTGAGTTTTCAGCGAAAAAAAAAAAAAATCAAGAATGACAGCTTTTTCTGGGTAACCGCGTCATACAGGATGCTGTAGTCATACATTGGTGATCATTATCACGAGCATTCGTATCACGCAGCAGCAGCAGCAGCAGCAGAACAAGAAGAAGCACTGAAATCGCAGAATGACTTTCAACAAAACTGCGATTGTTCGTTTTCGTGATTCATGCAGCGTTCGTTTTTTTGTCGCTTTGTCGAACATGGTGACGAACGGCAGAATTTCTAAAGTCACAATGCTAGATCGAACATTGAGAAAGTGCTAGCTATATGCTGAAGGTGTCTGCAGCCTCCTCAAAAAGCGAATGTTCGCGATTCTGAGCAAAACACTCCTATCGGTGAACCGCCTGTGCAATTTTTGCGATCTAATCCAAAAAGCACTGTGCAAAGTACACTCTTCATTTCTTCTCCAATAGAACACAGTACACAACCATGGCGACGCGTATCTGCGACCAGTGCCATGAGCCGTTCGCCCAGCTCGAGCAGGTCATGCAATCGTCCGGCCGCAATCTCCACATCCACTGCCACGTGTAAGTCGGCACACTCCCCCTGCCATTCGACTCTCGCTGTTGTGCATCTCTCGCTTTAGTGGGGTTTGTGTGTGCGGCCAAAGGACACGAACGCATCAACCAACAAAAAAAAAAAAAAAGTTGCTGGATATGGCATTCAGAGTCGTTCGTTCAGCACGATTTTTTCGTTAGACCTCCTTCTTCTCCCCGCTTTCCAGCGCCAGAACGCGGCTCGCTTCATGTTGGAGAGCAATGTGGCTCCACTTTGGCGATGGGGGAAAAAGTCGGTTTCAGCAAGCACAAAAGCAGGAAAACGCAATGAAATTTCTGTTGTGGCTTTGATTTTTTTTTTTCTTTTCTTGCCTTTTTGCATTGCTATCGCTTTTTGGTGTCTCTCTCTCTCTCTGTGTCTCGCTCTGTGTCTCGCTCTGTGTCTCGCTCTGTGGCTCACTGTGTCTCGCTTTGGTGCCTCGCTGCGTGGGCGCGGGTACTGCGAGGCGTTTGTCGCTGTTGTGAGATGCAGCACCAATCCAATCGTTCAGTCAAACTCACCGTCTCTCTCTCTGCTCTCTTTGCTCCACATTAGATGCGTCGAGTGCTTCCGACCATTCCCGAACGAGCGCTTCTACGCGTATGACGAGCGAAACTACTGCGAGGAAGACTACCGCGAGCTGTTTGGCCCCAAGTGCGGCCACTGCGGCGAATTCATTGTTGGCAAGTGCATTTCTGCGCTCGACGCCAAGTGGCATCCAGAGCACTTTACGTGCTCCGTCTGCGGCACGTCGCTTGCTGGCACTGCCTTTGTCAAGAAGGACGGCCGTCCGTGGTGCAAGCCGTGCTCCAACGTGCAGAAGCGTAAGAACTGTCTTTTTCGCTTTTTTTGATGGTCACTTTTGTGCTTTGTCTGGTGCTCGCCAACTCACCCCTGTCACTGCGTGTGCGTGGATTGTGTTTTTGCTCACTCTAGCGGCCGACACCGCCATGTGCGCCAAGTGCCGCAAACCCCTCGACGGCGAGTTCATCGTCCTGCAAAACCAAAAGATGCACCCGTACCACTTCTCGTGCCATACGTGCAAAGCCACGCTGTCCATGTCGTGCAAAGAATACGAAGGAAAGCTCTACTGTCACCAGGATTACGAGCGCGCTCGCCAGTCCGTGTGCGCGGCATGCCGCAAGCCAATCGAAGGTCGTGCAACAACTGCCCTCGGCAAACAGTGGCATCCCGAGCATTTCGTGTGCGTAAAATGCGAGCAGCCCTTCTCTGGCGCCACTTTCTTTGAGTACAAGGGCCAGGCCTACTGCGCAAAGGACTACCGGTCACTGCTGACCGATCGCTGCTTTACTTGCAACAATTCTGTCAAGGGCGAAGGTACAGTGACTTGCCGATGATGCTTGGGAGGAAAGTGCAGGGCGGTGCATCACAAACCACAATGGACTGACTGATTTTCTTGGTTCTGCTGCTTCCGCTGCTTGCAGTTGTGAATTGCATGAACAAGATGTGGTGCATGCGACACTTTTTCTGCTACGGCTGCGGCTTGCCAATGTCGCGGATGGATATGAAGTTTATCGAGTGCGACAACCGACCCATGTGCCGCAAGTGTTATGACTGCATTCCCTCCGATTCACGAAAGAACATTAAAAAGTACGAAGACTTGGAGAAGAAGATGCAAGAAAACCTCAAGAAGGCCAACAAGTAAACAGCAGACAACATTTCTCTCTTTTTTTCGATTTGGCATGTGTGCTCTTTGTTTGTTCGTTGTCGTGTTGTTTTGTTTATTGTGTCGAGGTCGGATTATTTTGTTGCCGTTTCTTGTAGTTAAGAGTGATTGATGGAATATTTTCTTTTGAAATGCTGTTCAACGTTGTGTAGTTTGCGCTGTAGCCAGTATGTGATTGTGTTTGAACAGCCGAGTGGATGATTGGAAGAAGTAGCGGTACAGGTAAGGTCGATTTTTCGGTACAACTCAAACGCGCAGACAAGGCGTTACACATCAACGTTCTTGTATGCCCACAATCCATCGTTGAGGAAGTGAACCGACTCGATGGCAATTCCCTTGTTGACGGATTTTCTGCAAAAGAAAGAAAGGAAGAAACAAAATAGGAACAAAAGGTGCGGTTCTTGTCAGACAAAGCTCATTGAAACTCTGCAGTCGTCTCAGCTGCGACTCACATTTGGTCGGAGGACATTTTCATGATGCCGATGGCCATGGCGTGCTCTTTTCCTTCGCCCATGACGGCCTACAAAGGGAGCAAAGCGAAACAGTGAGAAAACAAAACGCAAAGGCATGATCTGCAGCGCAGCAAGCGCATGGACCATCTGGAAATCAACCACAAGACAGCTGATACACCTACCACAACAGTGTTGACGGGTGCGGGAGTGAGCTTGCCGCCCTTCGAGGTCAAACCAGGGGCCATGACGTTGACACCGCGCATCACGAACGGGAAGGCGCCAATATCGACCGTTTGGTGGGTGATCATGCTTGGGCCTGTTCATGATGCAGTGCGGTGCAAGCGTTACACATAACTGAGCGCGAGAGACAGGCGAAACTAATCGGCCTTCGAACAATGTAAAAATGGTTGGACGCCTTCCTTACACTTGTGCACTAGCCGGAGGGTTGGCATGTACGGACCGTCACGATCGTGGAAGAACAAGACCTCCTTGTTGACGACGATGAGCTGGAGGTGCGAGTCGCGACTGCAAGCCGGAGAGAGTGCATCAGAGTGAATGAATAAGTAGGTCATCTCTGGCTTGTTTCGCTTTTCTCCCTCCGCTTCTTACAGCTTCAGCAAGTGGATGGGGTCCTTCTTGGGCATGACCTCGTCTAGGTACGGCTCGAGGCCAGGGAACTGCTCAACAGCCTTCTGGCGGATGGCGCGATGAACAGAGGACTTGACCTGCTGCGCGTTGGCCACCTCTTCCTTGTAGTTGAATCTGCCCAAGAGCCACGGGAACCGGAATGGGAAGTGAGTGAGCATGGTAGGTCGGCGCTTGCTCACAACAGACAAAGATGTGGCGCCGCTCAGCCCCAGAGGCAAGGGGGAGGGAGAGCACCGGCTTGCCGGCTTACCGCTTGAACATGTGGAATGACTGAGACAATGAGACTGGACCAAAAAGCGCCCATCCCAAATGCATGGAAGCGTTTTACATACATGCTCAAATGCTAAAACACCGACAACATGATCGAGTTGAATGGCTTGCTCATGGTGCGGCTGAATTTTTTGCAAAACTGAAATTTTGCTGCCTCCGTTCAATTTGCCACTCTGCTCGATGGACTTGCACAGGCTGGGGAACTGTCAGCCTTACTTGTTCATTGATTCTACTTTACATTCCAGCTCGTTGCTCGACTAGAAATCGACCTGTCTCGCAATCTGTAATTCTCGCTGAAGCTTCTTGCACCAAAAAAGTGCCGCTGCCTCCCTCGCTCTCTCTCCTTTGATTCACTCCTGCTACTGTGTTTGTGCATTTCACGTACTCACTTGATTCGACCCCCTTCTTCCCTATTTCTTCCCCTCATTCAATCCAATCCCCGCACAGTCCGTTTTTCTGCGTAAAAATCTTGTCCTTTTTTTTTTTTTTTTTTTTAATTTTATTTTTGATATTCATGAGATTTTTGATTCTTCGTTTTCCATTCTTCCACTTTCCTGCTTCTTCGATGGCGGGGGGGAGGCGAGCAGCTGAGGAGTCAAGGCTTGTGCAGCGACGTTGTCCGGGTGTGTGTGTGGTGGTGGTGGTGGCAGGCGAGAGAGCGCACAATGCAACAACCAAGCAGCAAAATGCATCAAAACTCGAAAAAAAAAAATTCACAGATCTCGCGATCTCCAACTTTGCTTGAGGACGCGCTCTCGGCCTTGGCTCCACGCAGCAGCATCGGGACTGCTTGGCATGGCGTCGTCATTCCATCTGCCCTCTGGTCCCCCTGCCGCCGCCCGTTGCGCGGAGTCAGTTGTGCCGTGACTCTTTTGCAATCCAAATCACAATTTTTTTATTATTTTTTTATTTATTTTTTTTTTCCTTTGCTTTTTTTTTTTTTTTTTTGGTTTTGTTTGTTTTTTGGCGATTTTTGTCGCTTCAGTGTGAGTGGTGAGGGGAGGGGACATGTCCGTATGTTTAGGTCACCGTGATGCCACTCTGCTCTTTCCCCCCTCTGTTGATCTGAGCGCGAAACGAGTTGAATCCCGTTCAAAAATGAACTCTTTTTTTTTTCATTCTTTTTTTTTTCTATCATTTCTATTTGGTTTCCTATTCCGTTGTTTTATTTTATTTTATTATTATTCTTTTTTTTTTTTCTGCTTTGTTTTGGACGTCACTGTCAACTCACTCGTCATCTACATCTGCACTTGTGCGTGTGATTGCTCTCGAATATGAGCAGATTGCATTAGCCTGGTCCAATCATGTCGTACGAAGAGCAAATCCCCGACAGCGAGAAGGTCAAGATTGCCTCCTCATTCATCCTCGCTGCCCCGGCTGGCGAGTTCAACGAAGTCTTCAACGGTGAGTAGCGCATTCGTTTGCTTTCACACGCGCACGGTGTGGCCTGGAGCTTTGTGGACGATGGAGAAAGCGAGACCCGCTTTTGAAATTGTTGGACTTCTCGAGTTATGTGTGTCCAGTTTCTCACTCCCTGCTCCCATTGAACCTTCATCCATATCCATCTGCAGACGTCCGTGTCCTGCTCAGTAACGACGATCTCCTTAAGCGCGGTGCTGCCAACGCGTTCAGCCAATACAACAAGGACCAGTTCACCCCCGTCGACGTTCCCGGCGCTTCCCACAAGGTACGAGACCTGGAGTGTCTTTCTTGTGAATTGCCGTGTTCCAGGAGCATCCTGATCGCGTTGCGGCCGGGAAGTTGGCGGATGTCTGATTGTCGAAACTCACTTTGCTAAACTTCGCTCTTTTTTTTCTTTTTTTTTATTTCCCCATCCTCCTGTCTTTCACATCCTCCCCTCCCCCGGCACCACTGCAGACCCTGATCACTAAGCACAACGAAGTCCAAGAAGGCACCTTCTTCGATCCCCGATCTGGCCAGACCTTCTCTTTCGACCACCTTCGCCGTGAGGCCGACAACGCTCAACCCGGCCAGAAGGATGCTGCCGAGACCCTCCGCAACGCCATCGACAACGCAATCCGCAAGTACACCGAGAACCACTACCCCGACGGCGTCTCTGCCGTGTTCGCCTCGACCAGCGGCGGCCAAGTCACCCTTGCCATCTGCATTGAGGACCACAAGTTCAACCCCAACAACTTCTGGAACGGCCGCTGGCGTTCCGAGTGGACTGCCACGTTTGCCTCGTCGGGCGGTCCGGCCACCCTGAACGGCGCCCTCAAGGTCCAAGTGCACTACTACGAAGACGGCAACGTCCAACTCCAGACCAACAAGGATGTTTCCGAGCCCATTACCATTGGCGTAAGTTCATTAAGAGGGGGGTTTGTTTTTTGCAGTTGGCGAGAAGTAGTTTGTTTTGGGGTTTTTTTGCTTGTTGTTTTTTCTGCTTCTTTTTTTTTTTTTCACGATTGTCGCTCATCCTCTCTGCTCTGCTCTCCTCCCCTCTCTCGCGCTCCCTTCCCTTTCTAGAACCCCGAGTCGGCTGCCTCAGCAATTATCGCCGTCATCGAGAAGGCCGAGAACGAGTACCAGACTGCCATTTCTGAAAACTACTCTGTCATGTCCGACACCACTTTCAAGGCGCTCCGTCGTGTGCTTCCCGTCACTCGCAGCAAGATTGAGTGGGGCAAGATGTTCAGCTATAAGGTCGGCGCTGAGCTGCACAAGTAAAAGTTGTCGTGCAGACAAGTGCTGGTCATTGCTTTTTATCTTGTTGTTTTGCTCTTCTTGTTGAGGCGGCCCGGTCTCTCGTTTTGTTTTTTTCGAGCAGTGTGTGTGTGTCGCTTCCATGTTGACATGACGGCTGTGCTCAACAGGGATCCGGAGGCCTTTCCTTGTTTTTTTTTCTTCTTCTTTTTTTCCTTTTTTTCATCTCTCTGTCTGCTCTGCTCGGAGCTGTCCGATTGAGTGTCTGTGTGAATTTCTTCCTCTATGTTTGATTTCTTTTTTTTTCTTCCGTCGCTGGTTGTTATGTGTCTTGTTGAACCAAATGAAAATGATAACCTTACCACAATTCAGAGTCTTTTCGCTGACCATCCGTCTTCCATTCTTTTGCTTCTTCTGGTACTTCATTTTATTGCGCTATTATTTTCTCTTCACTCCTACTTTTTTTTCACTCCACAATAATGCGCTTCAGTTCTGCATTGCTAGACGGTCGCGGCCCTGTGACTGCTGTCGGATTCCGGTGCGCGCCCCTCAACTCTTTCCCTTCTCCCACCTTTCCTCTCTTTTTTCCCTTTCTCCATTCTCAGCATCTGCCGACCTACTGTTGAATGACCAACCCACCCCCACCTCCCAGCATTCACCGAGGCTGAATGTGACAGTGCGCTTCCATCTTTTGTTATTTTTGCCGCAAATCAGCCGCATGACTGTTTTAAGGAGCCAGCTGACTGAGCCGTGTCGCCCCCATTGTTACAGCTATCCCTCTCTCTCTCCCTCTCTCCCTCCCTCTCTCTTCCCCCCGCGCTCAGCCACTCTTCTTCTCGTTCAGCGTTCTTTTCACCTCTTGTTTTTGTCTTGTTTTTTGTTTCGCTTTCCGCACTTCATTTTCGTTACTCGTTTCGTTGCCCCAACAAATTTTTTTCCTATCTTTTTTTCATTATTTTTTCAATGATTTTTTGTTTATTTTTTATTTATTTTTTTGTGCTCTTGTGTCTTGCTTTGTTTCACTCAAATCGCTCCATCTCGCGTCATCTCGTTCACTTCAACCCCGTGTTGGGTTTTTGGAGGGGTGAAAAGCGTGTACTCAACTTCCAACAATGAGTCAATCTCGCCATTCGAACTTGCTCGGAAAAGTGCCTCATGCCACAGTCACACTCACTTTTGTGGTTTCACAAACAACAGTCTCATGCAAAGAGCAGCCTTGTACACGACGTCGTCCACAGCCGCCGAGGCACGCACGACAAGCCATGGATCGCGATCCAGCACTGCTGCTGCTGCTGCTGCTTCTGCTCCGTCCGCAGCGGGAGCGGCGTCGCACGCGGGGATTCAACTCCCACGCGGATTCGCACTGTCCAAGGCCACAGTTGCAAACACCGACGCTGCCACCACTCATGACGCAAAGTCGCCGCTCCGTCCCGCACCCGTCGCGGTCGTCTTTGGATGGATGGGCGCCAAGACGCGCCACGTTCACAAGACCATCGAATTTTACAACGCCAAGGTGAGTTGCAGGAAACGAAAAGCATGTCAGAATCACCCAAGCAGGGCTGCGGTTTTGAATCTCACACATCCATCGGCTTCATCCTGCAGGGTATGGACGCCATCAGCTACATGCCGACACCACGAGATGTGCTTCAGCCAGACTATGGTCGAGCACAGCTCACAAAGCTGCTCGAACACCTCAATGTGACCAAAAACCCGGCCGTCTTCCACTGCTTTTCCACCGGTGGATACCTGTACGGCCAGGTGCTGTCCTTGCTCCAGTCGCCGCACACAAAGCACTTCCATGGCGTAAGTGAAGTGTTGGCAGTTAGGGCTGTGTTATTGGGACAATCCTGGGTGTTGCCGCAACACTCACCGCATTTACATTATTTTCAACCCGCTTTTTGATTGTAGGTCCGAGACCAAGTGCGCGGCACCGTCATGGACAGCGTTGTAGATGAAAGCGGCGTTCGATACGGCATTCCGAATGCACTCTTCCCGAAGGCGCCAATGCAACGCGCCATCGCCTCGCTCACCGTCAACTTTATCCTCAACAACTTCAAGACGGTCGATTCGGCCCTCAAGCACGCTTCAGAGTCCTTCCACAACACCACCATCCAAGCCCCATCCCTCTGGTACTATTGCCGCAATGACGATATCGCCGACCACCGGATTATTGAGGCCGTCGTTGCCAAATGGCGCGCGCGCGGCCTCAAGTGCAACGAACAGTTCTGGGAGCAGTCGCGGCACGTGTCCCATGCCAAGGTGCATCCTCACATTTACTTTTCAGCCCTCGACGCGTTCATTGCCGAGTCGCTCGCCCTGCCCAACATGGCCCCGGACGCGCTGGCGCGCTACTGCGCGGCCGTCTCCGGCTCCAAGGATGACGCCGAAAAGTATCTTCGCACCCACAGCCAAGATTTCCAGAAGGAACTCTCGCACATCAAGGACAGCCTCATTCACGAAAGCAACAAGCACAGCGGCCACCCGCATCGCCACCACCACCGAGTCGCTCCTCCAGCAGCTCGTGCGCATGCCTAAAAGTACAAAAACCGAAAACAACAAAAAGGTACTTTGTCGCATTTGGGTCCACGGGTCAGCCCAGCTCAAGCCTCAGATAATTTACTCCTTGCACAGCAAAAATTGACAAAACAAAAAAATTAAGAATCCACAAAAGAATGGACGAAAACCAGAATGTCTTGATGAAACAAACAACAAAATAAAACCGTTAATGTCAAAAACCATGTCCGCCGATCATCGAGGTTGTGCCGACAATTGGAGTTTGGCTGTGGGGGGGGGGGGGTGATTTACACAGGCATTCTTTAAAAGGTCGCCTTGTGTCGCTTGACCTCGACCAGGACGTTGTGGATGTTGATCAATTCATTGCGAATCGGCAGATTTTTGAACGGCGCTTTGCCCATCGCATTCTGGAAGCGCTGGTAGTACAGAATGAGCTGTGTGAGAACAGCCTGCAGAATGGCAGTGCCGTTCTTGAAGTTGGAAAAGGTCTTGAGCACATCGCCGTTGATGGTGTCAATGGCACGCTTCCATTCGCCTCCGAACGAGCGCACGATTCGTTCCACTCGAGCTGCGAGGAGAATGGCAAACAAAAGCAACAAGACGGGCAAAAAAATCAAAAGAGAGAAAATGAGAAATCACTCGGAGCGAAACTAGGAGGCCAAATCCAATGCAACATACCATTGTCCACTTGAATAGTGGCGGCCTTGGCCGGATCTTCGAGCTGTGGCTCAAACTCTTTGACAAAGGCAACCATCATGCCGAACGATGGCGACAACGTCTCTTCCACAAACTCTTGCGTGTGCTTTTGAAGCAGCGACTGGAAGAACTCGGCGTCGCTCGAGTTATTGATGCGCTCCTGAGGAATGACCAGAAAGGAAGCATCAGAGTGAGCCCGTCGCAAGTTGGCATTCCAAAAAAAAAAAAAAAAAAAAAAAAAAAAAACGTACGCTCAGCAACCCAAGAATCATGTCGTAATTGTTAATCAAAAAGACAAGCTGCTCCTTGTGGGTCTTGAAACCAGAGGCCATGGTCGTAATCAAAGTCGTCATGGCAGTGCGCATGCGAGCCAAATACGTGGCGACTTGATCGTCTCGGTACTCTTCGTTCAACACAACGATAGCGGAAGCAAATTCTGCATAACGACGAGTGATCTGCGAAAAAAAATGACAGCGGAGAGTGAGCTAGGAACAAAGCCACAAAACCCAACGAAAAACAAACAGCAAACATACATAATGAGGGTGAATGTCCACCGTCGTCAGGCGCCGGGCGTTCGCTTGCACCAAGCTGTCAATGTGTGCCTCGAGAATGTGTTTGAAGCGGGACATCAATGCCTGCTGAATCCGCTCAAAGTACTGATCAAAGCAAGGAATGCCCTTCCGAGCCATGAGAAGCTGGAAGTGTGTGTTGATCGACACGCACAGGAACAGGCCAATGGCATCGAAGCAGTTGGGGAGATAGGTCTCGAGGTGTTTCTAGCATGACAGAAGAACCCAAATGAAAAATCGAATCAATGAGCAAACGTTCATGCAAACGACCACCACTAACCACCCCCAACGCTTACCGAAAACACGAGCGCAGGCTTGCCGAAAACGCCGTTGAAAATGTCGTTCGCATCAATGCCAATGACATCAAAGAACTCGGACATGAAGACGTACTCGGACTGGGCATTGTCGACGAGCGAAAAGTGGAAGGAGCGGAAAACAGCCTCGTACGAGTATTGCTGGCTCTGGTGCTTGGCAGCAGCGATGGCAATGACTGGCGCCTCGATTTCTTTTAGCACGTTGCTGCGCTCGCCGAGAACAAACACGTTGGACTTGTTCTTCAGGTTCAGCTTGCTCGAGAAGAAGCTCTTTTTTGCCGAGTCCTCCAAACCAATCAAGTCGTCCTTGTCTGCCAGCTCCTCGTACTGGAGTTTGAGCAGGGTTGTCAGATACTGCTTGAACAGCGAGTAGTAGATTTTTCCCATCGTGTCAATGTACTCGTTGCGCACTTCGGCGGCAGTCGCCCTGTGGTGCTTCATCAAGAACTGGTTAAAGTACTTGAACTTGACGATGCCCTGTTGGATCATCTGGTTTGAGGAGGAAGCAGAGTGAGAACACAAAGAGACGCAGCAACTCTCGCACCACAAAAATCGGATCTTACTTGGTAGTTGGCCATGGGCTTTCGCAAACCGGCCAGCCTGGACATCAAGAACTCGCGAATCTTGGTGGTGGCTTTGATTCGGAGACGCTCGAGAACGGGAGCGGTTTCGATGAGCGCCAGCACCTGCATTTGCTTTTGCTGCTTTGCGTAAAAATTGAGCTTGCGGTCCAGCTCGGCGACGTAGCCGATATAGGCTTCGTTCACCTCGCGCTCGCAGATATTTCTTCAAGTCGGGGGTGCAAAGGAATGTGGAACGGGGAACGGGGAACGGGGAAGGTGAGCCGCGACAAAACGACAAAAACGACAACCAGCAACAACAACAGCAAGAATCGCAAACAACCGAGCACATACTCGATGAGCTCCTGTGAAATGACAGACTCTGTCACAAAGGCGTGAAGGTGATCCTTGACGTCCTTGCGATTCTTCAACTTGATGTTCATGGTCAACGACTGATCTTGCAGAGTTTGGATTTCAGACGAAATGCTGCCCAGGTCTGACTGGAAAGCACCCAGCAGCTTTTCCATGTTCTCGAGGATGCTGTCGCATGCGTGAATTTGCGTGTGAAGCATGGCAATGTTTTCACTCTGGCTAATGTCTGTTAAACGTGCGTGAAGACAAACGGAGAGGAAGTGAATGATGGCGGTCTTCTTCTGCTTCTTCTTTTTCTTCTTCTTCCCTTTCTCTGGCGCGCAAGTCCCTCGCAAAAGACGTACAATCTTCCACAGAGGCCTGCTCTACTTCGTTCAGTTCGTTTTGGATTTGTCGCGCATAGTGACGCAGGCCCTGGACAAAAAAAAAAAAAGTGCAGCAGCATTCGTGTGTGCAGGAGGTTTGGTCGCGGAACGCGAAGGCAGAGTCAAACCCATACCTGCTCGAGGGCCGTCTTGACAACTTCGTGCTCCAAGTTGGCTTGGATGTGAGCTGCGAGTACAACGAGAACGCGCATGTACGAGATGAGCGAAACAATTGGTGCAGCAGATTTGGTGCAGCAGACTTGGTGCACCCCTTACCTCCGACTTCATCAAAGCTCATGTCGACTGTCGTAATGTCGAGATTGTCCAGTCGAAGCCCTTCCAGAATCGCCTGTCAACGGAAGGAAACGCTCGACCAAGTGAAAATGCAATGGAAAAATGACACAAAAAAGATCGGAAAAAAAAAAAAAAAAAAAAAAAAAAACAGGCTTTCTTTTCACTTGTGTGTATGACCGACCCCCCTTCATCCGGCCAACGCACACACGATGCAACCAAGTCAGATCCGAAGCACAGAGGAAGGCACGTACGTCAGTCTCGGCGGCGGCCGCAGCGCCAGTGGCATCGTCGTCGTCGGAAATGCCGCTGCCGAGCTTGAGATTCTGCAGAAAGACGTTGGGCACTGGCGAGACGGCGCTCGGCTGGGCTGCTGCTGCGGGTTGGGGCGCGAGGGCTGCTGCTGCTGCTGCTGGAGCGGCGGCTGTCGGCGCTGGGGCTGCGGCTGGTGCTGCGGCGGGTGCAGCTGCAGCAGAGTGAGAAGCGTCTCTGAATGGCTGACCCTGCGCCACTGCAGTGAGCTTTTTGAAAACAGTGGCCATTTGGGGGGAAAAGGAAAAGATGGAGTGACGAGAATGGGCCTTTCAATGATCATTGTCATAAACTATTGGATGGACGCAGCGGAGTTTGACATGCAATAAAATTTGGCAAGGGAACAAGGGGAAAAAAAAAGTACATCACACAATCGACGAAGCAATCAAAAAAGCACACCCCCAAGGGAGAGAGAAGACAATGCCTGATCGTGAGCACAGTGTGAGAGGGGGGAGGGGCGAACAACGCTAAGGCATCTGCGCTATCATAATTCCATGTCGGCAGTCGCGTCGTCGTCCGAGAAGGAATCAAGCGAACTCAAATCCGAGTCTGGCTTGTCAGCTTCGCTCTCTTCTGCTTCCTTCAGCGCAGTCTCGGTAGCATACCGCTGAATGTAATCTAGAAAGGCAACAGGTGGGCAGAGTTTGACAGGATGAAGATGAGGACGAGGCAAAACACAACGGAAAGTCAAGAAAGAGAGGGGGAAAAAAAAAGCCATACCCTTGACTTTTGTGCGGAACTGCTCAGGCTCGCGCATTAACAGAGCGGCAGCTTCGCCGTTCAGAGGATCCGTGGGATTTGGGTAGTGCAAGAGCTGAGGCAGGAACGACTCAAACACATTCAACAAATCTGTACAGACGAGCAAAGAGTGAGACCAGCGCTCATCAACCACAATGGAAAACTTGAACGGACTTGAACGGACGACGTACCAAACATTGGGCTCCATGTTTGATTAATCACATCGAGACAGACCGATCCAGAACTGTTGCAGAGCAAGAAAGAGAGAGAGAGAAACGCCAACAGACAAAAGTGAGTACAAGAGTCACCCAGGGTCACTCCAACACAAAAGAAATCAGCAAAGATGCATCAGTCAAGGTGCCACATACGTCTCGTCAATGTTGGGATGGAAAATCTTGTTCAAAAAGCCAATCGAGGGCGACTTGTACGGATACGCGCTCGGGATTTCGACGCGGACCTTCCATACGCCGTTTTCGTAAGGACCTGGTTGTGGTTGTGGATGAAAGAGATGTCGAGCCAACAAAAAAAATCAGGTCGAAGCTTGTCAGAAACTGCCAAAAAAACTCCAAAGCGACGAAACATGCAACGAAAAATTCAATAATGGCCATGGGCGTACTGTTCTTTGGCCCGTGGAACTTGACGACAAACTCGTGCATGCTGTCGTTGACAAGGTTGACATTGTAGTCGGTCATCATGCTGTAGAAATAGGGAGTGTGTGTGTGCGTGAGAAACAAAAAAAAAAAGGGCCAAAGTTTCGCTGTTTGTTATGCAGCATGTTTTTTTGAGGCGTTTTTACAGTTTCATGACGTCCGTCTCGAGACGGCGCTTGGGCGAGGACATTTCAGCAGAGTGCTAATATGCGTGTGTGTGAGCTTTCTTGGCTAACTTGGCAGACGTTGAGACACCGAGCGAGGGCTTGCAAGAATGACTGGCAGGCAGGCCAATGAGAATGCCTAAGCAAAAAGGGGACCAAAGTGAGACAGCCGGTTTTGGACAAGCGCATCGCGTCCTCATGAGCAACAAGTGGCAATGCAGGGCTTTGAGAGCTCGGTCGGACAGCGAGGCAGAGGCAGAGGGGGGGGGGCGAGAGAGAGGCGAGAGAGAGAAAAACGAGGCTGCCGCTAAGTCGAGCAAGAGCACGCCCTTCGAGTGGGGGTGAACGCGGATGGTCGAAAAGACACAGTTGGCGCCAGTGTTGTTTGTGCTCGTTGTGAGGTGGGTTTGGATCATCAAAGCCTTGCAGTACAAAGCCAAGAGAGAAAAAAGCAAAAAAAAAAAAAAAAAAAAAAGTGGTGACGCTTTTGCTTTGGTCTGGTTTTGGCTGAGCTGGATGATGTTGCTGCAGCAGCGAGGCCGACCACAAACTCGTGAAAGGACCAGTCAAGACTAGCTGGACCAAAAGGGGCGAAGGAACAGTGCAGTGCGGCGATGCATCGAAGCGGAAAACTCAAACAAAAAAGCGCGCGTCTCAAAGTCAAACAAACACAAAGCTTTTTTTTTTTTTTTTTGTTTTTTTTTTTTTTTTTTTTGAGCTTTTGAACTTACAATTGAAAACGAAACGACTGAATCTCCTCTCAGTTTAGTTCCTTCCTCTAAACTCAGACACATCTCCGAAAAACATGCAACGACTCAAAAGCAACAAATTTCAACAGCTTTTGATCGAATTGCGTGGAACGACTGTCGGAAAAGGAAGGCTCGAGACGATAAACTGCGTGGATGTAAAAAAAGTTGTACTTTGCTTGCTTGGCACACGAGAACATTTGCACCCCGCCACAGACAGTCAGACAGTGGAGGGGGGAGGAAGCACAAGGCACGAAATCAAACAATGGCAAAAAACAAAAACGAAAGCAAACAAACAAAAAAAAGCAAACCACCGAAAAAACAAAACATGCTGTTACTGCGTCTTGACAAGGTACAGCTCGTGCTCAAGCGACGTGTCCGAACGGAAGAACTCGTAGTGGAGCGTGGTGGCATTGACCGTGAGCAGGGAATAGCCAAAGCCGGGGTCGGCTGCGGTGGCAGGGTCGGGGTAGCGATCGGCAGACCAGGTGGCAGGAATCCAGACAGACTCAATGCCTTCGGGGCAGCCGGCGCTGCCAGTGACGACATGGACAGTGGCGCCGGGGTTGACGTAGCTGGTGGACACGACAGTGTTGTTGAACACGGGGTAGGTGACCTCGGCCGAGTGAACGTGACCGACAATCATCATGTCAACGCCGTACTTGCGCAGAAGGGGCTCGAGCAGCGCCTGGAGGTTGAGGCAGTCCGAAATCGGGACATTGTTCGCCGACATGCCGCTCTGGGACGAGTAGATGGGGCGGTGGCCGGTGACAATGATAAACTTGTAGCCGGCAGCCTTGGCCGCAGCGAGATCGGCGTCGAGCCACGCAAACTGGGCGCCGCCAAACAGAGACGAGCCCTCCGGAGCGAGCGGGAAGTCGGTCTCAGTGTCCATTGCAACCACGTGCAGCAGGCCGGCGACGTTGTACGAGTACCACATGTTGGAGGTCGACTTGGAGTCGGCATACGGCATCTGGAAGCGCGCATTGTACGGGCTGAACGGATGCTGGACGTTGTCCCAGCCACCGTCGGACTCGTGGTTGCCCGGGTTGACCATGTACGGCTTGACGAGGTAGATGGGGTCCATCTGGGTCATGAACTGCTCCCAGATTGGCTCGTACTGCGCGTCGGCATAGTTGTCTGCGTACGACAAATCTCTGTTGAAAACAAAACAAAACAAACAAAAGACAATGTTGATGATGAGCAAAAATCGAAACAAAAATGAGCAAAATTTTGTTGTTTTTGTTTTGTTTGTTTTTCATTCACATGACAAAAATTGCTTTGTTTGTTGATTGTCAAATTTGTTTGTTTCTTTTTGTCTCAGCCAATGAAATGCTGCGTACCCGACATGCATGAAGAAGTCAACCTTGTCCTGCTGCGCGAGGTTGATCAGGTCTGGCACGACGTATTCGGCATTGTCCACGCCGAGGTCGCCGTAGATGGCAATCTTAATGTCCGGCTTGGACGCGGAGAGCGCGGCGGGGAGCGTGTGGAAGCTGAACTCGGCCGAGTAAGTGTTGGTGTTGTTGTCGCCGACAACGACGTAGTAGGTCGTGTCTGGCGTCAGGCCGTACAGCGACACTGCGTGGAAGTAGCCAGCGGCAGTCGCATTGTAGGTGAACGAGCTGCCAATGGCGCTGTAGTACCGCGACCCGGGCTGCAGGCCAAACAGCGCGAGCGACGCGACAGTGTCCTGCTGCGTCTGCCACGACAGCTGCATTGCGCGGGCAGTGTCGTAGCCGTATGCAAAGTGCACATGGAATGGGTCGACGGGACCCCGCGCGGCCGGCGCAGGCGCAGCGGCAACCATTGAAACCGCGATGGCGGCCACAATCACGACCGCACAACAGCGGAGCATCTTCATTTTTGTAAGACGGAAAAGAGACCGAAAACAAAAGGAGGAGTGAGAAGAGCTAAATAGGAAATGATAGAAGGTAAAAAACTGAGATGAAACGGATGAGCAAAAGAGCATTGCTGGACGAGATTATACAGAGCACCATTCAGTGTACTCTGTCGACCATCATCATGATGAGACTTCGTGCTTGTCATGTCATCACAGTCATGCTACTCCAGCTCGCTCAGTGTCTCAGTCCTCAGTTCTTCAGTTTTCTTGGCAACAATGCTGCTTCGAAGCGCTCTGAGCGTCGTTGCGCCCGCTCGCGGATTGTCGTGGCGCAACAGCAGCGTGGCTCGGACATTCGCAACCACTACTACTACTACTAGCAATAGCAAGAATAACAATAGTGACAATACTGCCACGAAGCACGCTCATCAGCACAGGCAGCAGCAGCAGCAGAGCAAGAAGCAGGCCAGCGCAACCGCAGCCGGATCAGCTGCTGGAGCCGCAGAGGCGCACGAGTCCGCGACGCGATCTGCGCTGCTGGCACTGCCACAGTCGGCATACTCGCTGCACCCACCAGCACGCACATGGCAGACGGCCGCCGAGCGAGGCGATCGGGACACGAGGAGGTCGAGGTCACCCTCGTTCAACGACAGCCCTGCCAATCCGTGGCCAGCCGCGCGCCAGACCACGATCGCCGAGTTCCTCCGCGAGAACGCCAGCAAGAAGCCAGACGAACTGGCGCCGCAAGCAGACCCCGCGCGGATCCCGGAAGACATGATCGCGCTGTCCGGTCGCATTGACTCCAAGCGGAGCAGCGCCAAGACACTCTTCTACCACCTCGTCCACGGCGAGCACCGTCTGCAGGTGATGTTATCGATCGGATTTTAATACGGAAGCTGGATTGTCCAGCTTGAGAAGAGGAAGAAGTACTGTTGACGACGGGGAGGGTGTTGAGCATGAAGTGCCGTTGTTTCCAATCCGAAACATCAAGCCACTGACCGTGTGAATGCCACTTTTGTTTGACCGCATCAGATTGTTTGCACGGAACGCAGACACGATCCGGAGGAGTTTGCGCTGCTTCGAACGGGCTTGCACAGAGGAGACATTGTGCACGTTGTCGGATATCCCTTTCTGACCCAGATGGGCGAGCTCAGCCTGGCGTCTGTGCGCACCCGCGTGCTGGCACCGTGCATCCCGGACATTCCCTTCAAGCTGACCGACCCCGACATCCGAGCACGGCAGCGAGCGCTCGACATGCTCGCCAATCCGCAGCTGATTCCGCGCATGCTGAAAACTCGCCACGCCATCTTCCGATCCATCCGTCGAATGATGGATGCGCAGGGCTTTATCGAAGTAGAGACGCCGTCATTGTGTGCGCTTGCTGGCGGAGCGAACGCCCGTCCATTCATTACAAAGGCGCGAGCAATCAGTGGTCACCCACTGAATCTGCGCATTGCGCCAGAGCTCTACCTCAAGCAGCTTGTGATTGGTGGAATCGACCGAGTGTACGAGATTGGCAAGCAGTTTCGCAACGAAGGCATGGATGCCGACCACCACCCCGAATTCACCACCATGGAAATGTACCAAGCCTACGCCAACTTTGACGACCTCTTTGATTTCACCGAGTCCCTGCTCGTGTCAACATTGAACGAGGCCAAGCAAGCGGACAAAGTGCTGGCTGGTGTCTTTCAACACCACCAGCGAGTTGCGCCCAAAAGCGAGGAAGGCTCGGATCCTCTTTCCATCTCCTACCAAGGTCAGACCATCAGCTTCCAGCGGCCATTCAAGCGCATTTCCATCATGCCTGCGCTTGAAGAGGCTCTCGGTGAGCCCCTGCCAGATCTCGCGGCGCCCACTGCGACCCAGGATCTGATCAACCTGTTTGAACGGCGCAAGTTCCACGGTCTGCCCCAGCCACCGACCATCCCCAAGATGATTGATGAGCTGGTGTCTTTGTTCCTCGAGCCGCAGTGCATCAACCCCACCTTCCTTTGCTACCATCCGAAGGCCATGAGTCCGCTTGCTCGCGAGTCGCCCGAGAATGTAAGCGTTTTCTTTTCTTTTTTTTTCTGTTTTTTTTTTTTTTCTGTCTTGTTTTGCTTCTCTCAATCAAATGAAAAGTGTCGAGGGGCTGTTTTTCGAAAAGATGACGAATCTGATCGTACCTCAGTCTCATGTGTTGCTCACAACCTGCTGACTCTTCCTTCTTGTTGTTTCTGTCTCAGCCCGCATTGAGCCTCCGATTCGAGCTGTTTGTCAATGGATTCGAGATATGCAATGCGTATGCCGAGTTGAACAACCCTCACGAACAGCGCGCTCGCTTTGCCGAGCAAGCCAAGGTAAACCTGAGATAGTTGTGGAACGGAGGAGACGTTGTTGTGTGCGTGGCCATGTATTCACCGACTTGACCTCGCCTCCCAAACTCTCATATCGACAGGCGCGGGATGCCGGAGACGACGAAGCACAGCCAATGGACAGCGCTTTTTGCGACGCGCTCGAGTACGGTTTGCCTCCCACAGTCGGCTGGGGCATGGGATTGGATCGACTTGTCATGCTTTTGACCGACTCGGCGAATATTCGTGAGGTCATTCCGTTCCCAATGCTGCGACCCCTGTCTGGAGACTCTGCACCCTCCAATTCCGCGACGGCTGGGCCTACTAGTGAAGTTGGAGCGAGCGAATGACCACTCGTCCCACCGCGAAATCGATTGAAATAAACTCGTGTCAGTGTACGAGCGAAACAACAAATTAATTTTAAAAAATTACAATCCATGTGTGTAATACTCTCGTGTGTCACAATCCTCGTCAATCCAACATTGCGTCGTGATGGTCGCACGCGTGTCCATCAATCCCGTGGGACTCGTCGTGCTCGCTTTCATGGTCGCAAGCCATTGGTTCAGGTTGTGCCGTCGCCTCGGACAATCCACCATGCTCTTCATCAAGAATGATGGGCGATATTCTCAAAGCATGACCCGGAGATGGCGGCTCTGCTGGGCCAGGCTGCTGCGTCGATCCGAATGAAATCATGGACAAATCCAACAAGTGCCGCATCGTCGGCCGCCCGTGAGGACAGTTCCAGGGTTGCTCGATCTGGCCCATGTGGCGTAGGAGCCGGTACATTTGCGACGTGCTGAGCGGGTCGCCAATCATGACCGATTTGCGGCACGCTCGAGAAGCCAGCATTGATGCAACTCGAGATGGCCGGCACATCACTCCAGGCGAGTCGCTCAGGCGATACAACAGCTCGTCCACATCGGAAGGGCCAAACGTTGTCTTTTTGCTGAACGGCATGGCCGAGAGACGGACACGTTCAGTCGCGGGGGCACTTTCGTCAACCACAAAATCAAACCCATTCATGCGGAATATGTCGATATTGTCCATCAGCACGACTTCATTGGCGGCCGTGAGTTGGAGAGGCATCGGTCTAAGCAGGTGTGTGCAAACAAGAAGGATCAATGCGCGACAGGTTGTGGTGGTTTGTGGTGGTTTGTGGTGATTGGTGAGTCGATTTTACAGTTTGCAACCATCATGTGCCTCTCGTCTCTCTGACGTTTACCGAATCAGCGGCTGTGATTGCAATCGCACACTCTCCTGGAGCTTTTCATAATTGTACTTTTCGTCGGTGGCATGCTGGTCGACGAGAAACAAATCCTTGTCCAGCTTGGCAATGATAAAGCCGCGGTTGAATTGGCCCAACACTTTCATTTTGGCAAAGTCGGTCTTGAAGATGGATCGCGCCAGCTCGGCCACCGCAGCCTGCTCGCTTTGAGGCGAAATCTTGGTTCGGAATTTGCGAGGGCTGTTGTCCCCCGCGCCTTCCTCACTGACTTTGGCATCAACGGCAGATTCAGAATCAACAGTTCCGTCCACAGCAGCAGCAGCGGCAGCAGCAGCAGCGGTCGAACGAACAGGGGCTGCTCTGGCAAGCGCGGCCTCGGCTTTCGCTTGTTGCTGCTGCACAAACAAGCGGCGTGGAGCAATCGAAGCGAGCTGGAAGGCAACCTCCAAATGCGCAACGCTCTTGATGCTGCTGGCGCTCGTGTTTTCCGAGGGGACCTTTTCAAGGTACTGGTCAAGTTCAACGGGTTTGGCTGGCTTGGCATCTGGCACGAGGCGCAATCGGCGTCGAAGTGACTCTGGGTCGTTCTCTTCACCGCTGTCATGACTGGTCAGGTTTTCGATCATTTGCAGGCGAGAGGCACCTGTTGCGGCAGGACGATCGGCAAAATCATCAAGATCTGCATCCCCTGGCTCTTCTTCCTCTTGTTGTTGCTCTTGCTCATCTTGCATCAGGCGCGGCTTTTTCGTCACAGGAACGCCCGCAGATGCGTTTGAAGCGACGTTTGTCAGGTGGCTTCGGAGAAGCGAGATTGGGTCGAGCCCACCAACCAGAAGCGGGTTGGAGCCAACGCCCAATCCCGGACCTGACGGCTCGATCGGTCTGGCAGCGGGCTGGCCGATGGAGGCGTGCCGTGCCGAAAAGGAAGATAGTGGACGGGTGGGTGGCACCAGAGAAGCCGAGGAATTGCTAAAGGTGGACCGGCGGCCCAGCAAGACTGGCTCTGTCGACAGCCTGGCCGACAACTGCGACATGCTCAAACCAGAGACGGTGCGATGGTTGATGAGCGTGGGTGTTTTCGTCACTGCTGGCGGTGCCAAGGACGATGAACGCGAGATGGTGGGATGAGCGACGTCCACCCGCGCAAATGAGCTCTGGTGAGTTGGTTTGGCTGCAGAGGCGGTGGCGCGAGGTGCAGCCGGCGTGGTGTGGGGCTTTTGCGCCACCCCATCGCTGTGATTGGATGCGCTTTTGTTGAGAGAGCCGGCTTCGGTCGGCTCTGCCGTGCTTCGCAGCAATGTGTGCAACGCAAACGTCGATCGCGTCGGTTCGTACATGGCGCTGAGGCAAGTCTTGAAGGCAAGGACGAGCTCCTTCTCGTCGTGCAAGAGAATGGTGCGCTTGTCTGGTGTCACATTGACGTCGATAGCCGCTGTGTGTGAGAATCGCAACACAAGCGAGTGAGCAATTCGTTGACGCGCCAGGTTTGGGGGTTTTGTTTTGTTTTTTTCAGCGAAGAAGTTACCTGATGGCAAGGCAAGGTTCAAAAACAACGCAGGAAACGAGCCTGCGATAAAAGAATGGTAGATTTCGTTTGCGACCTTTGAAAGCTGCCAACGACAAAAAAAAAAGCAAAGACAACCCAATTGTGAGTGCGCAAACACACAGCCAGAACATTTCTACAGTAAATGGTTCCTACTTTGGGCATATCACAGGGTCGACCATTGACATAAAAGCATTGGCGATCGGTGCTACTCCGCCCGCAGCCAGCCATTGGCTTGGAAATCAGACCTGTGATTCTGGTGTACAAATAAAAAATAAAAAATCGATGAGTTGGTTGAGAGCAATGGTCACGGCAAAATTATGCCACTCGATCGTACTTGAATGTCGGAAAGATGACTTGACTACTACCGGCATCGGTCGTAGCCAATGCCGCAGTTAGTTCGCTCGAGGATAGTTGAACAAACGGCATCAATTGCTGCGTTTGCTTGATGCCAAAGATAGCGGTAACGTTGTCCTTCATTGTTTCGGCGCCAGGTGAAGCAAATACCATCGAACGCGGACTGCACGTATCAACAACGGTGAGTGCCATCGCGATGCAATCGAGCGAGGAAGCAAAAAAAACCACGAAAAAAAAACGAAAACAACTCCGATGGCTGCTCGCTTACGTTTTGCCAATTTGATTGCTACATGAAATCCGCACGCCGGTGGCCACAATGCAGTACGCTTGGAGCATGGCAATCAACTTGCCGTACTCTCGCTTGAGATTTTTCATGAGCTCGCGATAGCGGACTGGCAGGCTGGCGAAAATATTGCGAACCGAAATGGTGGTGCCCTGCTCCCGGGGACATGGTGACTTGGTTGTAATGAGGCCCTCTGTGTCAAACTCGAGGCGCGTTCCAACTGCATGTGCTGCGGAACAAGTCGTGACGGAAACCTCGGCCAGCGCGCACAGCGAGCTCAACGCCTCGCCTCGGAACCCAAACGTTTCCAGCCGTGTCAGATCGGAAAAATCGGCGAGCTTTGACGTGTGGTATTTGAGCGCTTGTGTGTTTGGGGAGTGGGTGTGAGGAAGAGTGAGTCAGTGTTGCAACAAAAAAACTTTGAAACTGTTCGCGAAAATTCAGCGTTGCATCCATACTGAGAGCTTGGAAATTGTGCGGCTCGATACCAGACCCATTGTCAATGACCTCAATCAGCTCGGCCCCGTGTTCGCGCAGGCGGATTTCTACAAGGCGTTGAGGAGGATTTGCAACAAGAGAAAAAAAATGAGTTGATCTTGTTTGCCAAACCTCACCGAGCTTTTTTCCGCAATTTCCGCTTACCAATGGCGGTTGCACCCGCATCAATGCTGTTCTCCACCAGCTCTTTCACTGCAGTTGCAAGCGACAAGATGACTTGGCCAGAGCAAATCCGATGGACGGAGCGCGCGTCAATTGGCTTGATGGATCCGCTGCCGCTACTTTGGTGGGAGGATTTACTGTTGGACGAGACGGGCGACGATGCGAGAGGGAAATCGTCTGGAACATTGTCTGAAGAAGATGCCATGGACAAGCTGGGATTGCTTGGAGCCTGGCTGGCGGCGGCAGTGGTGTCGGACGAGTGCAACAAGCCCGCTTGCGAGAACGCTTGGGACGACGACGACGCAGTCTGCCCACTGCTTCGTGGCTGCGATTGGGACGAATGCGCAAACTGGGCCAGAAAGGCAGTGGGCAACGGTGCTGCCGACGACTCGCCGGTCGAGATGGCGGGAAACCCAGCACTTGCAAGAGTTGCAGCACCGTCATCGGCCGGCTCTCCTTGCCCTCCGCTCTCATGCATGGATGTCGAGTGGAGTAGTGACTGTTGTGCTTGGGTTGGACTTGTCGGTGCAGCAGCACGAGCAACTGGATTGCCCGTGAGCATGACCAGTGTTTTCAAAGTCGGCTTTTTTGTTTTTCCCGCCAAAAACCAAAAACGAAAACTGGTCCTCTTTCTTTGATTTTCGATTGAAGTTTTTTTATGTGTGTTTGTTGTTTGGCATGACTTGAACTTCATGAGTGTGAGTCATGGTGCACCTGATCACTTGATGCTGAATTTTTACACTTTTGTCCATTCTTGTTCAATCTGAGCCAGTCGATTTTGTATTGTTTTTTGTTCCACGCGATCTTCAATCATGACGGTCGATTTGCGTGATCCGAGCATGTTCCACCAGATGTATCTTCTGCTGGCCATGCTGGTCGGCTTCCTGGTTGTGCTCGGCTTTGTTCTGACTGCGGTCATTGCTCTGGTAAACGAAAAGCATCAAAGATAGAAGCGGGGGAAGACGGAAAGAAAAAAAAAAAAAAAAAAGCTCCACTTCTTTGCTTTTCTGAACTTTGTCAAAAGTCGTTTCGAGACTGACTGTTGGCATTGGTTGAGAGAAGTTGAGATTGCTGCCCTTGGCTTTGTCGCTGTGACTTTTGTGACTTTTGTGATGGTTTTTTGATCTTGATCTGTGCGCTTTTTGTGATCTTAAAACCCACCAAAAACTCGCCTGTATTTTGTATTGTTTTTCTTCGGCTTCAACTCACTGTTTTACGTCGTCGTCGTCGTCGTCGTCGCTGCTCCTTTGCCTCGGTCTCGTCGTTTTCCGCAGATCTGCAAGTTTGTGCTGTGCAAGGAGCTGCCGCCCAAGATGCGCAGGGCTGCACTTGCGACGCCGCTCGTCGTTGCTGTTGTTTACGGCATGGCGATTCAAGTAAGGGCATCCTCCTGTTGCCGTCGCTCCCACCGCCCCACATCCCCACATCCCCATCGCCAGCCACTTCCAACTTCAGATGCCAATCTCATCCGACGTCCCATCGAGACGCGCGAAAGAGCGGGCAAGGCGGGGAAAAGAGAGGGACCAAACAGTGCATCCAGTCGCATCCTCTGGCACACACGCGTTCTTGCGACACTCACCTTCCCTCGCTCTCGCTTGCACCGCTCTCCTTCCTTTCTTTGCGTAGATGCTGCCTGGCATTGGCGAGTCCATGCTGAACAAGATCTACCCGCCCGCGCCCACGGTGACGCTCCACCCCGAGGCGAAATCCCTGCATCAATCGCTCCTCATTGCGGATTGGCACGCCGACTCGCTCATGTGGACGCACCGCAACTTGCTCGAGCGCTCGGACATTGGCCACGTCGACCTTCCCCGTCTCATCGAGGGCAACGTCGCCGTCCAGGGCTTTGGCAGTGTGACGAAGGTACGGTTTTGTGTGCGGGGCTTATTTTTTTTTATTGGTTTTTTGTTTTATGATTTTGGCTTTGATTCGAGGTCTTTGGGACAACGGCGCAAGCGAACGACACCCTTGGCGTGTGCTTTTCTTCTTTCTTTCTTGTTGACGTCCTTTTTTGCGTCTCAGATCGAGCCGTCTGCAGGCTCCTTCACGAAGGGAACCAGCTGTCTTTCTTTTCTTCCTCCATCTTTTAAAAGCTCCGCTCCGCGTCATCTTTTTTGACCTTGTGATGCTAAATCAGCCCCGGCGTCATCGATCCGCACAGATCAGCTTGCACTAATTGGATTCCAATTATGCGGTCGATGTATGGGACGAGGGGAGTTTAAAAGACGAAAAACCTGGAGGCACACGCCAAAAGAAAGCTCCGCATCTCGCAACAGCGCTCGGCTCGGCGCACGACCCCTTGTGAGCTGAACATGCTGCCACAATGCGGGTTGATATTGCGAAAGGCAATGGCCAATGCTGTGGGACGAACACTGCTAATTTCGCCTCGTCTCACCACCCAAATCCACTTTCTGAAAATGATCGCTCCGAACTCAACTTGCCTTTCTCTTTGTCATCGCAGGTTCCCCTCTTCATGTCCTTTGATTCCAACACAAACCACACGGACGCCATCTCCCTGGTCGCGTTTTGCCAGCAGTGGCCGTTTGCTGCGCTGACCAGCCTGGCTGCTCGTGCGCAGCTGCAGGCCGCTCGCCTTCATGACTTGGCAAGCAAGTCAAACGGTGCGCTGCGTGTGATCAAGTACCGCGAGGATGTTGTCGAGCTCCTCGAAAAGCGCCGCGACAACCAAAAGATGGTTGGTGGCTTCCTTGGCATTGAAGGCGCGCACGCGCTGGATGGCGACTTTAGCAACGTTGATCGGCTGTACGAGTACGGCTTCCGCGTCATTGGTCCCTCGCATTTCTTTGACAACGAGCTTGCTGGCTCTGCTCACGGTGTTGAGCGCTACGGCCTCACCGAGTTTGGCAAAAAGTGCATCCGTCGCATGGAAGAGCTCGGCATTTTTGTCGATCTTGCTCACGCATCCCAAGCGGTCATTAGCGACGTCCTGGCCATGGCCACGCGCCCTGTCGTTGTCACTCACGGCGGTGTCCAAGGCTTTTGCAACACTTCGCGCACCCTCAGCGACGACCAACTTCGCGCAATCGCCAAAACCGGCGGTGTTGTTGGCATTGCCTACTTTGAGCACTGCACCTGTGGCCAGACCGTCAACGAGATTGCGTTGGTATGCTGTGAACTTGAGGGGTATTGGGATTGGGGGGAGGTGAAGAGGAACGTTCGGAATTGCAACCTAACTTGGTTATTGTATTTTTTCTGTTTGTTTTTGTTTTTATTTGTTTGTTTTTTGTTTTTGCTTGTTGTGATGTTTCAGTCCATCAAGTACGCCATCGACTTGATTGGCGCCAAGCATGTTGCCCTTGGTTCGGATTACGACGGCTCTGTCGTTGTGCCGTTCGACACGACCCAACTCATCCAATTGACCGATGCTCTGCTCAAACTCAACATTTCCAAGGAGGACATTCGCCTTGTCATGGGAGAGAGCACCATTCAATTACTCCGTGACTACTTGCCATCCCGCATTCCTGGCGCGGTGCGAGTGTAATCGTCCTGTGCTGATGTTTTATTTGTGCTGTGCATGGTTTGATAACTGCTTGAGTTTTTTCCAATGTGTGTTCTGCTGTTGTTGGTGTAATTCGATTGTGCAACGTGCTTAATTGAGACGCGTCTTCTCTTCATGTGTTGTCGGTCGCTGGGGGAAAAATTACGAGCGTACAGTAGAAGCGGATGATTGCTGCACAACATAGTATCTTTTTCGGTTTGAGAACAAAATGAACGCCCCCAACCATCTCTCACATGGGCGAAACCTCATAGTACACCTTCAGTGTACCCTTGGCTCGCTTGACCTTGGTCACCTTGACGTTTTGCAAGTCGCCAATCGACTTGACATGAGTTCCGCCGCACGGACACTCGACACCCCCAATGTTGACCATTCGGACGGCGTCGGGCGAGTCGTATCTCAATGGCTCTGAGGTTTCTTGAGCCGGCACTGCGGACGGTGCGGCAAGCGAATGACCAGAGCCGCCGCCTTCGAGCGTGGATGTCGGAACGTATTTGACTTGAACATCTCCGCCAGTCGCAATCAAACGCTGCAGCTCAATGTTGAGCGCAGCAGGCAGGCCATCGCGCACAGTCTGCTCGAGCTCGCCGAGGTATTCCACATTCGGGCCGTCGGGGAAGTGATACCCCTTGGACGGGACCAGCCCCGTGTGGCCAAGATTGCGCACTGCCGAGTCGAGCAAGTGCCCTGCAGAGTGTAACCGCGCATGCAGTCGACGCTTGCTTTCGTCTACGTGAATCGTCACTGGCGCTCCCGCCGAGGCAGTCGCCAGGGCCGCGTCGTCCAAATCCTGCGATCCAAACGAGCCGTAATGGTGAACGACAGCAGCGGCGCCCTTGTCAGCGCGGACATCGACGACCGTGAATCGCCGCTCGGGCTGTGCATCCCACTGAATGAATCCGACGTCCGACGGCTGTCCACCTGTTGATTTGCCCATGGCAGTGTGTAGTGGAGGGAAGGTCAGTGTTTCAACTTGGAAGATCACCAGCAATGACGAGCTTGAGCTTTGCTTGAGCACAACACTCACCGCCCTGTGGGTGCATGATGGTCTCATCCAGGACGAGATCAAGGCCTGGTGAGGATGATGATGCGGCAGATGCAGCCGCTTGAGTGGTAGATGCAGCTGGAGCTCGGCGGCTGAGCGAAACCACTCGTGCATTGGCAACAAACCTGTCAATGTCAACAACGTCTGTGATGATGAGAACAAACATGTCACCGTGTTCATCATGATTGGGTTGGATCAAGAGCATTACAAGAGCGTGTCCGTAAAGTACTTGCGACTGGTCATTGCGAAAGCAGCAGCAGCGCAAAGAAAGAAAGAAAGAAAGAAAGAGACTGAGATTTGTTTCTCAGAAAACAGTGAAGAGACTCAAAAATTGCTCGTTTTTTGACGTCTTGGAAAACCACAACACGACGTAAGCCAGTGAGGCGAGTCTGAGAAACTGGTGACTGAGCTTCGTTGCTCAGAAGTGAAGACAATTCGGACCAACGAGTCAAACCATTGCTGGAGTGGCCTCTGCTTGTGCTTTTTGCCCATTTCTCATTTTCTTTTTGCTCTTTCTTTTTTGTTCTTTTTCGTTGCTCTGTGCGCTGTGAATCCATTGTGAGGACGGGAATGGAAGCGAATCGTGGCGGCGGCGGCGGGCGCGGAGGTGGTGCTCGTGGAGGCCGCGGTGGCGCTGCCTCAAACCGAACTGCAGCAGACGCATCATCAGCATCATCGTCAGCTGGATCGTCGCGTGGCGGTGGACGCGGTGGCGGTGGCGGTGGCGGTGGAGGACCCAAGCGAGGCGGCGGCGCAGCATCGTCCAGTGCTGCTGCTGCTCCTTCCACTACTGCTACTGCTGCGGCTCCCAACAAGAACGCAGGAGCGAACGCAGCAGGTCGCGGCGCAGGCAATCCCGCGGCAGCAAAGCCGGCCCAAAGCAAAGCGCCGGCAGTGATGAGCAAGACTGCGGCTGCTGCGGCGGCTGCGGCGGCTGCGGCGGCTGCTGCGGCTGCTCCCAAGCCACCGTCGGCAGCAGAGGTCGAAGAAGCCAAGCGACTGGCACAAGCACAGGCGGTGGCTGCGGCTGAGGCTGCGGCGAAGGAAGCCATCGCTGCCCAAGAACGAGCGCGCCATGCTCAGGCAGAGCAGGAACGCGCCGAGGCCGTCAAGGCAGCTGCCGATCTGCAGGCCAAGATCAAGAGCAGACTAGCGCTGCTCGAAGCAAACGTGAAGGCGCGGACGGTTCGACCGGACGAATCGGTCTTGCGCTCGCTGGACGCGTCCATGAAGAAAAACCAAACGCTGGTCAAGAAGCTCAAGAACATTACGGAGGAGGTCCGCGAGCCGTTGCTGAGGGAGATGGCATCGACCAACATGACCAAGTTTGTCTCGGAAGCGGCCGAGTCGTTCGCCGACTTTAAGATCAAGAACGCGGACATGAACGCGGTGATTGAAATCTGCTCGCACCTGCACCAGCGTTATGCAGAGTTTAGCACCGCCCTGCTGCCGATCATTCATGGGGCGCTGTCCACGCGAGACAAGGGGTACGACGATCTCTTCCAGCCGTTGCCCTCGCTCAAGACGCTTGTCGCGGGAGCATTCAACACGACGCCCACGCCAACACCCGCGGCCGCGGCTCAGGCTGCGTCGTCGGCGGCAGCTGCGTCGGAGACGCTCGACAAGCTCGTTCCCATGGGAAAGCGCATTCTGATTGGCTCTGCTGCGAACGCTGCTCAGATTCGTGCAGAGAAGGCCGAGAACGTGGCTCTGCTGCAAGCTCAGGCGCAGGCCAATGCTGCGGCCAAGGAGGAGGAAGAGCGCAACGCCAAAATTGCCAAAATCCGCACCGCATTGCGCCTACTGGGCGAGCTCATCATTGTGGGCGTCTATCCAGACGCAGCCGTGCTGGGGCCTCCTCTCAAGGAGCTGTTTTTGCGCGATCGAGCGTCGCTGTCGTTGGTGGCGACCGCCGTCAGCTTTTTGAAGGCGTGCGGTGAAGAACTCACGGGATTGGTGCCTCACAAGCGAGCGTTGCTGTTTGAAAAGCACTTCCAACACCGTGCAGAAGATTTTCCCGCTGCTGCTGCTGCTGCTGCTGCTGCTGCGCCGGGAGTTGCTGGAGCGGCGGATTCAACCAACAAGGGCAGCCCTTTGGCCGTTCCCGCAGAAAAGCAAATGCGCTTCCGTGCACTGTTCTCCGACTACTTTGACCTTGTCGTTGCGCGCGCCAAAGAAGAGCACAGTGCGATCGCCAAGCTGGCGCAGATTCAACGACAACAGCTGTTGAACAAGGGCGAGGTGAATGCTGGCACCAAGGAGCACTACGAGAAGACGACCAAGATGCACGAGCGCTTGCTCGCCTCCCTGGCTTCACTCGCAGACCAGCTGGACAAGCCCATGCCCGACTTTCCCGTGGAGGTCATCCCGGAGCCAGAGGCGGCGCCAGAAGCCAAGATGGACAAGCCCAAAGGCTCTGAGCTCCCCTTGTGGGAAGACGATGAAACGCGCATGTTCTACGAGAACATGATTGAACTGCGAGCCGTCGTACCGGCAGTGCTGTTTGCCAGTGGTGCCGCCGCATCCGCTGACAAGACGAGCAGCGCTGACAAGACAAGCAGTAGTAGCAGCCAGGAAGGCTCGAAGGAAACGCCGACAGCCAATGGTGCCAACACCAAAGACAAGGATGCTGCCAAACCGGGTGCATCCGAGCCCAAGCCGTCTTCCCAGTCGGAGCCACAGCCATCTGCTGCCGAGAGCAAGCCAGAATCGTCGGGAGAGTCAGATTCGGCGGCAGCTGAAGCTTCGGCCGACGCGACTGGGGATGCTGTGGACGCCATCGAAGATTCAGCGGATGTGCCCATGACGCTCAAGCTCCAGTCGACCTCGGAATCCACGCTGAGTGCCAACGACATGAGCTCCTTGGCCGACGAGCTTGCTGCCATGCAGCTGTCGCAGGACGCCGCAGCAGCAGCAGAGGCTGCGCTCCCAAAGGCCGCTCAGCCACAAACGGCACTCTCGCAACCCGCTGGCGCAGTCCAGCCTGGCGGCAACGGAACGGAGGATCTGGACGGTTTGATGCAGGCGCTGATTGCGTGTGCCGGTGATCGGTCGGCCATTGACGAGATTGCCACCCAGTTTTGCTACATGAACTCGAACGCCAACCGACGAAGACTCGTGACAAGCCTTCTCGCACAAGCGGAACGCCGAGCCGACCTGATTCCCGCCTTTTGCCGCTTGATTGCCACACTCAACCAAGTGATGCCCGACGTGTCTGCCATGGTGCTGCTTTTGCTTGAAGACCGCATTCCCAAGTACCTGTATCATCCGCGTGATGGGCCGTATGAGGCCGAGCGTCGCTTCGGCACCATCAAGTTTATGGGCGAGCTGGTCAAGTTTGGTGTGTGCTCGCGCAAAACGGCGTTGGACGTCTTCCAGATTTTCGTGGCTGATTTCTCGGCCCACGGCATCCCGCTCATGTGTCGCTACCTGGAAACGTGCGGTCGCTTCTTGTACCGGTCACCTCAGTCGGCCAAACGCATGGAGTCGCTGCTGCAAATCATGATGCGCAAGCGCATCTCTCTGAAGAACTTGGCCGAGCTGCTTTGCGGCCAGATTGATGAGGCTTTTGCACGCTGCAATCCTCCAGAAGCGGTCAAGGTGGTCAAGGTGCCCCGACCCCCAGAGCAACAGTATGTCAAGCACCTGATTCGCACCGTTCTCGGGCCAGAGACCACCGAACGCGTTCTGGCGCAGCTCCGCAAGCTTCCCTGGTCGACGGACGCGCCATTGCGCGACTACACAATCCGTCTGCTCGCGCAGCCCGATCGCATCAAGTACAGCTCTCTCGACTCTCTGGCCTCGGTCATTGCGGGCCTCTCGCGGCGCTACGACTATGTGTGGGTGCAAGTGGTCGACAAGGTGTTGGAATCCATTCGTCTCGGTCTGGAAGTCAACCTGCCGCAGTGGAACCAACGCCGCGTGGCAGTGGTCCGCTTTTTGGCCGAGCTGTACAACTATGAGTTGTTTGAAGCACCCATCGTGTTTGACACGCTCTACCGCCTCATCACGTTTGGTCGCAATCCGTACGAGGAGAGCCCGAATGTCTCGCCTCCCCTCGACCCCAGTGACAATTACTTCCGGATTCGTTTGATCTGCACCATCTTGGAAGGATGCGGCAGCTTCTTCAACAGTGGCATGGCTGGCAAACGGCTGGACTGCTTCCTGGTCTACTTCCAGCGCTACGTCTGGACCAAGCAAATGCCGCTCCCGATCGACGTGGAATTTCTCCTGCAAGACACCTTCGAAGCGCTGCGTTCCGATTTCAGCATTGCGGCGTCGTTCGAGGAGGCGCAAGAGCGCGTGCTGAGCATGGAGGAAGACCTACGACGACAGTTCACTGCCAATGCTGGAAAGGCCGCGACCGAGCCCGTCAACGACGCTGACATGGACACTGACATTGAGCGGGCCGCTTCAAACGAGGCCGACGAAGACGGCGATGCTGAGGAAGATGAGGACGAAAATGACGCTGAAGCCGACAACGACAGCCTTGACGGCGGCGAAGAGTCCGATGAGTCAGATGAAGACGAGGACAACGAGGACGACGATGACGACGATGACGATGACGACGACGATGACGATGACGAAGCGCTCGTGGAAGACGAAGATGAAGCGGTACGCATGCATGGTTTGTGGTTGTTGTTGTTGTTGTTGTTGTTGTTGTTGTTGTTGTTGTCTGACTCTCTTTTTCCATGCCCTCTTTAACTCGGTGCCTCTCCCCCACCCCCAATAGGTTGTTGTTCACGAACCCGAAGAAGTCGTGGCCGCGGATGAGGATTTCGAGAATGAATTCCAGCACATGTTGCAAGACAGCATGGAGCAACGCAAAAATGCTGCAGTCAAGGCCATGGATGTTGCGATTCCCATGCATCTGCGACGTGCCGGTGGTCGTCTGGGTAAGCTCTCGATTTCGTCTCGGTTTTTTTGCGCGTGTGTCTGCAGTGGTCGAGCAACGAGTTATTCACACACCCCTCAAACGCGACCACTACAGGCATGGAAAGCGATACCGATGGTGAAGACAACCTGGGCACAAGCGCTCGTCCGGGCATGACGCCTGGAATCAAGTTTTCGCTGCTGACCAAGAAGGGCAACAAGGCGTCGACGCGGGAGCTGCACGTCCCTCTCAACTCGACCTTGACGGCCGGTTTGCTCACCAAGCAAATGGAAGAACGCCTCGAAAAGGAAGAGATCAACAAGCGTGTGCTGTCTTACGAGCGGCGCGCAGCTGGCCAGGATCTATTCAGTCGCCCAGCAGGTTTGTTTTTGTTTTGTCGTGACTGCTGCGCTTGGATTTTTGGGCTCGTTCCTGACCAACCTTTTCGTTTCCTTCTTGTAGGTCTGAATCAACAACCCGGTTCGCTTTCGGCTTCTAACGTCCAACGGATGCAGAATTCACTTCAGCGAGCTCGTGGTGGTCGTCGGTTTGTTTACGTGCTGAAAGGCACCCCCGGGTCCGAGGGTGCGGGCGGCGACGCCGAGGCGTAAAACTTGTCTCATGATTTGGGTCTACGACACGCGCGTCGCGTGAGCAATCGCCGTGCGGACGATCAGGGCTCGAGAACTTTCTCTCACAAGTGATACATTATTGAGTGCAATCAAGCAAATAAAAGCACTGGTTTGAAATAATTCAATCATTGACACAAGACAACGAGAAACAGAGACACGAACAAGAAAAAAAAAACAAGGGGGGGGGACTGCAACTGCACTCAGGATCAAGACTTGGTGTTTTGGAAGGGGGCGAGGAGAACGGGGGTCTGTTGATAATTTACATGACAATACTCGGCTCAGGAATGCTTGTTCCAATCTCCTTGTGCGGCAAAATCATGCCGCCGTTGATGTAAATCTCGTCCTTGACCATGACATCCTCGCCAAGTACTGAAATGTTTTCCATGCGCACCCATTGTCCGATGGTGGAGCGCCAGCCAATGATGCTGGACGTCAGCCATGCGTGGCTCTTGATGCGCGAGCCGTTCAATATTGTGGCCTTGGCAAGCCTTACGCCGTCCTCGATAATGACGTTGGGGCCAATCACGACGTTCGGGCCGATCTTACACCCAGTGCCAATCTTTGCAGAAGGATCCTTGAAAAACAAAACAAAAGCGGGGGAGGGACAAAAAGGGACAAACAGGAATGGTTGAAATCAAACGGGGGGTGTTCAAAGTGTCGCGTCAACCAAGTGCAGTCACTCACCACCAAGACGTTGCCAACAAAGTTGTCGCCCTTGGCAAGCATGCTCGGGTTTTTGGCGCGCATCGACTCGAGGTAGAGTGCCGATCCCGCAAGAAAGTCTTTTGGCTGGCCAATGTCCATCCAGTATCCTTCCAAGTTCATGGCAAACAGCTCTTGGTCGGCAGCCATAGCAGGGAATGTTTCCTTTTCGATGGACGTTGGCCGCAGCTGCACGAATTCGAAAGGCGGGGAGGGGGTGAAATGAGAAACGTTTCAGTGAGCAAACGAGGCATGCACCATCAAAACACACAATGGCAGCTGTGCGGTCTGCCGATGAGCCTACCTCGATTCGTTTGAGGATGGCCGTGTTGAAGAGGTAGATGCCTGCGTTAATCTTGTTCGAGACAAAGACTTGCGGCTTTTCGACAAACTTTTGGATACACCCGTCGGGGCGAGCAACGACCACGCCGTACTTGCTGGGCTCGTCGACCTTGGTGACAAGGATGGTGCCTTCCTTGCCGTGAGCCTTGTGGAAGGCGACCATCTCCTCGAACGGAAAGTCGCAAATCACGTCGCTATTCAGCACAAAAAATGGCGAATCGCCTTCGTTGAGAATGTCCCGTGCGAGCGCCAGTGGGCCGGCTGCAAAAGTCAAACCAGGGAGTTTTTGGTTTGGGGAGAAAAGCGAGGGAGGGAACGGGGATGCAAAGAAAAGGGGGGTGAGCAACCGACGGATTTCGCTTTGGAAGAACAAAACGACAAGCTCTTCTTCCTCCTATTCTTCTTCTTGGTGCGACTGCGCCATTCGAGCATGGATTGCTCCATCTCGGCATGATGCACAAATCAGCTTGGCAAACGCGAAAAGCCAAGACGAGTCATGCAAATTTCCTAACGTCAACAACGACGACTGACCTGTGCCCAACGGCTCTGTTTCTTGCGAGATGCTGATCTTGATGTTGTACTGTCACAACCAACAACGTGTACATTGCAAGGGATGAGCGTTGCAATGTCATCATGCCAACAAAATGAGTGCTTTTTTTTTTGCATTACCGTTTGCTCAAATGACCGGAGCTCCTTCTCCATGACCTCGGCGCGGTAGTTGACAGCCAGAATGACATGCGTGACGCCAGCCTGCACAGAAAATCAAACCAAACAAGCAATGAGTTGTTGGCATCATGTAAGACAATGAGAGCGGGGAGTTGAGCCACGTCATAATGCAGTAGGGTTGCGTATTGAGTTTGGATGTTCTGATCACTTTGTCCCTCTCGAACGCCCGATTGACTTCCGCTCGACTGAGCCACTGCTGTGAGAATGCGGTGCGAGGTGGGACGGGGCAGGGGAGAGTAGATGCTGCAGTTGGACGATGGACTACAGAGAAGGTCGCCTGGCCTTATGATCTGCCGAGTCTCCCGTGTTTTCCCATTCCCCATTCCCCCACTGTGCTGCTCTTCCAGCCGCACGGATCGCGTCGCCAGAGTTGAGAGGATGACTCAACGCCCACTTCTCTCTCTCCAGTTGGAAGTTGTGGCCATACCAGAGTTGTTCCTCCCTTCGCGTTTTTCCTACCTCACACTGCGATGCTTCCATTCCGTTTCCCTTTTTTTTTTTTCTTTTTCTTTTTTTTTTTTTTTTTTTTTTTTGGTATAGGATTTCCATTGCGAAGTATTATTTTTATTATTTTATTTGATTTTTTTCGTCCAACCCCTCTCTCTCTCACTCACTCACTCTCGCTCTCACTCTCGCTTCGTTCTTCGCGTTCAGCTCGTTCTGTCAACCAAACCAACCCCCACCCCCTCCCTTTCCCTCCGTTTGGCAGATCAAACTCAACGCTCAAATCCTGGTCGCCTCAGTTGTATTCACTGCGCACTTTTTGTCTTTGTTACGCTCAGTTCGTCGTTCATACGTCCCCTTTGTTGCACACTCAGTGACACCATGCTCCCACGTTGTAATAAGTCATTCAGTTTATACTGCTGTGCGGAGGTCAACCCGGTATGCGTTAGGCGTTTTGCTGCAACTCTGGTTGTCCTTCCCTCTCTCTCTCTCCCCCTCGCTCTTGTTTACCTTGACGAGCGCTTCCACTTGGTGCAGAAGCATTGGCTTGTTGGCAAACTCAACCAATGGCTTGGGCAGACCAAGCGTCAACGGCCGCAGCCGCGTTCCAAATCCACCAACAAGAATCAACGCCTTCATTGCAAAAAAATGACTCCAAGAAAAAAAAAAAAAAGACTGATGCTGAGACAAGGAAAATTCTCAGAGTCTGAGAAGTGGAAAATGTGCAACAATGTGTATTCCATTAACATGGTCCATCCTCAGTCTTTTTCTCGTTGCTTTTCCATTACAGAGTTGAGAAGATGAAGGGAAAAGCAGCTACTTTCGCCAAGTTCCCACTTGTAATAAGCACTGCACTGCCTTCTGCTTATTGTTGATGAATGTCTCACTTGTTGAGTTGCTCGTGCTGCTGCGTGATTCAGGCGCGCATCAAGCGAATGATGCAGAAGGACGACGAGGTTGGCAAGATTGCTCAAGGCGCCGCAGTCTCCGTCGGTACGCCCCATCCCCCCACCCGCACTCTCGCATGCGCCGTTGGTCTTGTCGAGTGATCGGTTGTGTTTGTTGCCACTACTGCTCCACATCCCGGTGGGCGGCGGGGACAGGGAATTCGCAGGACACTTGGATCCCGCTCACTCGCTCTGTTCTCGCTTTCGCTTCGTACTGTAACACCGCTGCGCAACCGCAGGCAAAGCAGCTGAACTGTTCATGCAGCACCTGCTAAAGCAGCTCAACCAAGTCGCCAAGGATCGTGACACGCGAACCATCACACCAGCCCATCTGTAACGCACGCTTTTTGCACTTTGCACCCAATGTCGTCCGACAGCGATGGCATTGATCTCGATTTCTCAGTCGTTTCTCCGTTGTTTCCTGCTAAAAGTGGCTTACCAACATTCACTCGATCTTCTGTGTGTGTCACCACAATCTGCAGCAAGGAGTGCGTGAAAACCAACCAAATGTTTGACTTTCTGGCGGACATTGTGGCAAAGGCGCCCGATCTCCCTCCTCCTGGACAGGAATCCAAACCAAAGTATGTTCGTTTTGTCAAGCACGCCATTGTGTCATGTTCAAACGTTTGTATCGGTTCTGACTTGCACGCCCCGACACATCAGAACTGGAGCAGCAGCAGCCAAGGAATCACGCGCTAAACGTCCTCGAAAGGCTCGCTCGGAAGACGATCAAGCGAGCAAGCCGAGCAAAGCAGAAGCGGTCGACGACTCTGACAGTGACGGCGATGATTGGGAGGCGGACAGCGACGATGAAGATCAAAAACCAAGGAAACGACGACCAAGCAAACCTGCAACCGTGCACGGTCAAAAGGGCAAAACGGCTGCAGCCCCTGCACCACCATCCTCGTCATCGTCATCATCATTAGCATCATCATCTTCATCCTCCGACGCTGCGCCGGTAGCACCGTTCGCGTTTGTGAACTTCCAGTCGTCCTCGTCGTCAGCTCCGGTGCTCGGGACGCCAGCTCCTCTGGTATCCCCCACCGTCGCAATGCCTCGTGCACCAGTGCCAACGGCATCGACCAACAAGCAGCCTAAAGAAGAAGACGAAGACTATGATTCATGAACAATGTGCGTTTTGTCAGCATCAATAAATTATTATGCGTGCTGTGTCTCAAACAAAAGAAAGTGCGACAGGATAAAAGTACACGAGGCAAAGAAGTGGTAGAATACATGAGGTTTGAAAAGAAAAAGAGAGACAAACGAAAGACGATACGGAAAGAATCAAAACATTATTGCCAGTCACTGGAAGGCGACGGGGTCAACAAACTGGCCTGAACGGTGATGATGGACGGTGCCATGTCGACAGGGGAAAATAAAGCACTATTCGGGTGTGAGTGGCTTGGAGAGAGGAGCTGCTGCGGCTCCAGCTCGAGCGCAAGCTTGTTGGACAAATCCTGGGGTTTTGGCTGAAGCGCGAGCCCGAATGCGTCCGACTGAAACTGCTGCTGCTGCTGCTGTTCTTGTGTTTGCTGTTGCTGAATCATGAGAAGCTGGTCTTGCTGCTGCTTGAGCTCGGCGCGCTGCTGCTTCTCGCCAGCTTTGACAGCACTCTTGAGCCCTTCGTGCGAGGTGGCCACAACCGACTCGATGGTCAGCTCGCCCATCATGGTGGTGAAGCCCTGGCGCGAGAGCGACATGGTCATAAACCCATCAAGCAAATCAGACAGCTCGTCAAAGTCGTCCTTGGTGGAGACGCCCTCGAGTTGCGCGGCAAGCTCATCCAGCTCGGAGGTTCCCTCCTGCTGCTGGCGAGCCATGTAAGCTCGCAACAAGTCGACAATCTGCGCATGGTGATACACACAACAATGGTTGCAGACACAAGGTAGAGAGGGGTTAGATCAACAGCGACGAGAGCCAAACAGACTGAGACAAACAAACCCAACAGCAAAAATAAAAAACACAAACCTCTTGCAGATGCTTGTAGGCCTTGGACACATCTTCCGGTTGAATCACCTGACGCCGGAGCAGAGCAATGCGCCCCTTGGCATAGTGGATGGGAGTCTTGCCGAACGCGTCCAGCGCGTTGGCGTCGCATCCGGCCTTGAGCAGAAGCGTAATGATTTCCGTCTTGTGCATGACACTGGCAAGGTGTAGTGCCGTGTTTCCATTCACATCGCTGGCGTTGAGACGCACGCCGCGGCTGATGAGCAGCTCGACGACCGTCTTGTGACCGCGGGAGCAGGCAAAGTGCAGCGCGGTGCGCTTCTTGGTGTCGGCCGCGTTGACGTTGACGCCAGAGTTGATCAACTCGAGCACCTCGAGATAGTTTCCGGCCTCGCACATTTTGCGGAACTGCTGCTCCTTGAACTGAGAGAGGTAGGGGCAGTTTGGCGAAACGGCCTGCCTGCGCTGCCGTGGGGCGGCAGACGGTCGAATTTTGGACGAGGTTGCAGCAAGCCCGCCACCGTGCATCGTCGAGGAGAAGGTCCCGTAATCGTGCTCGCCATAATAGTCCACGCCTGGTCGTGATGCATAGGACGCTGAAGCCACTGCGTTGGCGGTCACATTATACGGCGCGGAACCACCGGCGGCGGCGGCGGCAGCCGTGGGTCGAGGGTGATTTCGGCGCGCTTGGCTTCGCTGCAGCGGGGTTCGACCGAACACGGCCGCCTCGGAGGCCCCTGCTTGGTCCTCTTCGCCGCCGCTTGCAGTAGCATCGAGATTCATGTTCACGACCACGGACGCAGCATCGAACAGGAACGGCTGCAGTTGCATTGTGCCAACAGCAACAGCGTCAGCAGCATTCGCAGCAACGGCGTCAGGCACCATTGACAGGTTGGCCTGCTCGAGGTAGGCGAGCTCGTCGGTCTCGTCAGCCTCGCGGGGTGGGGGCAGGAGCATGGTAGAAGCGTCGCCGCCGCCCAGGCGAGCCAGCCGCTCTTGGGTCGGGTTGTGGTGACGCTCGAGCCAGGCCGACAATTGCTGCGTGGGGCCGGCTCTGCTGCTTGCTGTCAAACCAGCCTGCTGCTCGGCGGTGTCTGGCGCGGCCGCCGCATAGTCCAGTGCGTGTGTAGCGCCAAGCACGATCGGCTGGTGCGGCATGCTGGGCAGCGTCATGGCGCGCGGGCGGAAGGGGCTCGACGGCGAGACGTTTGGCGTCGCTGCAACGAGTGCTGGCTGGCTGCCTCCGTAGCCGCCAACCGCCTGTCGCTGGGGCGGGCTGAGCTCGCTGGTGCCAAAGTAGTGTTGCTGATGCTGCTGGTATGAAGCGGATGAGGCGGCATCGGCGGCGTCCTCGGTCAGTGCGGCGAGGGACGACGCAGACCGGCTCGTTCCGCGGACGGATGATGACCGACCCATTGTTGTGAAAAAAAAAAAAAAAAATACTCAAACTCAAAGGAAAAAAATCAGGAATGGAGACTGAAATACTTGCAAAAATGTGATCAAAACGTCGAAACTGGGCGAAAGCGAAGGGTAGAATAGCTGAGTGAACAAAGAGGACCAGATGAACAGTGGAATCACATGAATGCTGGGGGGTTGGTTGGACGAGGAAAGCACTGAAAAAGGCGGAAAGTTGAACAAAATCGTAAAGTGCGGTATGCGTGTGTGTATTGCAGATCAGACTGCTTAGAATAAGAAAAAAAGTGGCAGATCATCACAAAACAATTGAGAAGAATAGCAAGAGGGGAAGGAGATGGAAGAAGGCAGCAAAAATGCAACGAAACACCTCCAAAACCAAACAAAAACTGAAATACTCAAAAAAAAACATCCAAGAAACGGCTTCAGACTGGCACAACCTCAATCTGCTCAAAGCATGTTTGGTAATGATGATCCTCAGTGACGGTCAGGCGCAACACTTGCACAGCCTTGGTTGTGTCGAAATTCTTGGCGTCAATCTCGGTGGCGCCTGTCGTAATGGTGACATAGTTTGACTCGCCTTCGTAAAGGGCAGACAGCTGGCCGCCAACGAGCACGTCCGTGGGCCGTGTCGGATGGCCAGAGCGCACCAAAACCCTGCGCAGACGCTGCGGAGTATCAAACCAAACCTCAATCCATTGGCTTTTTCGGAGCCATGCCAGCATGGGCCGCTCGTTGTTGTAAAAGGCACGAGGTGAGTAATGGCCGCGATAGATAATGTTGGTGACGACCTCGGCAGGCGGGTTTTTCCTGAATGAGCTGCGATCCGAGACGACCTCGTCTCCTGGACGCCCGTCGATGCCGCCCGGATCACCATTCTAGTGGGAATCAAGAACGAACAATAAGAGGGTGAGCAATCTTGCAAAAAGAAAAAAACAAGCTACAAAACAAAAACGACGCAACTCATGCTTTAACATACCTCGTTAAATGTGTGATCCACCAAATCTTGGCGCTTGCCTTCAAGCGAGGACTGCTTGCCAATGTGCTGGAAGAGCGCGTTGCGGGAAAAGATGCGGTTGTTTTGCATCTTGACAGCAACAAAGTTGAACATCATCCAGTCGGTCGGCTGCTCGAGCCAGAGATACCGGAGGAAGGCGGCAATTTCAAGCAGCTCGCTGTCGCGGAAGAGCTTGGCGTACGAGCCGAGACGGGTAAACTCGAGCATTGACCACGGGGGCTGGAAGTCCTTGGCAAGCTCGACAGTCTGGACGATGCCCTTGAAATAGTTGCGCGAGGCGAGAATGTCGTCCTCCAGCTGCATGTAATAGTCCGCCCGCCCCTTGCAGTACTCCATGAGCAGCGAGTAGTCGTAGTTTTCCTTGGAGCGCCACATGACGCGGTCCTCCGGATCGCCGAACGTGCGGCGCATCGGGCTGGGCCAGGGCCGGTAGGCGCCCGACTTGGACACGACGCACTCAATCAAGCCGCTGGCAATGTGCTGGCTGTACGCAGTGTGGACGGTGGTCCACAGCTCCTCGAGCAGTGCAGGATCCTTGTCGGCGAGGAAGAGCACGAAAACCATCTGGTTGAGCTCGTTTGGCGTTGCGCGGCTGAGCAGGGCGTCCAGCGTCTCGGTCACGTAGATGGCCTTTGGCCTGCGCACGGTGGGAATGCCCATGATGAGCTTTGCTGCAAGGTTGTGTTTTTGGGAATAGTTGAGTTCCAACCGAGTCAAGTTCAAGAGCGTAAGTGTGAGTGCAAAAAAGACGAGTCACAACGGGTTTTGTTTGACTTTACCTCCTGTCCGCCGTTGCGCAGGGTGCTTCTCGGCATGGAAGAGCACCACGTCTGCGTCCTTGTTGTCGAGGCGCGACGTGAGATGGCGGACGGGAGCGAGCTGGATGCCTTCGATCTGAGGCAGGGATCCCGCCGCGGCGCCGCCCTGCAGCCCATGCGCAAGCCCCAGCGCCGGCACTGGCGGACACTCGAGTGCTCCATTCAGCGCCACGTCGACGGGCGGGCACTGGCAGGGGCCAGAGCGGGCGCTCAAGTGGTCTGCCTCCTGTCGCCGCCACGTCGCAGCCTGCTGTTGCTGCAGCTGCAGGAGCTCAAGCTCGGCGTCTGTGGTGCGGTGGGGCGTTTCCAAGCAGCGGCAACCAAAAGGGGGCAAAACACCCAAGTGTGAGCAGAGTGAAGTGAGTGAGAACGTGGAGTTTGAGCAGCAGGAAAAGGGAAAAAAAAAAAAAAAAAAAAAAAAGCGAACTTTGGCTTTCATCGAACGAACTGGAGAGCCAAACAATAGAACGGGGAAACGGAGAGGGAACGGAAGGGAACAAGGGGATAGTCACACACACAAGGGGAGAGAGAGAGAGAGAGAGAGAGAGAGAGAGAGAGAGAGAGAGAGAGAGAGAGAGAGAGAGAGAGAGAGAGAAGGAGGAGAACTGCTGTTTGTGCGCTTACCTGACTCGCTGCAGGTCCAGTTCACAATGGCGACAAAGAGAACAAGGGCAATGGCCGCAATGCCAGCGTACATGAGCAGAACGCGCTTGCGAGACATTTTGTGAAGAAAGAAATAAAGAAAGATTAGGACTGAACAGAATGCATAGAATTAGGATATGACACAACAACCATGGATCAAGTGGAGATGGCGAGCAAAAGAGCAAAAAAGTGTAAAATGCTATTTTCTGAGGGGCGACGATATATCATGACAAACAACCCAGACACAAACAACCATGGCAGAAGAAGAGGGGGGGGGCGAGTAGATGAATAAGAATGACTCGGAAGTGGGAGGTGGTGGGATATCAACAATACGGGATTCAAGGATAAATGCAAAAAAAAAAAAACATGGCAAACAGATAAACAGGAATAAGGCGCGCGGCTAGTTGCTTCAAGCAATCTGCTCTCGCGTATAGTTGCGAGGCTCCAGCCGAAGAGAAATTTCGTACAAGTCCTGCAATCAACAAAGGCAAAAGGCAAGACAGAACAAATTGAGCCAAACAAATAAAACGCCAAACAACCACACATCCACCAAACTCATACACACCTTCTCGTCCTTGTGCTCAAAGTTGTTGAACAGCTTGATAATGTCAGGAACGAGCTGGAAGTTGTATTCTCTGCGTGCGGCGAGACGAGACGAGACGAGAAGGTGAGATTGACCAAGTGACAACGAAACAAGCAGCGGAAGCATCCACGTACTGCTGCTGGTACTGCTGGATCTCGGCCAAGACATTGTACACAAAGCGGCGCTTGGTAAAGTGAATCAGACGGCCCTCGATCAAATCGGGGTTTCCGTCATTGATAAAGGTCAAGTCAGACAAATAGACACCACTGCAACAACAACGACAACAGATCAATCAAAGGTGAGACAATCGCACTTTGCACAAAGCAAGACTGCACCGAAAAACACACACAAAAAACTCACAGATAGGGGATGCAGGGAGGGTTGACGCCGTGGAGGAAGACGCGGTAGTTGGCATACGACTTGCTAAAGTCCATCAAGTTGTTGAGCATCTGGCTGTTGTCCTTGGCGTGCTTTGGCAGCTCTGCACGCGTGTACTTGAGACGACTGATGGAGGCGTTGTTCAAGCCAGAAAGGATGGCCATCAACGAGTTGCAGTTGTGCAGATTTTTGAGACTCTGTCAATGGAGGACGACGAGGCGAGTGAGTGCACTTTTCAACAGTCGAGCTGGTGCGTGTGTGTGCGTGTGTGTTGTCTCAGGGAGATTTGTAGGTTGTACCTTGCCCATATCAAGCAGTTTCATCATGGCTTTGACACGATCGGCCAGCGTTTCAAAAGAAAGCACAAATGTGCAAGCCCTAAAAACCGTGGGGGAAAGAAATTGCAACACAATGAGTTCCTCAGTGACACAAAACGGAATGACGCTGCTGCATCTCAGCCAAACGTACCACATGGCAAGCTTGTTAAACCGCTGAATCATCGAAAACACGTTCGGAGAGTTGACAGGCGATTGCTGCTTGGTCCACACGAGCAACTCGCTGACCTGGATCAGCTCGTACACTTGCCAGTCCATCATTGTGATTTGCCGAGCCAGCTCGTCCGACGAGACATCAAACAGCGACCAAGGCTTGTTGTTGAGCGGCATTTGTGGCGCAGGGGGCTTCGGGCGCTGCTTGTTCAGCTTGAGCCGAGCCGCTTGTTTCTGTCAATGGAGACAAAAAAAAACAGAGCAGTAGTGAGCCATCAAGAAACACTCGTGCGCGACACACGCCAAAAAAGGCACACAACAGACAATGAGCACACCCACCTTCCGCGTGAGAACGAGCCGGATTTGCTTGGCGTGGTTCAAGTAGCCCTCTTCAATCAGGCGATAGGAAAACTCGCTCACACTCTGCATCATCATCTCGCTAAAGTCATCCCAATGGCCGTCGATAAACTTTTTGATGACACTGACGAGCCGGAGTTGCATGGCCTGTCGGTTGGAGGCTGTGGCAGGCACACGATGCCGGTCGATCAGCTTCTGGAGGAGAACTTCCGGCGTGATGAACGAACGGTATGTCATCAGGAAGGTCTTCATGTACATCGGATCTGATGAAGAACAACAACAACACACAGTCATCAAAAGGTGAGATGCGGGGGCGTTTCCAAGTGTGCTCCTACTGGACATGTGCTGTTTATACCTGTTGCAATCGTCATGTACAAAATCAGCGCGTCAACAGAGCCGGCCTTCACCCTTCGAACACCATCGTCGTCGGTAAAGATGATGCCGTTCTGCGGATCGTCCTCGTCTGTGTTGTGGCTGTTGACGCTGATAAGCGAGAACAAATCGTTTTCAGTCAGCCCGTCATTGTGATCCATCATAACAAAAAGCTTCAGTTCACAAACAGGTGAGAACAAGAAAAAAAAAGCCATCTTACCTGGAATTGCTCTCGCGACGTGACTGCACGGCAGATGCAGGAGTATTCAGCAATGAGGGCGCGCTTGCAGTGGTGGTCATGGATACCTTTTTGCGGGGCGCAGCCACTGGAGCAACACTCTCGGACTGCGCACGGCGACGCGACTCATCGTCATGGAAAATCGAGTGCCGTGGCGGCGGCTGAGGAGTAGGAGTCGGCTGGGGAGTCGGTGGAGGAGGTCCCTCGCTGGCCTCTTCGCTAACGGTCGGGATTTGCACCGAGCGCTTTCGACGCATGGGTGGAGCGATGAGCGATCCCTCGCCATGGGGCTGGGAGGTGGGAGAGGTCGGGCTGCGCAAATCCTCCATGCTGCCGTTGCTGCTGCCGCTCGAACCTTGCGAATGGTTGGATGTGGAAGACGTCGTGCGGGATCGGGGCGAAGGGACGGGCAGGAGCGGCTTTTCGACAGCATTGGCGGTTGGGGTTGCTGGAGCATCCGCAGACCCATGTTGGTGCTCGTTGCCATCGCCACGCACCATCGTGCTGGCAGGACGCGAAGCCATGGGAGTGATGATGCCCAGCGAGGCGCTGCTGCCAGACCGAGGCGGAGGCGGCAGAGCGTTGAGGCTGGGCCGCGTTCGCTTCGGCAGGAGGGATTGTGGGGCGCCTGTCGAGGACACGGCGGCTGGGGGTGCGGTCGCCGACGACAAGCTAGCAGGCGGAGAAGCATGTGCACTGTTGGGATTTGCAGGTTCTGCAGTCGCAGTCGCAGTCGCAGTCGCAGTCGGCGCAGAGGTCGGTGGTGCTGATGTCGGTGGTACAAGATTGGAGGACGATTGGGACGTGGGAAGCGAACGAGACACGGACGAAAAGCCGGAAAGGAGGGTAAACTCGGAAGACAAATTGCCAGATGATCGAGGCGACTTTGGTGGCTGCTCGGCAACCTCTTCGGCGGGCAGTTCTTCTTCCACTTCGTCAGGGCGGCTGTGGACAATGTGTCGCAGCTCGAGGAAGGCATGCACGAGGGCGGTAGATGCAGCACGCATCGCAAGTAGCGCCACACTGTCGCTATCGTCGTCATCTAGAATCGTGTCTGCATGTCGAACCATGTTCGACACTGCCTTGTGCATGCGCTCGTGAATTTCGCTTAGCTTGCCGCGGAACTCGGCGTCCGCGTCGTTGCAGAGCGTGGATGACTGGTTTACCAGCTGGCTCACAGAGTCGAGCACGCCAGACGCGGCCGACAAGAACGCCTCTGCGTCGTGCGCATTCACCGCCGATGCAACAGCAGTCAGGACTTCAATCGCTTGTTTTTCAGAGCCCTTGAGCTGCTCCTTGACTGCAACACGATTGACCTTGACCGGTGGTGTCTGAAGGTTGGTGGGCAGCGAAACAGACAAAGTAAGCGATCAAAAAAACAAATTGTGCAGGACATGACACCCGCTCTCCGCCCCCCCCCCGGGCCCTCAAACACAAAAGTATCACAGACATACCTTTAATTCGCTCTTGCCGTCACTCATGAGCTCACTCAAGTCAACCATACTCGTAAACTGCGATGAGCTGCCCAAGGACGCTGCTGGCGTCTGCGGCAGCTCGTCCACGCTGGTGTTGAGGCTGTTTGAGTTGCCAGTGCTGCTGCTGCTGCTCGCACTGTTCGCGACGCTGCCACCACTGGCGGATTTGTTGGACATGTTGAGAACGCCCTGTCGCAGAGTTTTAAGCGAGTTCAGCATGCCTTTACGAGCAGTCATGATGGACGCTGTCGTTGACGCAAACGACATGGACGACGAAGACGAAGACGATGAAGGTGATGATGGTGAGCCAGGTGCTGCTGGAGTCGGTGCTGAGGCCGTCGAAGCGGGAGAAGCAGCAGCAGCGGGCGGGGAGGTAGCAGACGCTGCGGAAGCGGGCGCCGGCGCGGCTCCATCCCCTGCATAGCCGCGATCTGCCAGCCAGCTGCTCCAAGCGACCTGGCCTTGTTGGCTGCCATCGCCGTTTTCAACCGGTGCGTCGTCGTCGAACACGGACAAGTCGATCGAGCTGGGCTGCCGCGCTCCGAGGGCGGATTTGTCCGAGCACTGCGATGGTCAAGAAACACAGCCGCAGAGCAAGAGCAAGAGAGACAAGAATTGAGCCCATCGCAGCGAGAGAGACAAATGGCCAGCAAGAAACGGCGACTCCAACACTCAAACAGCAAACACGACCGTTTTGGTTTTTGTTGTTTTTGTTTGATGCTTTTTCTTACCTTGGCAATCGTCTGCATAATCTCGCTAATCCACATGGAAAATTCCTTGCCAGTCTCAGCGCGGAAGACGTGGTTGACCTTGTCCTCCGTGGTGATGGAGAAGATGTTCTTTTGCTTTCGGGTGTCATGCAGGGCTATTTGCGAGTTGCGCAGCGGGACAATGCCGTCCGGTAGTCCCATAGCTTGGTCCTCCTGTCGCCCCCCGGCAAAAAGGGCGTGCAATTTGTTTGTGTGCAGCAAGTGGCAGTTTCAGTGAGACAGCTGCACATCGGTGTCGCTCTTTGCCGTTGAGTTTTGTGGGTGCTGACGGGCTGGCGAACGGGTGAATACAAAAAAAAGGCCGGTTTGATCTTCTCTTCGCCCCCCCCCCTCCTCACCAACCCCTCCCACCGCACTGTCGCTCCTGCACCTTCGAAAGCACTCCATTCGGCCACTTGAGGCACAGTACTGCGACTGTGGCTCTGCATTCAAGAGCGAGACGCGCGCGGATTCGTGATCCCTTTTGTTTTGGCTGATTCTTTTGATTTTTCTTGTGATTTTTTTTTTTTTTTTTTTTTTTTTGTGCCGTTCTGCAATTAAGCCTTTTTTTTTTTTTTTTTTTTTCCCACTTTCCCTGTGTCTCATGAGGTCAGTGGCTTGCGGGGCGTTGCGGCCTCGGTGTTCGTACCTTGTCGCACTTGTAGTAGATAATCTCCTCGTCGATGAGCATGCACCATCGGACCTTCCAGTTGAGGCCCATGTCGCCTCGCTTGAGCAGCGCGGCAGACACCTTCTTGAGCGGGAGATCCGCTGCTGCTGCTGCTGCTGCTGCTCCAACGGAAGCGCCCTCTGCGCCTGTCGCGGTGGTCGGCGCAGCATCGGTCGCCGTCTCGGCTGTGGACGCCAATGGCAACGGTGCTGTGGTGGTGGTGGTGGTGCTGGTGGTGCTGGTGAGCGTGGGCAGGTCGGGGAGCGGCTTGGGATTGGACGAGTTGGGTGCTTGCGGCGGTGGAGGGAGCGTGCGAGACTTTGGCGGCACTGGCGGCAACGACGAGGTTGGCGCAGGTCCCGGTCCACCCGCCGACGACGATGACGACGATGACGAGACGACAGGCGATGGGGCAGACGCGGCGGCGGGCGTTGATGTCGCAGTCACCGAGACGGATGGAAACCGCCCAAGCTGCAGCGAAGACAGCGACGACATTTTCCTGCACAAAGTGGCTGGTTGCTGCGTGCGCTGCTGGTGCTGTCAGGCCCGCCCGTGTTTCAGGAGCAACGACGCTGGCAAACTGGGTGAGTAAGCAACAAGACGCGGGGGAACGGCGGATGAACCGAGAGAAAGAGAGACTGCAGAAAGAGAGCCCCCAGTTCAAAATGCGCTCAAGAACTGCGCGTTTGTCTCTTTTGGTCCTTAGCGTGAGTGATGCAACAAAGTGGATTGGACTTGTTGCTTTTTGCGTGTTGCTACATAATCAACGTCGATGTGCGCAAGAAAAGGGTGACTTGTCCTCAAAGCTAAAAGACGACGATGTGGAAAATCCAAATCCAAATCAAAAAAAAAAAAAAAAAAAAAAAAACGAAGAAAACACAAAAGTTTGCATTGCAAAGTGAAAGATAACAGTATGCAACAAAGCAGGGGGGAAACGAAACGCCTTGCGTGACGAAACGCAGGTGAGCTCAACGGTGTACTGCCTGGCTTGCCTCTGGGATGGCTGTGATGGATGAGGCGAGAGCAGCAAAGACGAAGGGAGGCACAAAAAAGCAAAATGTAATCACGAAAATCGGCGGTCGTCCAAAATGGCAAAAATGCCGGGAAAAAGTCACGCTGGGCTGCGGTTTGGCTGCCCCTGAGTTGGGATTTTGACCGCAAATCGCGTTGACGGGCGAGCGTCATGCAAATGTGCACTTTGTGCGTTTTTGGTGCAAGTGGAGGGGGGAGGGAAGGGTTAGGAAGGCGGCTGAGAATTGTGGCCAAGCGTTGTTTGTGCTGTAAGGTCAACCATCCCATTGTGAAAGGTTGTCTTCACACCGCATGGATGGATGGTGGTCGAGTCACCCAATGGATTTTTTGGTTTGGAGTGCAAGTCTCAAAACATTGTGTCTCAGCCAATACGATGCAACGCCTACCGATATCTTTTTGAGCCTCTTCGGCTCGTTTCACTTTGCGCAACTTGTCTCTGCATAATCCGGTGCAATGTTGCTCGACTGGATGGAAACGCACTCTACATCCTTCTTCTTCTTTTGTCCCAGCACACATCTTCAGCAGCGGCGGTCGTGCAAAACTCACTCAAATGGTCCTGTCGGAGGACGAGCGGCACCTGAAGGAGCTCCGCCTCATGCTCGCGGATCCCAAGAACCGCAATTGCTGCGAGTGCGGTGCTCTCTATCCGCAATACGCCAACGTCATGAACGGCACCTTTGTCTGCGAGCGATGCAGGTGAGCAAAACGGCTGGAGCTGTTGGAGGGACGATTACGTTAAAGAGGTCTTTAGTTGCAAATGGTTTCGTTGAAGCCACCTGCGCCGTCGACCTCCCCGCTTCAGCGAGAGACCCCGCCATATCTCGCTCGTTCGCTGTGCTTTTGATCTCACTTGTCAGCGACGGCGGTGGATGGGAGCGCTTCCTCATCGCGTCTCTCCAATACTTAAAAAGCCAATGGAAATACTAAAGTTTTTTTTGTTTTTCTTTTTGTTCGCTTTTTTGGTGTATTTCAGTGATGTTCTGCGTGACCTGTCCCAGCGAACCAAGCCTGTCAACACGGCCACCTTCTCAGCCACTGTACGTGTCGTCTTGCACGATGTTCTCCGTTTTGCTCTGCTTGCTTGCGCTGTGTTGGCGCTCCGACGGTTCCTCCGATTTCGAAAAGCCAAGCTTTTGGTTGGCGGGATTTCAAAACTCGCTTCCTCGCCACATCCCCCCCCCGCTTTCTCGGTCACTGGCGAGGCTGGGCATTTCGAACATGAACAGGGGTGCATGTCCTGAGAATGTGACTCCTTTTGCATGCGCGTCGCTTTTTGCAGCAGGCATCGGAATGGCCTTTGTCTTTTTTTTTTTTTTTCTTTTTTTTTTTCGTTTTTATTGTATTTTTATTTGCTTTTTTTTTTTTTTTTTTTTTTTGGAGCGACTTGACTATTTAAGCGACTTGCAAATCCCAACCAACACCCGCACTCGAACGACCCAAGAATTTCATCAGTTGCTCACCATGTATGACATTCTGGAATTTGGTTTGTGGTTTTTTGCTTTGGGTTGTTGGTGTTGGGGTTCGTGCAGGAGGTGGAACTGCTGCGAACGCGCGGAAATCGATCCGCTTACAAAGTCTGGATGGGAAACTGGAACCCGACCGAGCACCCGGTGCCAGACGCCGCAGACACGCCACGCTTTCGCCAGTTTTTGCGCCTCAAGTACATCGAGCGCAAGTTCTACGACCCAGAGGCTGAGCGAACGGTCGACGAGTACGGCGGCGTTGGGTCTGTCTTCGCGAACGGCAAAAAGACGCGCATCGTGTCTGCCCCGCCGCAAAACTCCAACACGCGCCGGAGTTGGTACGAGGGCATCACCAACCGATTGCGACCGTCGTCGTCCGCGTCCCAACAAGCGCGGTCGCTGCAGTACGCCGATAATTCTCGCTCCGAGCGATCGTCGGTGTCCTACTCTGGTAAGAGAAGCACCAAACCTGCAGTTGAGCGTGGCTTCATGTCCAGTTTGATGCTCATCCTTCGTTTTTTTGCTGCCGCTGTTTTCTGTGCTCTTGGAAAGTTGCGGAAGTCGAGGACAATGCATCCCTAGGGTCAAACGGCACCGGAGACATTCCAACATTGACATGGTCTGCCAAAGTTGTGGACAATGTTCGAAAAGAAGACGGTGCACAGGTATGTGTGCATGGTATGGCTTTGTGGGCTCGTTGGAGGATGATTGACTGATTACTTTTTTTGGGTGTTGTTTTTTCTTCTTCTTTTTCCCATCGTCACAAGGCATTCGTGATTGATGTCGCGACCTCTCTCGGCGGACAACACTCTGTCAAACGCACATACGATGAATTTTTCGACTTTCAATGCGCGCTTCTTGACCATTTTCCAGTCGAGGCGGGAACCACTGGCCAAAAACGCGTCATTCCCTATCTACCTGGCAAGAAAGTATTTATGACTGCACGGGTGCTATTAGAACGGCAAAAGGAACTAAACGAATACGTTCAGGTGAGCCCGCGCGTGCTTGACTTGTGAAGTGAAACAACTCACTCGTTTCGACTCATCACTCGTTGCGGATTTCCTTTCATGCCTTGGTAGGAACTTTCATTACTTCCGGAAGAGTTGCGAAGTTGGGAAAAGTTTCAAGACTTTTTCTGCTTTGGTGGCTCGTAGCGTGCAATACCCGCTGGCGGTTGTTGTTGTTTAGACATTGTTCTAATTTTGCTTGAGTTCACATAAAGACGCTTCTTAGTTTGGTTGGTTTTTGCGTGTCGTCATTGCTTGCATCTTGTACGGGGAGGAGGCCAGGTCGAGGCAATTGAGGCGGATGTCAGAAAACAGAACGGGGAAAATTGGCAAAAATTGTATTTGGAAAAGCAAAACCACCAACAAAAACCAGGAGGAAGAAAAAAAAAGTGGAAAACGGGTTTTTTGGTGGGGTCAAACAGCAGAGGGAAAAAGCCAGCAAAAAAAGCATCAAACAACGACAAAGAGACGGGGAAACACATCAAACACCTGCAGACGCTTTATTTCGGGCGCGGGGGCATCGAGGGCGGCGGCGGGCGACGAGTGGGCACCGAAGGTTGGCCAGGGGCGGCAGCGGCAGCAGCAGCGGCAGCAGGGCCGGGCGGAGGCGTCTGGTTGTCACAAGACAGAAAACAAAGGACATTCAAGTGAGTCGAGGCAAAGTATGTTCGAGCAACAAAAAAAAAAAAAAATCCCCAACCAACAATTCCAAAAACAAAACTAAAAGCAAACACAAAACAAAAGCAAACACAAAAACAAACTCACAGGACGCGCTGCGGCAGGCGCAGGAGGGGTGGGTCGAGGGGCGCCTCCTGCGGGAGGAGCTGCAACCGACACTGGGCGCGGAGGAGCCGGGCGGGCCCCGACAGTTCCGCGACGCTCCGGACCACCAGCGCCAGCACCAGGGGACGGAGGTTCGTCGTACGCAATCGGGGGCGGCAGCGGAGTGCTGGTCGTGCTAATACTGACGTTGTTAATGACATCGAGGGCCTCCTTGGAGAGGTTGTACATTTGCAACACCTCCTTGCGGCGCGAAGCTGCTTCGGGCGACTCCTCCATGAGCTGATCGGCCGACTCGCCAGAGCGGTACAGACCGGCAATCAGCTCGCTCTTGATGACATCCTTGACCTGCCCGACAAGCAAGTGCATGATGGTCTTGGGCACGAGGTCACGAACGGTTTTGCTGACAATCGCCATGTAAGAGTCGACCAAGTTGCGGATGGTCTCGACTTGACGCTCGAGAGCCGGGTCGAGCGACGCGGACATGTCGTCCTCGAGGTTGCTGCCCTCCTTCTCGGGGTAGACACCGGCGCGCAGGAACGAGGCGAGCCAGTTGTCGAGCTCTTCCTTGTTGGCAGTGTACAGGTCGAACGACTTGTGGTCCTTGAAGACGTACCGTTGGTCGGGGTTGAACAGCTCCATGCCGAATTTGCGGCCGCCACCGAGACGGAAGCCAGAGTCTGCCTCTCGGATCTTGAGGCCGTCCAGGCGCAAAACAAAGCGCTGGTCGCGCTCAGTGTCGTCCTTAAACCACACAAGCGACTCGGCCGTCAGAACAAACCAGTACTCCTTCTGGGTGCCGAGCATGCCTGTGGAGGTCGACAACCAGCCCTTGCGGATGACCTGGTTGGCGGGGGCAGAGACGGCCTTGCCGGGTGCTGCCTTGCCCTGCTTGGCACGATCCGAAGCGCCAGCAAAGCCGATAAAGTCGTCGTGGTTGGTGTTCATGTACGCAAGCTCGAGGTTGATGAGCATCTCGATCTGCGAGTTGGTGCGGTCGTGGGCTTGGCGCAGGAAGGTGCGAACAATGTTCTCCATCTCGTCGCGCAGGTGGGGGTACGTGGCAAGACGTTCGGCGCATTGGGTGACAACGTTGCCGAGCTCGGTGACGACAAGGTCGACGCACTTGAGCGACGGGTCACGCATGAGCTCGATGAGCTTGCGGACAATGGCCTCGAAAGCCTGATCGGGGGTGAAGAGACCAGTGCGAATACCGTGGTTGTTCAAAATGGCAAAGGAAATTTCACGGCGCAGCTGCTTTTCGTCGTACTCGGTCTTGACCAGCTCGAAGGGGAAGCGCTCGTGGAAGATGCGGGCAATCTTGGCACCACCAGAGAGCTCGGACAGAGACACATCGCCAGAACCCTCAATTCGCTTTTCGAAATCTTCGCCAAAGGTTTGGACCATCTGCAGCATGACCTTGGTGCGGAGCGCTGGGTCGTCTGCCTTCATGTTCTTCATCTGCGCCACGTCCTTTTCGAGAAGGTTGAGCTGGTTTTGCAGCTTCTTCTTGAGGTCGGGCAGCGTGTCGCGAATGTGGTTGGTGAGCTGCTGGTTGAGGACGCGCTGCAAGTACATGGTGCCGTTCTTGTTGGCGAGATCGCGGTAGGCCGGGTGTGTGGAGAAGAAACGCAACTCGGCCGACATGGCAGCCTTAATGTCCTTGCGGCCGTCAATGTCCTTCTGGGAGCGGTTGACAACGCCGATAAAGCCGCGACGCAGGGGGATGAGCTTGTTCTCGAGCACCTCGCGGGCGTCCGTGCCTTCGTCCATCAAATCGAGCTTGGTGATGACACCGATCGTGCGAATACCTTGCTGGTCAACCTCGCGCGCAAGCTTGAGGGCGTCCGAGTTGGCCAAGTCAGAGTTGGCGGGCGAGACGGCCAAGATGAGGCAGTTGGGTCGGCCAATGAACTGCATAATCATTTCGCGGATGAGCGACTCAATGTTGGTGGGCTGGTCACCGATCGGGACCTTGGTGATGCCGGGCAAGTCGACCAGGGTCAAGTTGAGCACGTTCGGCGAGTACACCTTCAGGTTGATTGGGACGGGCGAGATGCCCTTGTTGGTGCCAGTGATGCGGTCTGTCTCGGCTTCAATCTCCTTGCGCACCTCGTCGAAATCGGTAAACTTTTTCGACTTGTTGTGCAAAAACTCGCCGTACTCGGGGCCCTTGCTGTTGACCAGCTGCAGCACGAGCGGGCGACGGGTGACAATGCCCGAGCCACGCGGCAAAAAGTCCTTGCCGACAAAGTTTTCCAGCACGGACGACTTGCCTGCCGACTGCGAGCCGACGACGGCAATCTGCGGCAGATCGAGCGGATTGTCAAAGCCCAAGCCGGCGAACGCGTCCTGAAGCTTGTTGACAATCGGGATGAGCTCTTGCATGCCCGCGTTTCCCGACATGGTTTGAGACTAGTGAAGAGTTTGAGAGTGAGTTCAGACACAATAACATGATGAATGGCAAGACAAGCGAAGGAGAAGGAAAGGAAGGAGGGAGGAAAAGGAAGAAGGTTGGCTGGCCATCACAAGCTTTTTTTTCTTTTTTTTTTTCTTTTTCTTGTTTAAATTTCTGTATTTGTCGTGTTTTCGTTTCCGCGTTCGACTCTGTTCTGCTGCATCAGAACGGAGGAAGGAGAGCTCTGATCATTGTGATGCACCGGGTCTGCACTCCGACCCAGACCGCCGAAATGTCCTCCAAATCAATGAAACGCCGTCGAAACAATAAAAAAATATTGAGATCCCCTTTTATTTTGTCGGTTGTCTCTCGTTCGTGTGCGTTTGCTTTGCTGTCAATCAACGCGCAGACCCCAAAGCCAGTCGACAAGAGATGGCCAACATGGACGCACTTTTGCTTTTTGCAAAGTGGGACGCATTTGCGTATGCGATCGAGCGAAGCTCACGTCGGCCAACCCCCAAAAAAAAAAAAAAAAAAAAAAAAAAAAAGTCATTGAGGTTTTTTGTGTTTTTAACGGCTTTGTGCTGCAAGAGCGAGGTGACCCAACCACCGAAGCACACGTACTCTGAGAGTGAAATCGGCAGCAAGGAAGACGTCGAAACGTCGGAACGAGCGCGAAACGGAAGCAAAATCACAAAATAAAATCAAAAGAATCAAAAAATGAAAAAAAGAACGGGGAAAAAAAAAAAGAAAAAAAAAAACAGGATTCGTTCGAGAATGACGCTCGCGTTGCTTGAACTGGAGAAAGAACAGGGGGGGTTGTGTGGGAGGTGATTTGTTTGAGGAACGAACGAGGGGGCGAACGATGGACGCAGACGAGTGAAGGCGGGGATGAGAGCAGCGAGACGAATGTGCTGCTGCATTTTGTGCGCGGAATTGAGAGAACGAGCATTGAATAAGAAGAAGAAAAAAAAAAAAGGAGAATTTTTGAATGTGCTTTTCCCACTTGATGCTCACTCAAGGAGAGAGGGAGGGGGGGGGGTCCCCCATCATCTAATGATGCATCTACTGAGAAGAGAAGGGCCACGGAGGATCAACAGCGGATAAAGGGGGAAATCGATGCGATGGAAACGCAACCAGAAAAAAAAAAAAAAATCTTACTCTGTGGAAATTGAATTGGAAAAAAAAAAATGGAACTGAACTAACCTCGATTTTTGGACTTGCGTTTTTAAGATGGTGAAACGGTTGAACTTTTGGGTCGGTGAGGAAGAGAATTCAATGGAATCGACTTGACAACAAAAAGAAAAGGGAAAGAGGCTGGCGAATCAGAGGCAGAAGAAAGCAAGCGCAACGAAAACGAGTGGAAGGGAATCCAGCCGCCGTTCGCCGTTCGCCGGTCTGCAACGTCGCTCAGATCCGCGCAAGTGCTCCAACATGCTCATCCATCGAGATCAACGTTTCTTTGAAGCAATTTACAGTCTCTTGGCCAATCGGACAACCCTTGCCATCTCAAGCCTCATTCCAAAACTTGTATCATTCCCACAATTGTTCGTCTGAGCAACCAAAACCCCGAAATCCCGACGACAATCTCGTTGACGTAACGCAATCCACTGACTGCGTGCTGTGCGTATTTTGCTTGGTTTGTGTTCGTTGGAGTTGGAGCATGGACAAGCGGAGCAATGACGCTGGCGGACCTTCCAGCGGCGGTGCCAATGCGAAACCAAACCATCCACGACGAGGAGGCCGTGCTGCTCGGCCAACTGCACCTGCTCAGGCTCCTGATGCGACCATGGCGCCATCCACGACTACTGCTGCTGCTAGTGCTGCAATGACGAGCGGTGGGGCAGCCGGCGGGCGAAGACAGCGCGGCAATCGTCAGCCGCCAGCTGGGTCTCAGCCGCTCCCTGCAGTGTCTGCCGCAGCAGCCGCCCCATCGTTACCGAGATCCACGGCTAGTGACGCGATGCCTCCTTCCGGAGCTGTTGTGGCATCGACGAGCGGAGCAGCAGACCTCCCGCCTGTGACGGGCTGGATTACCGGTCAATGCACGCTCGCGAGACATCTGGAGGCCGCCATGCAGCAACTACAGTCAGAGCCAAGAGCTGAGAGTTCCAGCAGTCCTTTGGGAAGCGCTGGACTGGCCAGACGCCTGGCCGCCGTGCATCTGATGCACAATTTGTTCCACGCTGGCGGCACGGGCGTAATCCTGTCCAAAGCCACAACGCGAGCCCGCAGCCAGGGTGCGCCACCAGCGACAGCATCCTCGTCGCGATCACAAGTGCCGGCGCAGCTCTCAGAACTCTGCGGGGTCGTTGTGCAAAACCTCGATTGGTTGAGCACGACGCTTTCAGAGCTTGTTCAAGAAGTCTCGACACACCCGACCGCGCTCGGTCGCTCTGCAGCGATCGTGCTTGGGACAATGCTCTACGTGATGCCGACAGACAGCGTACAGTCGACCATCCTGACAACTTGTCAGCGTGTTATCGCAGCCGTCGAACGAAATGCCTTTGAGGAAGCGTATCGATCAACGCTCGTCTTGTTCTCGGCGTTTTCGGGAACGCCACTTCCATCCCTATTGCCCGACGAAATGCCCACAGTATATGACGCCGTCTTTATGGCATCGGTACCGAGCAGCAGCTCTGAAACACCGACTACTGCCACTTCTGCTGGGCTTGATAGCTTCCTGCCCCACACGCTGTCCACGTTGTCAGCGCCGGCAGTACAGAAGGCGGTGCGAGACAGGCTCTCTCCAACGGTGACGACATTGGTCCAAGCGGTGCAATCGTCAGTCCTTGGCCTCCGTTCTACGGAAAGTCCGGCGCCCGAGGAGTTGGTCGAGCTTGCACTGAATCTCCTCATCGTCGTCTTTCGTGATCATACAGTGGCATTCGCGCTGATTCCTATGGTGGAATTGTTGGTCGGCTGGCTGGTAGACCCACGCACCCCAAGCACCCTTTGTGTGCGAATTGGAGTGCTCCTGATGCAATTGCAACCACCGCTGTGTCGGCAGGCGGCGTTCGCACTCTCCCTTCACGCCCAACTCGTTATTGATTTGGATGAATGCGCGCGGGCGCTCTCGTCAAATGCATCCCTTCCAACAAGCGGCAGCCCCAGTGATGTTTGTGCACCGTCCACCCGCGCGTACCCACACCCGGAACCAGCTGGGAGCGAACTAGCTCGACTTGCCGCGTGCCTATCCCGCCCGATCGAGTTTGGCTGGCCAACTCGGACTCCGCAGAGCACTAGCACTGTTGACTTGCATCTGTTAGAACGGTTTTTGGCTCTCCAGCGCGCCTGGATTTCCATTCAAACTGCAACCGCCTCCCTCACGTCTGCGCCAACCGCTCCGTTTTCTCGCGACTTGGTTCTACATGTGCAATCCGTTTGGGCCAGGTCTATTCGAGGAATGCTCGTGGTTTGCGATGCTGTGAGCAGCATGGCCGCCCCTCCATCCGACGTTTTGGTTCCGATTGTTGTGGCTGGAGTCATGGCGGCTTCAAGGTTTGGAAAACAATGCCCCTCAATCATGGCGGAGGCATGCGCCGAACTGCTCTCGTCTCTGGCAAACTCTCGCACATTAAGCGCGACCGGACTTGATGAACTCTTGGACGAGGTGCGCAAGGTTGTTGAGACGTCTGGTGCGGACTTGTCTCTCGACGCTACCAAAGGCTTTACCTTGGTTGGACAAGATCACAGAGCGCCATGTGTGGACAGGCTCTGGAGAATGAATGAATCTCGCAGTGTAAAGAGCTTGATTGGCCTCCAAGCGGCGCTTGTGTTCTCAACAAGCGGTCCAGGACAAGAGCACTGTGTTGCAGCACTTAGAACGCAACTGCTGGAACTTGTTGCTGTCGCCCATCCCTCGCCGGCAGAAACTACTGCTGCCATGAACAAACTGGGCGTTTGGGCAGCAGTAGTGGATTGTTGGACGCAACCGGACTGCGCTCGTAAACCTGTCGTCACTGTTCTTCCAACCACCTTTGCATTGCTGCAAACTTCCCTTTGCGAGTTGTGTCACGCATCCATGGCGGTGGCTCTGGCTGCGACGGACGCATCGAGTACGCTTCACGCTTGGAGTGTGTGGCAAACGGCCTCCAAGATCTTGGTACAGTTGGCTGTTGGCACTCGATTCCAACTGTCGCCTGCGTGGTCGGATCAGCAAGCACACAACGAGTACATTCAGCAAGAACGGAAACTGTTTCCCAACGCCAGTCTGGACGGATGCAGTTTGGCAACCGACACCAGCGCCGCTCCATTGCTCCTCCCGACCCTTCCATCCACTGGGCAGCTGGCCATTTCTTGCATAGGACTGGCTTCATTGAGCATCTCGGCGGCTGATGCCATGTTTTCGCGTTTTGGAGTAGATGGGGAGCACCTGCGGCACAGCGTGCACGTCGATGTGAGCACTACGCTACGCTGGGTTGGCCCAATGTTGCTTCGCATGCTCCATGTGATGCGGTGCCCACCAGGCACCGTTGATTGCAACGCGTTGCGGGATGCCCTCGTCAAGTCTGATCTGACGCCAGGTCTGGTGTCGTTGTTGGAGCACGCCGTCACGACACCTGCGCTCCATCCCGTTCGTGCCATGCTTGCCCCTTGTTGTCGCATTCTTTCCATCGCTTTCGAGATGGCAGCGCCCTTTGAAGAAGAACAGCCCGATGGACAGACTCGCCTGCGTTCTTTGCAATCCAGGGCCGCTTCCACTGCCCTCACGCTCGCTCTGCAATATGAGTCAGCCAGCAACCGAGACGGCGTCAATGTTCTGAGTGCGGCGCTGGCATTGCTTGCTCAGCTGGATTGGCAGACCGATCATCCTTCGAGCTTGTTACGGCATAGCCAGCTCCTCACCGAGGCCTACGTGCAGGTCACGCGGCCCAACTCTGCCACCTCGCACTGGAGGTCCCCCGTCATTGCCCCCGACCAGTTCCAGTGGGCCATGTCCCACATCTTTCTCGCTCCACTCTCAGTGACTACTACTCCGCTTCCAGCGTCTGCGACAAACGACGGCACACTGGAGGCGGGGTCACTCGAGCGCCCGCCGTTGCCTGCACTTGCCGAGTTGTACCAGGTTTTCCGGTCCACCGGGCATGACGATGCTGGTGTGAGCGAGGTGGTCATGTTGCGGTGGTTGGCGTGGGAGTGCGCGTCGTTCTGTGTTCAGCATCGGTTTCACACCTATCTGGGCCAAGCGCCTGAAACGCTTCAACAGCTGGATAAGGTGTTGCAGGAGATTGCACGGACATCGACGAGTGTGGCTCCGACGCAACTCGCGCATTCTCAACAGCCATCTGCACTGGGAGCTTCGTCAACCCCCGCAGCAATCCGCCCGTTGATCGCAATGTGCTCCACCCCGAACGAACCCACGGATGCATCGTTCGAGCAGGCTCTGCAGCGCTTCACTCGGGTGCGGCTGGCACGTTCCCTCCATGTCCAAGCGTTAGTCTGGTTTTTGGATGCCCTCGAGCGTCTAATGACAAACTCGTGGCATGGATCGCTGTCCTTGCCATCCGCGTCAAAGAACGCAACCCTGTTTTTCGTTGCCAATCGGGCCATTTGTGAACAGTGGCTGTTGCAGGTCAGAGGAAATCTTGTGCTCGCCGCTGCAAACTCTGGATTGACCTCCGAATGGGCTGTCTTTCATGCCACTCGTCGCTTTCGACTCCTCTTCCAGCAGTTGGTGCAGAACGGGCTGCAGTTTGTTCAGCCACCAACCTCCACCGCGACCACGCCGGCAAGCACGAGTGCCAAAGCAGATGCCACCCCGCCAGAGTCCGCAAAGGCGAGCTCTGCTGTCGGCAGCGCATTGTTGGCGACCTTTGAGCGTTGCGAAAGTGCGTTGGTGGATGTCATCAAACATCTCGTGGGAATGAGCGCTGCATCGCAAATTCGTGGAATTGCTCTGCATGTGCAGCAACAACTGAAAGCGCTTGTGCAAAAGCTCAGTGCGGCTCAAGCTTCTTCTTCTCGCACGCCTGCTGGCCACGCACCTCCATCTCCGAGTGGGAAGGGCGCGAAAGGAGGTCAGCGAGCTTCAAACACCCAAAGTTCAACCTTGCCGCATCATAAAGTGCTGCTGGCCCGCCTGTCAAACTGGCTGGATTGGCTGGAGCCTTGCGCGCTCGAGGCTGAAGGTGCGGTGGAGCAAGCTGTTCCAATGTACCACGACGCTCTTGTTCGCCGGTTGGAAGCCTTCCATCAGCTCGTTCGGGAAACGCCATCGCCAACTGCCGCGTCGCCGCAGGGTACCGAGAATGTCAAGATGGCCGATTTTGCCACGCTTCAAGTGCCTGCATGCAACGTGGATGTGTGGACGCTTCTCGTGGATCGCTTGGTGGACTGCGTTGTGTCCTCCAATGGGATGGCTTTGACGCTCGAGACGCTCGACTCGCGCCTTCGGGAGTGGCGACAGGAAGTTTCGCACACTTGTGCACTCGTGCCGATTGATGTCGTTCTACTGCCCCATGTGGACTTGCTTTCCAGTGCTTTAGGCTTCCGCCGACATTTGCACTTCTTGCTGTCTCTGTCAACCTACGACGAGCACGGACCCTCTGGTTTGGCAGACGTGACGTCCACTCGTGGTCTCACTGGAGTCCAGGACAATGATCGACTTGGCCCTCAAGGACTGCTTGATTTTTCCGCAGCTATTCGGTTGCAGGCTGGTCTGCAGACCAATCCCAGCAGCTTGGCCTCCTTCATCGAACTCGCCCAGTGCATCAACGCCCCTCTCGTCACCTCGCAATCTCACGATGCCTCGATCGCAGGCATGGATTCCTTGCTACTGCGCTGGCACGACTTGCTTCAAAGCACGGTGCCGAATCCCTCCGGCAACAAACCGATTGCTTCTGGCGTTTCCTTGTTGCACTCGAGCTGCGCAACTGGTCTCGGACGCGATGTGCCCGATGTCGCGAGAGCCTTGGCTCGTCAAACAGCCAGCAATCTCCCTGGTGCCGCGGCTTCGCGTGACCTGCTGCGAGCAGTTCGACTTGCGCGTAAAAGTCAAAATCACAAGCTTGCAGCACGGTTTCTGGACGCGGCTGAAGCGCGGTCTGACGGGCGCATTCTGCCAGTGACGTTTGCCCTTGAACGAGCCAAGCTACTGGGCACTCAACCTACCACTCAGTCTGCTGCGATAGTTCTTGCCCTCGATGCTTCAGACCGCGCCCTCGGGAGCTTCTCGAGAGATTCGGCTGCCTCGGTGCACGACGACCCAGGAGACGTTGTTCGCTGTCTCTCGTTTGTCTCAAAGCACTTGGAGTCAAAGTCGCCGGAGTTTGATGCTGTGGCGCAATCGCGCTTGGACAAGTTTTTGTCATCCCGCCAGGCAATGCCGTCAAAAACGGGCTCCAAATTCTTTGGCAGCCGTGACGCCCGTATTTTGAGCCTGCTCAAAACCGCGACCGGCGTTTCGACTGACAATGCCAAGGCTTGGTTCCGACTGGCCACTTGGACGTACCACCATGCTCGCAAGCACACTGATCGAATTCTGAACGGCGAAGCGGCATTCCCCAGTTCTGCAGCCGACCGGGAGGAAGTGAGCCGGGTTGTACTGCGACATGCCTCGTCGTCGTCGACACTGCCTGCCAGCCTTCTCGACACCCTTACAAACACATTGGTGTCGCCAATCCAAGCGACTCCCTCGCAGACGGGCGGTGACACGCTTTGGTCGCAAACAATGCGACTGCGACGGGACGGGGTGCACAGACGCGTGTTGGAAGCGCTTTCGTCTCACATTCCGGACTCGGCGATCGCAGCCTGCGGTGAAGAGATCATGAAGTTGGTTTGGGATGCGATGGCGGAACGGGTCCCTGAGCTGTACCGGAGCGCATTAGATGCACACGTGTGCTTCTTGCAGCACGCGTCGCATGGCCTGGGTGACGGCGTGGATGAAACTGTGGTGACTGCTACACTGCATGTGCTTCGTCTCGTGGTCAAGGCGGCCGACGGGTTTGCCGCCGAGTTTCAGACACGGCTTACGGCTCTTCCTGCCGGAGTTTGGCGTGGCATCGTCCCACAGCTCTTTTCGCGGCTCGCCCATCCAAATTCCGCAGTGCGAGATGCAGTTTCGGGACTTGTCCTGCAGCTCTGCGACCTCTCCCCCGCAGAGTTGGTTGTACCAGCAGTTGTGAGGGCGCGCGAAGACCGTACTGGGTTTGACAATGTAGGGCGTAAATCTCAACGGCTGGCGGCTCGCGCCATGTCTGAAAAGATTGTGGCACGCATTCAAACAACCCATCCGCAGCTCGTCGCCGAGACGGAGCAGCTCATTTCCGAACTCCAGCGCGTCTCGGTCCTTTGCGATGAAGAACTCGCGGAAACTCTGTCGAGACTGCAACCCGAGGCCATCAAGCGGCTCGAGCATGTCCAAGTTGAGGCCACGCGCGTTCTGGATATTGACACGCTTGGAGCGGAAGCAAAGAATGCTCTCATCAAGGAAAAGCTTGCCCTCATCATGAAGCCCATTGTATCCGTGTTGATGCGTCTGCAGCATCAGCTGCTCGCTTCGACTAGCGCAAGCACGCCGCACGAACGCCGCTTCCGAGAAAAGTTTGAGTCCAAGTTTTCGCTTGCCTTACACGCTTTGCAACACCCCTCTGACGCGCGTCGCATTGTGGCGTCGTGCTGGCATGGCTTTCATGTAATTTTGGAGTCCGTGCTGCGTCGTGATTCCAAACACGCGGCGGGGGATGATTCTGACGACTTGGTGTCCATGACTCAACCGCCAGGCATGCTGTCGGTTGCCAGCATCAGTCCCAAGATGTTTGCAATGCGTGACCTGGCCCTGCCAATTCCTGGTGCACCCGCTGGCGTCACCCTCCAACGAGTGTGTGACAGTGTTCCTGTCATTCCCAGTAAAACCCGACCGAAGAAACTCACATTCCAGGGGTCGGACGGACGACACTATGCTTTCTTGTTCAAAGGCACTGAAGATTTGCATCTCGACGAACGCATCATGCAGTTCATGTCGACGGTCAACTCTGTGCTGCGTCGCCCCTCGTCTCGTCCTCAGCATGCCCCAATGACTGCTCGCACATACGTCGTGCTACCGCTGGGACGTCGCTCTGGGTTGATTCAATGGGTGGATGATACTGTCTCTCTGTTCAGTGTGTACAACCGTTGGCAGCGCCGCGCGTTGTCCGACATGCAGCAGCAGCAGCAGCAGCAGCAGCAGCAGCAGCAACAGCAACAGCAACAGCAACAGCAACAGCAACAGCAACAGCAACAGCAACAGCAGCAGCAGCAGCAACAACCGCCACCGCCACCAACACAACAATTGCAAAATCAGCAGCCCCTGGGACCGGCGCAAATGTATTGGAACGCTTTGGGCCCTGCGCTCAAGGCCGCATCGGTCGACCCACACACTACTCCTCGAGCCGATTGGCCGCGACCTGTCTTGCGCTCCGTGTTTGACGCCTTGGTTGCTGAAACGCCGAGCGACTTGCTGGCAACCGAGCTGTGGCTCGCTTCGCCCACACCTGTCGCATGGTGGTCGGCCTCGTTGACGTTCACTCGTTCGGCAGCCGTGAGCTCGATGGTAGGCTACGTGCTTGGCCTGGGCGATCGGCACTTGGAGAACATTCTCGTCAACTTGCAGTCTGGAGAGCTGGTCCACATTGACTTTAACATATGCTTTGACAAGGGCCGTCGATTGCGCGTCCCGGAAGTCGTGCCGCTCCGGCTCACGCACAATCTGCAGACCGCGCTTGGACTCGGCGGACTAGAAGGAGCCTTCCAAGACAAATGTCAGCAGGTTCTCTCCGCGATGCGAGGTCGTCGCGAGACCCTTCTGACGCTGCTCGAAACATTCATGTACGATCCATTGGTGGACCAAAGCCGGTCCGACACGCGCGATCGGCGCCAAATGGATGTGCACGCCCAGATTGGCTTGCTGGCGACACGTGTGCTCGAGCTCAAAACCGAGCTTGGAACGCTTCGGAGCAGCGTTGCTCCCAGTATCAGAGAACTGGCGACTCGGTGGGATGCGATGGTGCAACATGCGGTAGCAGAGCGCGAACTGGCCGCTCAGTACCAAACCGAGCAGCAGGAATACCAGGCCTTGTCTGATGCCAGTGCCCTTTTGTCGACGGGCATTCCGGCCTTGAATCAAGCTGAAGCCACCTGGGCTGAGGGTCACAAGACGCTGGCGCTGTCTACTGCACATCTTGCAACACTGTTGGAGCGTGCACGCCAAATTTGTGCTTCCAACCGCGACACTCTGGCATTGTTGTCTCCGTTTGAGACTGCCCCATCACCGCAGCCAATGGAGCTCCCGCTGGCGCAGGCACTCTCCACCTCGGGCTTGTTCCGTCTGATCCATGCCATGACATCCACGTCCCTAGCACGCTCTGTTGAGGGGCTCAGTCCAGCCGATGCCGTCCGTGCGTTCTCGAGCCACGCGGACTTTGCTGAGGCGCTGTCCTCTGCAGGCTTTGGCAACCAGTGCCAACAGGCAGACCAGCGCGCGGCCGACCTCCATGCAGCGCTCACCCACCGAGCTGTGGTGTTGACGCAGATCGTCCACCTTGTACGAGGTGCATTTGCCAAATTGGGCCTTGCTGCACTTGCAGTTTTCCATCGTGCGTCCTTGTGGAACGATTGGTCGGTTGCTATTGAACCTGCCTTGGCCCAGTTGACATTGCTCCAGAGTATGCCGCTTGAGAAACTCGCCGCGGCTGGTGCCGAGGGAGAGCAAGCGCTAGCCGCCAGTCAGTTGGCAGCAAGCAGCGCACTTCAAGCTGCTTCGCTCAAGGTGACAGCGTCGCTGCAGCCTGTTCTCCCATCCCCGACTGTCAAGGCCTTTTTGCTCCATTGGGCCGCTGGTGCGCTTGCAGACCATGCACGAGCCGTTCAGCGCATTCGTCGACTTCAATGGCCAGAGCTTGTCAGCGAGGTTGAGGATGCTGGCAATAGTAGCAGCACTGCCTGGTTGCTGCCGTCCAGCGACTCGCTCGACCTACAAGCTTGCGCAGCTGCGATGGCGGACTTGCGCGCCACCCGTGATTCCGCGCTGCAAATGTATCAGTTGCAGCAGAGTCAAGCCCCCACGCTTGGAGTGACGCTTGCTCGTGTGACAGTCTTGCATGAGCTCAGCGTGGAGTGGGACCAGAGTTTTGTGTCGCTTGGGCGATCTCTCTCTGATCGCACGCTACCAGCCGCAGGCGACCAGCTGGAGCAACTGGCCTCCATATCGTGTGCTGTCGATGCTATGATGGGAACGATTTCAATCGAGCACGAAGGAGGCCACGACATGCATCGTCAAATGCCCGTGGTCGCGGCTGTCTTTGGGGCTTTGCGCGCGGCATTGCAAGACTTGGAGACGCTTCGACTTTGCATTTTGCCAGTTATTTTTGGTGCTTTGATGTATCGCTCGCGTTCGTTTTGCGAGACGGACGAACAACTTCTCGGCGTACTGACGGCCCATGTGGAAGTCGGTGATGTGCATCAACAAGCAGATGTCGTTTTGCAGCAGTGCGAAGCTGGGCTTCCGCCTGTGGGGACGTTTGATCAGCTGCAGTCCAAGCCCGAGTTCCAGCAGATGGTTGGATCGCAGCCCGTTCGTGCGCTGGTGCTGGTCATTCTTCTCTTTGCCCGATGGCTTGATCGCCGAGTGCAAGAGGCGCAGCAATGCGCTGTGCGTTATGGCATTGCGACCGGACTATCACGCGGCGCAGCAGCGGGTGTCGGCGCCATGGAGGATGACGTCGAGCTGGACGAGACGACTGGTCGAGATCACGCTGCGCCGTCCGTAACAGCAGCAGCAACAGCAGCAGCAGCAGGCCCTGTTGATCTTTTGTCGCAGGGTTTCGTGGCGTGTCAGTCGATTGTTCGTCCGCTGGTTGGGTTGGCACGGGCAATGACGTACTTTGACTCTGCCGAGCCAGCTGCCGAGCCAGCTGCCGAGGAGCCAGCAGTGTCCGTTGGTGTCGATTTGCACTGTACGCCAGCGCAACATGTGGCAGCCACTGCGCTCTCGGCTCTCAGCCAGCTGGCTGCGAGTGTGGTGTACAACCCATTGCCCAGCGCGGCTGTTGCGGGAATTTTGCGGCAAGTGGTTTATTTCGCCGTCCACCCACAGGCGACGGTTGAGACTGGTGCTGCAGCCGCTACTTTTGAAAGCAACGAGAAGCGCATCCGTGCTCGGCTCGCTGAGAGCTTGTCTGCCGGGACGTTGAACGCGGCTGAACTGCAGACGGCGCATGAGACGCTTCACGCAGTGGCACGCTCCACCCGACGATGGGAGCATGTTCGACTTCTTGAGGCCCGCGCTGTCTGTCACTCGTCTGCCATTGAGCTGGTGCACACCATTCGCGAGGTCTTTTTGTGGACAAATGCCCGACAGCTGGATTCACGCGCGTCGACCCCGGGTGAACCAGGCACCGAGGATGTGGCTGTGAGCGTTTTGTGCCACGACGCAATGGTGCAGCGGCGAACTGCCTTGCATTCGCTTGCTGTACTGCTCCAGCAGATTCATCAATGCGATGCAATCGTGTATCAAGCACACGGCGAATACTGCGCTCTGGAAGATAGCCTGCTGACGGAAGCGGCTTCGTTTGCTCATTTCGAGGCGTTGCAGGCGGCTGTTGGTGCCAGGAGGCAGCGCGTCCTGCAGGATGTCGAGCACACCAATCGCTTCCTCGTCGAGGTGGCCAAGCTCGGGCATTTTGAAACGCAGCGAGGCGTTCCAATCACGTTAGAGCTCCAACAAGAAGCGACCAACCTTCTGCAACTCTTGGAGCACGCAATGACGGCAGTTACCACCCAGCACAGCCTTGTCGTTGCTGTGCGCCAACAGCGTCATCAGCTGCAGTACGCGCTACCGTACATTCCTCGCAACTCGGACACTGGTGGTTACCGCGAGAATTGGCTGGAGCACCGCCTCCGAACCTTGACGAAAACCACTCCAGCTCTGAAGGCTCGGTTGGCATCCACCATCCTGACGCTCTCTCAGCCCGCTGCCAAGGAGGTAGAGGCTGCGTTGGAGGTGGTCCGCACCGAGTTTGCGCCATTTGATACCGCAGCCGAAGACCAGCTTGAACCGCTCATGGTTGCTGTATCCCAGCGTGCCAGTGACTTTGTTCAGCAAGAGCAGCAGCAGGGTCGGCAAAATCAAGCGGATTCTGAAGACGATCTGACTGGAATCCAATCCGCGCAAGTGCGAGTTGAATCCACGCACTCTGCGCTTGTCGCTCTGCGGAATGACTTCCACCAGCTGATGGATTGGTTGCTGCGGACGTTGCATATTGGAGATTTGGACGAGCGACTGCGTGCGGTCATTCGGCTAGATCCTGCCAAGCCGCTGCATGAACTCGCGGATGCAGTCGACGGGATGGCGGAAGACTTGCAGAATCTGAACAGCCTCAGTGCCGAGCTGAAGACGACGATGACGACCAGTAGTGTACCTTTCGCCACACCCGTTGCGGCAGTCGATTCCCCCGCAGTTCTTCCGTCTGAATCACACGGTATAGCATTTTGAATTGTGTTGGATGTGTCTCAAAACAGATGTTTAACACGGATGCAAGGCTACCGCTTGCCTCTTTTGCTTGACTGACCGATGAGGTGGGGTGTCTTGTTCAAACTTGTAGGTCAGGAGCGCAACAAGCACCCTGGCACAGCGTGGCGCAAGGTTAAGGCTCGGCTAGAAGGCCGCTTGTCCGAGTCTTCCGAAGTCAAATCAACAGTGGCTGAGCAAGTCGCTGCCGTCATTGCGCAAGCAACAGATCCAAACTTGCTCTGTGTCATGTTTGAGGGCTGGACTCCGTGGGTCTGAGCACCATCAACCGTTTTCAAACAGTTTTGACATTGTTTTTTTTTTTGTTATGTTTTTATGATTTTTTGTACAATACATTTGATTGAATGAAAACCATCAAAGGGAGTGGATATGCCGCACGTCTGGGACAGCTGCTCCCTTTGACATGTGTGTGGGGGCAACGTTATGGCTTTGGTCGGAAGGCGGAGATCGTGCTGAGAGCTGCAGCGGCAGCGGCGGATCGAGGGATTGGTGCGGTGGCCAGTTTCGCAGCAGCAGCCGCCGATGATTTTGCTGGCTTGGCCTGGTCAACAGGCGTGGTATATGCTGGCCGGGGTGGAGTGTAGCCCAACATGCGACGCGCTTGGCGAGCCATGGTGGGAGCGGACGACTTTGGCACAATCAACTTCTTGGACTCGTACTTTGGCTGGAGGTACTTTTGCAGCCGCTCGCGCTCTTGCGTGGTGAGCGATTCAGGGTCGATGTCGCGGAATCCGCGGAGCTCTTGGTTCTGTCGATCAAGGACGATGTTGAATGCAGAGGCAATGGATGAGTGTCACTGCTGAGCGGTCCCTCGACGACTCGGCCACTTTCCCTCCTCCTCCTCCTCCTTCCACGACAAAGCAACAACGCTCACCGCTGTGATGAAGGGACGGGAGAGCACGAATGTGTTCTGGGCGACCAGCTTGAGGGAATCGCGTGCAGTGTCTTTCCGCGTCGCGGTCATCTTGCGCGACTTGGCGTGCTTGCTGTGTGCATCCAATCGAAACGGCAGAGCGTCAGTGTGAGTAGGTCGGTCGCTTGAATAGAGCAGCAGGGAGCGTGTGGGAGTGACGAGTGACCGTGTCTCGCAGTCGAGTCGACAAGCCTCATCGAGCAACGTGGAAAACGAAAAAAAAAAAAAAAAAATCAAAAAAAAAATCAAAAAAAAAAATCCTCCATCGTTTTCTCGTTACTGACCCAAACCAGACGAGACCGCCGAGTGCCGGTCGTGAGAGGAACATGCTGTGAGGAAAATTGGAAGACTGGCAAAAATGAATGCTGGGACGAATCAGTTGGAACATTGATGCGCATCAAAAGTAAAATGCAACAAAGTGCTCAATCGCAAAAGCCGCGGTGCTCTTGTTTTCACTGCGATCGCATGCATGCACCCAAACTACAATTGCTCAAGAACAATCGCTTGTGTTATTATTGATGTGGTGATTCATGGTGCATTCACCAGAAAGCGGGGCAAAAAAAAGAAAAAAAAAAAGCTCCAGAACAAAAAATGAGCATCCAGAGTTTCGATCTCCGTACCTTGTCGGTGTTAACGACATGCTCTACCAAATGAGCTAGACGCCCTAGTTAGGGAAACGAGTGAGCATCCAGAGTTTCGATCTCCGTACCTTGTCGGTGTTAACGACATGCTCTACCAAATGAGCTAGACGCCCGTTTCGCTGAAGGCATGGGTGGGCAGTTCGCTACAGGAATTCGAAATCGCCCACTGCAACTAGCTCATGCAACTATTGGTAAATATGTGCCATAAAGCGAGATCCTGAAGGAGGGGTGAAAGGGAGTCAAGCTGAGTCGAGTCTGTCGAGCCGGCAAACGTGGCTGGTGGTTGATGTCATTGTTTGTTCTTCTTTTTCCTGCTTTTTCATTTCCTGATGTCGAGTCCGGCAGGTCTTTTCCGTCCGGCGGGTCCGGTGGCCTGTCAGGACCCGAGTTTGCGTCCGTCCAGCCGGCGAGGTTAGCCGGTGGTAGTTCATGAGGATTTAGCATATTCTGGTGTATTCGGATGCTTTTGGATAGTTGTCATTGCGCATTTTGTATCAATCAATCGACGTTACCTAGCCAGTAGCTCTAAGCCCCAACCTGTGGGAATCGGAGTCTCACATCTGGTGGTGGAGCGTCAGAGTGATCGGCGTGTTCCGAAACATGCTGTTGGTTTAGAATGGTTTACGCGAAACCAAGCGTCTGAAGAACGCAACAAGTTTGACCTGCGAATCATTTTTCCTATACACGCGTGCTTGAGCCTCAACAACAACCGTACTACACTACAAAATACCGGCATTTACATGCAAGTGAATGCAACGAGTCCAAAGCTGATCCAAACACCCTCATTCAGACCTATCAACGAACTGGACTCCATTTCCGAAGACAAACTCCATTTTGCAGTTGTTGAGGATTTCCCTTCTCCGCCAAAAAAGCTAAAAACAATAATAAATTATATTTACATGACTATCAGGTACAAATCGAAGGTGACTGACGTCCTGTATCGAGCGAGAACGCCTGCTCCGTTTGCTCAGCTGTTCTGCCGTTGTCGCACTCTCAACCAACAGTAAGCTGCCAACGATTCTGGTTCCAAACCCCGCTTCTCATTGTCTCGATGATAAAACACAACAAAACCGCATACGTATCATTCTTCAACGCTCAGACAAAGCCAGTCGTCCTTTGAATCTCGATGAAGCAGCGGTTCTCGTCTTTGGACATTATCGCGTCCATTGCGCTTCTGCGCAGTCGGTGAGTTTTGCCATCTTCGTGCCGCCTCTTCCAACCTCCCAACAGCAAGACAACCCCCAAACCAGATTCAGATGCACATGCAAATCATCATCCTCGTGTCTGTGCAAGCGCCAAAATGGAACGAGCCGCTTTGTTCAACAAGCCGCTTTCTGTTTCGTCATTCTTCCCCAAAGCCGCCTCGAGCTCTTCCCCCCCCCGCCCCTTCCACTCTGCACTGTCGCGATCGCGACTGCAGCACAACACGACAACGCCAAGCCAAGACAACACAGTCGCATGCGATGAGCGTGATGGCTGGTCTCTTGGACCAAATTCTCAGTCCAACCAGCCATGCTTGCTGCTTATGTAACACACACAACGCTCACCCCATCGAGTCCATTGTGCTGAAACACCTTGTTTGCACAGACTGATTGGTCTGCGTGTCACGAATGTCTATGACATTAACTTCAAGACCTACCTCTTCAAGCTCGCCAAGCCAGGGTTCAAAGCCATTCTGCTCGTCGAGTCTGGCATTCGTTTCCACACAACCGAGTTCGATTGGCCCAAAAACAACTCGCCATCGAACTTTGCCATGAAGGTGGGTTTATCATGGGCATCATGATTGCAATGCAAAGATCTGGCGATTGGCTGCATCTGTGAGGGCTCATGCGCATTCCGTTGTTTTCCGTTCGTTCATAGCTTCGCAAGCACCTCCGCACGCGTCGATTGAATAGCATTCGTCAAGTTGGAGCCGATCGTGTCATTGACCTTGAATTCGGATCTGGCGTCGCGGCGTACCATGTCATTGTGGAACTTTACGATCGTGTAAGTTGAACAGCATTTTGTCGTTCTGCACATCTGGTTCACCACTACTGTTATTACAGCGGTGAATCTCATATACAGTCATTCTCTTATTGCTGATCGTCACTCACCTTTCCCCGCCCCCCCGTCTATCGCTCACCTTGAACTCAATATTCCGCGCTCAGGGAAACATTATTCTGACCGACTTTGAGTACAACATCCTGTCGCTCCTGCGTGTGCGCACTGTCGAAGGCGACGAAGACGTGCGCTTTGCTGTTGGTGAAAAGTTTCCCGAGGCTGCAGTTCGTGAAGACGTCATCCCGTCCAAAGCCACGCTGCTCGCAGCGCTGCTTGCCTGCAGTCCGGCAGACCAGCTGAAAAAGTTCCTGAACAGCCAGCTTGGTAAGCTGCGAGTTTACAATAAAAAAAATACGAGTGCTGTTTGATCCATGGATGGTGCGTTGCTCTGACTTTGCTTTTGTGACGATGGTCAGCTTTCGGACCGGCGGTCGTTGAGCACTGCATTCTCAAAGCTGGACTCAAGCCTGATGGCTCTGTGAGCTCTCAGCTGCCATGCACTGCAGGTAAGCGTCGAATGATTGGTCACAGAGGCATTTGTTGAAACGCGAGTGAAACTCAAAGAATTTCTTTGGCACGGTTTTGCACGTTCGGTTTGTGCAGAGCACTCCGAGCCCATCGACAAGCTGTACGCGGAAATTCTGAACACACAACAGTTGTTGATCGATGTCGGAGCCAGTAGTGAAGTACCTGTAAGCCACCACGATTGTTGCAGCATCTTTTGTCTATTTGGGAATCTTCCTTTCTCATGGCTTTCGGCTTGCGATCTCCCAGGGCTACATTATCCAGCGAAAAGAATCTCGCGCTACTGCTGCCAACAAAAACAAGGGCGTTGGTGATGAGCAAGCGGCTGTGGCTGCTGCTCTGGCCTCTGCTTCCGGCGACGCTTCCGACATTTTTGTGTATGCACTCGTCGTCTCTCGTTTTGTCAAAATGTCGCATCTGTTCAAGTGTCTGCGCGTGTGAATCTCTTTACTCAAATACTCTTCTTTGACAGCTTTGACGAATACCACCCTTTCCTGTTCGAGCAGCACAAGGCGCGACCCGTGGTGCACTTTCCCACATTTGATCGCGCTGTGGACGAGTTCTACTCGCGCATCGAAGGCCAGCGTCTTGACATGAAGCATATCGGCGACGAGCGCAATGTTCTGAAAAAGCTCGAAAAGTTCAAGCTCGAGCAGGAGCGAAAACTCGTTGGTCTGCGAACCACTCAAGAAGAAGAGGCTCTTCGTGGCCAGCTAATTCTCGACAACCAAACCAAAGTACGTACTTCGAGAGGAGGCATCACAAGCTATCCGTTTTAATCCTCCGTGCAACCCCCCCAAAATCCCAACAAAACACTAACTTTGATCATTTCAGGTCGAACAGGCGCTCCTCGTCATTCGCAGCGCTCTCGCTCACGCTGTCGATTGGTCTGAGATCAGCGACATGGTGGAAGCTGCAAAGGAGCAAAAAGATCCAGTCGCCAGCATCATTCACAAGCTCAAGCTTGACAGTAACATCATTACTCTGATGCTCACGTAAGCGCAGCGTGGCACTGAGCTCTCGAATATTGCTTTCCCCCCGGTTTTGGTTCTCACCCCGTTTTGGAATTTGTAGAAGCCCGGACGCTGTAGAAGAAGAAGAAGACGACAACTCCGAGGACGAAGGCGCTGATCAAGCCGTTTCCTCGAAAGGCAAGGGCTCTGCGAAGGGCGGAAAGAAGGGCCATCATCAGCAGACACGCATGAAGGTTGACATCGACATCACAGCAAGCGTACACGCCAACGCAGAGTCTTACTTTTCACGCAAGAAGCAGGCCGCCGCCAAGGAGCAGCGCACGATCGATGCGTCGTCCAAGGCGCTCAAGTCTGCAGAACGCCAAACCAAGCAGCAACTCAAGCAGGTCGCCGTCAAGGCCACTGTCAACAAAGTTCGCAAGGTCTTGTGGTTTGAAAAGTTCCTGTGGTTTATCACCTCGGAGAACTACCTCGTGATTGGCGGTCGCGACATGCAGCAGAACGAGCTCCTGGTCAAGCGCCACCTGCGCAACGGAGACGCCTACGTGCACGCAGATCTCCATGGTGCCAGCAGTGTGATTGTCAAAAACCCAACCCCAGATCAGCCCGTCCCAATCCGCTCCCTGTGCGAAGCTGGCACGTTTGCCGTGTGCTACAGCTCGGCGTGGGACGCCAAGGTGATTACTAGCGCTTGGTGGGTTGCCGCCAACCAAGTCTCCAAGACTGCTCCCACCGGCGAGTATCTCACCACGGGCAGCTTTATGATCCGCGGCCGCAAGAACTTTTTGCCCCCTTCGCCGCTCATCCTTGGCTTTGGCTTCTTGTATCGACTGGACGAATCCTGCATTGCAAAGCACCTGCAAGAGCGCAAGGTCGTGTCGGAGGGCGAGGCGAGCGCCAGCGCTCCGTCACTGCAATCCGCCGAAGAGGCCGCCAACGAGCCAGAGCTGGACATGGATGTCAGCGACCACGACGACGAGGGCGACGAGGATGAAGACCCTGCTGCAAGCGATCAAAAGAACGCGACGTCCACAGCGACCCTCACGACCAGCAGCGATGGCGCGGACGAGGAGAACGAGGACGACGATGATGGCGAGGATGATCAGGCGGCCAACGATGTCGAGTTCCCAGACACCCAGATTGACGTCAAGATTGGCACGCCATCCATCCCATCCACGCCTTCGTCCATCTTGCTCGAGTCGACGGGTCCTCGATTTGGCCCTGGGCCTGTGATGGTCGGCAACAAGGACGTGAGCAAGTATCTCCTTTCGCGACCGGGCGACTTTGATGAGAACGATGCCGATGTTGGATCGACTTCGGGAGGTGGCATCAGTGGTCCCAGCGCGGATGATCGGGTAAGGTTTGATGTGTTGTCTTGGGGCTTGGGTTTGTGAATTTTTGCAAGGTTGCCAAGTTTTTCATCATCTTGGCCCCCTTTCCCCCCACCTCGACAGCCTGTGCAAAAGCGCCACTACTTGACTGCAAAGCAGCGACGGGACATGAAGAAGACTGGAGGCAAGCCGATTTCTGCCTCCGAGTCGGCCAGCCAAGCAGCAGCAGAAGCAGCAGCAGCAGCAGCTCCTGAAGTGCAAGCAGCGAGCAAGGCTGAGTCTCGCCCCACGGAAAAGCCCGCTACTGCCGCAACGACATCTACAGCTGCTGCCGCCAAACCTCTGCCGCGCGGCAAAAAGGCCAAACTGAAAAAGATCAAGGACAAGTACGGCGAACAAGACGAGGAGGAGCGCCAGCTGCGCATGGAGATTCTTGGGGTATGTGCTTTGACGAGAGCGAAGGGTACCGTTTTGCCGGGCTGTGATGCTTTGGGCATTTTTGTTCTGACTTGGGCAACTGCTCGTTTCCTTGGTCTATAGTCCGCTGGTCGAGCCGAGACGCAGGATTCCAAGAGCAAGGCGGATGCCGGCAAGAAGGCCAGCAGCTCTCACTCCTCACCGTCAACGGCTGGAAGCGCAAAGAAACCAGCAGCCCGTCAAGCCACGGCGAAGGTACAAAGAGGAAACAACAGGCATGGGGAGAGTGTTTTTGATGCACAAGGACTCACATCAACCTTTTTTTTTTTGGGTGCTTATGCACAGCCTGAATCTGCTGCTCCCGCAGTCGAGACATCTACGGCATCGGCAGGAGCTGAAGACGCGACCGCTGCGGCCGAGGAGATGGACGAGACTGAGCGTCAGGAGATTCGCCAACTGTTGGCAGAAGAGAACGTGACACTGCTTGATGAGGACGCCAAGGTAGGGCTGTTCTTTTGTTGATTGCCTCGTAAAGAAGTCCCCCCTCTTTTTCTCCTGACTCTGATGTTTGCTCTCAAAACGAATGCCCACTGAAAACAGGACAACCTGACGCTGCTCGATTCGCTCACTGGCCGTCCGTATCCCGATGACGTGATTCTTTTCGCCATCCCTGTCGTGGCGCCGTTTTCGGCATTGACCACCTATCGTCACAAGCTGAAGCTGACGCCCGGCGGTTCTGCACGCAAGGGCAAAGGTGCGCTGCCTTTTTGGATTTCGTTTATTGTCTCACTAGTGTCGTTGATTGCTGACTGGGTTTTGTGTTTGAGCAGCTGTTCGCGCGGCACTCGAGGCCTTCTTCCGCTTGCCCGACTGCACTTCCCGCGAGAAAGACTTGCTGCGAGCCTGCAAAGACACCGAGCTGATGCAAAACTTGCCCAAGAGCGCCAAGTTTGGTGCCGCGATTCTCAAAAAGTAGACCAGCGTGTTTTTTTTTATCCATATAAAGGGCATTGCGATCAAACCAACAACAAGAGAGCAAACCAACAACTAGGAAAAATGTATAATGGCTAACAACAAGGGCAAGAATTCATGCAAAACAAAAACAAATGCGGCAACTTCACATGACGAGCGTTGCAGGGTTTAGATTCCACAGAATCCAAACACACACAAAAGACACATCAGTATATACAGACATACATCCGTGCCAATCAACCGGCTCTACCGGTTCCAGGTCAAGATGGAAAAACAGTGGCTCCTTCAGCAAAAAACAAACGAGTAGTTCAGTTGAAGAGATACTCAGTAGTAGTAGCGCCCGCCGTAGCGCCCGCCGTAGCCGTAGTGATGGTGGTGGTGGCGACCCGATCCCAGGAACACGACGTTGGTCGTGCTGTACGGATCGTAGTACGGATCGACATACGTCACAGTTGGCGTCGTCACGTACGTGGTGGTTGTGGTCGGCGGCGCAATGTACGTCGTTGTGGTGGGCGTAATGTATGTGGTCGTGGTGGTCGGCGGTTGTTGGTAGTACACTGGCTGCGCGGGAATGACTGGAGGGGGCGGCGCAGCGTAGCCGGCGTTCGGGTAGTAGTAGGTGGTGGTGGTGGTTGTGCCGGGAGCAGCATACTGCTGGGGAGCAGCATACTGTTGAGGGGCGAGCCTGCCGTTCAGCGTAAAGATGAGGTTCAGGCGAACCGTGCCGGCCGTCTTGCCGTTGTGACGGAACAGGCCGAACGAGCGGTCGACGGCGCCCGTGCGGAAGACCTCGTCCAGCGAAATGTCGGTACCGCCCACAACGTCGTCGGCGGTCACTGTATCTTGGTCAAAAACCTCAACGCGCAGGACTGTGACGTTTTCCTCGATCGAGCTGACATAGTTTCAAGCAACAAAGGAGCAGAGATGAGTGCCGAGCAAGCCAAAGACAAAGAGGAAGCAAAAGAACTTACAGCTGCAGGGTTTGGTTCCAGATGGGATTTCGACCGCCATTGAAGTGTGTGGCAGTGCGGAGGCGTTGTCGACCGCATGACAAGACGCAGTAAGGGTCTGTTGAGCAAGCATCAGCATCAGCAGCAGCAGCAGCAGCAGCAGTGGCAGGAGTAGAGTGAGAGGACAAAGCCCGACAAAAAAAAAAAAGAAAAAAAAAACAAGGTTTAAAAATCAGACAAAAAAACTTACCCATCTTGGTGAAGATGTCCATGTCTTTGAGATTGGAGCCAGTGCCCACTGCAAGCAAAAACGAGCAAGCAAAACAAATGAAATATGAGAAACAAAGTGACAGCCGACAAAACGACAAAACGACAGAGGGAAAGACGAAGAACGACCGAAGGCGAAACAAGAAATAAAAAAAAGGACAAGTTTTATTGTTGGATTGCTTTTTGACTTTGCTCTTCCTTCGCCTTGACGACCCACTGCTGCCCGCTTGCTGAACACTGTGACTGTGCATCTCAACACGCACACACACATACACACACAGACGAAGGGGGGAGAGAGAGAGAGAGTCGCTGAGGGCAAAGTGGACGAGAATAGCCGCTGCTCGATGCCGTCATGTCTGCGTCATCATCGCACCCAAGCAAACCCCCCTCGTTCACGCTTTCTCCCACTCTTTCACGTCACACGCCCCGGGCAGTTCGACTTGCACAGGCAAACACAAAACACAGACAAGAACAAGGAGCAGCGGGCAGACCACCAGCCCCAACCGAGAGAGAATCGAATCCAAAGCGCCAAAGTGACGTACCAAACACGTCAAGAACTCCGCGCACCATGATGCTTGAAAAAAAAAAAAAAAAATAAACTCAGAAATTGATAATAAAAATGAAGAGTGAACACCAATTGAAAACGGAAAAACGGAAAAATCAAAACGAGGTGTTGGTATTGGTACAGCTCTGGGCTTGGACAAGAGCAACAAAAATAAAAATCACTTCTTTGAACATGAAACAATCGCGTTAACAAATCATAAATAAAAAAAAAAAAAAAAAGAAAGAAAGGGGCCTTAACTTAACAAGAAAGAGAGAAAAACAAACTTCACTTTTTGGTGCGCGACGACGATTGGGACGTCGGAGCAGGGGTGGGAGGGACAGTGCGCGACTGGGCAGCTTGCTGTTGCAGCGTGCTCAAGTCGCCGGAGAAACAGCCCTTCAGCAGGGGCATGAGGACCTTGCGCGAGGCGCGAAGGTTGCTCTGGGTGAAGGTGACAATGCGCGCCTCGCCGCTCAGACCGGGGACGTTCACCTTGGTCAGCTCAAAGTCGACAATGCCGTTGCGGAAGAGGTGCGAAACGACGCGCTTGAGGGACTTTTTGTCGGCAGTGTAGATGGTGAGCTGCCTCGAAAAGTCGGGCGCAAAGAACGAGTTCATGACGGCCAGCACCTTGAGGTTGCGGAGAGTGGCAAAGCGCACAATGGCACGGGCGTAGGAGCGGTCGCGCTGCATCAGCTCGCGAACAGACATGGAGATGGAGCTGATGCCGATCGCCGTGTTGGTTGAGCGGTCCTCCTTGTAGTCACGGCGGAGCAGTTCATCGCTGGTGAGGGCGGCGTGGTTGAACTTTTCGCGACGCAAGTCGGCAAACAGCTGGCCGCGGGCCACAAACGAGCTGGCGGAGCCGATCAGCGCATGCGCGGCGTCCAAATCTCGCTGCGTGGTCTTGCCCTTGACCGTGTCCAGGTTGACCGTGTCGACCAGGATTGTGCCAAGCAGGAGCGCGGCAACGTGGGCGTCCAGCACGGTGGCCTTGAGTTCGGGCGAGGCAAGGATGCGCTCAGTCATCAGCGTGGAGCACGAGCCGACCAAGTCCACCTGCCGATCGGCAATGCCAGCATGGTGGCCGTCGTCCGAGTGGTGGTCGAGAATGCGGACCACGGACGAGCCAAAGCTGGCTTGCTCGGGCGCCAGCATGTTGTGGTCGACCAGAGTCACTTGCAGGAGGCCGCGAGCGTTGATGACATTGGCGTCAAAGTCGTCGACAAAGACGAGCATCTCGGGTGTCAGGCCAATCTTGGCAAACATGTACGCCACCTCTGTGCGCAAGCGATAGTCTTGGCGGGGAATGTTCATCATGGGGACAATCAGCGTGTTGTTTTGGATGATGGGGAGGCTGCTGTTGTCGGCGTGGTGGTGTGCTGCGCTCGTGAAGGCGTGAATGATGGAGGTGGCCATGGAGTCGAGATCCGAGGCCTGGTTGCCCATCACAACATGCAGCTTTTGCCGGGCAGACAGAGTGGTTGCCTTGAGCGGATGGAACATGTCGTACAGCGCCTTGCGCGAGCGTTGCAGGTAGGCCTTGAGGCGCTCGATGGCGGGCTTTGACGGCACCGCGAAAGTGGATGGCTCGGCGGTGGTGGTCTCCGGGGCGGTGCTCTGCGCTGTTGGGGTGGGCAGCTGAGAGAGGGACACGATTTCCAGTGTCGTCGGCACCAGCTGCTCGACCTGGTTGTGGGTTGCAGCAGCAAACGCCGCATCGACTTGTCGCCGAGTGAAGGCCGGCGAATGTTGTGGCTGGATGTGCACGGCGTGTCCAAAGTGTGGGCGCGCGCTTGGTGCTGAAATCACGACAACGACTGCAGCAAACAGCACGAAAAAGACGAGGGCTTGGCCGCCAGCACGTAGACAGCTTCGCACAAATGCTGGTTCCTTGCCCAGCTTGGATCGTGACACGGGTGCAGCGTGGCAGTCTTCTTGAGCGTCAAAGCCCACGGTTGCGTCTGGCGCAGGGCCGTCCACAACTGAGGTTGTCATCTTTCCACGACTGCTCGAAAAAATAAACAATGGAGCAGTGTTGTTGTGCGAGTGGTGGAGACTGACGCGATTCTTTGCACAGTTGCCGTGCAGCCTGTGTGTTCACAAATCGGCAAACTCGGAAATTGACAGCTTGCCCGAACTGGTTTGAGACAGTACTTTCGCCAATCCAATCAAAACAGAATCGGATGGAAGACGAGTCTGGACGGGTGCGTAGGTTTCAAAAAAAAAAAAAGCGGAGTGACCGTGTTTTTCTCAGACTTTGCACACTTTTTTGTGAAAAGCACGGCGATCAGCTTTTTTGTTTGGCTGTTTTTTTGTTTTTTTTTTCGTCTGTGAGGCAAATTTAGTGAACATCCAACAGAGCCAGAATGGTGAGCACTACAATGAAGGTGACAAATCCAAATACATTGAAGGTGACACTCATGGAGTGAGTGTGCATTGGGATTGGACATCGGCACTTGGACCAATCACTGCGTGCGGTTTTAGCACGATGCGCCTTTTTTTGCGCCTTTTTTTTTTTTTTTTTTTTTTGGCTGCTGCTGTTGTTGTTGTTGTTGTGATTGCAGACATGGCTTTGAATGGCTGAAAGAGGAAGGTGGAGAAACAGAGGATGAAGCAGGGGGGGGGGGAAGGGGACAAAGTGAGACGGGAAGAAAGAAAGACGGTCGATTGGAAGCATGAGGTAGGAAGAAGAACCAAAAAAAAAAGAAAAGAAAAAAAAAACCGATCGGATCGAAGAAGTCCGACTTGTTTCCCCCTCCCTTGCTGCCTGGAGATGCACAGTGGCACAAGGCGCATATCGATGCTGCTGGTGGTGGAAGAGCACGGGAGACGCGTGGTGGTGGGGGGGGGACTGGTGGAGAGATTCGGAGACAGGAAGGCAAATTGAACAGCTCGCACGAGCCGCGGTTTAATGCAAAACTCACTCAAACGTCAACTGCAAAATACAAAACAGAAGAGTGAGTTGGCTTGAAACTAGGAAAAATGAAGAAAGCAGAGCAACAGCTTTAGAACCAACACCAGAGAGGAAGAAGAGAGAGCAAATGGAAGAGGGACAGTAGCAGCAAATGTCGTGATCAAAATTTTGCTCAATTCTTGAGTCCGATTTTTAATGGATTTAGTAGTTGATCAGGATCGCAACTTGCCCTTGCCCTCTTCTTGCCCTCATTCAAAACGAAACCACGATGGATGGGAGGAAAAAACAAACTAGCGATTGAAAAACAACACACGGCATGCAGCAGCAGTCGAGAACAAAACCACAGCATGCACGCAGCAGCACAAATAGCCGCCTACAAGCGAAGGCACACACTGTACTGGAACTTGCTTTACTGAGCGGCAAGCTTCTTCTTGAGGGACTCGGGCATTTGCGGCGGAGGGGGGCGGGGGAGGCCAGCGGCGACCTTGAAACCGTCGTAGATGAACCACTGAAGACCAGTGAGGGTGCCGACCATGATGATACGGGCGACAAGACCCTTCCAGAGACCAGCCCAGCCGAGCTGCTTGGCAACCTGGAGAGCGGTGGAGCCCTTGCTGGCGTTGAGCTTGGAGACGACGGAATCAGCGGGGTGGGAGACGACGGCGCAGAAGACACCGGCAATGTAACCAGCAGAGAAGGTGACGGCGAGCTGCTCGGACTTGGTGCAGTCAGCGCGGGGCTTGGGGACGACATACTGGTAGAGGAGCTCAACGGTGCGCTCGAAAGCGGCAAACTTCATCATGGTGTAGGGGATCTGACGGCCCCAGAGAGGGGTGATGCCCTTGTACGCGCCAGAGATGCCCTCCTCGCGGATGAGCTTGGGAAGACCCTCACGGAGGTTGTTGGCCCAGCCGGGCTGGGTCTGGATGCGGACCTTGGTGGCTTCGAAGGGGCAGAGGGCGAGATCGGCAAAGAATTCAGCGGAAGCGGAGGAAGCAAGGTAGAGGGAGGTGCGGTACAGGTAGGCGTTCTCTTCGCCGAGGGCGTTGCCGTAAATGTTCTTGAAAAGCTCATAGAAGCCAAACTTGCCAACACCCTGGAGCGAGTAGCCAATGAAGGTGGGTGCCCAGCCCTTAGCGAGGCCGCGGAGACCCTCCTCCTTGATGGTGAGGCTGAAGCCAGAGCCGATCGACTTGTACTTGACGGGGTCGACCTGCATGCGGCACTTGACGAGATCGAGGGGGACGACAAAGGTGTGGGTCAGACCGCAGCTAAGCATGCCACCGACGGCGCAGAGCTGGTAGTACTTGGCCGAGCCAAACTCGCACGAGTAGCCAGACTCGGCGGCGGCGGGGGCCATAGTGAACTTGCGGGCAGAGGGAAGACCAAAGAGGGAAGCAGACATGGTTTTCTTTTCTGTCGTAGAAACAAACCAAACAAAACAAAAAGCAAGGACGAGGAAAGTGAGCTGCATGCAGGTTTTTCAGCAAAAGCATGATTGACGAGTGTTGTTTGGCGTCACTTGCTTGAGTTTGAACTTTTTGTTTAAAAGAAATAAAATGACGAGTGAGTTTGATGACAAGAGCAAAAGAAGCGGAAAAAACAACAAGCAGAAGGAAAAAAAAAAAAAAAAGGGAAAAAGACCAAAATTGTGGCCATTATTCAATAAAACCGAAAAAAAAAAATAAAAAAAATCAAAAAAGAAAAATCAAAAGAGTGCTTTCTGAGGCGGGTTGACAAGAATACTCTCCCCATGAAGCACAAAAAGGCAAAAGAGCGGACTGCGTCATTGTCCTTCCACACCGTAGTGCGTCTGCCATTCACTTGCCGCCGCGATTGAACAGCGAGAAGAGTTTGCCGCACGTGAAAATAAAAAATAAAAGGTTTTTTCCCGCTTTTTCACCTCGATGATCGCTGCTTGTCGTTGGGAGGCGCAGGGACTCGTGCACCCCACACTACACCCTGCACGCGCCCTCCCATTGATGCAACAGCGCTGGAGTCCACGCAAAGCACACCGAACAAAAGGACCAGCGAAGCCAGCCGAAACGAAAGCAACTGACGATCGGCACGATCTCGCTTTTTTTTTTTCCCCTGTTTTGAACGTCTTGGCTTTGGGGTTTTTCGGTTTTCAGCTTCTGCTTCTTGCTCGACTGTCGCGGCCGCTGCGATGACTGCGAGCACCCTGCACTACCAACGCATGCCAAAGTGTCCGCTTCAGACTGCGATACGGCGGCAACTTCCCCGAACAAGCAGCAGCCGAAACCAAAAAAAAAAAAAAAAAAAAAAAAAAAAAAAAAAGGAAAAAAAAAGTCGGTTAAAACCATCCACGTGCGAGATTGAAGCCGATGGTTGCGCACAACGACAGCACAACCACCGCCAAACTGCTGCTGTTCGAATGGGAGCTGATTAGGGCTGGAAGACGAAGGGCGTCGGGGGGCGGAGGGGGAGGGAAAGGAAGGGGAACAGGAGAAGGAAGCGTATTGGACTGAGAGAATTGCAATAGAAACTACACACACAAGAAGGAAGAATGATCTCGTTTCGAATCAATTCGAAGCCGATTGCATTGGGTCGCGGCGCAAATTCATCATTAGCAAGGACGACGCTTCGACACTTTCAACAACAACATAATTCAGCATAAGGCAGAAAGGCGGATTTGTCAATAGGACAGTCTTGACAATTGCGTTATCAAAATCAGGGTGTGCCATGAGCAGCAGCAGTCAAGCAACGAGTCCATCGCCGCTGGCCAACACAGTGCCACGCATCGATCTTTGTAAGAACAAGTGGCAGAGCTAGAGCAGATAGGATGGCCGATGATTGGATCGAGGTTGGGTTGAGGTTGGGATTTTGGGACACAACTGACATACACGCGTTTTTGGTTGTTATCGCGCTCAGCCAAGCCGAGATACTCGCAGGATACGTACTGGGGTCGCGTGCGGCACTTTGTTGAGCTGACCGACCCGCGAACGCTGCTGGCGTCGACGGCTGAGCTGCAGAGCGCGGCCGAGCTCGTGCGCACGTACCGTGAAGGAAAGCCGGTTGCCGCTACCACCACTGTGGACGATCTGTGGCGCGCCAAGCAATGTAAAACGACCCCGCTGCATTGCTTGTGAAGAGCAGCAAGATGGCTGTGTGTATTGCTCGAGTACACCGCAACCGACGGCTGATGCTTTGTCTCGCTTTAACTTTGGCAGTGGTGGACGCAAGCATTCACCCAGACACTCAGAAACCAATTCTGCTGCCATTCCGCATGGCCAGCTTTGTCCCAACCAATCTGATTGTGACTACTGGTCTTCTGATTCCGAATGCCACTGTATGAGCTGTTCGTTAGTGACATTCCGACGCGTACAATCTTTTTGTGTGAGTTTGTGTTTCTCACCGTTCGGACAATACATGTATTGTCTGTTCATGCCATTTCACCAGGTTGCACAAACCATCTTTTGGCAATGGACCAACCAGAGCATCAACGTTGCTTTCAACTATTGCAACGCAAACAAGACCACCCCGATGACCAACGCTGAAATGGGAGGTATGCATGCATTCGTGGCTTTGGCGTGGCTTTGCACTTGCTGACTCGCTCTATGATTTTGCATGTGACTTATTCAGGGGCCTATGCCGCTGCCACCGCGACTTCGTGTGCCGTCGCTCTGTCACTCAAAAAAGTTGTGCAGAATTCGGCCAAATTCTCCCCGGTTGTCGCTTCGACCATTCGACTCTTCATTCCATACACTGCAGTCGCGCTGGCAGGTGCCGTCAACGTGTTTTTGATGCGTTCCAAGGAGCTACGGTAATAGTCAGGCTGCTTTGATCGGGTGCTTTCGCTGTTTGAAAACAATGCGTCCGAGTTCTGTCCTCAATATTCGCTTCGCCACCTCCTTGAGTGCTTTTAGGTCTGGAATCACAGTGTTTGACGAAAGTGGCAACGAACATGGAACCTCGCCTGCAGCTGGGTTCCGAGCCGTGTCTCAAGTCGCCGTCTCGCGCATGGCCACCGCTCTGCCTTCGTTGACTCTTCCTCCGCTGTTGTTGGCGCTCATCAACCGCTATTCGAACAACCTTCTCGAGCGCAGGCCCCGCTTGGTGCTACCCGTCAATCTCGGTAAAAATGCACGAGGGTTGTCGAGTTTGTTTGGATGCCTTTTCAGCTTCTTGCTAACTCGTCGCGACAATGCCGCTTGTTTCACATTTTCTGCAGCGCTCATTTCGTGTGTTGGACTGACAACACTTCCTTTTGCCATCGCGCTCTTCCCGCAACGTGCTTCCGTCGATGCCGCGCAGTTGGAGCCAGAATTCCGCAACAAAATCAACCCAACCACTGGCCAACCGGTGCACCAGTTTATCTACAATCGCGGGTTGTAGTTTGCTTGTGTTCCTGGGTGAACCAGGCTTTCTTCCGCTCTTCCTTGATATCCTGAAGAGCGTTGACGGATGTCTGTTTTACCGACGTTGCCATCGTTCATTCATTCATGTTTGCCATAAAAAGGTCAACGCTGCAATATTTCTCTTGCAACAACTGTATTCCGTCAGGTGGGGGAAGAAGGGTGAAGCACCGAAGAGAAGGCCAAAAAGGAAAAAAAAAAAGTGGCAAAACAAAAAAAAAACGAAGAGTTACAACAAGCAGTATTCCCGCGTGGTCTCCCACCGCAGTACTAACTACTCTCATGGTGGTTTAACTTCGCAGAGCGGAACGGGATGCGGTGCATTCCACCAGATATGGCCGTAACTGAAGTATGCAAGAGGGCAATCTCACCTGTAAATCGAGACAAGCAGGAGCATTCAATCACCAATTTGGATTTTGTTCGTACTGTCCCCGGCACTCCCCCCTTTGTGTTTGTTCGCTTCTCCGCGTCCAAGACATTTTCCGGCTGTGCCTTCCGATTCTTTCTATCCAAACGTGGACTGCACACACAACAGCCGTCCCCTCTTCGAGGGTCCAGCCGATTGTGTGTCCGGATAGTCCACTGACTTGGCACCCCCCATCAAAAAGGATTGTTGGATTTGTTTGAAGCTTGTGTGCTCAGTCAAGCAGTGCAAGTCGGGCTAGAGTACGAGGAGAGGGGGAGGGTGTGTGGATGGAGTTAGATGAATCGGAACAAAAATGGAGTGGCTGTGACGAAAAAGCAAACAAACAAACAAAAAAAAAAAAAAAAAATCACAAAAGCATCACAAAAGCATCATAAACGCAGACATACGAAAAGCTTTGTCAAGAAGAGAATTCATTTGATGAAAACCGAGACAAGCGCGGGACAGAGTCATATTTCATCAAATCAACCAAGAGCGAGACACGCGATTTCACAGTTGCTCTACGTGGTCGGCCGAGAGAATGCCAGTCACGTTTGCGTAGTTCGTGTGCGACTTGTCAACAGTAGTTCTGAAGAAGCTGGACGTCAAAGGGTCGGTCTCAGCATACGTACCCTCCAAGGGTTGGGCGCTCTGAGGCTGGGCGCTGGACTTTACGTCGTCGTAGGATAGCGGGGCTCGAGTTGAAATTTCTTCGTAAGTACGGTGCGGGTCATCGTGGTTGTCGATGCTTGCATACTGCTCAGACGGGCGTTCTTTTTGTGGCGCCAATTCCAAGGGATTCATGTACGTAATCGAGCCTGCCGACGCATACGGAGCTTCTAAACGCTTGGCGCGTCGCTGGCGTCGCGCGACCAGCACCAGCACAACCAGAAGCAACAGCAAGGCTGCACAACCACCTGCAGCGCCCGCAATAATGGCTGTCGAAGAGGAAGAGCTGTCCTGACCAGGCAAAGCGCATGCACCTGCACCTGTCAGCTCGAATCCATCATAGCAAGTGGTGCAAGCGATCGAGTTGCTGCAGTAGAGACAGTTTCCTGGACAACACGAGGTCGACCCGTTCGAAAAACAAGTGTCACAAGCCGGATCGCAAGCTGCAACAACCACGAAGCGACCCAAACAACCCAAATTGAGAACACGAAATCGCAGTCACGCAAACACACACACACACACACACACGCACACACACACACACACACACACACACTCTCTCTCTCTCTCTCTCTCTCTCTCTCTCTCTCTCTCTCTTTCTCTCTCTCTCTCTCTCTCTCTCTCTCTCTCTCTCTCTTTCTCTCTTCTCTTCTCTTCTCTCGTTTGACACTTACGCAAGAACGAGCTGGCAGAGCCATAGGTGCTAGGCGGGGCAAGGGTATTGCCACCAAAAGTAAAGTTGCCGCTTCCGATCGCAAAATTGCTCGCGGGAAGGTTGATAAGCCCTTTGAACAGGCCCGCCGGGAGGGTTGTCATGGGTCCGCCGATGTTTCTGTTGTCAATGCTGGGTGAGCAACGCGACGCACTCAATGTTGCACTCGTTATGCCATTGGTATGTTCCGTACATGTCTGAAAGACTTGTGCATTGACGGAACAATCCTGGAGGAATGCTGGTTATCTTGGCCGATGCCAAGGAGCTGGTGCAAATCGCGCAAGTGAGCGTGACGGAAGGAGTCTGTGCCATCTACCATTCTGCTCGACCTACATTTTGCTCAGTGCAACAAGGCCGTCGAAAGCAAAAGGCTCGATTTCTGTCACTTGTTCACAGCTCAACATTTCGCTGCGCAAAACACCGTTCAGCAATGAGACATGATCACTTCCAACAAAGCTCATGCACAACAGGCAAACATTCGAGTTACATGGTTTCCAACAATGCGCATCCGGTAAGCCTGCCTGCCGGGATGCTTGTGATTGCAGTGAAATCCAAGTCTCTGCAAAATGAACGAGCCCCCAAAAAACAAAAACAAACAAAAAAAAAAAACCCAAAAAAACAAAAACAAAAAAAAAAAAAAAAACAAACAAACAAAAAAAAAACAAAACAAACAAACCAATCAGGTCAACTGTCACATTGCGCTCTTTGACAAAGTAGCGGAGAGTCGGAAACGCCCGCCCTCCGTAATGGACTGCGAAGCTAGCCTTGGGATGGTTGTGTGACGAGTCGCCGGCAGGAGCAGCGAAGACGGAGGAGGAGAACCCGCAAAACAAGAAAAACAAAAACGATTCCAACTGGCTGACTTACAAGTAGGTCGTGGATGTTGGGATGTTGATCGGGAACTCGGCGATGCTCGTGTCACAATTATCAATATGGCTGTAGGAACAATGACAGACGTCACAGACGTCGGACGGTTCGGCGCTGATCAGCTGGGCGGCGAGCGCAATGGCACAGAGGAAACAACCCAGCATGATGGCAGGGTGTGCTTTGGCTCTGTGTGGATTCAAAGGGTCACAAAAGAACTGAGTATGTTGAATTGTAGACACCACAGTGCATGTGCTGTGCCATTTGGACTGCGGCTGCGAGCAAGGGAAGGTGTCGCGAGAGCTCCCCAACAAATCTGGTGTTTGTTGGGCCACAACAAACACGACGTCACCAAACTGCACCCACAAAATAAAAAAAATAATAATAAAAAAATCGAGGACTGAGTGAACCAAACTGCCGCTTCGATTCTACTTAAAGTGCAGCATCGTACTGGACTGTCTGGAACAGCCGTCACACGCGGGTCTCGCCAATTGTGAGCAGTCGAAGTCGCGCTCGAAATTTTCGAACTGATATCAAGTCATTTCGTCGAGCAGTTTCGCTGCAACTGTTATGATCAGAGATCGTGACACGACCTTACCCGGAACTTAACCTAGAATCACTACTGAAGCGTACGAAATGTATGCGGAAGTATCGTTTACTCGAAATATAGTGAAGAATGAGGGGAAGACCTATCAGGGATGAGCCCAGTTCGTCACACGAAGATACGAGTGATGGGTTGATGATGAGAGTAATAACAGGGAAACAAGGGACTTCACTGATACAAAGCGACGAGTGAACACACTCCAAATACAGATACACATCAATCCATAACAGCAACACTCCACCTTTTTTTGTTTGTTCGCGCTTCTCAGCGTCCAAGTCATTTTCTGGGTCCCTCCCTTCGCTTGGTCCTCCATCCTTCGCTTGGTCCTTCATCCTTCGCGCCTCGAATGCGAACAGTGACCTTCCTCACAGCCGCGGTACCGCTGGTCCTCCTCGCCCTCTTCCAGTACGCCACCAAGGACAAATTGGGCGGCGACCACTCTTTTTCCGCAATGCAAAGTTCCGCACTCGCTGGAAGGCACGCCCTCGTCATCGGCGGCACCAACGGCATTGGCCGAGGCCTGGCCGAGTGGCTCGCACGGCAAGGCGCCTCAGTCACCGTTGCCGGCCGCAGCGCCGAGCGCGGGCAGGAAGTCGTCCAGGCAATGCAAACCTCCGCACTTTCCTCCGCACGTCCGTCCGGTTCAGCCAGTGCTGAAGCCTCTGCCTCGTATGCGTTCGCGCCGATCGATGCGCAGTCCATCCGCGACGTTGAGAAATTCTGCGAGGAGTACCGTCGCACGCACAGCCGATTGGACTATCTCGTCCTGACGCCCGGAATTGCTACCATGCAAGGCCGCACGGAAACGAGCGAAGGCATCGACCAGAAGTTGGCCATCCACTACTATGGTCGCATCGCTGCGATTCAAGGACTCTTGCCGCTGCTCGAGGCTACCGCCACGCAATCGCCGGACGCGGACGTGCGCGTCTTGTCCGTTCTCTCTGGCGGCGCTCATCTTGCCTACTCAGACTACGAGAAGGACCCTGAGCTGCGCGAAGGCTACTCGCTGAAGAACGCCGCATTTGCAGCAGGCTTCTACAATGATATTGCCTTGGACTCGCTCTCTCGCGAGCACCCCACCGTCTCGTTTGCGCATGCCGGACCCGGCTTTGTCGCGACTGCGTGGGGCACCGAGCTCAACCCCATTCTTCGCGGCCTTGTGCGAGCCGTTCAGGTGTTTGGGAAGAGTCCCGCAACATGCGCAAGCCGCATTGGGTTGGCGCTCACCGCGCCTCAGTTCAAGGGCGGCTTCCACGTTGTCGACTCCAACGGCCACGCCTCCAAGGTTGTGTCTCAGCACGCCGAGGCTCGCGAGTTTGTCTGGGCCAACACCAACGAAGTGATCCAGCGCGCAGCCTCCAAGCCCCGAGAGTGAACGAAAAAAATGTTTGCTGTTAATAAAAGTGCAATTTTCCAAAGCGGATGCTGTTTTAGCGATTTACGAGCTCAATCGGTGGCTGTACGCCTGATTTCCTAAGAGCCTTTGGCGCATCTTCCAACCCAAGGCAGCAGAGCACAGCGAGTGTGCAGCTGCCGATCCCTTCCTTCTCATTCTCCATGTAAAGTACTTTGCGGCTCTTGTCCCCTACCGTAACCGACGTTGTGCATTTTTCCACCCTTCTCTTTCTTGTCCAAATGTTTACCATTCTGCTCATGTTTGATGTTCGCTGCTATGCTGTTTCTCAGTCGTCCATTTTTTTTTTTTTTTTTTGGAAATCCAAACAACACTCAATGTTGTCAACCGTCGGTCGTGGATTTGTTGCCGTGTCATCATCGGCTGCGCGCCAGGTGAGCAACACACAACACGCACTCCGCCTCTCGCTTTCAGTCACATCGCAGCACAAAATCGCACCACAAAAAGACGTCAAAAGTTGAGCGCGGGGGGGGGCACAGCGTGGAGGCGAGGCGGGGGACGAATCAAAGGAACGGAAAAATCTTGCGATCTCTATGGTTTTTGCCGCTTTGCTGGCTTGGCCAGTGATCCCTGACTGGGACACTACAGTTCGATGAAGATGGGGAGGATCAAGGGGCGTTTTGGCATGCTCCCATCATGCGGCTGAGGGGAGGTGGGGTGGGTGGGACGGAGAGCAGGAACGAGTGAGACGATCTTTCTCCAATTCATTCGACTCTGGCTTTTCGCTTTGATCTCGCTCGTTGGTGGTCTCACGTTTTGCACTTGACCCTCACTTTGTGTACCTCTGTTTGTCCAATCTGTGCAACTCGTTGATTCCCCCCCCCCAAACAAATCGCAGGCGCGCTTGAGCACTTCGGCTGCGGCTGCGTCGGCTGCTGCCGCTCGCCTCGAAGGCGAATTCATCCAGCGCAGCGTCGTCCCGACAATGCACTTCCAGGTAACGAATCGCTGCATGTCATCATCATCATCATCATCTTCATGATTCATGATTATTGATGGCTGATTGTTTAGTCGGATGATTGACATTTGGCTTCAAAAACTCGTGCTCAACATGTGATTTTTGGGGGTCAAAAATGTTTGTTTGTTTGTTTGTTTCGGTTTCGGTTTCGGTTTCGGTTTCATTTCGTGCTTCTTGTTTCGTTTCGCTTTTTTCGGTTTTCGTTTCGTTTTGTTCTTCGTGTTTCGCTTTTGTTTTTTCTTGTTCGCAGCCGTCGCTTCCACGCCTGCCAGTGCCAAAGCTCGAGGACACCTTGACAAAGTACCTTGCTGCCGTGCGCCCGCTCGTGTCGGTGGAAGAGTACGAAACCACCGTCAAGGCGGTCAACAGCTTCCGCAAGAACGAGGCTCCTGGACTGCACGACGCGCTGGTGGCATCGGACAAGGCCAACAAGCACACGTCGTACATTTCGGCGCCGTGGTTTGAAATGTACCTGGAGACGCGCGACCCTGTTGTGGTCAACGTCAACCCGTTCATTGCCTTCCTGGACGATCCCAAGCCCGAAAACCAAAAGCAAGCGTCGCGCGCGACCAACATGATCACGTCGTCCATCCGCTTCCTGAACGCGCTCAAGAAGGGCGTGCTCGCTCCCGACGTGTTCCACCTCAATCCCGAAAAGTCAGACACGGACTCGTTCAAGAACATTGTGCGCTGGATTCCCTCTTCGCTCTCGTGGTACTATGCCTACATGAAGAACGCCTACCCGCTCGACATGAGCCAGTACGCGCGCCTGTTCGCCTCGACGCGCATTCCCCGTGTTGGCCGCGACGAGCTTTTGACGGCCGACGCCAGCACTGTGCGCCACGTTGTCATTCTGCGTCGCGGTCACGTCTGGAAGCTGACTGTTCGCGACGAGCAAGGCAAGACGCTGCCCTCTGCCGCCATCCGTGCCGCGATCGAGAGCATCCAGAACGACACCACCCCGCGCAACGAGCACCCTGTTGCCGCACTCACCTCGGAGGAGCGCGACACTTGGGCCCGCCTCCGCGACAAGGTCCTGGCCATCAGCGACCGCAACCGCGCCTCGCTTGCTGCCATTGACTCTGGTCTCTTTGTGATTGCGCTGGACGACAAGGCCCCCACCGACCCGTGCGAGCTTTCCCGCGCCTTCCTCGTCGGCGACCCGGCCACGCGCTGGTACGACAAGTCGTTCTCGCTGCTCATGGAGGAGGACGGCAAGACTGCCATCAACTTTGAGCACTCGTGGGGCGACGGTGTGGCCGTTCTCCGCTACTTTAACGAGGTCTTTGGCGACACCACCAAGGCGCCCATCATCACCGGCGATGTGCCTGCCGGCGCCGCCGCCTCGCTGGCCCAGCGTCTCGACTTTGATCTGAACGATGAGATCAAGACCGGCATTCGCAACGCCATTGCCAAGTACCAAAAGCTTGACCAGTCGCTGGACATCAAGACGATGGAGTACCACGGCTTTGGCAAGGACGCCATCAAGCGCCACAAGCTCAGCCCCGACGGTGTCGCGCAAATGGCCTTCCAGCTCGCCTACACTCGCATGTACGGCAAGACCGGCACCACCTACGAGTCGTGCTCGACGGCTGCCTTCAAGCACGGCCGCACCGAGTGCATTCGCTCGGCCAGCATGGACTCGGTCGAGTTTGTCAAGAGCTTCCTCGACCCCAAGGCGTCCAACGAGACACGCATTGCCAAGCTGCGCCAGGCCGTCTCGACGCACTCTGAGCTCACCAAGAACGCCGCCATGGGCGTGGGCTGCGACCGTCACCTCTTTGCTCTCAAGTACCTCGCCAACAAGCAAGGCTTGCCCACACCGGCCATTTTCACGGACAAGGCCTACAAGGTCATCAACCACAACGTCCTCTCCACCTCGACCCTCGCCAGCCCGGCACTTCTCGTCGGTGGCTTTGGTCCCGTTGTTGCCGATGGCTTTGGTCTTGGCTACATGGTGGACGACAACCGCATCGGCACCCACGTGACTGCCTTCCACAAGGATACCGACAAGTTCTGCGCATCTCTGAAGCAGAGTGTCGAGGACATTCACAAGGAGCTGGGCAAGTCCCCTGTCCCGACCAAGCAGGCCAAGTAAAGCGAACAACTATGAATGGCTGGTCACTCCCACGAGTTTTCCAGTGGTTTTGCGTTGCAGTGTACATTTGACGTTTTCCCGTTTGGAGCAAAAAAACAAGAAAAAAAGAAAGAAAGAAAAAAAAAGCCCCGCAAGAATCAAACAAATACAAGTTTATTGCACAATATGCAAGAGTGCGTTTTTGGTGTTAACGCGGGGAAGAGGGGAAGGGGACTTTTGGTTAATAACGGCCATGTTGGGGAGCCTATGTTCGGGGCGATGAGTGCAACCGGAAAGCGCAGGTGAGCAACATAGCGTTGAGCCCGGACATCCACCAGTCCAATTCGCTTACCAATGCCATATACGCTGGCTGCTTGAATTGAGGGGGCTCGGGAACGCGCGAACGAGCAAAATGGAACGCGTAGTTGCCAACTATTGTGAAGCCGAAAAAGAATGCGACAAAAAAGGCCTGTCAAACCAAGGGGAGCCGCAGGTCAGCGTGACTCAATTGTGGAAACACGTGCACGCAAAAGTGGCGCACGTACCATGGTTTTGTAGGATATTGGCTCGATAAAGCTGTTAACAATTTCTGCGAAAATCTCGGCGGTAATTTTGGCTCTGGTGCGCACGAGTTGAAAAACAAAAGTGAGGCTACAAACGGTAACAACAAGGAGAATCAAAAGCACCATGATGCCCAAAACGACATACCGCCCCATGGTGGCCGGATCGCGCTGAATGCACTTTTCCCATTCGATGCACGACCGCTCGATGGCAGGTATCCTTGTGTGAGGTGCGCACTTGTTTTCGAGAAAATGCTTCGAGCAGAGCTCAATTTCTTTTGTGATGGCTGTAATCAGCAAGACGACGAGAAAACAAAACAAAACAAAGAGGACCAGCAGGTGAGGAGCAGAAAGAGGTGGCACAAATACGCAAAAAAAAACAACCCCCGCAGTCTCACCTTGAGCGTAGTCGTCCACCTTGATGTCAATATCGTGCTGAATGGTGCTGACTACCTGGTAGGCAAAGTACAGCATGATGATGATGATGGCCGTGTTGAACGCCAGTTGCACATAGCTGTCCAAAAAAATAAAACAAAAAATTGCACAGAACAGAAACTGAGTCGTTTTTCTCTCGAGTGAAGCAGCGACAACAGAAGGGCGCAGAATGCCACTTACCCCATAAGAATGTATGGAAAGTACATGTGCGACGAGTTCCATCGCCGTTGTGTCGGACCACCTGTCATTGTCGAGAGGTCGTCCTCACTCGGTCGGTGCTGTGTGTTTGATGTTTGCAAAATCGGATCAGGTCCAAACCCAAACACGCACACGTTTCTGCGTTAGTACTTTTGTCTGAAGCACTTTGACAGCACGAATAGTTGTTGCATGGTTGTCTCAGAGTTTGCATGGTTGTCTCAGATATTCATCACTCCGACAGCTTGATGCGAATCCCCATGAGGATGCAACTCGGGTACCTTGGATGTACCCGTGGCGGTTCGCTGGCTTGCACGCACTGGCGCAGTCACAGCAGTAGTGGCAACCGTTCGCTTGATCGGCGCGACTGTGCTGGCGGCGCGCGTGGCTGATGTGTATCCTGTCGTGGCAGTCCAGGCGGACGACGCCGTGGATCCAGCGCGCGACGCCACCGACGCCTCGTCCACATCGCTCGGCAGCTTGTTCAGACTCGCCGACGACAGCTGTGGGCGCATGCGTTGCGCCGAGGCAGCCGCGGCCGACGTGCCGGTTGACTTTGGTCCAGTCGACGCTACGACTGCTGGAGCAATGTCCTGCCAGACAAGCCAGAAGCAAGTTGGACGAGCAAACGTGAGAGGCAAGTTTCGGCCATTGAGTTTGATTGGTTTTGGGCGGCTGGGTTCGGGGTGAAAAAGCGTTTGGCTGAACAAACCATTGGAGCGAGATCGCCATCGCTCATTGTGATTGTGTGTAGGGAACAAGAGTGAGCAACCTTGAGAAGTTTAGCAGTGTTTGGATGGGTTGCATTTCGATCTATTGTTTGGCACTGTTATTACGGTGGAAGTTGGATTGTGTCAGGCGCCAAGCGATAAATCTTTCTGAAGAACTCCAGTACTTCTGCAATGCATGAGCCTGCGCGGCAAATGCAGTATCAGAGGAATCTCGACAGCTCCCACAATCCGATCCATCACGACCGATACAGTGCTCCAAGGCGGGGGGGGGGGAAGCAAACGTACTGTAATTCCCAAATGGATACACAATCAAAACATACAATCCGCGTCAACAATCATTCACCAAAACCACCATCCGGATGATGAGGATGAGGACGATTCATCAATGGACGAGGCGACAATTGCCTGTGGTTGAGATGCTGCGGGCTCTTCGACGGGGAGGTCTGCGGGATTGGCGTCAAGCTCGGCTTCTTGCGAGGCCAGCACGGCAGCGTTAATATCCGCCTCGTCCTCGGCGTCGGCATCCTTGTTGCCACCGTACTCTTCTGGGTGCGAAGCCATGCACGTTTGCATCAAGCGGAAAGCTTCGATGCAATCCGAGCCCTTAATTTCCTCCTTGCTCTTGACAAAGCACGAGAAAGCGTCCTTGAATTCAAGACCGCAAGGTCCCTCTGTGAGATCGCACAGCCAAGCAAGTTCCCCCCAACAATGAGCAACATGCAAAGCGAGTTTTTTTTCGGTGTGAATCGAGAAACAAACAAACAAACAAAAAAGCAGTTCTGAGCGAAATGAAGACTTTTTTTTTTCCATTGATTCGAGCTCTTTTTTGCGGTGCATCCTTTTTGTTTGCTCGAATGCTCCTCAAAGACAGCCTCAGCAGTCAGACCACTGATCACAGAGCAGCAATCTCCGACGATGATGGCGACGATGACGATCTTCGAGCTCTCCGCGTTTCACAACCAACCTCTCTCCTTTCTCCCCATTTCTTTTTTGGCCATTTCAACCAGAACAGACCAAACTTCACAATCCCTCAGAAGCAATTCGATGGATCTGAATCGCACAGCACACACACATCAGTGTGCGTCCTGCATCAGAGCCAAGCAGATATCTCTCTCGCTCGCTCTCTCACTCAGGCGTCTCTGATCTCCACCTCCGCCTTGTCTTTGTCCATTTTCTCAATACTCCATTTCTCTCCATCACTCCCGTTCGAGTCGATGGCCGTTCGCTCTGCTGATCTGCTGAACGAGCCTCCTGTGCCATGTGCGCTCCTTCGTCCACTGCATCCACTGCATCTACTGCAGTCAGGCGTGTCCATCCCCGGTGCACTCATGATGAGACTTGAATCATCAAGCGCGGGCTCTTCACCTGTCATGGGCTTGATGCACGGGCAGTCCCAGTCAATCTCGCCGTTGGGTCCGACGGCCTGCCGGAAATCGCCGTTGTCGGGCTGGATGGCCTCCTTTGGCTGCGCGGCCTCCTCCTCCTTGGTCAGGAAGATCACTTGGTCCTTTGCTGCAGAGCACATCACACACACATAAATACAATCATACAAATCAGACAAACCATCAGACAAACCATCATATCATAGAAAAAGAACATCGGGAAAAAAAGTGAAACATGTCTTGGCTTTTTACGCATTTTGTAATAGAAAGCAGAGAGAAAGGATGACTGAATTCAATGCAATAGACAGAACGACTGCGATGAATGACCGTTCTTGCGTTTGAAGCAGCTACAGCAGCAAGCAAGCAAGCAAGCAACACATTCAGCAAAACAAGGATTTCGGGGATGCTGGAGTAGCGAAACAGCTGGAACAATAATAAGAATCATATAAACCACCACTCCTTCTTGTGTTGTTTTTTGGGCGTTAGATTCTCAGATTCGGCCTGCTTAGCCACACCTTCGCCTTCTGGTCAACATGGAGCCACTGCAGCACCGCGCGCCAAAGGCAAAGCGGCAGCCAAACCAAGAGTACGCAATGCCGTTGCCGATTGCAGCTGCGGCGCTCGAGATTGCAAGGCGCTTTCGGGACGGGCAGGCTCAGAGCCAGAGCCAGAGCCAGAGCCAGAGCCAGAGCCAGAGCGAGAGATCGTCCTGCCTGGAGCAAGACCACCGAGCCCCGCACGCGACAGACAAGCAAGATCCAGCATACGAAGAGTCCAAGACAGCGACTTGTCCAACCGCGACGCTCGTGGTGGCCGGGCAAGGCTCGCTCGACGTTGCCAATGCAAAGCAAGCAGACTTGACGCTTGCTGATCTGCCCGCCGCAGAGCGAACCGATGGAACAGAGCTGTTAGTACAAGCCGCAGGCAATCCAGAGTCAGACTGGCCACGGTTTCGAGGCGTATTCCAAGGCTACTGCGTCGCAGTGTCGGATCCGGCCGCAATGAGCCGATTGTACCAACAAGTTAGGCCTTGTTGTCTCAGATCGTGTTGCGGAGGTTGTCGGAAGAGCATGGGGCTACATGGCCAAGTCGACGATCAGAGACATTCGAGGTGTTTGATTCGTTTCAACTCATCCTTTTCATCCGATTTGCTACCACGAAAAAATTTGGGTCATGCACCACCACACAGGGATTCTTTGGCAAGGGCTCCCTTTCCAAGTACGAGCCAGACTTTCACGAGATGGTGCGGAAGATTAGCAATGGCGTATATAGCAAGCCAGCAAGTACGGACATGTATTCGCTGTGTTATCGAAACTTTTTGGTAGTTGCTTGCGTGTTGACTGCCAGGTTTCGCTCACAATTATTCCGCCAACGCCCAACCGTACTTGTGTCAGTGACGGCCAAACAACGACAGGCCGAACGGAAGTCGAAACGTGACAAGCAACGAAAGGCCAAGTTCGATGTGATTGCGGCCAAAGCAGCCAAAAAGCAGCAGTCGCACGAGCAGCGATTGGCTTCCCGCATCGCCAGTGGTTTGCAAGTGAACAATCGACGCGCAAAGACAGAGCTACGATTGAAGCGACGAGCCGAGGCCTCTGCAGCAGCGTCAGGCAGCGCAGCGGTTACCGAAGGAGCTGAGGCCATGAAAACCGACGACGATTCGAGCCTCCCCGTGTCCGATGACGACCTCACCAAGGCGGACGAGCTAGGCGAGGATATGGAAGAAGAAGAAGAAGAAGACGAAGAAGAGATGGTGTCAGAGTCACAAGCAACACAAGTGCCGCTTTCGTCACAGCCAACTTCCGATGCCGCATCCAACCTCGAGCCAGCACAACCAATCCCTCCAACCAAAGTCTATCAGCATGCATGGGCACACTTGGGAGTTCCAGATGACACATGGCCGACAGAGCATTTGCAGCTGGCTCTCGAAGAAGCCATGTTCTTGCAGTTTGCCCTTGGCTGCTTGGACGTTTGTAACGAAAATGGGGTGAGTAGTCTGCTTCTCCTCGGTCTCAGCCCAGGAACAAACGGCGTGAGCTGGGGTTTGCTAGCCATGCTGTGGTAAACTCACGCTTGTGCTGCCATCTTTCGCTTCAGAACATCCTATCCATCGATGAATTTTGGGCTGTGTGTCGCGCTACCGAACCACGGTTTGTCGAACGTTATGTTGCGTATCACTACTGCCGCTCGAAGGGCTGGGTTCCTCGACCAGGATTAAAGTATGGCGTCGAATTCGGTAAGTTCACCAGTCATTGGTTTTTTTGTCACCGCATTTTTGAAACCCTTTCGCTGAACCGAACTGGGAATACTTTCACCTATAGTTTTGTACCGCCGAGGACCCGTGTTTTTCCATTCAAAGTGAGTTGATAGCGCATCTTTGTCTTTACTTTTTGTCCTGCTTTCATCAACTGACCTTTGGATTGTTTCGAATCCTCCTCCTCCGACTTTACGCAGCTTTACAGTCGCCATCCAGCTGCTGCACGAAGACACTCTGGTGCCAGTGTCACTTGATAGTGCGCCATACGAGGATGCAGAAGCTGCTGTTGATTCCTACAAACCGTTTGCGTTTCACAACCATTTCGATCCCCGCGCCTCGATGGATATGCGGTTTGCCACGTGGCCTACACTGTTGGCACTAGCTCGTACAACCGACCAAGTGAAGAAGGTACTGGCTTGCAATAGCCTGTTGTTCAGATATTTAGGCCGAGAACGTGCGTACTCACCTGAAATACACGCTTGCTCGTCTTGCCAGGAAACGCTACTCGTTAATGTGCTCAAACCGCGCGATATGGATGAGCAAGAATTGGCCTCTCCGTTATGCATTAGTCGACTCCAAGTCCGTGAAGTCTTATTGCGAAGATTTGTCCCCGAGCAGGAGCTTTGAGCGAGTCCGGTGCACATGCTGAAATGTTCAACTGCTTGTACACCGAAAACGCAAAGCGCTGATCGAAGTTATGAGACAATGCTAAAATCCATTTCACTATCAAGGCCCAACCAATATGTTCGAACAAATAAGCATCGCGAGCAAGTGGAAGATCACCCAAGCCGCTTTCTTCACTCACTGATGACACAAAGAAAACAACATTTCGTTTATTTGCAGTCAAACACAACTGCTGCGTTTGGATGAAAAAAAAATGAGAAGACAAGAAGAGAAACAACACCAACGCTAGCACGCTATCCAATTATTTGCCAAAGAAATCGTCGTCGTCGTCGTCAAACAGCGGCACGCTCGGTTTCTTTGAAGGTGTCGAGGCAGCAGGCGATGCTTCAACGGCTGGTTGAGGAGCCTGCAATTGTTGGAGAGAAACCAAGCAAGGACAAGAATGAGGAAAAAGAGCAACACATCAAAAGTACACCAGAAACCAACTGCTTACCGCCTTGGAAGTGGCCGGAGTGGCAAACAAATCAGAGCTGTCATCCTCGTCGTCATCAAAGCCGAAAATGGCACTGCAAAGTGTTCAAACGGCGTGCGTCAGACACGGTACGGTGTGCAAGACATTGTTGACAAGCGAGTTCGCTGACTTACGCCGCAGACTTGGAGGGCGTGCCAGATGCGGGAGCAGCGCTGACGGCAGAATCAGCAACGACAGGTGCTTCCGTCACGGCGGGAGCAGAAACGATCTTGCTTGGGGTCACAAAGAGATCGTCATCGTCTCCAGCAAGCGGGTCTGCATGTTCAGGAGACAAGTTAGCACAAAACGATTTGAACTTCAATCAACGTCTTCTCAGTCAACTCGAGACTTACCAAAGAAGCTGGAGGCAGCGGCGGGGGCAGGCTTGGATTCAGCAACGACCGGCGCTGGGGTAGGTTCCTTGAAAAGCTCTTCGTCGTCCTCGTCGGCAGCAGCAGCAGCAGGGGCGGCAGGGGCAGCGCTTGGCTTGAACAGTTCCTCCTCCTCGGGTTCGTCGTCACTCTCGTTTCGCTTCGAGGCGGGAGTGGCATCGTCGGCCGAGAACGGGTCGGCTTCGGGTTCAGCAGCCACTTCAGGCTCAGCAGCCACTTCGGGTTCAGCGGCGACTTCGGGTTCAGCGGCGACTTCGGGCTCAGCAGCAACCTCAGGCTCAGCAGCAGCTTCAGGTTCGGCGGCGACTTCGGGTTCGGCGGCGACTTCGGGTTCAGCAGCAACCTCAGGCTCAGCAGCAGCTTCAGGTTCAGCGGCTTCAGGCTCAGCAGCAACCTCAGGCTCAGCAGCAACCTCAGGCTCAGCAGCAACCTCAGGCTCAGCAGCAACCTCAGACTCAGCAGCAACCTCAGGCTCAGCAGCAACCTCAGCAGCAGCTTCAGGCTCAGAAACAGGCTCGGCAACCACTTCAGCCTCGGGTTCAGCAACAGCCTCAGGAACGACGGCAGATTCCTCTGGCTCGGGGGCAGCCGCAGCGGCAGAAACAGCGGCCTCCACATCGGCGTGCGACTCGGGAGCAGCAGCAGCAGCAACAGGGGAAGCCTCGGACTTGGCGGGGACGACCTCCTGTTCCTTCTGTTCTTCCTCCTCGACCTTCGCGACAGCTTCTACAACGGGGGCAGATGCAGCAGCGACGGGGGCAGCGGCAACGGGGGAGGCGACGGCGGCCACCGACTTGGGCGGCTCGTCAGCCTCTTCGTCCTCCTCGTCCTCGTCTTCTTCCTCTTCGTCATCCTCCTCCTCGTCGTCTTCGTCGTCTTCCTCTTCGTCTTCACCAGCAGCGGCCTTTTGGGCGGCGCTCACGAGCTTAAGAGTGGTAGACTTGATGACTTCCATGATGGAGGAAACCACGTCGGTACCGCGGTAGGTTTGCTTGGGCTCAAACTCGCCCTTGACCTGGTAAAAGACGGCGTTCATGACCTTCTTGACCTCGGTCACCTTCTCGGTGGCCAGGTTGGCATTGATTTCGCGAATCTCACGGCGCAGCGTTTCGACCTCGCCGGCGGAAGCGCCGGACGCGTTCGGGCGAGCAGCGGCGGCAGCCTCGCCTTCGACACGGCCTTCCTCTTTGCCCTTGGTGAATGCCTGGTCGGCCAAGGAGCGGAAGCGGTCCTTGTCGGCTTGAGCCTGCTGCTCGAGCTTGGAAACGACATTCTGCTTGTGCTGGAGTTCCTGGCGAGCTTCGGCCAAGTCGCGGTTGAGCGACATTTCGCGCTCCTGCAGGGCAAGCACCTGCTGACGCATGGCGGTTTCCGCCTCGGCAAAGTTGCCGTGCGAGCTGCGCAGCGACTGGATGGTCTCCTCGGAAGAGGTCAGGCGCATGCGCACACGGGTTGTTTCGTCCTCGGCTTCAGCGAGAGCCTTCTTCCACTTCTCGTCAAGCGCGGCCTCGGCCCGCGCAGTCTTGAGCTTCCACTCGGCATCAAGCTCGGAGGCAATCTTCTTGGTCTGCTCGCCAATGGTGGCGTCAAACTGAGCACGCTCCTTGCGCAGAGACTCGCGCACCTCGTCCAGCTCGATTTCATGGCGTGCCTTGAGGTCGGCAATCTCCTGCTCGAGACGCTTCTGCTCAACCTGCGCCTTGCGCTTGCGCTCGGCAAGCGCCTTCTCGTTGGAGTCGCGGAAGGCGCGAAGCTCGGTCAGCTCCTCGGTCAGCAGCTCAATCTTGGCCTCGAGATCCTTGCGAACCTGACGCTCATCGCGAAGGATGCGCTCGTGCTCAAGCTGCTTGCTCTCAGCGGCGCGGGCAGTCACGCGGTGGGTCTCGATCTCGGCAGTGTCGCGAGCATAGTTGCTCTTCACGAGGGCCAGTTCGGTGCGGAGCTCCGACTCAATCTGCTGGGCAGCGTTGAGCTGAACTTGGAGCTGGCCAGCACGGCCAGTGGCCTCGGCAGCCTCGGAGGTGAGACGGACCTTTTCTTGCTCCAGGGAGAGCATGCGGCTCTGGGCCTGCGAGGTGGTCTCCTTGAATGTGTCGTTGCGTTGCTCGAGCATCGAGTTGCTCTTCTCAATGTAGCGCTGGTTGGACTCGAGCAGCTGCGCAATCTTGTCGTTTTGCTTTTCAATGCGAGCGCTCTTCTCGAACGTCTCCTTGCGCAGGCGCTCGTTATCAATCACCAAGCGCTGCACGCTTTGCAGCAAAGCGGCCGCCTCAAGGCCGGTCGACTCCGCGCCGTTCTGGCCGATAAACATGCCACGCTCGAGGCGGGTGGCGATGGCCTCCACGCGCGTCGACACGTCGCCCAAGGTGGTCTTGACGTCAGTGTACTGCTTGCGGGTCTCGATGAGCAGGGTGGTGGGAGTCAGGTTGAGGCCAGTTGTGTCGAGGCCAGCGGCAGCCAAGAGTTGCTGCTGCTGCTGTTGTTGCTGCTGTTGCTGGAGCGCAGCAATGGCGGCGGCGTTGGTCTGCAAGAAGGGATCGGCACCCAGCAAGGGTTGCTGGGGCACGGCGCGCGCAGGCTGGTACAGCGACAGTGCTTGGCTGGCAGGGGCATTCCACTGAGGTTGGACCTGAATGGCTGCAGCTTGGGCTTGGGCTTGGGCTTGGGCCGCTTGAAGCTGCTGCTGCTGAAGCAACGCAGCATTCGCCGCCTGAAGCTGCTGCTGCTGCTGCTGCTGAAGTTGCTGCTGCTGCAGTTGGGCCTGCTGTTGCTGTTGCTTGAGCAGCTTTTCTTGCTCTTGCTGCTGCTGGAGCAAAAGCTGCTGCTGCTGCTGTTGCTGCTGTTGCAAAAGCGTCTGCACGACTGGGTCGGGTTGCTGGGGAGTGATTCCAGTCTCTCCCTCGTCGTCGGACTCGGGTGCGGCGGCGACGGCACCAGCGAATGGCAGCATGGGCTTGCCAAGCTTGGCCATGCGGTTGAGCAGCTGGGACTTCTCGCCCGCGGGTTGGCTCAAGGACTCTGTGCGGGACCTGTCGGCGATCGAGAGCGTCGGTGAAGGCGGGGCGGCGGCGGCAACAGGCGCGGCAACGGGGGCTGCAACAATCGGAGCAGGGACGGCCGCGGCGGGCGACGCTGTGACGGCTGCGGGGGTGGCTGCACCCTCTTCCTTGCCCCACTTGATCTTAAGAATGGTGACGTCAAACACCAGCGTCGAGTTTGGCGGAATGGAGGCAATCGTCTGGTTGCCATAGCCGAGTGCCGGGGGAACGACAAGAAGACGCGACTGGTTCTTCTTCATGCCAACGACACCCTCGTCCCAGCCGCGCACAACCTTTCCGGCGCCGATCTTGAAGCGGAATGCCTTGGCATCCTTGCCAGCGTTGCTGTCAAAGACGGCTCCCAGCACGCCGTTGGTCAGCAGCCAGCCAGTGTAGCGAACCTCGACCGAGTCGCCAGCGGACAGAGCCTGCGCAAAAATAGAATGGCAGAGATGTGGCAAGAAAGAAGAAGAAACAAATGAGCAGAGAATACAATAATGGGCCACTTTCCGTGTATCTGGGGGAAACTAGACAAACAATCAACATTGACACGTACATTGCCCTCGCCCAAGTTGAGATCTTGGCGCACGAGGCCTCGAGGTGCGGTGTTGAAACGAGCAAGAGCAATCTAAGCCAAGTGCATCAAAAGAACGGTGAGTGCGCGGTTGAGAAAACTTCCATTTTCAGTTGGTTTGGTGTCTTTTTCTCACCTGTCGAGCAAAGTCGAGAGCCTGCGCCTCGGTCTCAAAGTGAAGCGACCAGTTTTGGCGGGCTTCGTCGTAGAAGGAAGCATAGTTGTTTGGCGAGACCTGACGACAGGCGACAGGTGAGTGCACAACCAAAACGGGCCGACACACAAAATTCGCAAAATGACTTTACAGTGAGGACAAAGTCGGGCGAGATGGCCGTCTCGCACAGACGCTGGCTGTTGTTGACGTACAGCAGGAGCTTGTACTGTTGTGCAGCGTGAGAAGATGGTCAGTTACAACAACGATCGGTGCAAAGCAATCAAAACAAAAAGCGTGTTTGCTCATTCATCTGCGAAAAAAAAAAAGTCGGCTCGTACCTGCTGGCTGGCAAAGTTGCCGACAATGGCGGCACCAAACTTGCCTTGGGTGGCGTACTGTCCATTCACGCTGGCAGAGCAACAGATGGCTGCAATGAGCACAAAAATCTGCGACCTTGTTGGTCACTGCACACAACTTTTGGGCAAATCACTTACAACTTGTAGACGTGGACCGGTGCGTGATGGATCAGGGCCAGCGCTGGAGCAGCAGCCGCGGGGGCGCCCGCCGGTGCAGCAGCGGTCTTTGGAGCGACCGGGCGTTGGTAGGTCATTGCGGGGTTGGCCGCGGGGCCGCCCGACTGACCGGCGAAGAGGCCAGCCAGCTTGTTCGAGCTGCGTCGTTGGACCAAGAGCAAATGGGGAGGGGGAGTCGTAAGCACGAATGAGATGTCAATGTTTGGTGCAAAGCTTTGATTGGTGAGGTGGAGCAGTGCGTGCGTTTGTGCCACAGTGGGCAGAGTGGCAGAGTGTTCAGTGTCTGTGCTGTCTGATTTCGACCATTGCCATGATGTTCTCGCCCCTCTCCTCACCATTGCCACCATCACCACCACCACCAGCAGCAGCAGCACCAGTCGCCCAGTCGCCATCTTCAGAATCAATCTTGCTCATCTTTGTGAATGGAAGGATTGAAGAAGAAATTGAAAAAAAAAATCAAAAGGGTCACGAGGAAAATAATAGAAAAAAAAAAAAACACAAAGGGATAAAAAAAAGGACAAAAAAAAAAAAAAAAAGAGGACGATTTGCGATCGAAACGAACGAGAGAATGAAGGAGAGGAAGGAGGGGAGGGAGAGGGATGAGTGCGGTGGAAAGGGGAGGAGGGGACGACGCTGAAACAGAGAGGGAGAAGGGAGAAGAAGAGGGGTTGAGAAGGAGGGAAAAATACTATAAAAATCATACAAAAAAACGGACAAAATAAAAGAGCATGAGACGATCATTCAGAAGAGAGAAGCGAAGAGGAGGAGGGAAAGAGGGGAAAGAGGGGAAGGAGGGGAAAGAGGGGAAAGGGGCGAAGGGGGGAACGACTGAATGTCAAGTGAAGGGAATGAGTCAAGGAGAGATCAGAGGGGGAGGGGATAGGAGAGCGAAGAGCGAAGAGCAAAGAGTTGTACAACTCCAAATCGCATCATCGCATCATCAGACACGGCCCAGCAAAGCCAGCCATCCAGAGCGACGAGCACTGTGCACTGTGCACTGAGATTGAGACTGGGGAATGAGGATGAGGGTACAAACCTGGTGGCGTTGGGCATGAAGGCGTCATCGTCGTCTGCTTCAAACATGATTGAACAGAAAACAAGAAGGAAAAAAGAAAAAAAAAAAAAAAGAGTGAATGCCATCGAAAGGTCAGTGATTGTGATCTCAGAGCACAGCACTTCAGAGTTGGGCGATGATGGTGATGAAAATGAGGATGATGATGATGAGTTATGGCTTGGCATTGCAACGAGATCTGCCATGCAATGCAAAATGCGATTGCTGCCGTTCAAAGCAGTGCTCCTCGTTTCGTTCGCTGCCTTCTCTTTCGCTCTGCCTCTCCTTTTCGGTAAGTTTCATCCTCGTTAGCTTGCAATTCGTTACTTTGAATGCTCTGTACTTCCTGTCACTTCTTCTCAGACGTCTAGTCTTTGTTTGTTTTTGGATGTCTGTTCGATCGTTTGGTTCTGCACCGCTGCCGTCGTCGTCGTCGTCGTCGTCGTCGTCCAATGTCGGAGCAGCAGCAGCCGCAGCAGCAGCCGCAGCAGGAGCATCACAGCCAGCCATCTCAGACCAAATGCTGCCCGTCCTCATCCACCCTGCGCAGCTCGTCTTCTACCTCAACAACCCAGTGAGTGGAAAACCGATGACCGGACAACCAGTCGTCCCCCCCTCGCTCGTCTCTCTCTCTCTCTCACTCACTTACTTTCCCTTTGTTGAGCCGAGCAGCGAATCAATGGACCTGTCGAGTCATTGTGCTTGACTGTCTGTGGGGACTGCAGGATTGGTGCAATGGGGGTTGGGAAGTCGGAGGCTGTTTTGGGCGCGAAAAAACAAAGACAGCCTGCTACGTCCCGCGGAGGCGATCGTGGCAATTGAGTTGAGAACGATACATTGCCAAACTGTATCCATGTGTGTGTGTGTGTGGGTGCGTATACTAGCATGGTCGGATGTGATACCGCGCGGGTATGGATGCTGAGAATTCATACAGCTTGTCGCCACTGAGCTTTCCATTTCCAAAAATGGCCAATCTGTGGTCTTTGTTGCGATGCCACAGTTAAACCTGCAATGCTGATAATTTGAAGCTTTGATGCTTTGACGATGACGACGATGAATACTGACAAAAACAAACCGACTTTGCATCTTTGCCCTCGTTGTTTTTCCCCGCTCCAGACATCGCACAAGCAAATCTTGACCATTTACAATCCGTACAGCATTCCGCTCCAGTTTTCAATTCAAGCAACTGCACCGAAAAGCTATGTCGTACGGCCTAGCTCGGGCCTACTCCGACCAGACTCACGGATTGACGTGTCAGTTTTCCCCCCTCCGAAATCCCAAAACCCTGTATTTCGATCCACCTCATGCGTGGAAGTGACATTCCTCGCATTGGACACAGTCTACAATCCACGACTAACTCACACGATGCAATCCTCATAGTATCATTCGGCTGGCAGACCCGCAAGGCATGTCGCTCGCCGATTCACAGGCCGATCGATTCAAGGTGAACTTGAGTAGTGCCACTCAAGGCGTGGTTGTTGGCAAACACGTCTTCAATTCCACAATCATGCCTGTTGAGCCTGTTGCAGCAAACGGCAAGGTGAGTGGCAGAATCTGCTGATTGGTGGAATCTGCTAATTTGTTTATTTCACACTGATTCTCGTTTTTTGTTTACACAGGGCAATGGCGTCGAATTAATGGACACCAAGTCTACTGGTGGTACGATTTCCTTCGTTCGACAGCAGTGAATGGAGTGAAGGGCAAGAGGTTGTGCTGCTGACTTTCAATGTTTGGTTTTTCGTTTGTTGTCACCACTCGTTCTTTTGTTTTCGTTGCGCAGACCTATCACGGAGGAATTTCTCAAACATCTTTACGAGTCACGTCATCCAGGCCATCTTGTTTGCACTCGCACTCTTTGTGCTGGGCTCTCCCGTTGGCGCCAACTTTGGCTTGAACAGCGAAACGTCGCTCTTCCTTTTTACCTTCGCTCAGCAGTATCACTACGCGGCGGCATTTTTGTTAGGTGAGGCATGACAAGGGTTCTGATTGATTTTGGCTCGGAGGTATGTTGGAAGTGCTTTAAAAGCTGAACGCAACTGTTTCAAATCCTCAGGCATGCTGACGATGGCATTTATCCAAGCCGATCGGCGATGACGTTGACCGTCGATATGCCGTCTTTTGGACACACAGCACTCAACACCACTCGAGACAAGCGAGATGAACGAAAGGCTTTGTTTCTGTTTGTCTGTTCAAAAACATGATCAACTCCAGCAATTACATTGGGTTCTGGATTTTCGCATTACTTTCCAATCCAAATTTAAATCCAACCATCAATCATCATCATCATAATCATCATCATTCATTTGACTTCAGTCTATTACCTGCCAATTTCTCAGTTTCTCTGTGCGCGTTGGCATGGCGGCAAATCCTCCCGCTTCCCAAGCAGCCACTGCGTCGCCCGCCGCCGCCGCCGCCGCTGCTGCTGCTGCTGCTGCTTCCGGCATCAACAGCCTGTCCTTTGCACGCTCGGCCAGCTTGATATCGCGCATGGAGGCCAGCAGCCGCCTCGAAGCGTCCTTCGGTAAATGCGAGCTGATTTCGAACAACTCCGTCCTCCAGCCTCTGGCTGCATGCAAGCCAGTCCCACAGGGTCAAACGAGGGCTCAACCATAATCAAAACTAGTCGAGCTGTCTATAGTTGAACTCACCCCCCCCCCCCGACTCGCGGGCAAAATGGCCATCTGTTCACCCATAGGCTGCCAGGAAGACATCTTCCAATCGCTCGCGCAGAATGACGCGCACCACATCTCAAAGACGGACTTTCTACGGGCGCTCGTGTCGACTGGGCTGCTGCCGGACGATCCGAGACTGAAGGAGTCGATGCTGCTGATGCAGTCGGTGCCGGAAATGATGGACCTGGCCACGTTCAAGCGCTGCATTGCGCCAAACATTCTGCTCATTGACCGAGCGTTTCAAGGGGACCTCGTCATCCCAGAGTTCCAGCAGTTCTGCGTCGAGCTACGAGGCATGTTTGACAAGGTCCGGGCAAATAAGAGCGGCACGGTCGCAGACTACATTCCGCAACTCAGCCGCGTCTCGCCAAACCAGTTTGCCGTGTCCGTTTGCACCGTCGACGGCCAGCGGTTTTCCATGGGCGAGTCGAGCACAGAGTTTTGCCTGCAGTCCACCTGCATGCCCATCAACTATATTCTGGCGCTGGAGGAGCATGGCGAAGAGCGCGTGCACGAACACGTAGGCCGCGAGCCATCCGGCCGCGGATTCAACTCGCTCACGCTCAACGAAGCTGGCCGACCACACAACCCACTTATTAATGCCGGCGCCATCATGATTTGCTCGTTGCTGCACCCGCTCATCGAGCTGTCAGATCGCTTCGACCACGTCATCAAAATGTACCGCAAGATGGCTGGCGGAAAGCGTGTCGGCTTTAGCAACTCGACCTACCTGTCTGAACGACAAACTGCCGACCGCAACTTTGCCCTTGGCCACTACATGAAAGAAAAGGGTGCCTTCCCAACAGGCACGAATCTGATGGAGACACTCGAGTTTTACTTTCAGCTGTGCAGCGTCGAAATGACGGCCGATTCGCTCAGCATTCTAGCAGGCACCTTGGCGAACGGCGGCAACTGCCCAATCACGGGCGAATCGGTTGTTTCATCCGATGCGGTGAAGAATGCGCTTTCCGTCATGTACTCGTGCGGGATGTACGATTATTCTGGCGAGTTTGCGTTCCAGGTAAGCCGAGTTTTCCACCGAGCGGTTGAGTGACGTGAATTACTGCTGACTAGGCTCTGCTTTGACTGACAGATCGGTCTTCCTGCCAAGTCCGGTGTCTCTGGCGCGATGATGGTCGTGGTGCCGAATGCCATGGTAGAGAAAAACAAAAGAAAAAACAAAGAAAAAAGAAAACATTTCATCGCCTAACCACACGCGTCGTTGCACACAGGGTATTGCAATCTGGTCACCGCCACTAGACCGATTCGGCAACTCGGTTCGAGGGATTGAGTTTTGCCAGCGGCTGATTGCCAAGTACAATTTCCACAACTACGACAACTTGGTTCACGTGTCTTCTCGTGAGTTTCAGAGGTCGAATTGAGCTGTTTTTGGCCTGTGTCGCTCACTCTCTCCTCTCGTTCGTCGATTAGTGGGCAAGCGCGATCCTCGAAACAAGCGCGAAAAGGCACGGGATGATGAGCTCGTGACGCTGTTGTTCGCCGCGAGCACGGGCGACCTGTCCAGCGTTCGTCGCTTGTTTTTGAGTGGCGTCAACTTGAACGAGGGAGACTACGACGGGCGCACTGCCATCCATCTTGCCGCCAGCGAGGGCCATCTTAAGGTTGTCGAGTTTCTACTGAGCTGTGAAGTTATTGACATTAATGTGCTCGATCGATGGGGCGGGACGCCTTTGGACGATGCCATTCGCGAAAACCACCCGGCAGTCATTGCATTACTGCGCACCCATGGCGGCAAGCAAAACGCGCGTGTTGTTGCCAGGACATGATGCGTCGAGAGATTGGTCGACCAACGAGATAGTAATAAAAGCGATTTCTTAACCAAAAGCAACGTCAAAATCTACACGAGAAACAAGCAAGCATCAAGAGGACGAGGACGATGCCTCGCTCGTGCTTCCATTCTCTTCATCCCGCCTGGCACGCTTTCGTCGGCGCCAGCGATACTCTTTCTTGCGACGGGTCAGCTGCTCGGTTGTGACCAAACCACTGCTAGTAAGTCGTCCCCGCGCTCGTCGGAGGGCTCTGCTCAACAACCGGAGAAGGGCAGATGGTGAGAAATTACGAAAAAAAAAGCCACAAGAGCACATGCTCCGAGGTACGTACTCGGCATCAAGAGTGCACAAACTAGCGGCGGAAAAGACAGAGACGGCATCGGCACCGCGTCGCTTGTCAGTCTGGCGGTGTTTAAACTTGCCGAAATTTCGCACCTCGCGAATCAACGAGTCGAGAAAGACAATGGTGCGTTCGACCACCAGATTGCACAGGAGGTCTGGCATGTCGTTTTCGCCGATACTACCGAGCAGAGTAGAAGCCTCGCCTGCGGTGGCGGCGTTGCTGGAAAACCTGCTTGAAAACCAAAAAGAAAAAGGACGACAGTTCGATCAGTTTCTTATCTCATCATCGCAAGCCAGTTGATTGCCACGCACTTGCTAGAGCGTCGAAGCTCGGCTGGTCGATGGCGCCAACAATGGTGCGCCAAGGCAACGAGTTCTGCGCGCAGCGTTTCATCGCATTCCGGCGACTGAAAATCAAGAACATTGGGCCACGTTTTTCGAAGCGGACGGAGCAGGGCAGGGTTGTCTTGGTCGGTCGCTTCATTCGCGGGTGGCATATCTGCGTCCAGCTGGCTCCATTCAAACTCTGATTCTGATTCGTCCGTCTCAGAATACGCGTCTTGGTCGTCATCTTGTGTTTCTCTTTGTTCCTCGTCACCTCCATCAGTGTCGGCGTCATTGTCTGCAGCAGCAGCAGCAGCAGCTCGGCTTGCCAACGTGCGATCCAACATGCGCTGCGAAGCGGTCGTTCGCCGTTGTGAAGCTGTTTGCGACGCGCTCACTTGGTCGAGATCGACAAATCGGTTGTTCCTGATTTTGTTGTTGTTGTTGTTGTTGTTGTTGTTTGTTTTGAGTTGATTGATTGATTGCCAAATTTAGTCAAGTTCTCAGCCAATTCGATGTCACACCCTTCTCCTCCAATGTCCGACTGTGGCTCTTACTCTGCTGGAGATACGATCGCAGCGGCCTCGAGCAAGCGAGCAATCCGCGCCTTGTTCTTGAGAGTGGGTGTTGACGGTGATGATCCGGACTTGGCCATGTGCCGCGATGACGAGGACGGCGAGTGCGTTCCTGCGTCTGTGGCTTGGCTGTCCATGTGAGCCGCAGCCGCAGCACCATGTTCCCTGTCCTCATCATTGTCGCTGGCACTGTCGCTGCTTTGGCTGGAGTCGCTCGTCGCGTTCTGATCTCGTTGGCGGGCTTTGCCTTTCCCTTTGCCTTTGCCTTTGCCTTTGCCTTTGCCTTTGCCTTTGCCTTTGGGTGTCGCCGACGCTCCTGCCGCCGCTCCTGCTCCTCCTGTGCTGGTAGAAATAGACGGCAGTGGTCGCCGTGGGTTTTGTGGCGCTCCGGTGATGCGCAGGCTGTCGGTCAGCGCGGCGTAGCCGGTGACTGCCGCTTTGGCTTTGGTGCTTGGAAGCCGCGGCCGACCTGCAGGCATTGATGCTTGCAATGCAATACAAAAGACTGACTCAGAGTAGTATGACTGAGTATGAGTATGATAATAATGAAGAAAGCAAGGAAGAGTTTGTTTGATGATACATTCGAAAAATAAGCACTAGGTCAACAGCGCAACATCCATCTCATTGTTGGGCCGGGAAAAAGAAGGTGGTTTGCTTGCTGGACGGCTGCAAAGCGTCTTCCTCATCCGCCTCGTTGTTGAAGGGCCGACCCGGTTGGGCGAAGGCGGAGGGAGTAATGGCAAACCCGGGACTGGGAAGCGACTGATCGACCATGTTGGCCAAGTTGCTCGAAGACCCACCGAGCCCGTTCAATCGCTCGCCATTTCCATTGTGCTGGTTGACAGTGAAGGTTTGCTCTCGAAGACGGGTGACGATGCGATCCAGCGCAAACTCGATATCGCAGTGGTTGCGAATGATGGAGACGTCTGGAGGCAAAGAATCGTGCAAGTGCAACAAGTCAGCACACTGCCAAAGCCAGAGAACAGCACACAAAGAGCGAATGCTTACGCTTCCAGGTTGTCAGCTGGCCAACTTGTTGAGAATGCATCAAATATTCGGGGGTGGGATTATTGACAATGTTCAGATAATCTTGGAAGCGAATGCGCGGCACGATGGTAATATCGCCCGTGTACTGTTGCTCCATCACGGACTGCACGTTTGAAATGAGCTTGGAGCCAAATCCGAGCAGCGACATCTAGGATTGTTGAAACAACAACAAACACCAAGGCAATAATGAGACACACTCCAAAAAAACTCCATCCGCTTTTGCACCCTGTGCCCACCTTACCTGACGAATGCGGTGTCGAACTTCAGATACGAGCATGTCCTGCAGCTTTGGGAAGACTTTGCGAAGCCGACTGCCTCCATGCAAGAACGGAGCAACGTGCGGATTGATTTGACTGACAATAAAGTGGTTGACGTTGAACAGCTCGGACAGCCGCTCCATGGGCAAATCGCTTTGCACCGAGCCATCGCTCCATTGCGAGCCTGGAGGATTCCACGAGACAATGTTGCCGTTGGCGTCCTTGGCAAGGAGCTCGACGGGCGCAAACAACAAGCTGAAGGCGCTCGATGCGGTTGCGGCGCTGTACACGACCTATAAAACACCCATCGAGAACAAAAGGGAGTGAATACCACACACCAAAACAAAAAAAAGATGAAAGAGAGACAAAACCAGTCAGCATAGCCGCTCTCCTTACCACATTCGGAGCAGTGAGATAGTTCAGAAGTCGTGGACCCTCAAACTCTTGCGTCGAATTGACAGTAATGTTAAGCACGCGACCAGTCAAATTGAACGCTTCCTGGAAGGTGCAATCGCCAATGTTCTGCTTGAGGCAGTTTTCCAGCACGGAGACCTCGCAAAGGTAGCCTGATGCATCCCAAAGGAGCAAGGTACGAATACACGGAGGCAACAGTGATGGCAACAGTAAGCTCAGCGAAACAGCACCCCCCAAAATTGGCGGAAACAACCGAAAAAAAAACCACTGCAAGCAAAACCCACCCTTCTGAACCAAACGCATCAACTTGTGAAGCATCGGCCAAGGCTGTCCGGGAGGATCAAAGGCATTAACATTGACATTTTCCGGATCCAGCAGATGCAACAGGCGGCTTTCAGGCGAGCAGCACAAGATGGAAGCCATGATGGAGCCCACCGACGAGCCCGACACTATTCTTGGCATCAGTTGGAGCTCGTACAGAGCTTTCAAAACGCCGCTATGATACATTCCTGTTTGTTTCCCCCGTGCCAGCAGAGGCAGGCGCACGCATTGTCAGACACGCGCGTTTTGTGCACTCTGAGGATTTCGACCACCTACCTAAAGCGCCGCCTCCGCTGAGAAGCAATGCAGATCGACCGTACGAGTGCCGCGTCTCGTTGAAAAACACTGGAGTCGACAAGCAATCAAAAAAACCAGTGAACAGGTCGCATTCATAGTATTCTAGCAAAAAAAAAAAAAGCTCTCCCATCAGCAACTCGAAAACGCACTGATCTTATCCTTGAGGGAAATGCCCGACACATCAATGTCACAGATGTAATTGAGCTGGAAGACGACTTCTTCAATGTACTGTTCGATCAGTTTTTTGGTGCCAATATTCGTGTAAGCAAAGAGCTTGTGGTTGCCCATGCCGCCAAGATTTCGGAGCAAACCTGAAGAGAAGAAGTACACGGACGAGAAAGAGGAGAGGTCAGAAATTGTAGGAGACCAGAGTGGCACAGCAGAGAGCATGAATGACTAGGTACCAGCGCGCAACAGGTACATCATTCGACCAACGTCGTTGGACTTGCGGGCAGACCGCAAATCTTCAAGGCGGTTGTAAATGAGATCGCAGTCGTAGTCTGCCGATTCGTGTGTCATCTTCCATGCAGTGTTGCCTTCGACACGATCGAGCTCGAGTGCAATCGCGACAAATTGTTCGTACGACTGGGACGCTGCCAAGGCTTGGCGAAGGTGTCGTTTGAGCATGAATTTGGATTGCATTGTTTGCTGTGTGGGTGTCAAAGTAAGAAACAGCTTGCAAAGTGAGCACGAAAACATTGACCAACAGAACTAAAACAAAACTGGGTGTGAAAATGACTCACCTTCCACCAGTAACGCGTGACATCAGACGTAATCTCTTGCGTCGATTGCAGCACGCGCGTTGCAAAGGCAGCCGAGTTCGGATAGGCGGCCGCAACGGTGGAAGCAACGGCAGAGGCAGCAGAAGACAGCGTGCTCGCCGACCGCGAGGCAACCGATTTGGCATACCCTAGCCAGCCAGTCGGCGCGGCAGGAGAGTTGGCCGCAGGATGGGTATCTACAATGCGACCGGCGCCTTCAATAGACCCCACCCTGCTGTTGTTCTGCTGCGAAAGCACAGCCGCCGGATTCTCACTGGCCTGGAGCCCCTTGTTGCTTCGCTGTTGTCGCAGCATGGCGCGGATGGCCTTGATGGTGGACTTTGATGATTGCTCGGCGTCAGACATGGCAACCGGGTGGTAGCGACGCAACACGCGAGCGAGCACCGAAATCCACGTCGCTTCGTCGTACTCTTCGTCGCCATGGCCAATGTGGTCAAGCCCGAAGACCGCCATGTGGCTGTCAAACTCGGTCAGATCCTCCATGGGCGTGGACCGTGGGGAGGAGCGGGTGCTCGAACGGGATGGCGCTTTGTCGCCGTCGCCGTCGTCGTCGTCGGCGTCGTCCTCGTTGTCCTCGTATGCTTCGTTTTCGTCATCGCCCTCATCGTCCACGTCGTCGTCTTCGTCAGCATGCAGAGGAAGCAGGCCGGTCGCCTCAAGTGCTTGCAAGAAGGCGCGCTGTTTGTCGAAATCGGGGACGGCGCCATTCGCGGCCAGCTCCTGCTCGAGGTCGAGATGCAACGACGACGCATCCAAGTCCGCTCCAGCTCCACTGCCAACGCTCACGTCTGAAAATAGGGGTCCTCGAGCCTTCAGTGCCGCGTTTCGAGCTCGCACCTGCGACCGCGCGCTGGACGGACTCTTTTCAAACGGCGACGCGGCAGCTTGCGTGCTTGTTGATGCTGGACGTTGCTGCTGGAGCGGCGAAACGGCCGACGAGCTGTCTGCTGCTGCTGGAGCAGGGGACTCGCTGGCGTCCAAATCGACCAAGCCGGGGTCAAACTCGCTGCCCTCGTCATCAAAGAAGCCATTCGAGCTCATGATGGTCGACACGTTCATCTTGAGCGTCGGAAGCGGCGTCAGCATGTCCCGCTGCTCGTCCTCGTCACCTCCAGTGGCAGTGGCGGCGGGAGGCTTGGATGACGACGCGAGGACGCCCGCGCCTGCCTCGGCCCCGTCGCGCAGGGGTGTCTGTGGCTGCGACTGGTGATGCTTGTGCGCTTGCGGACTCTGCTCGGCGGGCATGCGGAGCGACAACCGCGGGTGCTGGTTGTGCTGGTTGTGCTGGCTGCTGCGGTGCTGGCCGTTGCTGGTCGAGCCCGCAGCCACCAGCGCGGCAGCCGCGGCGGCAGCAGCAGCGGCGGCGGCGGAGGGTGTGACAAACCCATTGACGACGGACGAGACGGCGGCCGCGACGGGGAAGACGGTCGGGTCGGGCAGGCGAACGCTTCCGTCGGGCGACATGTCCTGGAAAGACACCCCGCGCATCAGCGGGCCGCGCTGCATCAGCGGCGGGTAGCTCGTGTCGGGCGTGGCTGGCGTGATCAAGCAGCTGTGGTGCGGTGGCTGCGGTGGCTGCTGCTGCGAGTGCTGCTGCGTCGAGGACGGCGAAGGAGTTGTCCCGCCGCTCGCTGTCATCGCTGTCGGCGACTGGTTTGGTGGTGACGCAGAGTCGCCGTGCATTGTCTGTGTGCAAGGGGGAGGGGCAGTGGGTGGATTGATGCAGCGCGCGATTGCCGCGGGAGGTGTGTTTGTCAGGAAGGGTTGCGCTGAGGTGATTTGAGTGTGTGGTTGTTTGAAAAAAGCGGCTCAGAGCTCAGATTAAAAGTAGGAAGAGTCTGAGAACTTTTGGGGGACTGGATTGTGTTGTTAAAATGCGCAAAACTTTGAAATGATGAGATGAATTGGGACGCGATGAATTGGGCTGCTGTCGAGGAAACGAGTGAACTGTTGCGGGCTTTGTGACTGAGGAGGTGCTGCAATGTTGTGACTGAGATGCTTTTGTTGAGTGCAATTGCTTTCATTTGAATAAGGCATCCGCCAAAACAACCACGCGAAATGGAATCTGACGCACAGAGCTTTCTATTGGTTTTTTTTGTGTTTGGTTTTTTTTTTTTACTGCAGGTACTCGAGGAAGGCGTGCGGAACCATCCCTCGCACACCGCGGGCCTCGCACATGCACATGGTGATGGAGTTGACGTTCAAGGGCTCGCCAAGAACGGTAACAATATCATCCGCGCTCACGGAAAGCTCCGAGTCGCTGTTGGCTTCGTGGTCGTAGACGACACGCGCCTTTCGTCCAGATGCGGGGCCACGTGCAAGACCGGAGGTGGGCACGGGCGACGTCGCCGGCTTGGTGGCGGGTGCGGCCGTCGCAGTGGGCGCGAACGGCGCCAGGGACGATGCAGGGGCGCCAGAGCGACTAAACAGGGGAGGTGAATTTTAGTGGCGGTTTTTCTTCCTTTACTCCAGTGCCCGAACCTCCCCCCCCCTCGCTCATATCACTTACATGCTGCGCAGATCGTTGGTCAGATCGCCCATCAGCTTGGCAGCATTTTGGAAGTACTCGTTCTGAGCCTCGACATACTCGACAAGCTGAATCAGTTGACGGTCCTGTGGAATGGCAATCAATCGGCAGAATCAGTACACTTTGAAAAGCAATCGAGCAAACCGTGTTCCCGAGCAACCCCAAAGACAAAACTCACATGCTCCTCTGTGACAGTCTCCAAGGCAGCCTTGACTTGCTTGTACTGCTCGTCAAACTCCCATTGGGTGTTGCGGAGCTGGTTCTCGGCCTCGGCGAGCTTCTCGGCAGGGCCGTTCTGAGCCTTGCGGACTTTGGTCTTGGCGACGTCCAGATCCAGGCGGACCTTTGAGAGCTGGTTGCGAAGACGCTGGTAAATTGCAGAAACAAGACAGACGAGATTGAGCATTCCAACCAACAGAAACCGTAGAAAGCAAGAAAAAGTTTGTAAAAACGCACAGTCAGCTCGCGAATATCAACGTTGATGAAGCGTGTCTTGGGATCGAGGAACTTGGAGGTGGTGGCAGCAGCGAGCTCGGCCCACGCCTCGCCAATGTGCTGCTGTACAATGCCGGCGCGGATGAGAGCGCCGCCATACTGCTCGTCCGATCCGAGCGATTCGCCTGCCTCGACCATCGTGCTGCCGAGCTTCTCGAGCACAGTTTCCTTGGGCGTGCGAGGGTGGTTGAGTTTGCTCTTGACGACGTTTTGGATGCGAGCGCCTGGGTTGTAGTTTTATCCACAAACGGTCCGGTCAGTAGTAGTCTGAGAACAAGTCATCCCATTTTCTGAGAGCAAATGCTAAAAATTCTTCTCAAACCGCTCCATTCCAACACTTCTCCCGCTTGAACGTGTGAATCTACGTTGCCAAACCTTCACTCCGTCAACGCAGAGCGCATGGCTTGCTTTTGTGCTCTTGTTGTTTGGCTCTAAGATGACGCCGGATATGAAAAAAAAAATCAAAAGAAGGACGTAAGGAAAGAAACAGAGATCTGAGCAAAAACGAGTCCCACTCTGACCACGAGCAGCCAGCCAACACAAGGCCAACACGCTGTATGAAATGCAGCTTGTTTTGACTGCAGAAAGCAAACCCTCGACCGACCCTCGACCTCGACCGACCCTCGACCGACCCTCGACCTCGATGTTCAGTCATCAGTCGCGCGAACGCAGTTTGGAGCAACGCGCGCGTCGTTCAGTCAGCCAGCCAGCCAGCCACACACACGCTACACACACGCTTCCACCAAAGCGCTCACCAGTGCTGGGTTCGAGATAGACCTCGACGGCCTTGATCAGACGGTCGGTGGCGAGCTTGGTCTTGTCGGCGCGCTCGCTCAGGTGCTGGAAGCGAAAGTCCATCTCGGTCTTCTCTGCGCTGCCCATCTTCTCCTGCGAGAACTGCATGGCGCGCGAGAACGTCTTGCTCGCAAGGCCTGCAAACCGGCTCGCTGTCTCGCTTGCAGACGACGCAAACTGGGACGCGCTGGCTGATGTCGACGACGACATGGTGGTGATTGGGTGATTCGGTAAGAAATAGAAGAGTGAAGGAGAAACGTCGCGTTTTCCTACTACTGTACTGTAGAGAGGTAGATGAAACACGGGGCGTTGCAAGTACGAATACGACGGGTGATCAAAGAGGAAGCATTCATGGCCATTGGCCCATTGGGAAAGAAATGCGTAAGAGTTTGTTTACTGTCCAAACAGGAAAAAAAAAAACCCCAACCTCATGTGTACAGAAGAATCAGTTGGTCACTGACGGCAGATGGGGTCAACACACCCAGATCAGTGAACAGCAGTGAAATGTACGCCGGAGGGGTATAGTCGACGGACGGGTTGAGGAACTACAATCCGAACGAAAACCAAAACAGGAACAACAAACAAAAAATGAGAACTCGTTTTGTCCAAACTCAATCACTGAGAAGCAAAGAATCGGGGCCCCCGTTACCTTCAACTCGGTAGAGTTGGCCTGAGTAGGGACAATAGAAGGGTAGAAGGGTGCTGCATTGTCGCTTTGAACAGGCAAATCATACTGGCTGAGCGGATACATGCGCACAAACTTGAAGCTTTCCGCGACTGCATAGAATGGCTTGTTGGCAACCTTGGCAACAATGGCGAGTTGGTAGGTGCCAATCTGCAGGGGGGACGGAAGCAATTCAGACAGAGCGAGGGGGGTGAGTCTACAAAAATGAGACCGCGCCTTTCACGAACAAACAAGCTCTGCTCACTCACACACGACAACCACACCACAACCACAACTGACCTTGTTGACAATGCCGCCACTTTCGACAACACCCTCAGCGCCAACAAGGACCAAATCAACCTTGCCAATAATGTGGCCGACAGCAGCATCAAGAATCATGGTGACTGGGATGCCAGCGGCGCGCAATTGCTCAGCTGCAATGTAGCCGGAGCCATCGGGTCGTGATTCGGTCATGAAGACACTGATGCGCTTGTTGGCGGCGGCTGCCTCGAGCAAGAGCTTTTCGACCACTCGAGAGCGGGAGTGTGTGAGGATGGTCTGGAAAGGGGGCGGGGAGAGAGGCGTTGCAAGATTCAGAAGAGTAAGTGGTGTGAATGTTGCACAAGCGAATCCGGGACAAGGGACCGGGAACCTGACATGTCAGGAACGTAAGTGCACCAACTTACTGCGCCGTCGCGAATGAACGGGTTGCCCAAGGTCGCAATCTTCTTTCGGCTGTCGGTTGCCTTTTGGATGAAAATCTTTGCTCGCTCGATCAATCGCACCTTGGAATGCTCGACCGACTGCGTTGTCGAAGGAAGGCAAAAGTCAGAACCCGAAAGGGAAAAGAAAAAAGTCAATCACAACAAGACCTCAACTGCTTCCTGCTGAGCTCCAAGCACGAACATACATCAAAGGACTCGGCACGAGTGCCAAAGCTCATAAACAACTGGCAGCCAGAGGAGAGCGACAGGGTCGAGTTGCCCGACTTGTCAACCATTGCTTGAATGAGTTCCTGGAGCTGATCGCGCAACTCCATCATTGTCGTCGCTGTGCCAACGGAAGTAGTAACAAGATAGCAAACGTTCCTTCCAAATGTGAGCAACTAGAGGATGCTAGTTTTCCAATGCGAGAGGAACTGCTGCTGAGCGAAAGCAATGATGCAAGCATGCTGAAACCATCCCGTCTCCCCTTCCCCTCTGCCCCTCCGCTTTTTGTTTCCACCATAGAAACGTTGATCATTTCCTATGCTCATTGTTCCATAAGAACATGCATGGACACAAGTGCAATGATGCAAGCATGCTGCAATGCACCACTCCGCCCCTGCTTCTGCCCCTCCATCAAACCGCGGGACTTCCTCCGCTCGTTGCTCCATAGCACGATGCATCATTCTCATCGCGTATGAATCAAGCAAGCCGTTCGCTTGCTCACGACGTTCCCACAGCAAAGCAAAGCCAAACAAGGGGCCATGCGCTCTCGTCACTCAGGCTGTCCCTCGCCACTGTTGCCGAGACCAACGCACTCGCGCACTCCCGCTCAAGCACACTAGACGTGAAAGCAGCAAGCTGAGCTCGGCAATGTCGGGCTGTCGAGGGTCATCGTTTGGGGTGTCGCTGACCTTTGCTGGCTTGGAGCAGCTTGACGAGCGTGCGGATTGCATTGACTGCGATGGGCAAGTCGGGCGACTCCTGAAGGAACTGGTTAAAGTCGCGGACGTACTCTGTGATGATGATGATGATGATGATGATGATGATGATGATGATGAATTGAGGCGGGTGAGTCCACACTGTTCGTATGTCTAAGGCACTGTGCGCTTTCGGGATTGCTTACGATCCATTGCCGCGGCTTCTGAGATTCAAAAACAAGGACTGACAAGTCTGAGATTTTAAGTCAATCTGATGAAAGTTTGCACTCACACGACGAGGATGTGCTCCATCACCACTGTACAGCATTCAAGTCTGAAATTTCTCAGTTCTCAATTCTTCTCAGTCTTTTCTCCTAATCTCTCTGGACCTGTCTTTTTGAAATTTCCAATCGCTCGCGAGTTCCACACTCATAGACTCATACAGTACACATACACATAAAACACACCTACTGTGTCCAAGCCATGCCAGACAGCTCGCTCGCCGCCGACGTTGTGGTTGAGATTGCCGGCATCGACTCTGCAGAAGAGCTCGCCGAGCTCACTCCGTACATGCGCTTTGAGGTTTGGATTCTCACCACCTTGCACTTGTCATGGTGATGGGTGCCTGAGTTCATTTGGCAACATTCGCTGCCCCGAGCTGGAGCTCGCTCGAATGAAGGAGGCTAACTGTGAGTGCATGTGTGTGTGTGTGTGTGCGTTAGAATCTGCACACTGCGAATCCGACGCTCATCGTGTATGGACGGCGCTACACTGGTGCATTCGAGGACGTCGTTGGCACTACGCTCGTCGTTGATACAGCACCGACCGCAAACCTGCGCAGCGATCACGACAATGGTAAAGCTTGACCTTTTGCTCAATCTCACTCAACCTTCGAGTACATCTGCTCGCGAGCACAGTGTTCCTCATCGTTGACTTGATTATCAATCTGTGATTTTGTATGGGGTTGAAAATTAATCAACCATCATCCGTGTTAGGCTCGTCTGTGATTGCGGCGACCTCTCGAAAGCTCGTCTTTACACCTCAGACCGCGTCGCGATCGTCCGATGGCAAACACGGCACCTCAAAACCCCCAATAGACGCGGATGCACTCTCAGAAGGTGGTGCATCAAGTCAGCCAGTCGATCCGACCGCAGAAGCAGCGGAAGAGGACAATGATTCAGTGGCACCAACACCAATGACTTGAAAAGCGAGTACTGTACATTATAGCTGGATTTCAGACAAAGACGAGAGAATTCCAAGTGCTGTAATGAAAGAATTGCAGCAAACATTCGACAAAGAGGAAGAACAACAACCAAAAAAGCAACTACTGTAACATCGGCGGGAAGAAGAAGAAGAAGAAGCAAAAAAAAAAAAAACATCCACAACATCACACAACAGCCAACAAAAGTCACGACGGGGAAGTGGCAGCAAAGAGGTCATCGTCACCACCACTGGCAAGATCATCCAAATGATCGCTTTGGTCGCGCAACGGCTGGTACGCTCGTGTGACAGACAAAGTGCGGATGCCAGCAACACTTGGCTGGACAGGAGTAGTAGCAAGGGTCATGGATGATTCATCAGGATCAGTGTGACAACGATCGCCACCAAGGTCAGAAGTAGAAAGGTCGAGGGCCGCTTCGTGGGAAGCAGCGAGCGGAATCGGGTCGTTAGTGGCAGACCTCCTCGCTTGAATCCACGACCTTGCTGCGAGAGAAGAGAAAAAAACCGACGCCGCTGCCGACGATGGCAGCAATAAAGAGACCGCCGTTGTAGGTCATGACAACCAGCATGAGCAAGTAGGCCAGAGTCAGCTGGATCATGTGCAGCAGGGCGCGCTTGAGCTGGTCAAACAGACCAAAGTTGACGCGGGAGCTGCCCGAGCCGTTGACGTGGCGCTTCTCGATCAGGACCGAGTGGTCGTTGGAAGCACGGGCCGACTGTGCGAGAAGTGACTTGTCCAGCGAGTGCGCGAGGAAGCGCGTCAGCTCGTATGCGACGCCGAGGAAGAAGACGGCGACGAGGGCACCAAAGTACTCGCCCATCGTGGCGGGCGCCCACTCGTCAAACAGAATCGTGACGGACGAGCTCCAGTAGAAGGTCATCTGCGCGAAGGCGTCATTGGATTGTTGGGTGTGTGGAGTTTGATCGGTGAGCAATGTTGTTTCAGCCAGCAAACAAAGTTGAACAATGTGTGCTGGGCTTTCGTCATTCTCTTCGATGTAGGTATCTATGTTGTTTGATGTTGTTGTTGTTGTTGCTTTTGGATCTCCAACATGAGAAGACGATCAATGGCCCAATGGCACAATGCTCGGAGTATACAAGGTGTCTTGGCTATGCCCTTCGGCCGCATCCACCGGTGAGCCTCGCCGCGCACTCGCATAAAATCCAATCCAGCGAGCACCAATCTTGGGTTTTGGTCGAAGCGACAGGAGACGGGGTGCCGCTGCTAGAACCAAAAAGCAAGCCGTCGCTCATGCGGGTTGCACGCGTGACGCCCGTCGCTTGTCCAAATCCAGAACCCCCCCCCCTACCAGGACCTAGCCACAGTGCAAATGCACCACGGTATAAAAGCACCCGCAGGCCCCCACAGCCCGGTTGAAAATCCCCACTTCCTCCGTGACCAACGCAGAGAGACGTGTGGCAAAATGCTGCTGAAGCTGCTGCTGCTACTTCCTTCGCTCTGCGCTCCCCAGGCTGGAAACCTCACCTGCATGTACATGTTCATGGTCATGTTGCCCATCGGCATCGGCATATCGGTGGGCATCGGCATGTCCGTCGGCATCGGCATATCTGAAGACATATCCATGGTTGGAAGTTTTTGGTATTCGAAAGAAGAAAAAAAAAAACGAGTGAATGAAAGGACGAGGAGGATAAACTTTTATGGTTTGGATGAACAAGGCGTACACACGAACAAGACAAAAACACGCTGCCAACGCTGTGTGGGAGCGCAAACGTCTCTTATGTTGCTGTTCGCTGTTTAAAACCCTGCAGCCTTCATGACCTTGGCCATCGCGGCGCCCATCTGAGCGGGCGAGTCGACAACGGTAACACCGGCCGAGTGAAGAGCAGCAATCTTGGCGTCAGCACCGCCCTTGCCGCCAGAAATGATGGCGCCAGCGTGGCCTGATGAAGGAAGACAAGCCAAAAAAAAAAAAAAAAATCAAAGCGAGGGTGAGTTTCACGTGTGCAAAAGAAGAAAAAAAAAACACAACGAATAGTCAGAGGAAAAAGGAGAGCGCGTACCCATGCGACGTCCGGGGGGAGCAGTGCGGCCAGCAATGAAGGAAACGACGGGCTTCTTGATCTTGTGGTTTTTCAAGTATTCAGCAGCCTCCTCCTCAGCAGAGCCACCAATCTCACCGATAAGAATGATTCCTGTCGCGCAACAGATCCAAAAATTGAACAGGCCCAAGGAGGTGAGTGCAAGGAACAGACGCACAAAGCACCTAGAGGACAACCACACACAAACAAACAAAACTCAAAACGCCTCACCCTTGGTCTCGGGGTCGTTCAAGAAAATGTCGAGGCAGTCAACAAAGTTGGTGCCGTTGAAGGGGTCACCGCCAATGCCGACGCAGAGCGACTGGCCAAGACCGACAGCGGTGGTCTGGGCAACAGCCTCGTAGGTGAGGGTGCCGGAGCGGGAGACAATACCAATGTTACCGCGCTTGTGAATATGGCCGGGCATGATGCCGATCTTGCATTCGTCGGGCTTGATGATGCCGGGGCAGTTGGGGCCGACCAGGCGGGTCTTGTTTTGGCTGAGAAGGGCGTTCTTGACCTTGACCATGTCCTGCTGGGGAATGCCCTCGGTGATGCAGACGGCGAGGGGGATCTCGGCCTCGATGGCCTCGAAAATGGCGCCAGCAGCGAACGGCGGGGGCACGTAGATGACGGTGGCATGCGCGCCAGTGGCCTTGACGGCGTCTTTGACGTCCTTGAAGACGGGCAGGCCGAGGTGCTGTTGGCCAGCCTTGGCGGGCGAGACACCGCCGACCATCTTGGTGCCGTAGAGGAGTGCCTGCTCACTGTGGAAGGTGCCCTGCAAAACAACAAGTCAAGATGAAGCGGCCCAAAAAAAAAAAAAAAAAGCATTGAGATTGAGATTGGATTGGAAGAGCGCGCATGATGAAGGGATTTCTGGTGCGCAGATGCGAACTTTTTTTTTCTCCAATTCCAACGCACGCGCAGTGTCCATCTTCATCGTCATTGATGCAGCGATCTGCAAACGCTGGGCTTTTGTGCTGTGCTGAGGGCCAGACGGTAAGGCCCTTTGAACGTGATCATGGTCTTTTTTTTTTTTTTTTTTTTCAATCTGATGGAACGGCAAGCCGAGCGAGAGCGTTGCCAAGTCAAAGCTGACCCACGCTTCGGCAGAACCTCGGTCAATGCAGCACGAGATGTTGATCTGCGCCCCTTGCTGCGCTCCCCCCTTCCCCCCTTCCCATTTCTCTTCAGGACCAACAAACAAAAAAAAAAAAAAAAAAAAAGATCGTGACATTTCAACACACTTTCACTTCACTTCACTTCACTTCAACTGACTTGACTTTAGTCACTCCCTCCTACTCCCTTCTATGATGCCGATGCACTGATCTGACTGCAGCCGAGTCGCCTCGAATCCGCACTGCTCGGGATCCAGCTGCAAAAAGGGCCGCCCCCCTTCCGTTACGAAGACGCATGCTTCAATCCCGCGCTCTTTGCTGCGTTACCTGCTTGCCGGTGAAGCCTTGGCAGATGACCTTGGTGTCCTTGTTGATGAGGAGGTTCTTGCGCGTGCTGTTGTAGGCGCGGGCGAGGCCTGTTGTGCAAAATCCAGCATGAGGTTAGGGGGTTTGCGGGGAGAGTGTTCAACCATCCACAGAGCACAAATCGTCGTACGAGGAGCCTGCACTGCGACGCGGGCAAAAGTGCTCAGCATTGTGTGAATGTTAAAAATTAAGAGTGCGAAAAATAAAAACTGTACAGTAAATGGACATGGAATAGGAGGGGTTTGACGCAGCAAATTTAGCTCCAGATTGGGTTTTTGGTACTGAAACAGACTCTTTATTTCGAGGCACACTGCAATGGTGAACATGACGCCGAGTTGAGAAGGAGGAAGATTGGAGAAAGGTATCAGTCGGTTGTAGGAATCTCGATCTTCACATCAGACGCGCTCGCGACCGCGCGCGAGTCGAGAGCAGGAGCACGAGACTTATCGGCCAGGCCTGTCAAAGCAGTGATACACAATCAGCTAACAACAACCCGGCAAGTCTGTTCGGACTATTCATACACAGTAAAAACCTGACCGATATATTTCTCTTGACTTTGGTGTGCAGCAAGATGGCACACGAGTCGGCCATTCTGCGGAGAGTTGTGGCAGCGAGTTTTTTCTGCGCCTTTAGACACGTTGAGAGCCAGGCATGTCTTGTACACCGCAACACGGCCAAATTCACGCTCCTCCTCAGCGACTCGAAAGTAGACCGCGCCCTCGAGTGCCATGAGATGGTGGCGATCGCGAAAGAAGGTAAACAGCCGACCGGGGCGTCTCAACACGACTCGAATATCCGCGCCGTCTTTGTACTTGCCCGCCAGACTGAACGAGTCCATTTTGTTGGACACGACGCGGAGAGGCACCGTTTCGCCTCGACGAGCCACAGCACCTAGCAGTGCCCATCCCGTTTGACGGTCTGGAATTGGCGAGTACAGATACCACTTATGGTCATTTCGGTTGTCGAACGACGCGAGGTCGATGGGAAAATAGCGAAGGCTCTGAACCCAATCAAGCAACGTAGCTTCATCAGACGCGGGTAGCTGGGGCGCTCTTGTAGCGGATGTCGAGGGCTCCGTCAGCCTCGATGGCTGGCTCTGCTGCATCGATTCGGCTTTCGGCGACAGGGTCATCATTGTTTTGCGCGGGAAGTTGAGACGCTCAAACACCATAGAAAACTGTCACTTTCGCTTCGACCGGAATAGAAATCGTTTCGACCCATTCGGCCAAACCAATGAATAGAAAAGCGCCGCACGCACGAATGAGTGCATGTCGGTATTGTGGGGATGAGGGGGTGAAGTGTGAGGGACAATTACCGAGAATCAGAGGCTTGGACGGACAGTCTGGGCTGGAATCAAATTGGTGATGCTGGAGCGCGGGCGATTGCTGAGACGCTCAAACTCAATATGACGGTAGGTCGTCTATCTTCCTATGACTAGTGCATGTGAGTGGGTGATGGGAGGGGGGTGGAGCTTCAAAAGGGGGGTACTTGTTGCATTGCTCCAGCAGTAATTCGGTTGATGTTCGGGCAAGGTCGTAACAGGATGCAATGCTTTTAACGAGCATGACACGCGACTTTTGGTTGTTTCTGAAGCGGGTGCAAGTTTGCAGATCCCTCACCCGGAAACCACAACAAAAAAATCGCTCATAAACTATCTGTATTCAACACACATCTAGCAAAACGTTATCAAATGGCTCATCAAAATGTAAATGAAAATAACCCCGAAACTTGAGTGCGTTACTGGTGCATCATTCTGCAGGGAGAGAGAGAGAAAGAAGAGAAGGAAAAAAAAAAAACAAGAAAAGCGCAAGTGAGTTTCAAAGCGAGACCAGCAAAACTTTCCACGCTACCGCCCGCGCCGCCTGATGCATTCCTGCTGCAAACATACCCGTCGATAAGAGAGCTACGCATCTGGTTGACAATCGCTGATGGCTGGGCGTCTTGCAGCTTGAAAATGCTCTCAATGACGGAGAGCTCTGTGCTGGTGGTGTCCAGGCCGCAGAACGCGCTCCAGTCGTTAACGCAAAGGCCAGCGCCGATGACTTCACTGCCTCGGTTGACGGTACCGGCCTGTGAGCAGTAGAGGAGAGAGAATCGAGTGTGAGAAGCATGTCGCTTGCTGCTGTTGCTGTCAACGTCTCCTCGCTTCTTCACTCAAAACCTACCACAAGAGGAACTTGCAAGAGCGACGAAAGTTCGTCTTGCTCCTGAACGCTGGTGTAAGGGTGGACAATACCGCCTCGGTTGCTGAAGGCGCAATAGCTGCCGACCAGCACGTGGCCAGCGACTGTTTGACGGAAGACTTCAACCTGGAGGGTATCGGCGATGATTTCCTCGGTTTCCTGTAAGAGGTTGGCCATGGAGGAGGAGGAGGAGGAGGAGGAGAAAGAAGAAGAGCAAGTGAGAACCAAAAGCAACTGCATCAGTCACCACACAGGTTTGCTTGCACACTCACGCGATCGAGATCGGGGTGAACAAGAGCAACATAGTCGTTGCAGGCAATAACGTTGCCAAGAGCGGAGAGACGCTCCTCGACGCGCTGGATGACGACGCTGTCAGGGAGGGCGTTTCGGATGTGCTGGAGCTCCTGGTCGGTGGTGCTGGCAGGGACGAGCAGACCGTTGCGGTTGCCGCAGGTCAGGCGACCGATGATACGCACGGTGCCGATGGACGTGTGGACAACGGGAATGCGGTCGGCAAGTTCGCCCTCAAAGACACTGAGGAAAGCAAGAGATTTAGCCCACAGTTGAGTGAATATTCACGGTTTTTTTGTTTTTTTTTTCAGAGTCCATCCAATCTGCTCAAATGGTCGCAGCAGAATGATGGCGTTTGATTGATTTTGTGTTTGCTTCGAAGAAAAGCAGAAAGAAGGAAAATCGAGAAAAAAGGAAGGGTAACAAAGGAGAAAAAAAAAAAAAAAAAAAAGAAGCTTCTGGTTATGCAAGCATGGGAATGCCCAGCAAAGTGACGACATCGCGCCGCTTCCCAAACCCCATCCGCAGCCCCACAAAGCAAACACAACGACGACGACGACGACGAAAAGGGACGACAGACGAGGGGGGGGGACAAACCTGTAAAAGTTCTCGGAAGCACCGGCGCCGATCAGGCAGTACGAGTTGGTGAGCTTGGCAAAGACGCCAATGTCGTTGCTGCTCTCAAACTGTGCGCCTGTGCATCAGATCAGAGAAAACATTAGAGGGGTGAGCATCGTCACAAGCGCATCAGAGTAGGGTGGTAAGCTGCAACGAGAGAGGGGGGGGGATGCAGAAAAGCAATGGCAACGAGGAGGAACCATGTGGAGGACGACAAAGTCTCCGTTCTGGCTTTGCCTATCTGCCCCCCACCCTGCTTCGCCTCTCGCCTCATTGCACTATTTGCATGTAGATATGCGAACAAAGAAGATGGTGGCCTGGGACAACAATATGACGAGTGGCTGGGAATAGGGAACAAAAAAAAAACAACGTACGAACGGCCATTGCTGCTGATGTTGGTTCTTGGTTTTAATGTAGAAGACTGAGCGGATGAGTGCTCGGATGTGGATGGTATAAAAGCGGCAGAATCGATGTCATCATCATCAATTGAAAGTAAAGTTCAACTGGGCAGTTTTTGGGGGAAGGAAAACGGAAACCAGGACTTTGCACTTTGCAGATCAACCACAACCGCGCTCGATGTCCTGCAGCAAGCCCTCGGTGAGATCCATGATGCCTCTAGTACAACATGAAGTGATGCACTCAAAAGCCACTCAAAACCATTGTGCTTTGTTGTGATTTGTAGTCGCTTGTCTTTAACAGCTTTATTGAACAATCTTGCCTTTTTGCGAGGTTGAGCACCTCACTGCCTTGTGTAAACACTTTAGAGCTTCGAGTGAACAGGTCGACCTGCGGTACTATCTAGCAAGCGGCGGTCTTCCGCGTATGCTTCAAGACCTCATTTGTGCACAAGAGCGCGTTCCTGACTCTGGGTGGCAAATCTCGTGCCCTTCGTGCAAAGGTTGACCGATGCTTGCTTGATTGGATCGGCTTCCAAAGCTTGGCAACAATTTCTGACACGTACAGTTCTCGGGTGTCGTTGCAACATTCCAAACGTGTACACTGTATGCTCAGCGTTGGAGAAACTCAAAACTATGCGACTTCTCACCTGCGCCGTTCTTGTTCAGATAGTTTACTATCCCCCGAAAAAGTTCGTGAAGAATGGCATTCCACCATGTTCCCCTCCTCCACGTGAGCCCGCTCCTTTGTTAATAGATGGGTGCTGTGTGGCTGACACTATTTTATCAAGAATTTGCCTCCTCCAAGGTGCATGTGAGGGAGGAGGCGAGAAAAACTGCGATTTTTGTGAAGAAACAAATCTGAAACTTTCTGTATTTTTTCAAAATTTGCGGTATAACCGCCCGTTCCACCCATTTCAATCCAACCAAACCACTTTAATAACAAACATAACCATGACTCACATCATAAAATGCATGGATGCTCTCGGAGATAGAGCTGATGAGGCGGATGTAATGTGTTGGACTGAGCACTTTGTCGCTCACGTTTCGGAAGCACTCTCGAACCACGACTTGGTCCGTCGTCTCTGCACCTTGGTAGTTTTCTTTCCTGACCATGGTACATGAGTTTGCGATATGATACAGGTCGGGGGAGTTGGGAGGCTAGTCGGGCACGTCGACTTTGGGGTTTTTCAACCACCTGGTCACAACCTCTTTCTTGTGCCAGGGCGCATTGGTTTGATGGGATACGAAGTTTTTACCCTCTGGTGATGTGCAACGGGTGTACTTCAACTCATCATTGAGAAAGGACAGATAGGGGAGCGAGTTCATGCGGTCTCCGACCTCACGAAAGTGGGACACGGCGAAACGAGAAATTTTTGGACAATCGTCAATTTGCCACCCTTCCACACTTCACTTGCGGCTGGACGACCCTGTGGTCGAGCAGCTGCCCGGTTTCATGCGCACATGTTTGAACACATGCGTTGCTATACCCGGACAGCAGTTTCGCCTGAGGAAATGACGTTGAGCCACTGCTTGGCGGCATAATGCAAATGCCGTTTGGCGAAGCAAAAATCTTGTTTTGCTCGCATTTTCGGCGACCGCGACTTTTCGTACTTGACTCGGTACTTGAACCCCCGCCTACCCAGTTCCTTTTGAGCATAAGCTGTAGATGACATCATTGTCGTCATTTTGAGGGTAAAAGCGGCGATCTCAGAGGCAATGGGGGACTCTCCGGACTGAAATTGAGCTGGAAAAAGGGGGCAAAATTGGGCAGTAACCTCGAGTTTTCAGCCAAAGCTCGGCTTAGTTGCAAACCTGCCGCCCGCCTTGCACACACGAGTGTACCTGAACATTCTTCGGTACTTCAGACCAATCTGGGCGGCGATGGCGGGCCGAGGGACGCTGTACTCTCATCGAGCATTCACGTTAACACACATGATCCCAGGGCCCGGCCTTCCCTCCATCAACGGCACCAAACACGCCTTGTTGGGTTTTGGAGGTGATGCTAAGCACTTGTGCAGTGTGCGGGTAGAGGGTGGAGCGGAATGACGTGATTTTGGTGGTGGAAAGCATGAATTGATTGAAAAGTGGCAAATTTTTCGTGAAACCAAATTGCCAAAACTTCTTCTTTTCGGCCTCCCTCCTTCTCTGACGGAGCTCAATCTTCCAAATGACAGTGTATTTTGTATGTGCACAAGGTCTGACAACTACTGTAGGGGGAGAGGGTGGGGCATGGGTGCCGGAACATAGTGAACTACCATTCTTCACGAACTTTTTCGGGGGATAGTATTTTGGTTTGTGTTTTTTGCTTTTTTGTTTCCCCCGCAGTCCACTCTCACCAAGGTCTTTTTGTCCCCCTTCTAGACCCAGATTCACCAAAGCATGACGACTTCAAGAAGCCGAATACTACCAGTGCGACGACTGGAAGGCTGGCTCTGCATGCTGGCCGCACTAATGCTGATGAACGCTGGCGTTGGCGAAGGTTTGCCTTTCGCAGACCCACCGCCGTCGCCGCCTCCACACATGGCGGACAGCTCCCTGGACCTACCAATCAACCCCACAATTGCCACAACCATCGTCGTCGCCCCAACCACCACCACCGGGCTGCCGGAACCCGAGAGTCCTGACCGCACGAACGCGGACAACCCGAATTCGTGGTATCGCTTTACCCAGCGGTTTGACATTTTGCCGCTCGTGATTGTGTTAGCCATCATTGTGACATGCATCCCATCTGTCGGGCGCATCGACTTGAGGTATAATCGAACACCCGCCCAGCTGTTTGGGTACACGGGACTTCCGAACAGCGACGACAACAACAACAACAACAACAACAGCAACAGCAGCAACAACAACGCCAACGACGACAACTTTGACAGGGATTTCCCCTCTACCCAGCAACTGGCGGCTGCCAGGACACCCGTGCCCCAGCCCCGTCTTGCCAGGCTGTGGGATAAGCACGTTGCCCCGCTTGTCGATGCCCTGACGGCGAAAGTCTGGCAGACCACGCTCGGTGCGCGTTGGCGACGGTCGTCTCTGAGCAGCGTTGACAGCGGCGACTCTGACGCCTCGCACGACACGGCCCACACCTCTGTTGGTGATGATGATGATGATGATGCTGGTGATGGTACTGGCGATGCGTTCGACGATGCGGTTGACGGCCGGCCCGAGATGCAAGAGATTGCTTCGCGAGCAAGCGGGCAAGGGATGAACGCGTGCCAACAAGCGCGGGAGGAAATTCCGCGCACGCCCTTGGAGGCTATTTTCGCCCGCGCCACGGCGCCCGTTTCTTCCTTGCATTCTTCCGAGAGTCACGACAGTGAGCTCTTCCCGATGGCAGCAGCACACCCACAGGTTTACCGGCTAAACCCGAGCGCGAGCCTGGTTTTCGGCCATTCTGGGTGTTCTTCCAAGCCCGTGTAACAACCCGCAGCCCGCAACCCCCAACCAAACAATACAGTTATAATTTACCTCTGCTGGAGCAAAATCTGCGGTGTTGCGAAACGGAGGCGTGTTGTTTGGATGGCCCACAACGGCAAAGCAAAACAAAGCGAGATAAAAAAAAAATAATAATAATAAAAAGAAGATTGTCGTGGAGCACCGTCCAACGATGTTGCGTAAGTTGAGTAGGTGCAGCCAGCTCAGAGCCGTATTCCGGCGACCGCTGAACACGGACCCTTTTTGCTGTTCCATTTCTGGCCTGCACACGGTTCAAGTCTCATTATCGCAATGACCCCAGCCCGGAGGCCAGAGTCCCGCTTTTTGCCCTCGACACCCCTCCTTCCGGTGGGATGCCGATAGCGATGCGCCAGCTTCGCTCGGGCAGCTCCTCTACACTGGAGCACCTACTCAAGTGGATCTCACACGCACGCCATCCAAGTGACCCTCAATGTCCTGAACTACAGTTACAGATGGGCGCTAACCATCCGACAAGAGCAGAATTGCAGTTTGCTGTGAATTTCAACCCTTTCCGCGGTCGAGCTGGCTTGGCTTATGGGTCGACTGAGTGATTTACTGTGCCATCGGCTCCCCTCACCGTCTCTCGCGTCTAGTCATGGTGTGCAAGATTCGATTTCCTCGCCATCTATCGGCTGATGCAGGTGCGAGGACTGCTTCTGCCAAAAGGAGACCAATCGTTTAGTTTTTGGGTTTTTGGATGCAAAATCCTCCATTTCTGCTCTCGCTCCTTCTCCACCAATCGATATTGCATCACATCCATAACTATTTCAAACAACATTCGCTTGTCGAATAAGACCTCAATCTGGCCAAAGCGCAGTCATGCTTGGTGCACTCGGCCCACCACTGCGGACGCTGCCGGTGCTTCCGGCGCCCGTTCGCGCCCTGGCCAACCCAACGCGGTCGCTGCTGCATGCCAGCCCAGCTCTCTACCAGATGAGTGCCCGGCTGAGGCAGAGTCTCATCGCTCGGCCAGCGTCGCAACTCGTCCTCACACAGCAATTCCTTCAAAGCGCGCGAGTTGTTCTCCGTCCCACTCACGCAGTCCGCTTCCACACGACCCCCGGTGGCTACAGCAAGAGCACTGCTTCATCTTCGCGTGAGGCCAGCCACACGCTGCGTGACGAAAGCGGCCAGGTCCGGTCTTCCTCGCCACCACCCCCACCGCCGCCGTCATTGCCGGAACAGCCGCGCAAAGCCCGAGCTGCAGGTCTGACGTGGCGCCGCGTTCGATGGCTCGCGTTTCTCACAGTGTAAGGTTTCGAGCGTCAATGCGCTCAAGCTCTTTTGGTTGCACTGAGATTGGGACGTGGACTAACCGCACAACTCGAATGTGTGTGTGTGTGTGTGTGGACAGTGCCGGTATTGTCGGAGAGCGGGCATATACAAACCACATGCGATGGGAAGAACGCATCATGGAGAAACGCCGAGCTGCGCAGCGTGACGAGCGATCTCTTGCCGCTCTTTGTAAGAGTATTGTTGAAAACTGCAACATTGGCTCCAAACAAAATTTGCATCCGCACTCGCTGATTGCTGACATGAAATCGATCCATCCGCCGTGTAGATGACATTGATGACATCCATGCGATGGCCGACATTTTGACACGCGTCATCATGCTTTCGGCGCAAACTCCACTCCAGCAGCTGCATTCGTTGCTGCGCTTGAACGCCTTTGCAGAGCACAACTTGGATGCTTTCGGTACAATTGGATTGTTTTTCTTCCTCTTTGTTGTATCACTGCACCCCTCCTACTTGTTGACTGACACGTGGCATGGCGTACTTGTTGTTCCCTTTGCCTCGTCATTGCAGCTGCTTCCCTTCCCGGCCTCGCGCTTCATTATGGCGCTTTCGAGACGATATTCGATCTCGCGCAGTCGCGTCAGTTCCCGCAGCTTCGGCACGCTGCATCGCATGCACTAATGGTGCTTTCTTCTGCCGATGGTACGCTTCAAAGGTTAAAATCTGCTCGTCCATGCATCATTCAATCTCTCAAACACAACCTTGCCACACAGACTTTCTGCGAGACAAACTCTCGAGCATGCTTGCAACGGAAACGCAAATCCTGGTTAGCCTCGCGCGACAGCCTGGTCCCATCCCGGAGCTGCTCTTGAGCGCCTTGCAGCATCGGGCAAGTCGGAGCAGCAGCAGCAGCAAACCCGTCGTCCCGCCATCTGGCCTGGACGCACTCTCGACACCCCTGCCGCCAACGAAAGCGTCAGAATCCCCTGCACATCTTTTGAAACCGACGGCAGTGCCCGTCCCGCCGAGTCCCATCACGGCAGACAACACGTTTAACGATGCAGTCCGTCTGCGGTTGCGTTCGCTCTTTCTGCATTGCCGGGCCAGCCACGATCCGTGCCTGGATCACTTCTTGTCCCTTGCTTCGGAGCAGCTGATTCCTTCCTTGGTCCAGGCAAAGGAGGAGAGCGCCCGGTACATGTACTCGCATCATGAAGACGCGCACAGCACAGTGGCCTCCTTTGGCCACGCGCCCACCGTTCTTCTCGAGTTGTTTTCCGTCAAGGCGCTTGCGCTGCTGTCGGCCCATCCTGTAAATCACCCCATCATCATTAAACGCCGCGGTCTGCCGGTGCTGGCCTCGCTCGCTCGGCACCCCGATATTCGCATCCGAACCGACGTTGCCCGTATTGTCGCCAATGTCACGTGCTATGCGTCAAAGTCTCCCTCGACCGTCGACATGTTTGTTGACCATGGATGGCTGTCCATCTTTGGCGATTGGCTGCGCTCCGACGACCTCTATCTTCAAGCACACGCTGCGCGTGCTCTGGCCAACCTTGCCGGCGATCCGCTCACTTCGCTTCATGCGCAGTCTCAATCTCCACCTGCTGCTGATGTTGCTGCTGCTGCTGCTGCTGCTGCTGCTGCTGCTGCTGCTGCTGCTGCTGATAGCGTTCCTTCTGACTCTGCTGATAACGCAGAGTCCATCAGCGCAGGCGACCTCAATCTTGCAGAGTTTGCGGCTGCCCGCATGGCAAGCGCAGCTCCGAGCAGTGCAATGGCCGCGTCCATCCACGAGGTCCTCCAGACGTCCGTTTCAAGCACGCCTTCACCTACGCCCGCCCTCCGACCCGTCTACCAGGATGGCGTGTTTTTGCTCTATCCGCAGTTTTCCACCGTCGCCCACACCGACGCGGACGTCGTTTTTGTGCATGGCTTGCTGGGCGGGCCTTTTGTCACCTTCCGTCAAGGCCTGCCACCCGCTCCGTCGCAAGACGCGCCAATTTCGCGGTGCTGGCCAAAGGTGCGCCACCGAGGTCGTGCTTGCTCGTTCGTTTGGCGAAGCGCAGCCGATGTTTGTTTTTTTTATTTTTAATTTTGTGTTTTCCTGTTCATCTTGCTGTTTGTTGGTGAGGTAGTTTTGGCTGGCCGAGGATGTCCCGAACGTGCGCATTGTCACACTAGAGTACGATACTTACGTGAGCGACTGGAGTCCTTGGTGCCCGCATATTGCTGCCGACACGGTGCGACGTTCGCTTTCCCAGCGAAGCGGCGAGGTAAACTCGGCTGTTGTCCGTTCTGTCGCCCCATGTTGAACGGATGAACGCTCACACCCCCGCCCCGCGGACTACTGTGTTGCAGATGCTCGAAAAGCTCAATGCAGCATGCATTGGTGCCAATGGTCGACCAGTCATCTGGGTCTGCCACTCCATGGGTGGATTGCTCGTCAAGCAGATGCTCGTCGACGCGGCTGAGCGACCCGAGTTGCGGCACATTGTCGACAATACGAAAGGCGTTGTCTTTTTCAGCGTCCCGCACGCAGGATCGAGCTTGGCTGAGTACTCGGCAAAGGCCCGTTACCTTCTGTTCCCGTCCATCGAAGTCAATCAACTCAAGGCCGGCTCGCCGCAGCTTGCCAAGCTTGCCAGCCAGTTCTCGCCGCTTGCACAAAAGTTTGATTGCCTGAGCTTCAATGAGGTCAAGCCGACCGTTTTGATGAGCGGGATCCAAATGACGGTGAGCCGGCCTTTTTCGGGGTCAACATTTGCTTCTTTTTTTTCCATTGAGCATATGCTGATACTTCTGTTTCTCATATGCTGATACTTCTGCTTCTCGTTGCTATAGGTCGTAACTCCGGAATCCGCCAATATCGGAATCGGAGAGTACATTGAAACCGATCACGATCACTTGACTGTCTGCAAACCTGTGCATCGGAATGATCCTCGGTACGAGCGCGTCGTCTCGTTCATTCGGCACCGCGTCCCGGGTCTTGAGCTGATTGAGGAAGTTCCAGTGGATCCCGAGACGGTGGATGCGGCTCTTGAACACGACAACATTCTTCGCGAACAACGCCAGCACCAGGAGCATTATGCTGCGAGCAACCAGGCCAGTTACAATGCGACTCTGCTCGCGCAAACTGAGGCCGAAGAGCAATGGCGGCAGCAAGAGCCGTTTGTCGAGCAAAATCTCATCAAGACGGGCGAGTAATGTTTTTTGGAGCATCTCTCGTCTGCGACAAAGGCTGAAGCTTGGAAACCTTGCTTTTTTGCACAAAATCAAAATGTACCATATCGTGTTTAATAGTCGGACGTTTGACACATTTGCCTGCATCACAACAGGCAACACCTTCTCAATAAAAGCTCAAAACAGAAATACATGGCTTCACATTGCTGGCGGACAAGAAGGGGTGCAAGCGAAACGGGAGAAAAAACCCAGTGCTGTTTGCGCTCCAGGCGCAACCAAACTGGCAACAATGCTTTTGCAACAACTCAACTGGGATTTGGTGAGAGGGGAGGGGGGCGGCAATGGCGACACCATCGTTACACTTTTGAGTGGCTCGCATTGATCGAGCTGGCAAATCGCTCGATATCGTCCAGGCTGAGCGAGGAGAGGAAGCCGGCACAATCCTTTTTAAAAGTTCGCACAGTCGCGCCAATCTGCTCTGGTGTCAAGGTGCGTCGCTGCTCAAGGAAGCGCGTCAATGCGAGGATGATATCCTGAACCGGTCCTGTTGGTGGTGCAGGGCTGGATGGGGCAGCAATCACGGCGACATGCTGCGGGGTTGCGCTCGGCGAAGCAACGGCCGTCGAAGGTGAAGCAGGCGCCGATGAAGACTCTGCCTTGATGAACAAGTGCAATTTGCAGCCTTCAACTAGGCCGGCGGCCGCCAGAGAGTTTGAATCTAAAGACAGAGCCGTTCGGGGGATGAGCTTAGGTCGACAACTTCCATCATGACGACGAGGCGCACACAGTCCAATAAACTTACCAACAAGTGCTTTGCCTTTCAACACCAATCGCTGTTGGCCAGCAGGGATGCTGCACTTGGACTCTGCGGCAAGTTTGAGCGCGTACACGGTCTCTGAGCAAGCGATCTGTGCAAAAGACAAATCGAAACAATCGAAAAAAAAAAAAAAAAAAAAGTCAATGCAAGGGGAATTTGGTGCGCCGTGCTGCGTGCATACGTAAAGTGCATGCGAAGCAACTTTTTTTTTCTGCTATGACAGACCTTCAGTGAGAACTCGTCGCCCTTGAGTGGCTTGATGGTGACGGAAATCTCTGGACCGGGCTCGCTCTCAACGGACGTGGACTTGCCCGACGACGAACTTGACGACGCCGAGGACGACGATGACGACGACGACGATGTGGAAGACGAGGACGAGTACGTGACAGTTCGCACGGGCGTCTTGTTGCCAGCAGCAGCAGCAGAGGAAGATGAGGGCGAGGATGAAGACGACGACGACGACGACGAGGGCGTCCGTGGCTGTGGCGGCGCAAACGACGCTGGCTTGATGTGTTCTTGTGCTGTGTGCAGTGATCGAACGAGTGTAATTGAGTGAGTGAGTGAGTAAAGCGAGCGAGCGACTGTGAGGATTGAAATGTCCAACCCGACTCCTCACTCCCGCTCTCAATCACCCTCCCAGCGGCAAAGCACTCGCTGCGCACTCGCTTTCGCAGTGATCAAAGCAGACGAATGAGTGAGTGTCGCGATGTCGACCAGGCTTTGCTTACTTGTGTAGTCCTTGTTGCGGACGACGCGATACTTGTTCAGCTCGGCTTCAAACGTTTCCTGCTCCATTTTGAAAAAAAAAAAAAAAAAAAAGGTTGAGTGGACTTTGGATTGGAGTTTTGTTTTGATTTGTAAAGAATCGGTTGCTGTTGGAAAAGTACAAGGGTTTGAGCAGTGATTTGATGAGTTTCGGAATGCCCGTTTCATGTAGAAAATTTTAGTGTTGAGCTCGTTGTGCTAGCTCGAATTTCGGCAGTCAAGTTGGGGAAGCATGTCGCCTTGAGACGCCTTTTTTGAAGAGCGCCTAAACTTGGAGCACAAAGTCAAAAGTCCTGCAAAACACCTGCAAATACAACCCCGAATAGAAAATGAAACAAACAACATTTTCACAAAGTATGAGCGAGAGAAATGCTCCACATCGGCACCTACCATCGAAAGTTCATCGGCTCTCACGTTCTAGGCTTGTAACGGCCACAGTCGTGTTTCTCTGCGCTCTATTACAACTCAATATTATTATAAATTATATTTCTCATCTGTTCGATGCATCTCGGCGCGAATGGCTCTCTGTCTCGGCTGTCTAATCGACCTCCAACAAACCCACTTTGAGCATTTCCGAAACAGCTCGCCCAAGAAAGCCAAAAACCGCCAAACTTGAATTTTTTTTCCTTCTGGGATTTTCTTCACCCTCCAATCTCTTTTTACTTGACGCCAATGACACCAACGCCACGAAAACCCAGATTTGAAAAGGCCCAATTCGGATACCTCCAAAAAGTCTCACTTGTTTTTTTTTTTTTGTTTCGTTTCTTTTTTTTTTTTGAGTTTTGGTTCGTTTTTGTTCAATTTTTTTTGAACTTTTATCAGCAAATGATGGCCACGTCTGCACTCGCGACGCCAACGCCTGCCCTGGCGCCGTCCCTCCACGCAGCAGGAGCAGCACCCACTGCACTCCCCGCTGCCAACACCAGCACGGGCTCCAGCGCTGGCGGCAGCAGCAGCAGCAGCGGCAACGGACGGGGCGCAACTCGTCGTCGAAACCCACAAGACGCTTCTGCTTCTGCTTCTGCTTCTGCTTCGTCTTCCGCTTCCGCTGCGTCATCCGGCGCCCGTCGCAATCCCAAGGCAAGTTGCTGCTCTCAATGCAGCTGCAAGCGTCGCTGTTCGACGTTGCCTTGCTTTGCTCTGTTCGAGTGACGAACATTTGGACAATGACGAAGATGGAAAAGCAAAAAAAGAAGGAAAAAGAAGGGAAAAAAAAAAAAAAAAAAGAAAAAAATCGTCATCAAAAAAACAAGGTTTCAAAGCGATTTTTGTTTGATTTCTTATTTTCTATTTTTCTTATTTTCTTATTTTCGATGTTCGATTTCTGATTATTTCGCTTTTTTTCAATTTTCGATTCTTGCCATACTTTTCAGGCACAGTCGTCGTCAAACAAGCAGCCGCAGCAGCCGCAGCAGCCATTGATCGGACTCGCGCTGTCCATGCGCGACACGTCCGTTGCCGATGCGTCCATGTCATCGTCGACGGCCGCGCGTCCTACCACCAACGGTAGCAACCGCCAGCCCAACAACAAGCAGCAAAACCACAAGGACAAGCTCAGCCCTGCTGCTGCTGCTGCTGCTCCTCCTCCTGGCTCGCTTCCGCTGATGTCTGCTGCACCTGCAACACAGCGTCAGGCACTGCTGCCGACACCCGTTGCAAGCGCTTCCACTGGGGCTCCCAAGCAACCGGAAGGAACGTTTGTTGACGGCGTTTTCGTGGCGCCAACAACGGCTTCAAAGAATGCACGCCGCCCAAAGTCATGGTCTGATGCGCCACAGCAACAGATGCAGCAGCCGTACCCGCACCTGCAGGTCCAGTATGCCGCGACTCCTGCCATGGCGGTGCCTGCGAGACAGGGAGTTCGCTCCCACTCGCCGTCGTCGTCCTCCCCACCGGGCGAGGGCCGGTATGCCAACGTCAACTTTGGCGCTGCTCCTGCTCCAAGCAGCCTGCCGCTGCCCTCGTTTGGCGAGAGTGCCAATCGCGCCACTTCGGTGCCTCCGTCCATGCTGCTTTCGTCGACTCCCCCGAGCGCGCATCTGCCGCATCCTTCGCTGCCCGTTTCCGTCCCTCAGTATGCACCCCACTACGTGTATGCGCCTGCCCCTCACCCCTACTTTCACCACCCGCAGCAGCAAGGCTACCAGCAGCCCATGAGCATGTCCTTGCCCTCGACGCTCAGCTTCCATCCGCCGACCGCCTACTCTGCCCCGCCTCTTGGCGCCGTTCCGCTCCAGAGTGATCCTCGCGCGCAGATTGCGACCGATTTGAAGCAAATGCTCAAGATTGGCATTGTTGCGCCGGCGCCTCAAGCTGTTGCAGTTTCGACTTTTTAAAAGCGGAGCTTTCTGTTTTTTGTTTTTCCCCGCCTTTTTTTCGCCTCCCTTTCATGTACATTGGTCTTTCCCCCCATTTCGAAGGAAGTGTGTCATTTATGACGCTCTCTTCTTTCGCTGTTGATTTTTTTTTTCCGGTTGATTTCTTTCTCTTCTTCCTCTTTCCCCCTGTGTGTGGTTTGTCTCCTTTTTGAGACGTCTGGGCAACACTTCATGATGAAGTGACATTGTCCTCCTCCAACGCGAGGTCTTGTCGTCGCTGGTACTATTATCTCTGGCTTTGACATTCTTTTGTTTTGTCTTTGATGTGATGGTTGTTCGCTTTGTTTTGATTTTCCATCTTCTTTCTCTTTTTCTACTTCTTGTTCTTCTTCCTTCATTTGCCCTTTTCTTCTTTCTCTCTCTTTCTCTCTCTCTTTCTCTCTCTTTCCCGGTGCTTTTCAGCGCCACTCTTCCATTTCACTCGAGAAATTTTCCATTCCATTTCCACTTTGAATGCAAAAGGCTGGTGGTGAAGACGAGATTGCGACTGCTGCGGGGTGTCCTTCCGATTCGGTACCCATCATGAACATGCATTCATCCTGTGATCATTGCGGATCATTGTGATACCAGTGTCGCATGACAGTCGTGTGTGTGGGTTGCGTCGTGACACGGTCTGGGCTATCTGTTCATTCTGAGCGCTGAAGACGGGTCCATCGTGAAAAACAAGTCCCTAACTGAGAGTGCATGTCCCAAATGCACATCATGCTCTTGCCTCTTGCTGTGGTTGATTAGGGCATGGCGGGCCGTGCTTCGGCGTGCGAGGGCTGTCCCGGTCGCGAGCTCTGCAGCCAGCAAGGTGAGCGAGAAGCGCAACCCTTCCACTTTGTCGCATCCCACTTTTGATTGCGTGGTCTGACTTGTTGTTGTTGTCGTTGTCGTGCTGTGCTTTGTGCGGTGGTCGCTGTGCAGGCGGCGTCGATCCAGACCAAGCGGGCATCAACGTCCGCATGAATGCGATTCGGCACAAGGTCATCGTGCTCTCTGGCAAAGGCGGTGCGTGCCTGTCTCACTCACTCGTTGTTCGCTTGTGGCTGTGATGAATTTGAGTGCATTTCGTGAGCAGCGTGCAGTGCTGTTGACGGGTGGCGGATGCGCGTGGTGTTGGATGAACTCGCTTTTTCAGCCAAAACCAGAACGTGTTGTTTTGACTCACTTGCCTGAACAACAACATTGTTGCGCATCGCGATGCAAAATTGTAGGTGTCGGAAAGTCAAGCGTGGCTGCAACACTGGCAATGGCTCTGGCGGCAGCTGGACACAAGGTACTGCTGCCTTTTTTCGCTGCTGATTGAGAGACAAACACGCATTTCATGCCAACCCGCGTATGTTTGCCGCAATTTTTAACGACAAACCTCAACTAGGTTGGTATTGTGGATCTCGATATCTGTGGTCCGTCCGTGCCCAAATTGCTCGGCGTGGAAGGCATGCCAGTGGTCAACTCGGAATATGGATGGCTGCCACTCAAGTGCGTGGTGATTTCAACGCGTTTTTTTGCGCGCCGTGCATGCTTTCAGTCCATCAAACTCACCTTTTGTGTGCTGTGCATTACACCATGCATGCACGTACAGATCGCCTCATTACGACATTAAGGTCATGTCGGTGGGATCGTTGCTGACAGACGCCGACTCTGCGTAAGCGTGTGCTGGGCGGAGCTGTGCGCTGGTGTCTTTTTGATGACTCACTCGGTGTGCAACCTTGGTTGCTCTTGTTCGATGCGCACAGAATTGTATGGCGAGGGCCACGCAAGACGGGCATCATCAAGCGGTTTCTCAAAGATACGCTCTGGGGTCGATTGGACTTTTTGATATTCGGTGAGTCCCCTTGTCATTGTAGCCTTGGTTCAAAGTGAAGCGTATGCGCTATGGTAGTACTGTCTCCTCGCCAAGAGTCTGCTGTTCCGAGTCTGACCCCGTTTCTTTTCTCGTTCTTGTTCTTCTTGTTCTTCGGCTACTCTTCCTCGTCTTTCTCATTTGATAGACACCCCGCCTGGAACGTCCGATGAGCACTTGACCGTGTTGTCCGCATTGAAACAGGCCAAGCCCGACGGCGCAGTGCTCGTATCGACGCCTCAGGACAGCGCTCTTGTCACAGTTCGGAAGGAAATCACGTTTTGCAACAAAATGGGCTTGCGGATTTTGGGAGTCGTGGAGAACATGGCTGGCTATGTTTGCCCATGCTGTGGGGTGAGTTTGTCCGTTCCGGCACCAAGCACGTTGTGAATAGTACCACCTACTCACTGCACTTTTTTGTTTTGAATGATTCGGCTGCCGGTGCCGCAACAGGAGCACACTGACATTTTCTCCTCCAAGGGCGCTCAAAAGCTGGCCACCGAGTTTAACTTGCCATACCTTGGACAGGTCCCACTGGATCCGGTATGGTTTGGGAAACTGATTCAACAGAAGCCTTTTGTGTGTCAACTCACGCTCGCTTGTGCATTTTGCAGACCTTGACACAGCAGTGTGAAACAGGTTCTGACATTTTCAAAGCCGCTCCGAACAGCGTTTCGGCAAAGGCCATGTCTACCATTGCCAATACCGTGTTGGAGATGGTCAAGCAGTCGCGATAGGTGTGCGCCGACAAAGACCACACGTTTTCATCCCAACGCGCAAGATTGCACGTTCAGCTCAGCCAGCGTTGTATCTTTCGCACAATACATTATTACTTGTACCATTTATTTACGAGGCACTGTTCTCGATTTTCTCCAAACTGAGCAAACTCAGTCGTTTCGTTGCTGCATTTTTTTTTTTGTTTAACATCATGGCTGGTCCGGATTCCCAGTTCCCCGTTGCGCTGTTCGCCTACGGCACTCTCATGTACCCCGAAGTGGTCAACAAGGTCATGAAGCGTGTGCCAGACATGCACGACGCCGTGCTCGAGGTGAGAATCGCTGCTTGCCGTTGTTGTTGTTGTTTAAGTGCTTGCGCACACGTGCCTCCCCCCCCCGCTCATCTGCCAACTGTGTCTCGACTGCTCGTGCATTGCGTAGGGGTACTATCGCATGCACATCCGAAACCGGCTGTATCCGGCGGTGGTGGCGCACGACGCGTGGCCGTTGCCCGCAGAATTGGCAAACCCGACTGCCGAAGCCAAAGCAACACGGCCAGCGATGGTGCATGGTCGTGTCATGTACATTTCAGAGGCCGAGCTGCGCGCGATGGATGTGTACGAGTCATCCGTACGTAGAATTCGGATTTATGGGAGGACTGCATCCATGCATTTTTGTTCTGCACTTGCTCATCTTGGCCATTCTGATGGATGGTTTTGACACTAAGAGTTATCGGCGGTGTGTCGCAAAAGTCAAGCTCGCCGCCAACGCTGGCGCAGAGCCAATTGATTGCCATGTGTATGTCTGGGGCGATTCCATGAGCGATCTCTACGGCGAGTGGGTGCCCGAAGAATTCCTCAAGGAAAACTACGAAAAGCATTGCCGAAATATGGGCATTGTTCGTCCTTCACCTGCAGAGTAGAAAAAACCAAACGACGACTCGAGTAAAACCAGTGTTTCTTCATTCATGGCGCGCACATCAAACCAAGTTGAAGGCTTGGTGGATCTCTTTGTCAACCAAACACAAGACAGCAAACCCGAGTTGGCTGTCAATGCCATAGAGTCATAGTGCACAAACGAAAGACCGAAAAGGCGAGAGCAAGGGAGGGGGGGGGGATGAGAGAAAGAAAGAGAGAGACACACCAAAAGAAACTTTATAAGGAACAACGACAAGGGACACGGGGAAAAAAAAAAACCGAAAACACACGTTGCCACAAACTCAAAATAATAACAATGAGTACGCTGCAAGAAGACGCGCTCAGAGCATAGCACATGGGAGACCCAAAGGCATCTGCCTCACCCGACAGCCGATGCAATGATTTCGCTTGTTTGCAAATTGGAGCTCCGCACAGTCAATTGCATGGCAACGCCTTCGCCGGGACCCTTGAACAGGAGCTTGGCATTGACAAGCACCTGATCTCCACCACGGAAGACACCCGACAGTTGCAGGGCTTGTGCCGACTTTGACGCGTTTGGCTGCGGCCGTCCGCACGAGAAAAGACCCAGGAAGCCAATAACAGTCGAAACAGCCTCTGTTCAGCAGCAGCAGCAGCAGTAGCAGCAGCACACACAGCAGTAAAAACGTCAGAAAACGAAATACAACTTGGCCAAAAAGCAAGGCTACAAACAAAAAGCGCACAAAACGACCAAAAACGACCCAAAGCAAAAGCATGGTTACCTTCCAGAGACTTCATGGAAGCCAGCTCGAACGTGTCCGACACCTCCGAGTCTTGTGGCAATGCGTTCCAAGCAGCGGCAAAGTCAGGGAATTCGATCGGAACCACCTGGTCTGAGACTTGCAGTTCGACATCCTCAACAAGGTACTCGTCGGGGTAGCCCTGTTCGTCGTCCGGCTCGCCCGTGTTCGGGTCGCAGTCCTTGACGAGGAACTTGAGTGTGTTGGAGAAGGTTCCCGAGACTGCGCCAAGAAGAAAACCAGGAATTGAAAAAAAAAAAAAAAAGGGAACGGAGTTAGAACTCTCGCAAGCATACACAAGGACAAGAAAACCCCACCCCCACAAACGCCCCGTCAACGGGAACTTACCAATCTTGGGATCCTGGGGCAACTCCACAACAACATAGCTGAACGCGGGCTTGCCATAGGGGAGAGACTTGGCAGGAATGACCTTGCGAACAATGAAGCCGTCGGGGCAGTCGAGTTGAACCTTGACATCCTCGAGCAGCTGGTCGTTGAGCGTGTTTGTGAGCTCGTACTCAAAGACGACAGCCCTCGAGAAAATGTGTCGGGTGCAGGACACGACATACTCGGTCTCAGCCTCGGTAAGTGGTGTCGGCTTGGAGCTGCGGAAGAGCGGGCCAAGCTGGCCGAGCTCAGGGTGGGCCGCCAGACGTGCGGCGTTGCGATCTTGCTGCTGGGCAGCCGAGAGGTTGATGCCCGCAGCACCACCGACGGCAGCAATGCCACCGGCAGCGGCGAGCGCGGCGGCCGAGCCAGCGACAGCGGCCGAGCTGGGGACAACTCCTGCCATAATGTCGGCCTTGGAGAACTCGGGCTTGGCCGACGGAGCCTGGAGCGGCACCGTTTTGAGATTGAAGGGCGTGGCGCTCGGGTTTTTGAGGTAGTCGACGAGCGAGCGCTCGAGGGCGGTGATCGAGTACGGCAGGTCGCTCATGATGAACGACTTGACGTGGGCCTCGTCCGAGCTCAGCACGCGGAGGTAGAAGGCCGCGCGATCACGAACTTCGTCGTCCGTGTCGTGCAGACAGCGCGAAAGCAGGGCAATAATCATGGGCGCCAGGTTGGAGCTGTTGGGGCTGACAGCAAACTTGGCGAGCGAGCTGACGGCAGCAGCGCGAACGATGGGGCTCTCAAGCACGACGCGGTTGTAAATGATGCGCACGTAGCGCGAGGGGAAGGAGCTCTGGGGCGCCAGGCGGCCGAGCATGTGCAGAGCGCGAGCGGACAGCGCGGGGTGCTCGCAGTCTTCCACAAATTCGGCGAGGTGGTTGAGCGCAATTTCGCGCGCAGCGGGGATTTCGTGGATGATGGATGTGATGGTGTCCACAATCGCCTTCTTGTACTCGAACGAGCCGTCGTCGCGGAAGACGGCCGACAGAAAGTCGAGCACGACAATGTGCTTTTGCGGGAACTTGAGACACAGGGTGCGAATGGCATCAATGACAACAATCTTGAACTCGTCCGAAATCTCCGACATGAAGGGAGTGATTTGAGTCATGAGACGGTCGACGCTCGCTTCGCGACCCGTCTTGAGCAGCGTCGTGATGGCAAGCGTGGCAATGGAGCGGTTGGAGTCCTGGATGAGGTTTTCAAGCTCAATGTTCGTGACAGCAACAGCCGTCGGGTAGCGGTTGGCGACCTGGCTGAGCGTGCGGACGGCGGCAAAGCGCATAATGGACTTGGGGGCCGTGAGGAAGAGCTGCATGACGCTCAGGGCCGGGATGATGTCCTTGTTGGTCACATTCTTCAGCGAGCAAATGGCACGCGCGGCCTCGTACACGACGAGCTCGCTCTTGTGGCGCAGGCAGAGATCGAGGAACTGCAGCAGCTCATTGTAGAGGGCAGGGTCGTCTTGCATCGAGCCGACAGCATACCGGATCAGGTTGCAGTACGCCAGCGACGATCGAAGCGAGCCCTTGGTCTGCGAGGTGACGAGCTTGGTGACGGCCAGGCGATCGCGCTGCTTGATGTGGTACAGCAGGCCGAGTGCGTGGTACTGCGCCATCAGCGTCTTGCCGTTCAGGGCCTCCGTGATCTCGTTCACCCATCGCTTGATGATGTCCTGGTTGCTGCCGAGCAAGTGCAACGACGAGACAAGCGCGGCACTGCTCACCGCGGGGTTGCGGTCGACAATGGCTTGCTTCATGTATCGCTCGATGCCTTGGAGCATGGTGCTCTGTACAAGCAGGAGGAGAGAGACAAAATGAAATGACTGGTGCTATCTACCAAAAATACCCGAGCACACGTTGCAGTTTTCCTCCGGGCTCCCTTACATCTGTGATTCGGCACAAGGCGCGAATGGCCGCAGGCCGGTACATGTCCTCCTTGGCCGTCATGTCCTTCGTGAGACTGCTCGTGACGATAATCACGTCATTGGCGACCTTGGCGAGTTCCTTGATGGCCAAGTAAACGAGCCGTCGGATGGTAATCTACCACGAAGGAAAGGAGGAGAGAAAATGGCAAAAAAAAAAAACGAAAAAAAAAAGAGTCAACAAAACACTCGGTCCAACCAAGCGACAAAAAGCCAAACAAACATACATTTTTGCACTGGAAGAGCTTTGTGATGGCAAAGAAGGTCTCGGTTGCCTCGGTGGTGCCAAGCGGCTCGCCGCTATACAGCAGGAAGAGCAGCTTGTTGAGCACGAGATTGCATCGACGCGGGTTGATGGTCGTCTCGTTGAACGCCTGGCGCGCCTCCTGCACGACCGCGCTCTTGTCTATGGACGCGTACGGATTGTAGTCGCCTGTCGGTGGTTGGCAGAGCGATAGGTAAGTGAACGACGATTCGCGGTGCATTCAGAATCAGAATCCGGCAGCCTCGAGCGCCGAGATCAACATCACGGGGCGGGGCATAGCAAAAACAAAGGGACACGGAAACGCGAAAGGCACGAGATCCATCAACACGGATCAAAGGACAACATCAAGCCAACAGAATCCAAAGCAGAAAAGAAAAACGAAGAAGAAGAAGAAGAAAAAAAAAAAACCAACCAAAAAAAAAAAAAAAAGGAGCGACGTGGCTGCGTCGAGTTGGCTCTGTCAGCGCTGTCCAGCAGGCAGGCGGATCACCAAGCGCTCGAAAGCACCATCCAAGTCTTTCGCAAAAGGACACCCACTCGTAGCGCCGTCGCACGCACTCAAAAACCCGCCTTCCATCGCGATGGAAAATAACACAAAGATGTATAATTTTAGGGGCGATCTCGGATTTGAGCGTTTCGGTGCCCCGCCACCCGTCGCTTGGTCACAGATCGCCGCGGACGCAGCCCAACCGTGCAGAATGAGTGACAGCGAAATGTACGCAGCCAGCTCACGGGCCCCGGGCGGCTCCAACACGCGTCGCAGCGGCCGGAAAACGACACAAGCCGTCGTATCCCAAAGAGACAATTTTTGCATGACGCCCCGCAGCAAGCGATCGATTGGCACCGTCAGTCGGCATACCAGCGGCGTTCGCTCTCGCCAGTACCGAATGGCCTTCGACGGGACAAAGTCAGCTGCACAGAACGCCGTGTCGGGCTGTCATCCCTGCGCGAGTTGCGGGGCGAGCAATTGTGTGCGTCGATCGCAATTTCTGCGCACTCTTTCTCTCGACGAGGGCCCCCTCACAAACCACCTGCGAGCGTTGCCAGCCAGGCACGGAAGCTGTGCCATGCATCAACAGAGTTCGGGAGGGAAGCAAAAAAGGCGGTGGTGCAACTCTTACCGTCCTCGTCCTTCTTGGACATGATGTGTGTTGAAGACTGAATTATCCAAATGAAAAAATCAAAAAAAAAAAAAAAATCGAGAAGAAAAAAAAAAAAAAAAACGTAAAAAAACGAAATCAAAAAAGAATCCAACGATTTTCAAAGTCGCTCGATTTGGCCGGACTCGATCGCTCTCTCTTTTGACAGTGCGTAACATCGACATGTATCCGACCTCCTCCCATGTCAATCCGATACACCATCATGTGCCGGCATCGATTCAGCATCGCAAAGGGGGTGGTACAATGGCGAGATGGGGCGATTGGGGCTGGCAAAGTCGGGGAGTTGGAGGCGAAATGGGCTCTGGGTCGTTTTGCCAGTCGCTTGCACTTTGCAGCCTGTTCCCGACTCCGCACACGCGCGTTGCGTTGCGCCAAGTGTGCCGCATGGCACAGCCAGTGCTGTTTTCTTGGTGGCACGGCGAAGGGGACACGCGCGCTCGCGACACAGGGGCAGGAAGGAGTTGGTGAAGCGTGTCTTGGAAAAAAAAAAAACAAAAAAAAAAAAACATGAGCAAGCGCAACTTGTGCTCCGTCCGTGTCGCTGTCCCCACCCTCTGTCGTGTGCGCGGCATCGCTGCCTCTGCTAGGAGGGCGACTGTATTGATTGCGCTCTGACAACTCCCTTCATCGATCTCCACCCGCTCGGCTCTGCGCTGACTTTTGCGCCACCGTGTTTTTTTTTTTCCTTTTCCCTTCCTCATTTTCTGTTTTCTGTCCTGTTCTCCATCAAAGGCTCACTTCTCCTTTTTGTCTCTCTCCCATTCGCAACACACAGCTTGCCCGATGTCGGAGTCTGTTCAGACCTTCGGCAAGAAGAAGACGTCCATTGCAGTCGCGCACTGCAAGCGCGGCCACGGCCTTATCAAGGTCAACGGCGTCCCCCTCGACCTCATCCAGCCCGCGGCTCTCCGCGTCAAGGTTAGCGAGCCCCTGCTCCTCCTCGGCAAGGAGCGTTTCTCTGGCCTCGACATCCGTGTCCGCGTTGCCGGTGGTGGTAACGTTGCCCAGATCTACGCCGTCCGCCAAGCAATTGCCAAGGCTATTGTCGCTTTCTACCAAAAGTTCGTCGACGAGGCTTCCAAGAAGGAGATCAAGGACCTCCTTGTTGCCTACGATCGTTCGCTGCTCGTTGCCGACCCCCGTCGCGCTGAGCCCAAGAAGCCCGGCGGTAAGGGCGCCCGTGGCAAGATGCAAAAGTCCTACCGTTAAGCCCTCGCCAGCTGGATCCCTTTCCTGGCTCCGTTCTGTTGTGCTTCAAGTCCGTTCATACTTTCGGTTGTCCCCTTTTACATCGTGCAATGTGCGCACCCTGCTGTTGAACATTTTTTGTACCAAAAAAACTACAACACATGGTTGCATCATTTTTTAAAACACACTATTTTGTTTTTCTTGCTTTTTGCGCGTCTTCCCTGTCGTGTTGCATTCTGTTGCGCAGCTGCTTTGACGGCAAAGAAATGAGAGGGAGGGAGGCTGCTGGAACGAGAGCATTTGGAGTTTTCTACTGTTATGTTTTTTTTTTTCGTTCACTTGTCGACTCGAGATTCTGCACGCGCTACTCAAAGATGAGATGCAAAAAAGCTCGCAAGATCAGTTGCTGCCCAGTGGCACGATCACGACGAGTGTCTGCCAGTGCTCAGTGGAAAAACAAAACAAAACAAAACAAAAAAAAACAAAAAACCAAACAAATAAAAATCCGAAAAAATCTGAAACAAGTTGTTCCACCCCCCAACGACGGATTGTTAGACCCTTGCAAAAACAAAAACACTCGGTGGGATCAAAAGCCATAGAATCGACAGGGACGATCACAACAATCATATCAGACTTTCCGTATCGTTTTTTTTTTTTTTTTTTTGACGTGCTACCTTTGCGCGCTTGTCGCCCCATCCCCACCCACCCTGCTATCTCCCGTCCAGAAACCCAAACACCAACAAAGCAGAAGAAAACAACAGACGAATGTTGGACCGTATTGTATTACTCTTGAAACAAGCGAAAACACAAAAAGGGGGAGCATAAGGGGTTTGGGGACAGTGTAAAACAAAAAGCGAGCTTTGTAAACAAGGCAGCTTTCTTTGCTTATTCCTTGGCAGGCTTCTTGTCCTTGGCCTCCTCGGCAGCCTCCCTCTTCTTCTTTTCGCGGATGCCACGCATGCGAGCGTCGGCACGGGCGACACGGAGAATGTTGTAGACCGATCGCTTGGTGTCCTCGGCGGTGATGGCGCGAGCCTTGAAGTGAGCGGGGCCCTGGCGGACGGGGACGGCAGCCGAGAGGGCGACCTGGGTGGCCTTGGAGGTGAGCTCGGCGGGCGAGTCGGCCTTCTTGGGGGCCTTGGTCTTGCGGGGGAAGAGGACGAGCTTGCTCTTGTACTCCTTCAGGCGCTGGACGTTGGCCTGGAGGGACTCGAGCGAGCGGTTGACACGGCGGTGATCAACGCAGATGCCGATGGTCTGGGCAAACTTGGGGTTGATCTTGGCCTCCTTCAGCTCCTCAAGGGTGAAGCCACGGCCACCACGGATCTTGGTGTGGTAGCGGAAGGTCTGGGCGTGGACGATGGGGCGGAGGGTGTCAACGGGGCGGGGAGCGACCTTGACAGCCTTGGCAGTGCGAGCCTGGCGGCGGGACTTCTTCTGTCCGGGTTGGTCGAACCAGGTGCGCACAAGGTGCTGCCAGTCCTTGTGGAAGTGCGCGTTGGCGATAACGTTGTTGTGCCGGGGCATGTTTCAACGGCTGTGGAAAAGCAAAAACAAAAGGAAAAAAAAAAAAAGGCAAGAAGGAAATCAAAAGTGAGCCATTTTGAACCTCCAAAGCAACCAGAGCAGCGATGTGTGGGGGCTGCGATGAAGCCTGATGTCAACAGAGTATTGCAAATCAAACAAGGTGGGCGTTGCCGACGACGCTGGGCGCGAAACAACAGGCGGAGGCCGAGAGGAGACCACGAGAAGGCAAGCACACGAACCAGCTCGCAAAAAAAAACCACCACAAGTCGCCCTTCCTTCGCTCCAGGTCGTGTCCAGAAGGCTCTGGTGCCACAAAACCCCTGCACATTAGCACACCAACACCCAGCTCTGGCGCTTGGCGGGGCAGAGCAGCGAAATGAGGCGAATGGCTGGCTGCGACGAGCAAACAATCGACCAGCGGAGCTCGGCCAACTCGCTCCCCCTTCAACTTCCAGCGCGCTTCCCCACCAAACTCCCATTGGCACCACCCCCAATCCACACGCCGTTCGTTCGGGCACATGATTCTCCATCGGATAGGCGCGGAGTGGGGTCCACGGGGGACGCGGATGTACCGTACCCAAAGAACAAGAGAGGCCGAGCAAACGGATTTGGTGGAAGTGACAAAAAGCCAAAGAAAAAAAAAATCAATTGAAGCAAAACAAAAAATCCAAAAGCACAAAATTCGTAACCCGTTTTTTTTCGATTGGGTTTAATCTTTTCCTGTTACTCTTGGTTTTTCATGAGCGACTCTGAAAGCGACCCGACCGAGGATGGCGGCTCCAAACCCATTCGCGAGCAGGTGCGGTTTTGGTTTGTTGATTCGCACCCCCGGCCGCTGTTTTTTTGGCGTTGGTTCTTTATGGCAGCTCGCTTTTGTGTCGCGACGAGGGAGGTCTTGCTCGTCGGGGGCAGGCGAGGCGAGGTTGGCGGCAGAAAATGGCGCGTTTTGATTCGATGGCGCGAGAGAGACAAAAACCCGTCACCAGACCTCGCGAGTTTGCCGACACCGCTGCCGGTTCAGCTGAGGAGCAGGGGCATCAGCAAACATGTGTTATTGAGTGTGCTTGTGGTGCGGCGGGGGCGAGGGGGAGGGGAAGGGCGAAGGGCGCCTCCTTGGGTTGAGCGACTCTCTGACCATCACCATCAACCATCGTCTTTGACTTTGTGCAGGACCGCTTCCTGCCAATTGCCAACACGGCGCGCATCATGAAGCGAGCCATCAGTCGCGACCAGCCGGACGCAGGCAAGATCGCCAAGGACGCCAAGGAGTGCGTGCAAGAGTGCGTGTCCGAGTTTATCAGCTTCATCACCAGCGAAGCGTCCGATCGCTGCCACAACGAGAAGCGCAAGACAATCACGGGCGACGATCTCATCTGGGCAATGCAATCCCTGGGCTTTGACAATTATATCGAGCCCTTGCGAGCATATCTGGCCAAGCTTCGCCAGGTGAGTTTTTTTGATTAGCTTTTTCGTTTACAGCTTTGGACAATGGTGCTGCCAATGCAGTAAAGAACTCAACCGCACATCTCCGGCACCGTTCTGACAGGCTACTCACAAAGACCAAGGAGGCTACGCAGGCAGATCTACGGCTGTGGAAGATTTACCCATGCCAGAGTTCCCCGTGCCAATTATTGTAAGCTCAGCGCCAGCCTTTATGAACAGCTGGCCTTTATGAGTGTCTCGTCACTGTTGTGTCTCTCATTCCTGGCCTCTTTGTCACAGCCCACTTTGCCATCACACCGCTGAAGCGCCCTTCCTGGACGTGATTTTGCTCTTAAAAAATGGCCAACTGTACAGTCATGTATTCTGCGAAAAAGAAAACGATAACACAAACCAACAACAGAACTCCAAGGTGTGTGCAAGCCACAATCGCTGCACCTTGATGTCCTTGAGCAGGCTTGCGTCGGTTGATAGGGCTCGACTGATGATGGTTGACTCAACTTCAAACAGCCAACCCATCCGCGTCGTCGTCGCGCAAATTGGTGATTGTCCACTCATCCATGTTGTCGACGTCCTCTTTCGTCATTGCCTGATCGAAATACGTCTCGCGACGATCAATGTGCTCCCACTCGTTTTCTTGGTCGTCATGGTTCACCTCGTTCTCTCGCGGCGTTGGTGGATCATGCGAGAATTTGATTTGATCCCAGCGACTTGGCTCGGCCCTAAAGATGTGACAAAAAAGGGATGGGAAACAACAGATCGGAAAGCAATAAGGGGGGGGGGGGAAAGGCAAATGAGAGAGAGAGTGAGAGAGCGGGAGAGACAGCAACCAAAAGCAAAATAGTTACCGAGCCAGAGAGCTGAGCAGCCGAATCAAATTGGGCAATGTTCGCCGCAAAGCGTCGTCAGTGACACGAATCCCTTGCGCGAAACAGAGGATGGCTATTTGGCGATTGATCAAGTCAAGCTTCTCTAGGTCCTGCGATCGACTCCACGTAGTCTCGCATGATATGGAGTACCGCCTCTCGATATGGACCATGCGATGCCCATCCGGTGTGGTGGGTAAGGGTTTAAAGTAGGCAGGGAGTGGAGTGTCGAGTTCGAACGCACAAAATCGAATAGCGTCGAGCACAAAGCTGAGAGCTCCGCCCAGCTCCTCCGGAGGCAAATCTGGCAGGGTTGATCAACAGTAAACCTTCATGGTTAGACGAACAAACAAACAAAACACAAAGAAGGAAAAAGAGGCCGAAGAACCAACGAAGAACACACAATGACCAGCGCAAAAAAACCCACTTCCTCTCATCAAGGACAACTTACTTCGATAAACGCCGTCGTTCGGCAGCTCAACCTTTTGAATGGAGCAGTGTATTTCGCTCGTCGGAAAGACAGGGAAGAGGAGCATTCGGTCGTTGACCAATTTTTGCAGTTTGGTTCTCGCCTCATTCTGCAAGTGTGCGAGAAGGTCGAGCCTGGTTGGGTCAAAAGCAAGCACGGATGAGAATTGCACCCAGCACAAACAAGTGCGCGCGGCAGACTGCAATCACAAGTCAATCATACCGCTTTTGGCGAGCCGCCTCGGGTTTGGGGTGCCGTTGCACAGCCATCAGCAACTCTTGAACGGTTGAGAAGCAATACGACTGGCGATTGCACGGGCTCGTGTCGGCCTGCAAGGCAGCAAACCGTGCTCGAGCCGCTGCCAACATGGCTCTCTTTTGTTGTGTACTCTTTTGCAACCGAAGGCATTTCCCTTTGGCTGGAAAGGTGTGTGACACAGCGAACAGCAACCAAATGAACAGAAGCCAAAGCAATGGAAATGAGAATAAACGCAAGGTTACGCGAGGCCACACAAGTTCGCTCCAGCGTCAAATGTTTTCGCGTACTGTCTTTGACTTGTGCTTCAAGCCAGGCCTTCTGCTTGAGCAGCATCTCGTTTCGAGCCCGTTGAAGTCGCGTTGCTTGCCGGTTGTTCCATCTCCGCAGCAGCGCCTCGCTGTGTTCATCAATTTGATCGAGCATCCCATCCACCTCCCTTCGAACAGTTTCTGTCCGTGATTCGAGAACCGCAATTCTGTCATAAATGATAGAGAGTGAGAAACAACAACAACAAAAAAAAACCAACAGAATCATCAAATGGGGACAGCGATCATCCCAAAGAAACAATTTCAAGTACATCCCCTCGCGCCCTGCAATTTCGTACCGCTCTTTCACACAAGATGGACAGTAAAAGTCATGGATGGCGGTGGGTTGCGTGCACGTCGGACACGGTGCAAGTCGGAAATCCATTTTGGCATCCGGATTGTGCTGGGCGCGCTGTCCAGGCAGAGAGGCTCGTGCTGGCGGCGGAAGCACCGAAGACACGACGTACGACAGCTTTTTAAATGTCTTGATCTGATCAGCGTGCCGTTGCGCAAAGTCTAGCCGCGACGCGAGCTCGATTTGGTAGCCGGGTGGATAGCCCTGATCTTTCCCACGACTGAAAGGCCCCTGTTGTAGGGGTCTCTGCACTGATGCGGTTGAAGACCGTGACCCGCCCGCACGCAGCGAATGCGAGAGGGGCGACGACGACGGTGACGGCGACGGCGGCTTGGCGTCGGCCAAAAACCGATTGAAGCTTTCCATGACGGCCATGGCGGACTTGGAAACGGCGACGCGCTCAGCGGATGGCTCGTTTGGCTCGTCCTTCCGGGCCGCCCACGAACTAGCATGAGTGCTCTTTGACTGTGGTGGTGCTAGACTGCCTGAGCGGTGAGGATTTGGTCCGCTGCTCGCGGCATTCGCTGGGTGGGCGAGGTGGGTCATCACTTCGTGTGACTGTGACGGTCGTCTCGCCTCCGTTCGCGCCGGGGTCTGATTCTGGCTGCTCGAGGATGGTGTGTGTTGTTGCTGTTGTTGGTGATGCAGCGCGTGTTGGCTTTCGACCACGGCACGCGAGAGACTGGCTGCTGGCGAGCTCGAGTGTTTGGTGACCGGTTCAGCAGCAGAAGCAGGAGCAGGCCGGTCGCGAGCAGTCGGGTGATGGGACGCCGCATGCAAGCCAGACGAATGGTGGGCGTGCTCGAGGGCCTCACGCGCGACGGGCGCCAGTGAAGGCGGCAATCGGGACGGCGGCGAGCTCATCGTTGCCAGCCGAGAAGCGTCAATCTTTTAGGAATTATCCACAGCTAACGCCACACCACCACCACCACCAGACAAATGACTGAAGACAAGCCAGGATTTTCAAGTACAACGTTTGATTCGTATCAATGCTGAGAGTGAGTTGAGCAAGTGGGAGCAACATTGCCTTGTTGAGACGCGCGTTTTCTTTTTGTCAAACGGATATGTTCATTGTACTCACACAGTCAAAACAACAAAAGTTCGCTGAGCAGCGCCGCTAGTATTGGCGTACAAAGCTCTAGTCAAACATTTGCAGCCCAGATTTGGTGTCTGGGATGCTAACAACGTTTTGGTCGTCGCAGTGGATGAGAAACATCTTTTGGAGGGTCGAGTCGGGCTCGATTGCGAGTGCGTTGCCCCAGAGCTTATGGAAGCCTGGGCTAGTCTTGAGTTCTTTGTTCGTGTGGCATGTGTAGGTGTCTTCTAGCCCGACTTAGACTGCACACACAACAGCCGTCCCCTCTTCGAGGGTCCCGGCAGATTGTGTGTGTCCGGATCATCTTCCCACTGATTTTGCACTGATTTTGACACCCCCTCCCCCATAAAAATGTGTGCAATTTGTTTGAAAACTGCGTGCAGTCTCGTAGTCGAACAGTACAAGTCGGGCTAGATGTCTTGCCTCGCTCGATTGAGGACGAGGCTTCGGAAGTGCGCAATAGTGTGCATCTCTCGTTTCGGATTTTCGTTTTTTTGCGAGGTCGGCGACATGAACGGCGACACTTACCTCTCAGTTTTGGAGAGCGAGTTGCTAGCAAGCATTCGCGCGTGGAACAACAAAAACGAGATGATTTTGATGCATGACAATGCCCCTTGTCACAAAAGAAAAGATGTGGCGAAGTGGTTCAAAACCAATCAGATCACCGTAGTAGATCAAAAAAATCAAAAAATCCAAAGTCTAGCGCGACTCTTGCCTAGTTTGGCTGAACAAGCCAACGCCCCTTCCGTTTTGCTAAATGTTTTCATTTTCCGTTTTCTGTCAGCGGCTTTATTCCAGCTACTTTTCCAGCTCAGTGGAGCCTCCTTTCAACCACACTTCGGAAGCGGTTGGCAAGGGACTATCGAAGCGTCCCAGCGCCACCCCATCGCCTGAACTGAGGTCGCAATATTTTCGAACTGCGGAAGCATGCGCTATTTTTGTCGAAGGCCGACGCCCCTTCCGTTCCCAAACATGTTTGACCAGTGCTCGTCGAAAACCAGTGTCGGCCCGCCGTTCCTGATCATCAATAAAATCTGGCAGTGTGAGTTCTCAATTTTCAGACAGAGGGGCAGAGGAGAGGGTCTTGACAGGCTTTCGTTGTTCTTCTTCTGGATTGTTTAGGAAATTGTTGCGGGCAGTCGCTTTTTTTTTTGTTTTGTTTTTCCGCATTTTGTAAGTCGCGACAGAGTTCCTCACGCTTGCTCGCGTAGTCCTTTGAACTGTTTCCCACAGCACTCAATCAGAGAGAGAGAGAGAGAGAGTGTGTGTGTGTGTGTGTGTGCATGAGAGTGAGGGTGCGTGTGTGAGGCCGGGAGGGAGTTGAGGGCGAGCGTCACGGCTCACCTTCTCCACTTTGGGAATGCGTCATGCTTGGGGTTGTGTTTCAACCCCAATGCGCGCTCGTGGCACCCTCCGACTTTGAAGATACATGTCTGTTGGAATGCGAGAAATATTCCATCTCGAGGGGTTGGGGTCGGGGGGGGGAGGGGAACCGGCGATAGAAGTTACTGCAGTTTTATTATCAGGGACGGTACATGTACTTTTTTCTCACCAAACCATCCACAACCTCGATGAAAGTGTATCGTCCTCTCGCACTCCCACTTTGATAATTCTCATTCATTCGAAACAATAATTTTGTTCCCCGCATCGGCCCCATTTTTGACGACCGTTTGCTCATCCATCTTGGTTTGATTTACAAAACAGGGCATGCGTTGTACTTTACCGCTTTTGGCTGCAGCAGCTTTGCTGCTTGCAGCGCAGCTGCCGAGCACTCACGCGGGTGCGCTGTGCAGTCTGTGCACGTGCACAACGACAACCATTACGTGCAATGGGCCCAATAAGCTGAGTGGTATTTCGGGTGGCGTTGACTCGACCGTTCGCACCATGTAAGTCATTTCTGCTGTTCATGGAATACTGTCAAGCAAGTTTGAATGTCAGTGCGCACTGAACAACCCATCCACCCTGCAAAATTCTCAAAACCAAAAAAGTGACGTTACTTCCAACCAGTTCCCACAAATCGTTTGGTCTGCAAGTAATAGCATGGGCATCGACTTTACCGGACTGACCATCACTACGCTGTAAGCCGCTCGTTCGAATTCTTGTTTGTTGCGGTTTTCTTTGTACTAGTCATCTATGGTTGGCCTGTTTAGAAAAATGGGGAGCAATTCAATTACCCAAGTGAGCGGCATCAGTTCCCTTCCCCTTCAGGTCTTGTAAGTGGAAATTGATTGGTTGACGTCGCCTCTCTCTTCTTTGTCGCCGCGACACTGACCACCTGGCGCATATGCAGAGACTTGAGCAGCAACAACGGTATTTCGTCCATTGGAGCATCTGTGTTTCCTTCCTCATTGACATCTTTGTAAGCTTCAACTTGTACACATTTGGAGTTTCCCCTTTGCTTTGGGTTTTCTGATCCATGTCATCATTTGGTGCCACTCAGGACCGTGGCGTACACCAACATCAATACGATTTCCTCGTCCTCGTTTATGACACCTTCCGCTCTGAAAGCATTGTACGAAATACGCAAAGTTGAACTATTTCATCACCCTGTTGGTGCAACTTCTGTCTCGGCACGTTCTTCTCTAATGTCGCATACTGTGCTTCAGGTATCTGAAGGGAGTTGGAATTGCCTCTCTTTCGTCGAGCACTTTCAGCGCCTTTACTCAGCTAACGACCCTGTAAGTTGTTGGCTCGACGACTGAGCTTCAAGTTTGCCATTGGTGCACAATTTCTGATTATGAATTCTTTCCCTTCACAACAGTGACTTGTCCTCAATCTCCCCGCTGACAACCCTGCCCCCGGGCTTGTTCCATGGCTTGTCGAGTTTGTCCACGGTGACTCTCTCGCCAAACAGTTTCGCGGCAGGACTGGCCCCGCCAAGCACTTTTGGCACAAGCAGCAGCCCTACCAGTACGCGCCTCACCCTTGCTCTGTTTGGTGTGATGCATGACTGAGTTCTCATTGTTTCGTACCGCTAGAGTGTGATTCTGCTTGTTATACGTGCTATGCCGCAGGCTCTGGAGCTTGCTGTCCTCTGAACTGCTTGTACTGCAATGCGCAAGGTTGCTCTCAATGCTATAGCGGCTACACGATGTACCAGGGAAGCTGCATCACCGCTGCAGCTGCGCAAGCCTCAGCCGCATCCGCCAGCTCGGCCTCTGTCTCGGCAGCTTCCAAAGCAACTGCTTCGGCAGCATCGGCGTCTTCTGCTTCTGCAGCGTCCGCAGCGTCCGCCTCGGCCGCTTCCCGGGCTACGGCATCAGCTGCCTCGGCATCCTCGGCATCCTTGGCATCCTTGGCATCAGCGGCATCCGCGGCATCAGCGGCATCAGCGGCGTCCGCTTCAAGCGCTTCTGTTGCATCCCTCGCATCGGATGCGTCTGCCGCCTCAGCAGCCTCGGCATCCCAGGCATCCGCATCATCCGCCTCCCTGGCATCGGACGCCACGGCAGCCTCGGCAACTTTGGCATCGGCAGCATCCGCTTCCAGTGCTTCTGCTGCGTCGGATGCATCGGCCGCTTCAGCATCGGCCGCCTCAGCATCATCCGCATCCTTGGCCTCGGATGCATCGGCTGCTTCAGCATCATCTGCGTCCGTGGCCTCGGACGCATCGGCAGCGTCGGACGCATCAGCGGCATCCGCTTCCAGTGCTTCTGCTGCGTCGGATGCTTCGGCCGCTTCAGCATCATCCGCATCCTTGGCCTCGGACGCCTCGGCAGCCTCGGCATCTTTGGCATCGGATGCATCTGCAGCGTCCATGTCAGCCGTCAATAATGCAGCGAGCGGAGACAGTGCCTCCACTGGTCTGATTGCGGGCTTGGTGGTGGGCTTGCTCGTTCTTCTTCTTGTTGTTCTTGTTATTGTCGTTGCCCGACGTCGTCGACATTCCCAAAAGCCCGATGCGACTGAGCGTACATCTACCGTCATGACCAGCAATCCTCTTGCAGGCGGGTCGCTGTACTCGACCCTTTCACCCCCAAAGCCCAGCCCCGCTCCGACAGGCGAGTCGTTGTACGATAATCTTGCAGGGCCAGCGCGCAACTCGGTCTCGCCTATCTCATACGATAAGCCTGTCTTTGGTGCCAAGTCGTCAACCAAACCTGTCAAGCCGAGCAAGCCAACCGAGTACACTCTCGTCGCCGTTCCCGGTGTGGCTAACGTGTGACCTTCGTCAAGCCCCTCGTTTGTTTGTGTCTGCCGTCCGCGGCCTTGTGTTTTAGGGGTGTGCATGCAGCATAAGCAGGCCTGGCCTGCTCAAAATACAATACCTCAAACACATATCGCATTAAAACATGAATTTGTGCGATTATTCGCAAGGTAGAGCGATCTCCATGTACTTCGATTGGTTGTACTTGCCGTCGATGCGTTTGGAAAAGTATGTGAGATCAAGTTTCGCGAGCGTATCGTCTCCGGCAGCTTCTGTCTCGGTGTCGGCAGCCATCGAGCAGGTTGATCCGTATCGCGCCCTCATACGATACAGAAGGACATGGCGTCAGCGCACATTGTTGTGTTTGTACCCACGATCAACCATCTGCTCAATTGCACGTGTGAATGCAAACATCATCGGGCTACATTGAGCATTCTAGGTGCAAAAGCAAACCAAACGATGGGCTCATTCTCACATCTCGAAGACACACGAAGCCAATGCTGGCGCAATTCTCCCGCCTCTTTGCTCCCCTAGTGAAAGCATAATGCTGAGCTCAAATCTGAGAACCGCGGCGCGAAACTACACGTCTCTGGGATGCGAGCCAATTGAAAGGTTTACGTTCAATGGACAAACAATCCTGCTTTTGATTATTCAAATAAGTGCATTCTTGTTTTTTTTTTCTCATTTTTTTTTTCACAGATCTTTCAAAATGTTGTCCTATCAGCGCATGACTGGGAAGCAGCGCAAGTTGTACCGCCAAGTCAAGAATGAGGAGATAACGATCGAGTAAGAGACAGCCAAGTTGATCGGAAAGCGTGACAGCGCGTGGACTGACAAAAATGGAGGACAGCAAGGTTGCGGACAAGCTTGACGTTGCTGAAGCGCAAGTGATAGCAGCAGCACTCAAAGTGCACGCGACGATCGAGGACGTCCAGTAAGTCATCTCACGTTTCTTGGTGTATGCGAGAGGGAGAGTGGCTCACTGAACGAGGGGCTGGGCAGGTTGGATCAGAATCAGATTGGCGATACTGGATTGCAAGCGATTGCTGAGGCTCTCACAGTGAACACGACGGTGACCCACCTCGGGTAAGGCAATTCGCTTCGATTGATGCATTCGAGTGGGTGATCTAGTAGAGAACAGAAAGACAGCTCATAGACGAGCAGGTTGCAGCTCAATCAGATTGGGGATGCTGGAGCGCAGGCGCTTGCTGAAGCACTCAAAGTGAGCAAGACCCTGATTTGGCTCGAGTAAGGCATATCACTTTGACTGATGCGTATGCGAGTGGGCGATTCAGAAGAGTGCTCACCGATGGAGGGATGGACAGTCTGAACAAGAATCAGATTGGCGATGTTGGAGCAGGGGCGATTGCTGAGGCACTCAAAGTCAACACGACGACGCTGACTGAGCTCTTGTAAGTCATCTCACTTTGGCTGATGGATGTGAACGGGTGATCCATCAGTAGGTGATTCAGAAGCGTGCTCACTGATGGATGGGATGAACAGTTTGGGCTGGAATCAGATTGGTGATGCTGGAGCGCAGGCGATTGCTGAAGCACTCAGAGTGACCACGACGCTGACTTTTCTCGAGTAAGACTGCTCGCTTTGAATGATGCATGTGAGTGGGTGACTCAGAAGAGTGGCTCACTATTGGAGGGGATGAACAGTCTGAGGAGGAATCAGATTGGCGATGCTGGAGCGCAGGCGATTGCTGAAGCACTCAAAGTCAACACGACGACGCTGACTGAGCTCTTGTAAGGCATCTCACTTTGACTGATGCATGAGAGTGGGTGATTCAGAAGAGTGCTCACAGATGGAGGGGATAAACAGTATGAGTGCGAATCAGATTGGTGATACTGGAGCGCAGGCAATTGCTGAGGCACTCAAGGTGAACACGACGCTGACGGAAGTCATCTCACGTTGACTGACGCATGTGAGCGGTTGATTCAGAAGAGTGCTCATTGATGGATGGGATGGGCAGTCTGGGTGAGAATCAGATTGGCGATGTTGGAGCGCAGGCCTTTGCTAAGGTAGCTCAAGTCAGGCCCATGATGACTTGCATCGAGTAAGCAGTTGCTGCGCGCTTTGTTCGTCTTGGACATTGAGCCAGGGTCCGTCATACCTTCATCTAGCTCACTATTTGAGTGTTAGTCTCCAAGGCAATTACATCGGTGATGCTGGTACTCGAGCGATTGAAGAAGCACGCTTTGCCAACGAGAGCAGTGCGATTGAGTATGTTGCCCCTGCCAATGAGAGTCATTGATTCTCAGGCATATGTTCCACCGGTGCGAACTGTTCATTCATCTTGATTGTTCGTTGCACAGCTTTGACAACCAGATAAGCCCTCTCGCATTCTCTTTACAACCTCGATCATCAACCACGACAGACATTCAAACTGTGTTTCACCTGCTGACTCGCGGACCATTTCTACCAGCACTACCCGCCGAGATTGCCGACCGCGTCTTGGACGAGGCATGTTACTGGCAAGGCGTGCGGTACATCAAACGACCGAGCCATGATGGCCAGGCTCTGGAAGTCAGAGTGCCTTGGAGCATCGATGGAAATTCGATCCAAGTGAAAGCAATCCAAGCGCTTCGCTACAGGAGCAATCGTACCGACACTGACAACATCGTGTTCGATTTGATCGTTCGAGATGAGCATTGTGCCGTTCGGTACAAATGTGCTGCGAAGCCGACTTTTGTCGAGTCGACTGTCGAATGCGCGACGATCGAGCGAGCGAGTCATGGCATCCTTCGAGAAATGCGCGAGGGTTGGACAGTCCAGCTCATGCCTGGCGCTCAACCAGGCGTGGTGATTGAATCTCTTTATATCGGATTTGTCTAACGACAATTGTTTGTTTGGGGTGGGGAACTGCAAAATGCCCGCTCCTCTGTCCCTTTCATCCATTGAGAGTTCCCTTCAGCATTCTGCAAATGCGTGGACTGAGCTAAGCTCTCGTTGGCGCATGCACCTCCCCATCCCCCTCTTGCTTGTTTTTGTCTGCCGTCAGCGGCCTTGTTTTTGTTTGCCGTCAGCGGCCTTGCGTTTCGAATTTGTGTCCATCCCTAAGCAGGCATGGCTTGCTCAAAATAAAATACCCCCCCCCCCAAAACCGCGAATGAATGTAAAACCATTGTATTTTTAAGAATATGAACTTGTGGGCGCTCCTTTGCTCGCTCTCCATCAACACCACTCGAGCTATGCCTTGGCAGACTTGGTCGCTTTTGAAGACTTGCCGCTCTTGACAACAGCGGCAGCAGCAGCAGACGGCTTGACAGCGGGGGTCTCTTCTGGCTCGACGCGCGCCTTCTTTTTGCTAGACGCTGGTTCCACTGCTGCTGGCGCAGCGACCGGGGCATCTGCTTCTGCCGAACGCTTCGCACCTCGCACAGGCTTGGCGGGTTCGTCGACAGACTGAGATTTCGCCTCCTTTGCCTTTGTCGAGGGCTTGACGGAGGCCTTGGCTGCTTGATTGCTCTCCTCCTGCTGCTGCTTTTGTTTCGGGGCGTCCTTGTTCTTGCTGCGCACTGGCTTGGCGCTTGCTTGCGCATCCACCACCATCTGTTCGCCGCTGGCTTGCGCGGCAACACTTGACCGACCGTGCTTGTCACTGCTCGAGTCTGCCGACTGCTTGCCGCTGCCATGCTTTTTGTGCTTTTTGCGGTCGGCCTTGCTCCCGTCCTCCTCGTCATCGTCGTCACTGCCTGCTTGGCCGTCTTCGCCGTCCTCGCCCTGCGCACGGGGAATGGCGTTGCTAATCTTCTTGAACTTGGCCACAAAGAAACCGTCCATGTTGTGCACGTGTGGGTAGAAGCGGCGCGAGAGGCTGACGGTCGGATGGAAGCGGCGCTCGCGGAAGCTGAGTCCAAAATCAAGCTCAATGTCAGCAACCAAAAAAAAAGAAAAAAAAAAGAAAAAAAAAAGCTGCGAAAAACCAAGCACACCGCACCACACATGCGCGCACTCACCTCTTGAAGCCAGGCTGACCAAAGTCCAGCCCGGTCTCGACCAGCTTGACGTTGCGCTTGCGCAGAGCATAGTCGATAACCCACTCGTTCTCCTCGACGGTGATGGAGCAGGTCGAGTAAACAATGTAGCCGCCAGTCTTGCTGTTGGCGTCGACAGAGTCGATCGCGGCCAGAATGAGCTCCTTTTGCAGTGTGCTGCAGCGCATAATGTCATCGTCCGACTGAACGACGACGAAGAAGAAAAAGAAGAAGAGCAAGAAGTAGAAGAAGAGACGGAAACGAGAGAGAACGTAAAGTGAGGGTAAAGTGAGCGTTCACACAATCAACGTATCACCTTGCCAACCACAAACCACAGTCACTCACCTTGTTGGTCTTGACAGACTGATCCTTGGCAATGACACCAGTGCCCGAGCACGGGGCGTCCAGAAGAACGCGGTCAAAGTTACCCATCACCTTGGGGAAGGCGCGGCCGTCGTAGTTGCAAACGATCGTGTTGGTGATGCCCATGCGATGGGTATTGGCGACCAGTGCCCGCAACCGGTCCTTGCTGGCGTCATTGGCGAAAATGACACCGGTATTCTTCATGAGGGCGGCTGAAAAAAAAAAAACCAACAAAACCCCCAATCACCGAAAATCACAACCATACACGCAGTGAGTGACACACAGCAACCAACCACCCACAAATACGCGGACAACCATAAATACACACCGCAGTAAGCAGTCTTGCCACCGGGTGCGGCGCACATGGTCAAGATACGCTCGTGCTCTTGCGGAGCCATCGCCATGACCGGAAGGAAGGACGAGGCGCTCTGGATCATGTAGTGGCCCGCCAAGTACTCGGGCGTGGCGCCAATCGGGACAGGCGAGTCGAAAATGACCAGACCGACCTTGGACCACTTGCCGATGGGGTCGAGGTTGACGCCGCGGTTGATCAGCGCTTGAGCCAAGTCGCGCCTTCGCGTCTTGAGCGTGTTTGTGCGGATGGAGATGGGGCGTGGCGATTCGTTTGCCTCGAGGAATTCGACAATCTGGTGTGGATGAGCAGGCAGAGTGAGGAGCCAAGCTCAATCGTGGATTTGTCCGAGGCATTCCCCCCCCCACCTCGGCCATACCAACCAAACAAGCAACCCAACTAACAAACAAACCAACCACCAAACACTTCCCATACCTCGCCAAGAGGGAACAGCTCGAGCAGCTTGCCCATCAGATAGTCAGAGTAGCCGTAGTACAGCGTCAGGTCGCGGGTGAGCACCTCCATGTACTCGGATCGCGATCTACGAGCATGGGGTAGCAGACACATGAATGAGCTCAAGAGTGCCAGCAAACGTCGCTCAAAAACCACAAATATAACAAACAAAAACAAACAAAACAATCCAACCTTGACCAAACCCCCCCAAAACACAACCACCCTTACCGCTCGGGATCGCGGAGCTTGGCAAAGTCGGCCAAAACCATAATGTTGTCCTTGATGCGCTGCTGCAAGAGAACACGGTCTGGGGGCAGCAGAGACTCCTTCTCAATCTCCTGGCCGCTGGGCAGCGTGAACGTGTCGCGACCTGAGATGTTGGTCTGCAGGCCGTCATCTTCCTCGTCGTCGTTGTCACCGAGGGGCGCCGCGTCGTCACCCTCGTCCTCGTCGTCTTGCTCGTCGTCCGAGTCGTCCGAGTCTGCGCTGCGGCCGCGCATGCCGAGCTTGATGGGCTGGCCGTCAAACTCGTCGTCGTCGTCGTCGTCAAATTCGTCGCCTTCTTCGTCGTCGTCCGAGCCTTCTTCCTCGTCATCCTCGTCTGATGCAGCGGCAGCAGCAGCGCCCTTCTTGGGCTTGAGCCATGACTTGTTCGAGTCTGAGAACGCCTTGCCCTTGATGGCTGGCGCTTGATCGTCGTCGTCGTCCTCGTCGTCGTCAAGCAAGCCCCTCTTTGCGACTGCATTGCCCTTCTTGGCGGCCGTAGCAGCTGCGGCGACGGGCGTGGTCTTGGCAGATGCCACCTTGGAGGTCTTTGCGGCAGCGGGTGCGATGGCGGGTGCAGCGCGACCCTTGGCCTGGACTGCGGCGTGTTTGCCATGTGTAGCATTGACCTTGTCCTGGTCGTCCTCGTCCTCGTCGTCGTCGTCCATCCTGTCATCTTCTTGATCATCATCTTGATCTTCGTGATCATCATCATCATCATCTTGATCCTCGTCGTCGTCCATGTCATCATCATGATCATCATCGTCCCACATGGCTTGCTCGCTGTCCTCGTCCTCGTCCTCTTCGTCTTCGAGGTCCTCTTCATCATCGTCGGACGCTTGCTCCTGTCGCTTGGATCCATGCTTGCCATTCATCACCTGCTTCTGTTGCTGTTGCTGCTGCTGCTGCTGCTGTTTCTGCTGCTTGGTGGCGGTTGCGATGGCTGGCTTGGTTTGCTTTGCATTGAGCTGCTGCTTTCCATTGCTCTGCTTGCCATGCTGCTGCGACTGCGCCTTTTTGCCACTGCCACCACTGCTAGTGCTAGTGCTACCACTGAACAGCGGAGTGGGATCGGCTTGCTTCTTGCTCGCGCGACCCGGTCCGCGGCGGCTGTCCGACAGCTCACGGCGTGCGACTTTGCCCATCTCTGCTTGTCTCAGATCACCAACTAATAAATGAATGAATGAACCGTGTGAAAGCCTGCGTAGATGCTGGGATGTTTGTCTGAACTGCGCAGATTTCGCAGAGACTCGCCAATCGTACTGAGAATGAATCCGTTCGTTCGCATCGGAAGCAAGGATTTCGAGCGTCAGACCCACATCAGCATCATCACCAACATCAGCAAATCCATCACTGAGCGCATGAGCTGTCTTCAGCGTTTACTTGTTTGAACGAATGAGCTGAACATGTCTCGTCTGATTCGAGTAGCATTTCTGAGATTTCAGTCCAATTTCGTTGTTTGTTTCGTATAGAACATGATTCAAGCGCTGTTCGCCATCAATACGTCCGGGTAAGCAATCCCAGTACCATTTCCTTGGCTTTTTTTTCTTCTTCGCTTCGGTTTCGGCTTCCGTGCAGCTGCGGCTTTGTGTATCAATTGTTCTTTCCTTCTCCATCCTGCAGCCCGAGTGTCGGTTTGCATGATTCTGAATCTGGGGCTCTTGGGTGAGGGCGCAGTCGAGTGACGAGAGCTTGTGATGGTAGAGCGACAGAGAGAGAGAGAGAGAGAGAGATCTCGTATTGCCCTCGTTCACTCCTGCTCCGTTCGTCCCCACAACGCCACCGCGCTCGACGTTGTCATTGTCGTTGCTGGATGATGATGATGATGATGATGATGATGATGATGATGTGATGCTTTGATCGGTGGGTTTGGTGGTGGTGGTGGTGATGCTCACTCAGCTCGAGCGACGTTTTGGTCATCTGCCCTTCTCTGTCTCTCTCTCGCTTTCATTGAAGCGCGCCGTCCATACCCATGCTGCATGTTTGGTGCTCCAAACTGCCCATTGAACACAATCCATTCGTTCACAGCTGGTACCGAATGGACGACAGCGAACGGGTTCTGATCTCGACGTTTGAGATTTGCTCGTTGCATTTGCATTGCATTCACACTCTGTCACACTCTGTGCTGATCATCCAACCCTTTTGACTCATCGCTACTCACTGTCAACCCAAAACAAAAAAACTCCTTTTGAACGCACAGAGAGACGCTGCTCGAGAAGCACTACCGCGGCGTCACCCCAAAGGCCGTGTTCGACCCTTTCATTGACGCACTGAACAAGACGACCAACCCCGACGATGTCGCGCCAGTCATTGTTGGACCCAGGCACTGCCTCATAAGTATCTACCGCCAGCGCATCTTCTTTTTGGCCATCGTGCAGACGGACGTCACGCCGCTGCTTGTCTTTGAGTTTTTGCATCGCGCCGTCGACACGTTCGTCGAGTACTTTGGCGACTTTAACGAAGCCTCCATCAAGGAGCACGCCGTCACGTACTTTGAGCTGCTGGACGAGATGATGGACAACGGCTTCCCGCTGACCACCGAGTCCAACATCCTCAAGGAGCTCATTCTGCCCCCGAGCATCATCCGCTCGGTCGTCAACACGTTCGCCTCACAAGCGAACGTTGCGTCCGCGGTGCCCACCGGTCAGCTCTCGAGCATCCCTTGGCGACGCATGGGCGTGCGATACGCCACCAACGCCATGTACATTGACTTTATCGAAGAGCTCGATGTCATTATCGACCGCAACGGCGCCACCATCTCGGCCGAAGTGCAGGGCGAGGTGCGCTGCAACTCAAACCTCTCCGGCATGCCGGATCTCGTCCTCTCGTTCGCCAATCCTCGCGTGTTTGACGACATTAGCTTCCACCCGTGCGTGCGCTTCAAGCGCTGGGAGTCTGAGCGTGTGCTGTCGTTCGTCCCTCCGGACGGCCACTTTAAGCTCTGCTCGTACCGCGTCGGCTCCACCACGGCTCCGCTCCAGATCCCGGTCTATGTCAAGCCCATGATTTCCTTCTCTGCAGGTGTGTGCAAGCTCGAAGTGAACGTCGGATTCAAGCAAAACATGGGCAAGGCCGTCGAGGACGTCGTGGTCATCATTCCTCTGCCTCCGTCTGCCATCTCGGCCAACATTTCTCAGACTGTTGGCAATGCCGTATTGGATCCTGTTAGTTTTTTTTTGTTTTTGCCTGTTCTTGTGTGGGAGAGGTGGTGTTTGGTATTCGTGTTGCTGACTGTTTTGTTTTTCCCCCTTTTGCTTGCTTGTTTCGAATCGTGACTTGCGTGACGCACAGGTCTCTAAGAACCTTCGCTGGGACATTGGCAAAATCCCACTCAACAAGCTTCCAGTACTCAAGGGCTCGGTCACGCTGCAAACATCCATGCCGCTGCCAGAGGCCAACCCCACAATCACTCTCGAGTTCAAGATCCAACAGCTGGCCACTTCTGGAATCAAGGTCAACAAGCTTGATCTGTACGGCGAGAAATACAAGCCGTTTAAGGGTGTCAAGTATCTCACCAAGTCAGGCCGATTCCAAGTGCGATCATAAAAAAAAGGATTGGTTGGCTTTTCTCTTGATTATCCGTTTGATATTGACTTTTGTTTTTGCACATAAACGACATATTTGTTCCCTGTCACTTCCACATGCATGGTTTCCGAACCGCCTGAATACCGTTGATTCATTTTCATTTTTTTTTTTTTGAATTGGGACATTGCAACAATCATTGTTATTCAGCTTTCTGCGAGCACGGATGTCTGACGTAAATCCAGCATGAATTGGTAAAAGCTATCCTTGCTCGGGATTTGGCGATAGGATGTGCCGGATGAGGCAAGCGTGGGCAGCGAAGGAGCTCGGTCGGAGGTGCCAGAAGCTGGCAAATCCGTTGCTGCTTCAGCATCTGCTGCCTTTGGAACACTCGTCAGCGACGACTGCTTGCTGCCGTGCGCCTGGGCGGACGACTTGCTGCCAAATCCAGCCTGAGGTTTCTGTTGTTGCTGTGCTTGTTGTGGTGCAGCGGGGCCGAACAGTTGAAGGCGCAACGTGTCGCGATGGATTTGGGATCGGTGAAGCATCACTCTGACAGTCAAATGATCAAAAAGTTTGACAGTCAAAGGTTTGTCAAGGTGTGGCGATGTGACAACGAGCGATTCGGGTCGCCGCTCAATCGTCCCGCCAACCAAGCTTGATGCGTCGGGCAGAGCCGCAGCCGAAGCAAACGTCGCAGGGAGCTGGACGTGCCCTGCGGCATCGACGAAATGTACGTTGCCCTTGACACCATAATCGGGAACGAAAACGGTGGCAGAGTCGGAACGAAGAGCACACACAATGCCGTCTGCGACAACTTTGGAACGCGCTTCATCCTCCTTTTCTGGAACGGCTGCTCCGCTTTGGGCAAGGCGCCGAGCATCATCATCTTCCAGCCGCGCCTTAAAGTACAGGGCCTGGAACATTTCGGTCGATGCTTCCTGGGCGACCTTGGACATGCGATGCTTGACATTGATGTGGTCCGCCAGCGCAGAAAGATTGGGGTTGCTCAGCATTTGATACTCTTCGCGCTGGGGATTGTCGGCTGCCAGGGAGGCCATGAGTTGTCGATGCACGTACACGTCGGCGTAGCGACGAATCGGCGAGGTAAAGTGCGTGTAATAGTCCAGAGCCAAGCCATAATGGTAGAGCTCGGACGGTTGCACCATGCCTGTCGAGACGTAGGCAGCCTCGGACATGGCCTGAGTGGCCAGTGTGCGAATCATCTTGTTGACGGACGGATCGCCGGGCACCACGCACGCATCGAGCGAGTCCGCAATCGTCTTGTTGCTGGTCACGTCCATACTAAAGCCACACGCGGTGGCCACGGCAACCAGGCGATCTAGGTTTGACTTTGATGGCAGAGTGTGGTGGCGGAGGAGTGCATGTGTTGGGAAAACGGTGGCAATCTGTCGCGCAACATAGTGGTTGGCCAGAATCATGGCTTCCGCCACTGTTTTGTGAATCTCCAATTCGCGTTTTGGCACAACGTCGGTAATGGTGTGATTTTCGTCAAACTTGAAGCGAATTTCAGTTCCCTCCAGCTCCAGAGCACCTGTCATCACACATACACAAGAAGCGGGGGGGGGGGACGCCCAGAATTAGAAATGAGCCAGGATTTTTCTTGTTTTGTTTTTGTTGTTGGGTTGTTGGTGCCAACCAACCACACCACAAACGACCATACCATTCGCAATGCGGTCTGCCCGGAACTTGCGAGCAACTTGCATCAGCAACTGGATGGCCTCGCGCATCAGAGCAATCTTGGCTAGCTTGGCTGCAGCAGTGAGAGACTTGTCCGTGCGCAGCTCACGAACGAGCTCGGCCAGCTCGGGATCAGGCTTGGCGTGGGTCGCAATGTCCTGTGCAAGCTCATAGTAGAGCTGAAACGAGGACCGCAAGAGCGTGCGACCATACCACACGTCGAGCATGTCATAATTCTCATCCAAAATCCAAATCACGCTCATCGCGCATCGATCCTCGCAGGAGAGCAGCGAGCACAGCTGCTCACTCAAAACCGCGGGCAACATGTCAAATCGGCGGTCTGCAAGGTAGATGGTGGTGGAGCGCGCACGGGCCTCCACGTCAGTCAGCGAATTCTCCTTGACAAAATACGAGACATCGGCAATGTGCACGCCAAGCTCGTAGGTTGGGGCTGTGGACAGTGGTGCTTCCTTTGCGGCCTGGCGCTTTTTGGCGAGGTGTCGCGTCTGATACTGCTGCTCAGCAGGGGTGAGACGGCGAACAGACAATGCATCATCGACGTCCTTGCTGCCCAAGGGGTCGATACTCATCACGAGACTGTCGCGAATGTCTCGTCGCCTTGCAGCTTGATCGGGCGGAAGCTGCCACGGGGATTCGGGCGTGTGCACCGGAAGCTCTTGGAGTTGCCGTTCGCTTGGCGGATTGAGCACAATATCGTGCTCGACCAGAATCGCTGCCGTCTCCGTGTCCAAGTTCTCGATGGGGCCGAGCGAATTGACCAGATGCCCCGTTGGGTACTGCGAGTTGTATTCCCACCGATCGATGCGAACGACGAGCCGCTGTCCTTCGAGTTGAACAGCTTGGCGTGTCGCAATGCGGATTTTCGGGATGCGAGAATCCATCGGGACACAAAGCACGCGAGAGACATTGGCGCCAGTGGACGCCAAGCTGGTTGACGTGCTCTGAGCAGCGGCACTGTCCCGCACGATTGTGCAGACGTAATCCCGCCATTGGCGCTGGACGATGGCAACAACTCGGCCCGTTGGAATGAGCTGTTGCGAAAGGGCGTTGTTGTCGGACGGCGGCACGGACCCCTTTTGCTTTCCAAGCCGAGCGAGCGACGCCTGCGACTGCCACTGCGCTTTCGGAAGAAGCGCGACAGCGACAACGTCGCCATGACAAGCACGATTTCGGTCGCGCATCCCGAGAACGAGAATGTCGTCGGGTGACATGCCCTTTCCTTCATCGATGGCTGCGAAAATGGTCTTGGCGGAGGAATTCTGTCCATCCGCCGTCTCAGGCTGTGGGGCTTCGTTCAATCCTGTGGCTGTAGACCGTGCCGTCCAGGAGGCTCGCGAGCGCTTGACAAACGCCTCGATCTGAGCGTTGCCACGCGAGACTTGCAATGTCCCGCGCACAAGACGCCCTGCGCGTACCTCTTCGTCAGCTTCCTCGGCGGACAGGTACTGTGGATAGGATTGCACTGCAGCTTGCAACGAGGCCAGGGTTGCCGGACCAGCAGAAGAGGCCAGCGTTGGCGCCGTATCCATGGATTCTGGGTCGACCACCGCGTCGGCAGTATGCAGTGCTGCAACTTCATCCAATGCCAATCGAATGGAATGCTGCGTCTCACGGAGGACGGAGTTTGCGGCATGAAACTCGCCCAGGTAGTCGGCCATGGTTTGCACTCGAATACGCGCAGCGTCGCGCGCCGACAACCCAGATGCCAGTGCGCCGAAAATTTGGGTAGCGTCGTTGATGGAATCATTCACGACCACAATGGGAAACTCGCCCGGAAGATGGCGAAGATAGTACAGCGCCATCTGCAGGACCAGCCGCGAGCCGTGCTGCTCGAGGGATTCGCCCTCTGGTCGCCGAGGAGAGAATGTGTCGACACTGTTTTCGTTGCTAAACACGATGGATGCGTGTCGGGGATCACTGACAATACCGCGCAGCTTGTTGTACTCTCTCCCCGTGCCATGGTTCATGATCTAGCGCCGACAAACCGAGTCCACAAGTGAGTACGGACGTGAGCTCTGATGGGCACATTTCCCAAGCATTCCAGTGTGGGACCCTGGGTGTCTGCTACTTGCAACCTTACATGGAAGGCACAGGTCTGGGCAAACACGATTCCCGTCATGTCTGGCTCCTGAAACAATTCGAGGTAATCTCGTGTCGCCTACGCAACGCACGTTGATTCAAGCAAGATCCATAAAATGAGCCATCTGCCCTTGCTCAATACAAGTCACACCCACACGAAATCAAGCTTCAAGCGTCAGAAACAACATACCTGGACGTCGGGGATGAGCAAGTGCGACGGCTTGGGAGGCAGCATCGGCAGCAGTGACTGAGCGACGCCGTCCGTTTCCCTTGATTGTCTCAATGTCGTCGTCGTCGTCGTTCCATCTGTAGCTGCTTGGCGTGTGGCAGCCATGACGCGAGCACACGCAGCGCAGCTCGGCGACTGGCACGGAATGTCCTTGCGCAGGTAGTGCTCACGAACGAGCCGAACGACGTTTCCACGCCGGTTTTTGCGCACCAGCACACGCGACGTCACTGGCAATGTCATGGGCAGCAGCGCAACCGGAGAAGGAGCAGCGTCAGCGTCCGAGTCCGAGTCGGAGTCGGCGGTCGGATTGCGCGTTGGCTCGGTCTCCTTGAGCGAAAGTCTTGCTGCGACTGCATTGGCCAGCTGGGCGACGCCAGCGTCTGCCTGTTGGGACGCAGTGCTCTTGAACAGCCCAGACCACGATCCAGCGGGCTGCGGACCAGACGACGCCATCAACCTCACAGCAAGAGCAACGAGCGATTGGGGGGGGGGGAAATCGGGTCAAAAGTCGCAATGCAACTCCAGCGAAAAAAAAGAAAAAAAAAAAAAAAAAGAGTGCGTTTTGTGTTTCACTTTGTTTTATTATTGGTGTCAAAACACACAAAAGCAACATCAACAAAAGATCATCATCAACATCATCATCAACATCATCATCAACATCAGTGCGGTGAGACGGCATCAGCAAAATAACCAAAACCAGGCAGCCAAACAGCAGCAAAAGCAGCAAAAGCAACAAAAAAAATAAAATACATACACAATCTGAAAACAACACAAAGAACAGGCAATCACGCCATTGCATAACATTCATACTAAGGACACAAAAGGGGCTCACACGCGCATCCTCACGCGTATGGACGGCGACCACCAGCGACGGCACGACGACGCGGCTCGGCGGGGGCAGTCGTAGCGTTTGCTCGCACTGGAATCAGCTTGGTCTGTAACACCTCGCAGTCAATCTGAACGAGCGATTTGATGGCTCCAGCGTTGGTGGCATTGGTCGTCGAAGCCGGCTGGGGAGCGTCCGCAGAAGACGGGAGCGAATCCTGCGCCGACTCAATGTCATCCTCCACCGTCACATCATCCTGCACGGTGCCATCCGCGTTCAGGACGGATGTAGATGGGATCAAGAACGACAGACGGGGGCGCGATCCAGACTTGGCTGTCTCCACCATCGCTGGCCAAATGTTTCGGACGTCCGCGCAAACGAGGTACGACGTGTCGACGCGACGGTCAATGGCGAGTTGTTCCATGAAGGTCCCGACATGATCACTGCAGGTAAGAGAGCGACCCAAGCCAAAAAGGAACAAAAAGTGCAATCATAATATGCCAACAATGAGTGGAAAAAATCGACAAAACCCAATCAAAACCAATCAAAAGGCCCAAATGCAAAAGCACAAGCAAGTGCACTCACAGGGTGGGAGGTGCAAGCATGGCCACATCGCTGGACGTCAGACCGAGCTGCGCAGCAAAGGCGACCGCGATGGCTTCTTGCCGTTGCTGCTCGAGCACTTGGAGTTGCTGCGAAGCCCGTTCGATGCGTTCCAGGTGCTGTTGCATGTTGATACTGAGATTGTCCTCAATGGCATACACAGAAGAAGAAGAAGAGGAGGAAGAAGAAGAGGAAGAAGCGCTGGCGATGGCAGGCTGCTGATTGGACAGAAGGGCGGGGCCTGCAATAGCGGGCTGTTGGTTGGCGAGAAGAGCCGGGCCAGCAATAGCGGGCTGCTGGTTTGTCAGAAGCGCTGGCCCACCAATAGCGCGCTGCTCGTTGGTGATGAGGGCCGGCTCGCCACGTCCGCCCAAGGCGCGTTGCTCGTTGGTAATCAAGGGAAGGCCCGTGTTCTGGCCGCCTACGCGCGCGGGAGGACCACCTTGCCATTCAGACAGACGGGTTTCGGCAGCTGGCAGCTCGAGCAAGCCAACGGCAGACGATTCACGGACGGACAAACCCCAGCCCTGGTCATCGACGGCCAGAAGACCACGGCCGCCAACGTGAGCAACACCCCGCTCTGAGTTGACGACCATCATGTCGTAGCGCTGACGAGGCCCGCCGAGCATGGCGCCGGGGAAGGACGTGGGTGAAAGGAAGGCAAAACCAACGAAAAAGAGGACGGCGCACACGGTGACGCTCGCCGCGACCCCAGAGCGTGACGACAGGGATGCCGCCATCTTGCCCACCTGGCTGCCATGTCCGCGCATCCCGCTGCCGCTGCCGCCAAGAAGCGGGCCGTACTGCTGCTCGTAGGAAACACGGAGCTCCGGGGTTGTGTCGATAAACGAGCGAAGGCGCTCATTGTCTGCCTTGAGCACGGCATTTTCCTGCTCGAGCGCCACAACCTGCGACCTGAGCGCGGCGTTGTGTGTCTTGATGGTGTTGAGGTCGCGCTCGAGCGTGTCGAACTGGTCCTTCTTGCGCTTGCGCGACTGGCTCGCGGCCTCGCGATTCTTGATGAGCCGCTGCAGCTTCTTGTCCATTTCCGGGTGGATGGCCTGCTGGTACATTGCAGCAGGCGCTGTGTTTGCCGTCGCAAACTGCGCCTCTTCGCCTGCACTCGAATGGCCCGAAGATGATGACGGAGGAGACGCAGCTCCAACTCCGACGACCTGCTGCTGCTGGTGGATGTAGGCAGACCCAAGGTTGGTCGTCGTCGTCGTCGTTGCCATTGTCGGTGTGGTGGTAGCGGGTGCTGGTGCGACAGGGCCGCCTTGAAGCGGGCGCAGCGGAGGAAGACTGGCGAGCCGTTTGTATTGGCCGCTGCTTGCGGGATTGAGCTTGACCACCTGTTGCTGAGGTTGCTGATGTTGCTGAGGCTGGTAGTGCTCTGCGACGAGCGTGGGCGACGGGTGCAGGAGCGCGTCCTGCAAGAGGTCGAGGCCGAGCAGCGAAGCGTGGTGGTCTGCGGCGGCATACTGATGATGAGGCTGCGTGTGCGTGTGGTGGTGGTGCGCCGTCATCAGGAGCAGGTCGTCTGGAGCACCTGTGATGCTGCTGGTGGCCGAGTGGTGGCTGTCGTCGAGCCACGCCATGAGCTGGTGGTTGTGAGCGTCGTCGTCGGCGTGGTGGTGGAGGTCGAGCCCCATCAGCAGCGCAACGTCCGCCTGCTGCCGACCGACGCCCACGTCATCAACGTCTACATCCACATGCGCCCTCATTGAAGCAGCAGCGGCGGCGGTGGTCGTCGGAGCGGTCGTCGTCGTAGAATCGAGCAGGTCGAGAAAGTCAGTGTCGTTGAGCGACGCCGGCGAGAGCGTTGAGGCTGCGTCGAGCACGCTCCACGGCTGGCTCACCCCAGAGTTGCCGCTACTCGAGGTCGAGTGGTTGGAGTGGCTGGACGGGTGGTGGTGCTCGTCCTCGTCCGACGTCAGGCTGTCAAACACGCCAACGTCAATCTCCACCTTGAGCGGGTCGTCGTCGCCGCCGCCGCCGCACTCGAGATGATGCATTGCTGCTGCTGCTGCTGCTGCTGCGTCATTGTCGTGATGGCCGAGTTGCTCCATGGTCTGGAAAGAAGTTGAAAAGTGTTTGTCAGCAAGAAAGAAGAGCTTGGAAAAAATAAAATAAGAGAGACTGAGATGTCATGGTTTCTGAGAAAAGAAGACAACAAAAAACAACGGCGAGCAAAATTACAGCGTAGAATGAAGACGCACAGAAATGCTCAGCAGCGACGGATGGATTGAACGAGTGGAAAACTGCTTCAATCTGAATGACCGCTCTTCCATTGCCGTGCTCGCCGCCAAAGAAGCATCTCCAATCCTCAAAGAAGCAAAAGTCGTATCGAGCCTTCTACATTGAGGAAAAAAACCCGGGATCCAAGCTCAGCCTTCTTTCGTCCTTGTTATTGGATCAAAATGCCAAACTCATTTGAAACCGTAGAGTTGAGCGCCGCTGCGACGCAAGAGCAGGTGCTCGCGCAGGTCACCGAAGTCATGCAAGAGCTTCGAGATGCCACTGCGAGTAGTCCGCTGCTGGGGCTTGGAGCGCCGGTAGCCGAGCAGAGCGAGACGCTGATTGAGGCACATCGAACGAGATTCGGTCAAGAGTTGAGTGGCGAGCCTGCTTCCGTTTGTTGCTTGCTTGCTTGTTGTTATTGTTGTTGTCGACGAAAGGGGTCGAGCTACACACTTGTCGTTGCTGGAAGAGGGGTCCATGCGTTGCGCTCACCTTCCCGACATTGACATTGCAGCGTGCTTGACTTGACTGGCAATCCCGCGCTTCCCGAGCTGCTGGACGAACTATCTCGTCTGGACGCGTGCTTTCCTGCGACCCATGATGCAGGTACGACGGAAGAAAGGGACGGGGGCACGAGACCAAGCCAGGTCACCTCGAATCTGTCAAACTCATCATCACTGCCTGGTTGGACGTGTACTCACTCACCTCCTTGCACACTTGATGTGTCTGAACGTTGGTCTTGTCTGTAGACGAAGCATTGAACCTGCATGAGCAAGACCTCATCAACCAAATTGCAGAGACCGAGGCAGAGCTGCAGCGAAGAGCATGGCTGGTTCTTCCCGATCTCAAAACGACTGGCAGCGCGCATGTCGAAGAAGAAGATGAAGGCATGCTGCACGACGACGATGCCAGTCCCATCACCCAGGCAGATCCATCACACCATCCAGAGAACAGCTCTGGCGAGCTCAAGAGCGAAGCATCGCAAGCGAGCATGCCACGCGAAGTGTCTCTTGCAGTCCTTGCGGCCACAGCAGCGCAGATTCAACTGAACAGACACTTGACTGAAAACCTTGTTGTAAGGTTTACGTGTCTGCTTTGCTGCTTTTTTGAGTCCGCGGCCCGAAACGGCGATCGGACTTTGCGTACATTCTCGTTGTTGATCGTTTCGCCTTGAATCCCCCGATGTGCTTGATGGGGCATTGCAGATGGAGCACGATCTCTTGGCAAGCATTGATCTCATGCTCGATGAGCAGAGTCAGGTTCGAAAGGTGACGGATCTCGAGCGGGGTAGGGCGCATCGAAGTATTCGCATTCGATTTCAAGCCGACAAGCTCCGAGCTCTCCGAAGACAGTGTGACTTTTGGCAGCAGTGTGCTTCAGCACTTGAGCCGATGTCCACTTCCACGTAAGTGCACCAGCGAGGCTTTGGGGGATGAGGGGTTGCGGGGGGACGAGGGCACGAGATTATTCGCGTTTAGGCTGCTTTGTTTCAGCACCAAACAAAACTATTTGGCGCTGTACTGAGAGTGATAGTCTCATGTTGGTGTACTGTTCACGGATATGCCGGGCAGCTGTTCTGACGTGTTTGATCGTTGTTCTTTTGCAGAATGCTGCACGTTAAGAACGCTCAACGGCACTTGCAACAGTATCCCCACATTGTGCAAGCGGTCTTGAGGGAAAGCGCCATCATGGGCATGGTCAGGCTGTAGTACGAGTCGGCTTTTTGGAATGGGGTCGTGAGCAAATGTGAAAGCCCCGCTTGCAGATGTCGCTGCCAACGTTTCACAGTCTCGGTTTCGCTTGCCGCTCTGCTCTCGCATCATCCCCGAGCTGCTGGGCATTCTCCCTCTGATTCCGAGCACGCCTCCTGCAAGCGAGATCGCTTGATTTCAGTCGTTTGTCGGTTTGCAATCCAAGCAATATTTTTTGTTGTTCTGCGAGCTGGGCGGTTTCTTGACTGCCAGCTTTTTTGAGCAAGGGGCCTCAACGCTGCTGCGGCCACATACACCATGCGCAATGCCTCTCTAGTCATCCACCGGTTGCGGTAGAGGCACCAGGTTTGTTATTCTGCTTTCGTTTTTTTTTTTTTTTGGTTGTTTTTCGCGTTGGGTTGTGCCTTTTTTTTTAGTTGTTTATTTTTAGAATATGACTTTTTCTATCATTCAACCACCTGTGCATCCAACTTTCAGGATCAGAAGATCAGAAATAAGAAACCAGAACTCAGAAATCCGATTTTTCATATTTTATTTTTCTTTCAGTCCATTTTTTTTTTTTTTACCCCAACTCGCCTCAAACACAAAACTGCAACGATGGCAGCACTGACGAGTCGCTCAGCCAAGGGCGGCGTTCCGGATCTTGTGCTTCTTGAGGAGATTAGCGAGGATGCCATTCTGTCTGCGCTGAAGAACCGCTTTGCCAACGACGCCATCTACACTTACATTGGCAATGTGCTTGTCTCGGTCAACCCGTTCAAGAACATTCCCATCTATACGGATGCGCGTACGTTCTTGCTCTTTCTCTCTTTCGCTCTCTCTCTCTGCTCTGCTCTGTTCTGTTTGATCATTTCCATCCATCGCTTGGGGGGGGGGGCTGCGCTTCTAAGGAACGATTCTGTTCTTTCAATCTGTTGTTTGATCTTTTATTGTATTATTTTTTATTTTATTATTTTATTTTTTATTTTTGTGATGTTGTGAAGGAGGCGTCCATCATCTTGTTCGCTCAACCCAAATCTCAGTGTTGGTCTTTTTCACCCTCTCCGCGTCCCTTCACGGCCCAAATGCGCTCATAAGTGGGCTTGCATTCGTGATGAACACACTCAACCCACACACACACACACACACACGGCCGCAAAATGCATCGGTGTCGGCATTCCAAAAAAAAAAAAAGCAAAAAAATAAAAAATAAAAACAATATTGTGGCACACGGTGGTGATAAAAAATAATCACTGTTGGTTTGGTTGCGGTTTTTAGGGCTGAGTGTTGGCTGTGCGATCAGACTCGCGCGAAATGGGGGGGGGGGAAGAGAAGCACCTGCGCATTGATCTCGTGCAGCGCCGCTTTGAACACGACAGCAAAAGCCAAAAACCAACAAAAAAGAAAAAAAAAAGAAAAAAGAAAAAAAAGTACCCAAAATAAAAATAAAAATAAAATAAAAAAAATACAAGATGGCTTCCATAGCATTATTTGACCACATTGGCGAGATTAAGCAGCGAAATCGAGGGGGAAAGCACACTTGAGCGCGCGCGACCATCATCGCTGCCCAATGCATGTGGCATCTTTGAACGAAGCCCAACAGCATTTGCGCTTTGGTTCTCGTTTGTCGGGGGTTTTGCGGTCTGCTTGGAAAAACGATGAAGAAGAAGAAAAAGAGCAAAAAAAAAAAAAAAAAAAAAAAAAAAAAAAAAAAAAAAAAAAAAAAAAAAAAAGAGCCTGGAATGAAAAACATAAACAAAAAAAACCACAAAGATTAAAAAAATAAAATAAAATAAAAATAAATAATTCGATTCTATTCTGCTGCTGTTGTTTGTTGAAGCTGACTTTTCGTATGATTTGTGCTGTTCATTTCAACAGACATTCAGAACTACTCTGGCAAGCAAATGTACGAGTCCGAGCCGCACATCTTTGGTAAGTTGTGAAAAAAAAACCCCACAGTCAAACAGACAAAAAAAAAAAAAAAAAAAAAAAAGACAGGCTGATGGCGGCTTGTCATTGGTCGGATTTCTGGCATCCAACACGAGCCACGACCCATGCAAAAGCAGGCATAGGAAACAATTGGCAAGGAAGTGTGTGTGGGGGTGGAGGCGAGTCAAGCCACAGAAGGGAAGAAAACGGGCATCGCATTCAAAACCCACAGTGAAAGTGAGGTTTCCCCGACATCTCTCTTTTTCTCGTCTCGTTGTCATCTCGCACTCGAACGGAACAAGACCTTTCCCCCCCCCCCGACTCCAAAGCTCGCATCGCATTGCAAACAACCCCCCACCCACCCTCGACCGAGTGCGAAATGCAAAGGTGCATCAAAGTTGTCTCACTTGTTATGGTCACTTTGTAGCGTTGGCTGATGAGGCCTACCGCAACATGCGCGACCGCGCCCAGGACCAGTGCATCATCATTACCGGCGAGAGGTAGGTCCTGCTTTGTGTTTGTTTGCTTTGTTTGCTTGTTTTGTTTTCGAGTGACAGGCGCTCTGTTTCGCAGCATTTTCAAAACTAACGTCCGACTTGAAATGTGCGCTCTTGTCCAACTTTTTAGTGGTGCTGGCAAGACCGAGGCCGCCAAGCTGATCATGAAGTTCATTGCTGCCGTCTCGGGCGACAGCCATGCTGGATCCAAGGTGAGCATCGCCGCTGCTTCAAAAAAAAAAAAAACCAAACATTTACCAGTTATGAATGCTCACTTTCTCCCCCCCCCTCCTTTCTTCCTCAGATCAAAGACCAGCTCCTCAAGTCCAACCCCGTGCTGGAGGCCTTCGGCAACGCCACGACCAACCGCAACTTCAACTCGTCCCGCTTTGGCAAGTACATGGACATGGAGTTTGACTACAAGGCAGACCCCGTTGGCGGCCTGATTACCAACTACCTGCTGGAAAAGTCCCGTGTTGTCAAGCAAGTGCAAGGCGAGCGCAACTTCCACGTCTTTTACTACCTGCTCCAGGGTGTGGACGAAGGCACGCTCAGCTCAAAGTTTTCGCTGCAAAAGGACCCGTCCAAGTACTTTTTCCTCAACCAGAGCGCGACCTACGTGGTTGACTTGGTCAACGACCGCGAGCTGTACAAGGAGATGGTGTCTGCCATGAAGGTGGTCGGTTTCAAGGACGCGGACGTGGACAACTGCTTCAAGCTTGTCGCCTCCATCCTGCACCTCGGCAACGTTGAGTTTGTTGCCCAGGACGATGCGCACAGCACCGTGACTGACTCGCCTGCCTTGTCTGCCGCTGCCTCGCTGCTCGAGGTCGACAAGCAGACGCTCATCCAGGCGCTCACCTTCCGCACCGTCACCACGCGCGAGGGCAACATTTCCACCCCGCTCAACGCCCGCCAGGCTGCCGCCACCCGCGACGCGCTCGCCAAGGCCGTCTACGAGCGTCTGTTCGTGTGGGTCATTGCCCAGATCAACAACTTTATCCGCGCCCCCGAGAAGGAGGCCCGCCACGTGATTGGCGTCCTCGACATTTACGGCTTTGAGATTTTCGGCCGCAACGGCTTTGAGCAGTTCTGCATCAACTACTGCAACGAAAAGCTCCAGCAGCTCTTCATCGAGCTCACGCTCAAGTCCGAGCAGGAAGAGTACCTGCGCGAGGGCATTGACTGGGTCCACATTGACTACTTTAACAACGCCATCATCTGCGACCTGATTGAGAACGGCCAGACTGGTATCATTGCCATGCTCGACGAGAACTCGCTCCTCCAGAACGAGAGCGACAGCGACTTCCACGCCAAGCTCAAGGCCAAGTGCAAGGGCCACGCCCACTACCAGACCAACACGATCGCAGACACGACCTTCACGCTCAAGCACTACGCCGGCGACGTCACGTACGACTCTGTCGGCTTTATCGAGAAGAACAAGGACGCCCTGTTCAAGGACTTGTCGCGTCTGATGTACTCGAGCCAGCAGACCATGCTCAAGCTCATGTTCCCCGAGGGCGCCCTTGCCGACTCTGAGCTCATGAAGCGCCCGACCACCGCGGCCACCCAGTTCAAGCGCCAGGTCAACGAGCTTGCCCAGATTCTGCTCCAGAAGACTCCCCACTATGTCCGTTGCATCAAGTCCAACGACCAGAAGCGCGGCGGCCTCTTTGTCGACGAGCTCTGTCTCCACCAGGTCCGCTACCTCGGCCTGCACGAGAACGTGCGCGTCCGCCGTGCCGGCTATGCCTTCCGTCAGCTCTACTCGCGCTTCCTCGATCGCTACAAGATGCTCTGCCCCGAGACCTGGCCGCTGTGGGAGTCGCCCGAGCAAAAGCGCCAGCGAACGGACGCGGTCAAGTCTGGCAAGACTGGCATTCTTGCCGTGCTCGAGATGCAGAAGGCTGCCTTCCAGAGCACCGACCAGGCCTACCAACGCAAGGGTGTCGAGAAGATTCTCAGCCACCTCAAGCTTGGCCAGGGCGAGTACCTGCTCGGCAACACCAAGCTCTTTGTCAAGCAACCCACCACCCTGTTCGCCCTCGAGGATTTGCGCGAGCACCGCATCGTTGGCATTGCCACCCACATCCAAGCACACATCAAGGGTCTGCTCGCCAAGCTCCGCTACAAGCGTCTGCGAGCGGCCACCATCAAGGTCCAGAGCAACATTAAGCGCTTCCTCTTCCGCCGCCGCATGCAAAAGCTCCGCATGGTCTACATTACCTACCTTGCCTACGTCTACCAAGGCAAGCAAAAGAGCACCGACTGGATGACCGACCGCGAGCGCGCCTTTGTCAACAAGGCCTTCTTCAAGCGTGTTGCCGTGACCCGCGTCACCAACGTGTACCGCAACTACCTGCGCCGTCGCGTCCTCCGCGTCTACCGCGACAACCTCGTCTGGGCAGACCGCAAGAACACGTACGTCCAGGGCAAGCAGTACAAGATGGTCAAGTGGCCCGAGATTAAGGTTTCGTGGTGCGCCCAGACGCTCACGCTGCTCAAGGGCATCTTTGAGGGCTGGGTTCGCCGCAAGTACCGCTCGTATGTCACTGCAGAGCAGAAGGCTGTCCTCGAGCTCAAGCTTCGTGCCAGCGAGATTTTCTACGGCAACAAGATCACCTACCCCCGCACCGTTCCCGTGCCGTACACCAGCCAGCGCCTCGGCGAGCTCGTCAACCCCAAGACGGAGAAGCACCTGGAGACGCTCAAGGCGGAGCACTTCCTCCCCGACGAGACGCTGATTTGCGCCACCGCGGCCATGAAGCTCAACCGCGCCGATTTCAAGGGTGTCCAGCACTGCCTGTTCCTCACGGACAAGAACCTGCACATTACCACCAGCGCGTTCAAGCTCAAGCAGACCTTGCCCATCAACGCTCTGTCTGCCGTGACGCTCTCGCCGCACGGCGATTCTGTCATGGTCCTCCACGTCGACCTCAAGGAGCTGCCCGAAAAGGGCCAAAAGAAGGGCGATTACATGTTTGTCGTCGACGACCACGTCGAGCTTGCCACCAAGATTTGCGTCAACTACGAGGCCAAGACCACCTTCAAGTTCAAGCTGCGCTTCGCCGACCAGATTGTTGTGCACGTCAAGGGCGGCGAGGAGAATGTCACCTTCGCCGCCGGCGAGGTCGATGAGATTAGCTTCATCCCCACCAAGAAGACGCTGGCCATTGCGCTCCCTCGCAGCAAGATCAACGACGGCACCAAGCCTGCAGCCCTCGTCCGTGCCGACTCTGTTCTCGACGGCATGAACGAGGCCCAGTACCACAAGTTTATGGAAGGCGGCACGCTTCCTCGCAACTTTGACTTTAAGGGCAAGAACTGAAATTTTTCTTTGTGATGTGTTTCTTGTCCTCGAGCTTTTGTGGACTCGATTGCCATGTCGTGCATTCTCTGTGATGTTTTTGTGATGATGATGTTTATTCTTTGTTTTTTTTTTTGTTGCATTTTTTTTTGTTCAAAAATTTCATTTGTTCCATTCTTCCTTGGGCATACTCGATTCCAATTTCTCAGCTAGAATGTCGTCGTCCCGGAGCATAGCGCCACCCACCGGGACTGGCGATAACTCAAACGATGCAGCTGTCCCAGAGGACCTTGGTGAAGAACAAGCGCTGGCAAAAGCTTTGGAAGCGCTTGATCCGAACATGGCGATCGCGCTTAGCCATCTTTCCAAGCAGCTTGCCAGCTTCAAAAAGGAGATCAAGTCTGACTTGACAGACATGCGATGTGATTTCGGCCGACAGCTTGATCACACCCGCAAGCTGTACACCTGAGCGCGCGGTCTCAGCAGTCTCGGCCGCTCGAGTTCTTCTCTGCTCCAGCTCCAGCCCCCGACCCAGTCAAGCTAGTTGGTGAAACAAACTAGTTGGTATTAAAACAATGAACAACTCAGTGACAAAACAAAAAACAAAAAACCACAAAAGCCCCTAATCAAACCACTGAACTCAATCTTGGGCTGCATGAGTTCGCCCAAACAGACGCATGACCGCCTGCAAGTCAGGTCTGGAGGGATTGGAGGAATTGGACGCATTGGATTTCGACCTGTCTTGAACAAACTCTTGAAACTTGAACGGGCGCACAGACAGTTGCTTGTCGCGCGACAAAAAGTCTCTTGTGGCTGTCAACTGTCGCACCGTGGCGCTTAATGGGTCGTATTTTGGGGCGTTCAGATATCCTAGTGAGGGATGATGGTGGTGGTCAGTATCGTCAATTGAACGGCATTCCACCCCATTGGTAAGAAAAACAAAACAAAACAAAGCTTACCAAGTATTGCCGTATTCAAGGCGCTGGCCACCAGCTCGCGCCGTTGCACATTCATCAATTGCCCTCCGGGTACGGACGACGGATTACTGTATGCAAGCAGCGGGGCAAGGTCCTGGAAAGAAATGGCAGAGGTGCGGGGGGGGGGAGATGAGCAGTGTTGCACACAAATCCAAAAACAATCAAACCAGCACAAACAGCATACCTGCAGTTGCTCCATGTAGGAGGTCGAGTGCGTCTCGAGGAAGGCATATTCTCCGAGCTGGTTTTGGAGCAGCTCGAACGCCTTGACGGCATCATTGGCCCGCACAAGCTCGAGGTATATCTGAGACTGCATCAAAAACAACACTCGCAGCGTGTCGCGGTCTATCTTGCTCTTGTCTTGCGGGAACAACCCAGGATAAAGCACGGCACAACCCGCCAGAGCATTTTCCACATCGCCAGCAATAATTTGGTCCGAGAGGTCTGGGTTGAGAGTTGAGTGAGGGGGGGGGTGAGCACAAAAAAAAAAAAAAAAACAAAAAACAAGTCAACATCAACAAACAAAAGCAAGCAAGTTCCCTACTTTTGCGATCGTTCATACTGCTGAACGCAGGAAGCATTGACAGGACAAACTCCTTGAGTTGCGCCGCCTCTTGCGCGAGACTGGCCTCGTCTTCAGGGTCGAGCACAGTCGCTGCGAGCTTTTCATTCAGCATTTCCAATCGCTTCTTTCGCGCTCGCTGTTTCAATACAGCCGGATCTGCAAAAACAAAAAAACCTCAAGTGAGAGAGAGAGCAGCAAAGAAGCAAGACAAGCCGCCCCATGACTTGTGTTTGTGTCAAACATGTCGATTTCTTAGAAAACAAAAAGACGAAAAAAGAAAAGAAAGAAAAAAAAAAGTTCAAGAAATTCACAGCCAAATTAGATTGTGAGCGGCCGCAACAAAGGGCCAAGGAGAGCAAATGCGGATCGCTCTAGCCAAGTTTTCTTCTTCAAAGGCTGACATGGTAGACAGCGAAAGGGAGGTGGGGGGGGGGGAAGCGGGGCTCAAAACTCACCGGTCGATTCGGCGTCGGTCGTGCTGGTTGCAGCAGACACGCCGCCAGCACCGCCATCAGCAACCATGGCGGACGAAGGGGCAGCGTGGGATGTGACGGTGGTCGCCGCCGTAGCAATGGCCGAGCCTGGGGCGGAAGCAGAGGCAGACGAGGCTGCTGAAGTTGCTGTGCTGACGCTTTCAAGCAGCGCGTCGCAGTCGAGGCCCATCGTCCGCATCAGCGCGCGGGCAGTGTCGGCGTGGCTGTGGTGAATCAAATAGGACAGCACAATCATGCGCACTTGGAGATCGCTCGGCGCGTGTGCCTCCAGCTGCGCCTCGGTGCCGCCAGTCCCGCCATAAGCTGTTGCATTCGAGCTCGACCCCAGCGGCTCTACATCCATTGCTTGCGAAAGCGCAGCGGCTGCTCGCCCTGCCCTGTTATTCATGATGATGATGGCGTTGTTTGTTGTTGTTGCTGTTGCTGTTGAGAGGGCCAAAGAAGAAGATCGAAGGTGTTGTTGACGAGAGGAGAAGTGTAGACTGGGCCAGAATCCATCACTCTCTTCTTTTTGTATGGCAGTCTTCTTTCCTTCCTGCCTTTGACTTCCTTGGTCAACTTGAATAAAACTCAACTCCCTGCCAAAAAAACATAGGGAAAAAACAATGATCCCAACGTTCCGTCGCAAGCCAACGCAATCGGCACAGCCAGGCCAACCTGCCGCCGCTCCCACGGGCCCCCGCAAGACAAACCTGTTCCCTGTTGCTGACAGTATGCCGCAGAGCAGCGCTGGATCTGCTTCTTCGGAGGGGGGCCTCGCTCGCGTTCCAGGATCGGAAAACGCCTTTCCGACTGGCGTGCAACCGGGATCAACGCCATTTGCATCCACGCTCGTCCCGCGCGTTCCAGTCACGAATCCTGACTGGAGTATGTCTGAACTGCACGACGGAGCCCAAGCGACGCCGGCTTCCAAGTCGTGGGGCGCTCCGGCGGGATTGGCGTTAAACCAGTTTCCCGCCAAATCTGGTTCGACAACTGCTGCGACTCAGTCAGCGTTCCAGCGGTACACTGCTCCGTCGTCTTTGCAAAGCACTGGAGGTCGCGCAAAGACAAACCAGGCGGCGAGTCCTGCCAAGCGAGGCCAAACCAACCAGGCCGCCGAGAACGACTCTACTCCTCCAAAGAAGCCACCCCAAGTCGCATCCCGCCCTGCGGCATTCGTCAAAATGAATAGTGCAGGCATTTCCACAGGGCACGCGTCGAGCTTGATTGCTGCGGCACCACTGCCAGCTCCCTCGCGCAAGCCGGTTGCGCTTCAGGGCGACCCTGTCTTTGACACTTCCAGTGTAAGCGTGCGACTCTTTGTAGCAGTGATGCAATGATGTTCACAAAAGAACTCACCTTTTGAAAACAGAGTACTTTGCCGGCAGCTGGAAGCTGGAAACGGCCCCACACCGTTGTGCACAACCCGCCATCTAACTCGTTTGGATTCGATGAGCAGGCCTGGGCGCAACCCGTCAAACCAGCCCACTCCCAGCAACAACAACAGCAGCAGCAGCAGCAGGATGCCATGGTTCCACACGCCACCACCTCGTCCACGCTTGCCGCTCAGATCCCTGACATTCGAGAGCGTACACCTCGCTCCCGCATGAAAATTTGGACCGTCACAGCAAACGAGATTGAAGCTCTGTGGCAGCAAGCACAGCCGCTGCTTCATAGCGGGTGGCTGTTCCTCGAGCTTTACGGTATGTGCATCGGTGCTGCAATCATTGTTGAGAAAAACAAACGTAATCTGACAGCGACACAATTCTCGCTTTTGCTTGCCTTTTCACAGGCATCGCCGTCCCTCCCGCGCAGCTGATCAGTCATCCCCAGTTTCCGCACTGCAAAGAGTTTACACTCACGGATGTACTTGCACAAGGCGGCCGCTACACGCCCTTCAAGTACTTGTGACGCGGCGGTTTTTGTTTTTCCGAGTTGGAGTTGAGCCGCTACTGACCCCTCCCCCCGTTCGTTTTGGGCTGCGACTGCAGGTGCATGTACTGGGAGATTGAGGACTCTCTGGATTCCCTTTTGCCAAACATCTGCTACCGAGTCATTGGTAAGTAGCGGGCAAAAGACGTTTTCACTTGCCGTCTCTGAATCATTCTTACTTTTTTTCTCCCAAATCCGTGACTCCAGGAGTCGTGCGCGATAGCAATCTCGTGCAATGCGTCAACATTCGCATTGCCCTTCCCAACGAAGAGGAGCGTGCTCGAGCCCGCCATGTTCCTCTGGCAACTTTGCTTGCGACACATTCCCTGTAGTCTCAACGCTTGTTGAACGCCCTCCTCCTCTGTCAAAAACCATGTCCGTTGTCGCCCAGTACGAGTAACTTTGCTTGCATCTGAATAGAAACACTCCATTGCCCTACATCCTGCAATACGGGTTTGGTCACCGCATGATGAAAGGAATACTTGTGCAGTTTGTGACCGTGAACGATACCATATTGCGGTAAAACCAGCACACGCTCAATATCAATAGATCGAGCATAAAGAAAACCAACACCATCCAACTCTGACTAATCCTGAAACCCAGCAAAAGAGTTGAGCAACACAGACATGAACTTGTCCCGCATGGCGGTTTTGAAGGTCGCATACCACTCGACGACATCACGCTGGCGCTTGAGAACGGCTGCTTTGTCGGCCAGCTCGTTGTCGAGAACCGCGGCAATATTGTTCCAGTCGCGGACGTAGATAAAAGGAGCATTGTGCGCCTTGAGCAAGGTGAGCTGGTTAAACTCGGGACCGCATTCGGGCGTCGGGACGTCTTCGACAATGGGAATGGAGCCCAGCTCGCACGCTTCAAAGATGCGGTAGCACATGACGTTCAGGCCTTTCGGGCAAAGCGTAAACTGGCTCGTGAGGAGGGCTTCGTGGTAGTGTTGAGTTTCCTCTTTGCTGTCTTGGGCTGCCCAATTTGCACGGTTGGCCACGAGACACGAGCGGACTGGCGCGGGGTAGTTGGCTAACAGATTCTTGTCTGTGAGATGTTCCTGGCTCAAGCGCTCATGGCCAGGTCCCAGTTCTGCCGTCAGATACTGGAAGGCACTGGCCCGAATCGCGTCGACCGACGGTGTCTCATCCGTCGCCACCAACGCACTCCGCTCGAGAGCCCGAACGAGCAACTCGCGGGTGGTGTTGACGTGCAGCGTCGCCATCATGTTGCAGGTGTACTCGCGTGGTTGGTCGAGGCGCAGCTGGGCGAGGTCCTTCCGACGTTCAAACTTGCGATACGTTGCAATGCCAAGAGGCCACTCAAAGATCTTGTCGTTGTCAATCATGCTGGCGTCATGGTAGACCATGAACACAAACTTGACAAATGGCAGGTAGGGCTCCAGCCACTGGTTGTCGCACAGTTCAGAGCCGAGCACCACGAGCCCAACGTTTCGCACGTGTCTCAAGCCCGCCAGTTCGTCCAGCAAGGCCTTTGCCGTCACCATCTTTTCCGGATTGTGGGCATTCAGAATCATCACCACATGACGCGTCGTGGGCGGGGCATTGGCGGGCTTGAGGCCGGATCCTGCACGAAAGCGAAGGCGGACGTCGCTCACAATCTGCTCTCCATGCGAGTAGTGCCCGTCCGCAATGTACTTTGTCGAGCCTCGGAAGATGTCCGTCCAAAAGTAGTCTCCGATGGCGGCCTTGGACCATATCTCGACCTCGTAGCGAGCTGCGCGCCGGACGTGCGACAGCGGAGCGCGTGCCGTGCTGCGGGGCTGTGCGTCCGCCCGCTGCAACGCGTTTTGCAGAGCAGCGTTCACGTCATTGTCCACGACGATTGGAGCTGGGCGATCTGCGTCTGCAGCAGCAGCAGCACGGACAACAGGCGCTTCATCTTGGCTCGGTTTCTCTTCCTTCCGCTCACCTGGTCGGAGTTCGCTGCTTCCATCTAATGCGTAGCGGAGCCCACACACAAAAAGCCGTGAGAGTGAGCCCCTTTGTTTCTTTCTTTCTTTCTTTCGAGAACATGCACACTTGGCAGCAGAAGATGATGACAACGCGCATGGATGCAACTGCTTCTAGGTTACAGAAATCCCACTCTTCGCTGCTGCGATCGAGCTGGCCTGCTTGGTAGCCCAGGTACGCAGACACAAGGACAAAGACGGCAGCGGCAACAAGGGCGGCCACCAAGCGCAGTCGCATGGTGGGCGTGAATTGAATTCAGTCCAAAAAACGCGTCAAGTCAATCAAATCACTGTCACACAGCAATCGCTCGTCGATTTTATTTTGCTTGGACAAAAAGTGCGACTGGCGACCAATAGCGAGGCTTCCATTCAGTCAAAGCTCACTCTATCCGAAAGCGCGGAACTTGACTTTGGGATCAAAGCGCAGTCGTGTTCTGTTGGTTCAAAAACAAACTGTCAAAGCGATTAACTTTTGCTTTTTCCGCTGCAGCAAACCCCACCTCTCTCCTCTCTCCTCTCTCCTCTCCCCTCACCTCACCTCACAGCGCCCGCCTAGATTCAGAAGAAGTCCAGGTCCTGGCTTCGACTATCTTCTGAGGCCCCGCCCATCTGCCCGTCCAAGCGCAGTTTGCCTTGTGCTTGTGTCGCGCCGAAACCAACCCTCCCCTTTCTTCTTGCACTTGTCATCAAACCTGACACGATGAGAATCTCACGGCGATGCACGCGCATGCTTCAAACACTGGCCGCGGTGCTGGTCATCATGTGCTGCATGCAAGTCATGGCGCGCTGGGGTGGCGGCAATGGTGGCTTGTCCAACACCAGCTCAGACGACCAACCCTCCGCCGACCAAGCCAGCCACCAGGAGCCCGCAGCCAATCCAATCGACACGGAATTGACTGAGGTATCCACAGAACTTGCTGCTGAGCCGAATTCGCTCGAGACATTTGACCATGTCGCAGACCACAAGGACAAGGATAAGGACGTTGGTAAGTCCAAGAGTTTCTCAGCTTCTTTTGCTTCTTCACCTCCTCCAGTGAAGGGCTGCCGAGTCTGCGCCTGGTTGGTCCAAAAAATCCTGTGTGGCGAGTGCGCGCTTACAAAGTTTGGATTGGATTTGCTTGGCACGTTGTACGCGTTTGTTCCATCGTTCTTTCCCGAATTACAGTAACGCCCTTCCCCTCGGATTCCGCTGCGATGGAGCCAGTCCAGCAAGCTGTAGATCAAAAGCCTTTCATTGCAACTGAATTGGAACGCGAGATGGCGCGCGTTGGACGCAACGTCCTCAAAAACCAAGTCGCCAATCCCGGGTTTTCCTCCCGCCTGCAAGAAACAGTTTCGACCGACCAGCCTTCCAGTGCCGGCTGGTGGACACGCGGAGATGCACTGCGGATAGAGTACTGCTCCTCCTCCAAGTTCAAGTACTGCCGCGGCTCAAGCCTCGCGATCGAGTGCTCGAGCAGCTCATTGCACGCGGCGTACCAATTTCTTCCCGTGTCGCTGCCGCCTGGCACGCGCGTCTCTTCCTTTGTTCTCTCAGTCAAGTCTGGCAGCACGAGCCTTGTACGCGATGATACATCCGACAACGTGTTTGAGCAGATGGGCGCCGGTACGACCGCGGCACTGTACGGCCTGCTTGCGCAAGTGCGTTATGCCGATGGCTCGGACGAGATCCTTGCCCTCGAGTTCCCCGCCCAGTACAGCGGGCTCGCCTCCATGACGCGCAACATCAACCACACCGTTTCTCACGACCGTGGCTCGATTGACTCCATCTTGCTGATGCTGACCTGCTACGGCCACATTGGCAAAGTTTGGTTTGACGACGTGGCTTTGCTGCCCGAGGTCGAGGTCGATGTCCGCGCATTCAACGCGGCATCGTTTCGGGGCGATGGTGGCGGTGCTGCGCCAGATGTCTCTGAGCTCGAGGGCCGTCCTCCCACTCAGCAACAACAGTTCAAACCCTTTCTCTCAGTCACGCAGGCGTTACAGGGAGTGAAGAGTCTTACGCAGCTCAGTAGCGGCTGCCCAGCACCTGCACGACGAATCTCCGCCCCTGACATCTCAAGCATGTACGAAGTGGAGCCGCTTTCGTTGGCGGTCGAGGAGACCAAGCGGACGCCACAAACAAGCGTCACGCTGACCTCGTACTCTACCGTCCACTCGCTGCCTCTCCTCTTGCGCAATATTCGACGCTGGGACGGACCGGTGTCCCTGGCCCTCTTTCTGGAGTGCCCGGCCAGCGTGACCCGCGGACAGCGACTCGAATACAATCGCCAGCTGCGAGTCGCGCGCGCGCGAAACTCGGCGCCGCAGTTCAAGTACCTGGCATTCGAGGCACAAATCCCAGAGCTCCTGTGGAGCACAGAGTTTCCGTTGCACGAGCTGGAGGCTGCCCGTCAGTTTGTTCGGCAAGAATTTGCCGACGCCAAGCTCCAAGGCACCGCAACCATCTCGCTCGTTTATCCACGCCGCAACTGTTTGGCCGACCTGCCCGTGAACATGCTGCGCAACATTGCCTTGCAACAGGCTCGGTCCGACTACGTCTTTCTCACAGACGCTGCAGAGTTTGCGCCTTCGCCAAACGCGGGCGTGCAGTTTGATAAGGCGCTGAAACACGTGCACTCGTTCCGGTCGGACGGGGTCGCTGATCCTCTTTTGAATGAAAAGTCGCATCTTGTCCTGAGCAACACGCCACTGGAGCTATTGGCCTACATCATGCCGGCCTTTCAGCTCGAACCTGGCAGGGCGATCGACCCGAAACTCGATCCGCTCGATCGAGCGCTGAGTATGCAGCCGCTCATCCCGGACAATCGGCAAGACATTGCTCGCCTGCTGACCACCGCTGGGCCCAACAAGCCACGGCTGCTCAAGTTTCACGCCATCGACAAGCCAGACACGTTCAACCCTTTCAACTACAACAAGTGGCTGCAACCAGCGCGCTCACCACTTCCGTACCACGTCGAGCACACTGCGTGGTCCATCCCCTCTGGTGCGATGTGGAGCGTCTCTGCCACCAACCAGGCCATCCCTCGAGCAGGTGCTGGGTCGGAGGCGGCGGCGGCGGCTCCGCAGCTTGTTTTCCCGCACGAGCCACAAATGATTGTTCGGCGCTCGACGCTGCTTCCAAAGTACGACGAGAGGTTTTTCGGGCGCGGCAGTGACATTCAATCCTTCCTGATCATGGAGATGGCCGCGGCTGGCTACCAGCTTGTTGTTCTGCCCGACAGCTGGACGGTTCGGTTGCCAAGCAGCTACAGCACGCCGTCGGACGTTCCATCCTCGGTTTCAACGCTGCTTGATCTTCCCGCCAAGCGGTTTGAGTTTATGTGCGCACTGTTGCGCCGCTATGCGCTTGGTCCATGCGGGGTTGGGGGTGCCTGAAACTCTGCAGCTTCTGCTTGACAGCTCGTTTTGTTTGCGCGCAGTGTTCAATGATTTATGATATTACAGTCTTTTTTTTTTTTCTTTTTGCAGTCCTTGTTGTTCACACTCGCCACACTCATGCTCGAGCCTCGGAGAGCGTCGCACTCGAGCGCGCGCAGTCTCAGCAGTCTCAGCAGCTCGTCGTCGTCGTCGTCGTCGCGGCTCCAGCTCCCGACCCAGCCGCGTCCGCCCTCGCTCGCACCCGCGCACGCACCCGCACCCGCACCCTCACGCTCACTGCACCGCCAGCTTGCGCGGATGCTGTCGACCCAGGCTGGCCGCGACCGCTTGCTCGCGTCGCTGCAGTATTCCGTCACCGCTTTGCTGCTCGTCGTCGGTCCGTTGGCCCGCAAGTCCCGCAGCCGCGCGTCTGCTCGACAAAGACATGCATCCTCTTCTGCTCTGCCGTCACCGTTCGCTCCGCGTGCGGCCATTGCGGCTGCGCTCGGTTCGGGCGACGTTTCCTCCTGGACGCCGACGGCTTGGGTTCGACTGCTTGTCGCCTGCATTCGAGTCCTGCGCGTCCGCATTGTGCTGTCACAACTGCAAGCTGCCGTCAAGCAACTCAAGTTTGCGCGGCGCGTGATGAAGCTTGGCCGCGGAGTGAGCGAGGCGCAGAAGTTGCGCCAATTGCTGCATTCGAGCTCAGCAACAACAATGACAACTTGCGAGATGCAGGACCAGCACAAGAACAATGACAATAGCGATCAAGTGCGAGCATGCAGCGTGCATAGTTTGGCGTCAGGTCGTCGACAGCTGCGGGCATTGCATCTGCAGTCGAGTTTCCCTGCACAATTGTCGCCACTCGCTCAGTTTGAGCATACGACCATGACCTGGGTGCGCGATTCGCCGTCCACTCTGCTCTACTACAAGAGCAACAGCACGACCACCAGCAGCGAGAGTGGTGGGATGGCAACATCCGCAGGTCTGGCACCATTCCATTTCGCCGGCACGGCTACAGCCCGGCGAAAACTGTCCTTCAGGTCGCACGGCGAGGCCACCGCCGACTCTAACGCATCAGATACCACCCGCACGCCAGTTGTTGCAAAGCGTCCCAGGTCGTCGTTCTTGCGACGACTGGCGCTTGCCATCGCAAAGTTGATCCACAATCGAAACACACTCGACTCTCTCTCGCACCGCTTGCAGGCGTTTGCTTGCGTGATTATGATCTTGAGTACTGTTGTAGACGACGCCTGGTTCCTCTCAAAGCTGGGGGTTGTGCGTCCCGCGCTCGCCCGGTCGTTGCGACCGTCTTCCAAGCCTCTGGTTGCCATCTTGCTGCTGTGTGGGTCTGTCTCGGCCGTGCTTGATGTGCTGCGTCTGCCTCGCCCTGGGAATGCTCAGCAGCAGCAGTATACTAGCCTACCATTGCAGCGGCGACGCCTCCAGAGCCCGGTTGGGTCTCCCGTCAAACCGAGCAGCAGCTCACGACAGCTGGCGTTCTTTTCTCACCGCCTGGCCGCGCTGCCAGCCGTGGCCTCTCCGGCAACAAAGGCATCTCCGTCCAAGGAAGAGCTTGCACACCACGCGTCCACCTGGCTTCGCGACCGACTTTCGTATCGAAAACGCATCGGGTTGTTGACTGCGCTTCGAAATTTGCTCGGCTTTGTTGCTGCTGTTTCTGGCGCGCGTACCATCGCCGCCCCGGCCGCCTTTAGCAGGCGTTCGGGCTCTGCACATGCTCCCGTGTCATTTGCGCTCAAGGTTCCTGTGACTGCGCTTGCCTCTGCCGTCTCGCTACTCATCAGCTATTACACGTCACGAGAGCGTGCGCTTGAAGCCAGATCCGCGTCTAGTAGCCGAGGAATGGCAAGACGATCAAGTCATGTCAAAGCGTGTTAATATGTTCAAGAGGGTTGGTGGTGCTGCTGCGAAATCGAGAAACATTGATCGGCCCCCCGTCCCTTCTCATCATCATCATGCACTGGTGCCTTTCTAGATAACATGAAAAAACCCCAATACAACCAAACCACAAAAAGACTATTGCGTTGTAGTCGCGGGGCTTGAAGCATCGGTTTCCGGCGCCGCACTTGCACTGACGGCGGATGTCTGTTGTTGATTGGCACCTACAGAGTACGTCCAGACAGAGTGGATGCCCATCTCGCCTTTGGGATCGACCACATCGCGGGTGGGATCGGATTGCCAAGTTGGCAGCGCAAACCGCCCGGCAATAACGGTGGCCGAGGGCTGCAGCTCTTGCGCAAACTTGCGCTCGAGGTCGGCAAACATTTCCTTGACGCCAAAGATGACGACTTGCGAGAAGGGCGTGAGGTTGACGTGCCACAGGTTTCGTGTTTCAAACTTGCACAGGTGGCCAACGCCGTTGCGCCAGGCACTGTAACGCGAATAGTACACGAGCCAGCGGTTGAGTTCATAGCCCGTGCATGGGATGCGCAATTGCTTGGCTGCAGCAATGACGACACGGCCATCGCCCGAGCCCAAGTCGACCAGCGTTCCGGTTGGTTTGCATTGATTGAGGACGAGTTGGATTTGCTAACCCAAACAGACCAAAAGTAGAGTTCAATTTTCAAACACGCGCGTCGGTGAGTGGGATTTTGATTTCCTGATTCATTGTAAAAGTGAGTTTCTATTGACATGGGGGAGGGGGGGGGGAAATTTTCCAGTCCGCTCAGACTGAGCAATGTACTCTGCTCAAAGCCTCGTGGACAAGTCAGTCTGGATTCGACCCTCGACACAGGCCCTCAGCCGTGATTGTTGCAAACGGGATCAGCTGTTGAGGTTTGTGGTCTGCGCCTGTTAGCGGTATTACCCGAGGGGATGCAGGGACGAACGGGAGGCAGTGCTTGCGGAAGGCCGGCGCGAGGAACGGGACAATCACCGCGTAAAAGCCGACGAGCGACGCGCCGCCGACAGCCAGGAAGACCCACTTGCGCGACGATGAGGCTGCTGGTGTGGTTGTTGTGGTTTGGGTGGCGAGCGATGGCGATGGCGATGGCGATGGCGATCGCGAGGGGTCGGACGGCGCTGCTTGCATTCGATGTTGTCTGCTTTGGCTTGTGCAACGACGGTGATCAAGGACTGCGTACAGTACAAACGACCAAAGTGAGTGAGGTGTCTGTTACGATTAAGAGAGGAAAGTCACGTCGATCTACGATGGATGGATGGAGTTGATCGTTTTCATCCGTTCGATGGGAGATTTGGAAAGCCCGGTTCTCAGTCACCCGCCAAAATCTCAGAAAGCAACGAGATGATCCAAGCAACCACAACAATACAGTCATCCAACCAAAGCACTTGCCAAAAAAACCCCTCTCAGAACAACCAAACCATCAAGTCCGTTTTCAGTCCTTGTTTTGCAGTCTACAACAATGGCGTTTGCTGAAAAGTCTAAGAGTGTAAGAACAATGAACATCAATAGCAATATTAAGCAACATCAAGCAACATCAAGCAATGGCAATGGCAATGGCAATGGTTGTGGCTGTGTGTGTTGCATTGAGAACTCACTTTTTTGGTCCGTTTCTGCTGCCAACCGTCCGTTGCCCCCTTGCCGCTTGGATGCCTGCCATTGTGCCATTGCGCCATTGTGCCATCGTCACGCCTGTAGTCGCGGCTGCCAAAGGACGTCAACCGCATCCTCTTTGTCAAGTAAGTCGAGCTGTCGCTCCATCGTCGTCGTGGTTGGCTGTCGTCGTCGTCGTCGCGCGTCCGTCACAACAACACTCAACCATCGAGATGAGAAAAGCGATCGGATGCATCATCTGACATCTCGCCTGTTTTGAGCGAGAAGGGACGAATCGCTCAATGACTAACCCAATGCTTTTTGCTTGACTCGTTAGAAACATGCCCTTCAACGTCGCAGACGACGACTTGTACGATCTGTTTGGCAAGTATGGCGCCATTCGACAGATCCGAGTGTAAGTGACTCCCCAAATGCAAGTTGCGAGAGAGGGGGGGGGGTTGATATTTGCCAAACGAACTCACTTTCACCCAAAACCGCTCGCACGTTCGCAGAGGAACCGCGCCGGATACGAAAGGAACGGCCTATGTTGTCTATGAGGACATTTTGGACGCGAGGAACGCGTGCGAACACTTGTCTGGCTTTAACGTCGGTGGACGCTACATTACTGTCTTGTATTACAATCCTCAACGCTTGTTGGCGCGAATGGACGTCAACAAGAAGCGCGAGGAGCTCGACAAGTTGAAGCAACAGCACAACATTGCAATGGACGAGTCTTAACGTGTATTTTGTTTGTGTTTGTTTTCTGCGTGCATTACAAACGGTGTTAACTAGAATCGGGTTCATGCTCGAGGTCACAAAGTCTTTTCTGGATGTGTGCGTTCGAGAATGGAAGGGAGGTGGCTATTAACGATGGGGGGGGGGGTTTGTGTCTCAGAGAGTTGAGAGGGTTCAAAAAGATTGTTTTTCACGCTTGCATGTCCGTGGGAGACGCGTCTGACGCCACAGCTTCTTGCGCTGTTTGCTGCTGTTCCTGAAGACGCGCCAGTTCTCGTCGAGCACGACGATTGAGCTTGGGCAGCTCTGTGGCAGAAGCATCAGAGGCCGGTGTCATGAGCTGGCGCCGAACATCGTGCTTGCTATCTCGACTCGCGTTGGATTTCTTTGATGTCTCGCGCTGCTCGCTTCGACTGTTTGCGGCTTTCATTGCCGATGCGGAGAACATGCGACCACCACGTCCAAAGACAATGGAAGTTGGGATGCGAGATCGCGCAGAAGCGTCCGAGGGTGATTCCGCGGAAGGCTGCTGCTGCTGCTGCTGGTGGGGTTTTCGTTTCCCACGTCGTGCAACACTAAAGTCAAACGTGGCAGGATAGCGATGAATCTCAACCTAAATCATCGTTCGGGCGTCAACACCATTGCGTGAGGAAAAGCGGTTGGACACACAAGCAAACAAAATACACCGCGATGAGTCTTGCCCTTACCAAATGCACATGACGTTCGTCGGGATTGATGAACTTGATGCCACAGCCCTCCACGAGGCATTCAAACATGGGTTGACGCTCAGCCATGACGGCAAACATCGAGTCGTGGAGTTCGAGCAAGTGCAGCGACAGAAGCCTATCGGTCGGCAGGACACGGCCGCAGACGCGACACGAGTGGCGGTGTATGGCTGCATAATGCGACTCGTACAGGCCAATGTTAGGAGCGAGATAGGAGCATCCTGGGACTTGGCATTGGAGACTCGAAGCATGAGCAGTATCAACACGAGGATCTGCGTCGATCTGCCTGTTATCGTCGTCGTCGTCGTCGTCGTCGTCGTCGTCATCAGCAGTGTGTCCATTGGACAACAACTGCTCGACCAGGTCTTGAACAGGCACTGGGCGGTGGGTAGCAACCACTGGGTTGGCAATACTAATGGCTGTGGCATCGACGAAGGCGGACGTCGTTGTGACGCTGTTGGACGACTCGCCTTGACCAATCTGCCGTGCAACAATGATGCGACGATGCGTGAGTGAGGCACGATGGCAATGATCGGTGCGCAGGCTGCGCTTGGCTGTGCTTGTGGCTTTGAGCTCACTTTCTCAGATCCACACAAGCTCCAACCCCTTCGAACAACGAATCATTACCTCTTGCTGGGATTCTCCATAGCACATTAGGTTGCCATCCGCGAAAAAGTCGTCGTCCGGCTGGTACACGACCTTGGCTGGCGTGAATGGCATTGGAACCAAACAAAGCAACAAAGACTGAGCAATCGAGATTTGATTTGGGCACGATTGTACAGCAACGAGTTTGTAATTTCATCAGTGAGGGTAAGAGAGAGTAGAGGGTTGTTGCTGTTGCTCTCTTGACTTTCGTGCCATTGGTGGTCTTTACTGGTGGTTTTGATCAACGAATGCTTTCCTTGCGAAAAGTGCTCACCCGCTGCTCTTTTCCGCTGCGCTTGGGTTGAGTGACTCAGGATAGCCTCATCGACGTACCTCCAAAAACACAAGTCGGAAGCGGGCAGGTTGAGGGGGGGGGCGGATTTGATGATGGAGGAGCGGAGACATTTCCGGAGTCATGTCGCGACCAGCTTGCTTTTTTTTTTTTTTTTTACAGTATTTCTTCATCTCAGCATAGCATGACACCTTCGTCCACTCTGTTTTCCCTTCATATTCTTTTTGCAGTAACTTGAAAAAACCGCAACCAACCAATCTTATTTTTTTGCTGGTAAAGAAAACGAACAGCAGGCCACAGCTGATAACAAATGAAAACAGAAGGGCGAGAGCGGCAGCCTGGATGGAACACGGCCAAGATTTCGAGACTTTCACAACCTCGCGTCCCTCGTTCTCTTGCACAAATCAAAGTGCCATTTCACTACGCAGTGATACCGTGCGAATCGAGCCCCCGAGCACGATGCAGAAGCGTTGGGATTGTAGCACCAGCAACGCCTTCTCCTTTGCGTTCTTGACATGTTCCAGCAGCAGCTTTGAGATCACCCCCGACTTTCCCCCGTCCGCCATTCACTCGATCAGAGCGCAGATTCAATTACGCTGCAAATGATGACTGCATGAATGGAGCACGAGCAGACGCAGAATCGCATGGGATTGGAACGGTTCCCCCTTCTCCACGTGCATTCGCGGTCCCAGCAAAGCGATGGGCGAAACGAAAACAAAAACACGAACGTTAAAAAGAAAAAAAAGAAAAAAAAGACAGCGGCAAATCCTCCTGCAACGGCAGGGGCGAGGAGGGGGTGGATGCACTGGATCTCACGAATGAACAACTGTCGCATTCCACACCTCAGCAATCCACACATCAAAACGCAGGCACACAAAGCAGAGAACGAGCGAAAGAGAGCGCGAAAAAAAAAGTATTTGAAAAAAAAAAGGAAAAAAAAAAAGGAAAAAAAAGGAAAAAAAAAAAAAAGATCGCGTCGAAAAGTTCGCAGCCCAAAAAAATCCTTCCCAACAAAAACAGCCAAGACATTGGAGGAGCAGTGACTGTTGTGGCCCCCCTCCCCCTCACACTCGTCCGCCGAGACATGTTCTGATCTGGCATGACTCATTTCATTGTTGCCTGTTCGACTTTTGCCAACGCTTCTTGCTCAGGGGAACGACGCGCAGGGAAATACAAGAACAAAAAAAAAAAAAAAAAAAGCAAAAAGGATGATCCCGCTCGAGTTCTGGGTGGCGCTGTTTGCAGCTCTGGTCAACGGCATCCCTGAGCTCGACCGCATGTGGTTCAAGGTCTCGTTTGGTCTGCTAGTCCTGCTGCTGGCATATCGCTTCTGGGTCGCAGTTGCTGCTCCGATCGTGACATCGCACAACTTTGTCGAGCATGGCGGCGGCGCGACAAAGCGCGTTGCTGGGAAAACGCCTCCGCCGTATCCCAATGGATGGTGAGCCTTCGCCTGTCGTGGTTTTTTTTGTTTTCGATTCCTAAGGGACGACCCTAAACTCATCACACTTTGAGACCGGCAGGTTTTGCGTCTTGTATCAGTGGGAGCTCACCCCGGGATCGGTCAAGACAATCCAGTTCATGGGCAAAGAGCTGGTCGCGTTTCGCGGCAAGGAAACGGGCGTTGTTTCAGTGTTGGACGCGTACTGTCCCCACCTGGGTGCCAACTTGGGCATCAGCGGACGTGTCAAGGGCGACTGCCTCGAATGCCCCTTCCACGGGTGGCGCTATGACGGCTCGGGTCAGTGCGCGCACATCCCGAGCCAGGCAACGATCCCTGCTCAAGCGCACACGCGTGCCTGGCCTGTCCTGGAGCGCAACCAAATGATTCTGGTGTGGTACCATGTGGACGAGACTCCCCCGACATGGATGCCCGACGTGATTGACGAGGTCCACTCCAAGGCGATGCGGTTTGACGCCAAGAGCGACTACCTCGTCCAAGCGCACGTTCAAGAAATCCCCGAGAACACTGCCGACGTGGCGCACCTCAACGTGCTCCACCACCTGCCGTGGAATATTCCGATTGTGGAGGATCACTTTCGCGTCGACTGGCAGGGCTGGTGGAGGCCCGGTGATGAGAACGACCCGCACTGCGCTCACGTGCCCGTGACCCAAGCGCTGGTGCTCTTTGGCAAGCAGATTCCCTACATGCACATGACCACGCAAATCCACCTCATCGGGCCGGGACTGGTGCTCTACTTGTTCGAGACGCCTGTCGGCCGGATGCGCCTGTTTGAGACGGTGACGCCGGCTGGCCCGCTGCTCCAGAAGGTTTCGCTCGTCATGTTCTCCAAGAGCTGGACGATTCGCTGGCTCACCAAGTGGTTTTACCGCGGCGTGGCGAAAACTCTCAGCCAAGACTGCTGGATTTGGAACAACAAGACCTACTACGACAAGCCCACGTTCAGCAAGGGCGACCGCTACCTGCTCACCTTCCGCAAGTGGTACTCTCAATTCTGGTCTGAGAGGAGTATCTCTATGCGCGATGCGTCCCGATCTGGCACTTTGGAGTGGTAGTGGAGAGAGAGAGCGGTTGGTGAATCTGGGGTTTGTGCTTTTATTGTTTTTCACAGGAACTGGTGGTTCTGCTTTCTGGAGAACAGGAACAAAAGGTGATGGCATGCTTGTGTACAATAGCTCGTGTTTGATGCGTGGTGTACTTTTGTTTTTTTCCACGTCAATCAAGCACATTTTCGAAAGCAACGCACTGTCGTAGTTTTTTTTGTGTTACTTGCGGGTCGTCACTTCAACTCCATCGGTGATGGTGCTGTACTCGACCTGAGCGGGGTGGAACTCTGACTGGTAGACTTCCGGAAGGCCGCGGACGTACTTGAGGTAGTCGGGAGCACCGGGAAAGATGACATTGTCGGCAACGAGAACGCTGCCAGACTTGAGCAAGTCGCAGCTTTCCATAATCTTGAGGTCGCGCAGGTACAAGGTCTTGAAGTGATCCACAAACGCAAAGTCGATCTTGTCCTTGCCAGTAATCTCCTTGAGCTTGGGAATGTTGAGCGCAGAGTCACCGACAACAATGCGGCACGTCTTTTCGAGGCCAGCGTGGAGGATCATGGCCTCGGCAATCCTGGCGTACTTGGGGCTAATTTCCAACGTGACAAGCTGAGCGCCCTTGGGCAACAGGCGACCAATGCGGATGGCCGAGTAGCCGACATAGCCGCCCAACTCGACGCAATTCTGGCCAAAGGAAAAAGAGCAAGAAGTTAACCAGGCACGCTCAAGCTCCCACTACATTGTCAACAATTTCCGCCCTTTTTTTGTTGTTGTTGTCTTTTCTTTTCTTTCTTTTTTTCCTTACCATGGGCTGGGCATCCTTGACAGCCTGGTCGAGGATTTCGCCCTTGCGGTTGCCAATGTTCATCATCCATTGGCCGTCCCAGCACCAGCGGTCGATGCAGTCGAGAACGGCCTGCGCGTTGCCCTTCTCTGCGTTCTTTTGCACGAACGCGAGCAATCGCTGCTCGGGCAATCCAAGGAAGATGGACAGCGCATATCCCTTTGCGACGCTGAACGCCAGCGTGACAAACGGCGACATGTACCACGCCACGAAGCCAGCTGCCAACGCAGCCAGCGTGCCACCGACGACTGCCGGCGCGCCGTGGGTCGCGACAATCGATGAAACGTCAAATCGGTCCATCAGTGATTTTGCTGAAGAATGATGAGAGAGTGGAGAATGGGTTGTTGGGGGTGCGAAAGTAAAGACTGGGACAAAAAAAAAGAACAAAACACAAAACAGGATAAATACAAAATCGCGTCACGTCGCCTTTTTGTTGTGTTTGGGGGTTTGGATGCAGCGCTTGCTGTGTGTGTGTGCTTACGGAGTGTGCACAGCTCGTTCAGCTACGAAATCGGAAAATGCCAAAGAAAAAACAAAACGAAAAACGAAAAACAGAAAGGAAAATACCGATAAGAGAAAAGACACGCCAATGTCTTGGCTGTGATTCGCGTTTGTGTGTGAGCCCAACGAAACACCAATAGCGTGCAAACCTCGGTTTCATCCAGACTTGTAATGATGGTACGCTTGGTGATTGCATGAGCATTTGGAACGGAGCGTCGACTTTGGCGTCTGTGACTCTGCCGGCGTTCTGAGCAGCACGCACAATCCTGACCTCTGTCTCAAACCTGAATCCGATCGTTCGTGCGAAAGTTTCCCATTTCTAATCTTTTGGGTCTTGATTCTTTGATGTCTGAAGACCTCAGTCGTCGCTTGTTTGTTTTGTGTAAGGTGAAGAAGCATCATCACTCAATGGAGACCAAGCAGTGATCGTTGTGAATACGTTGAATGGACAACGATCCAATGCGCGATCGTCCTTTTGAACAGGGTCGCTTTTGTTTGTCAGTGCGCAGATTCGAGTGTGAGTGAGCGAGTGAGTGAGTGAGTGAGCGAGTGAGTGAGTGATCGAGTGAGTGAGTGAGTGAGTGAGTGTGCGTCGAGTGAGTGAAGCAAAAGCGAGCGATCGCTGGATTTTCCATTGCGCCCTCGTCCCGCTTCTCGTCGTCCCCATCCGGACTCTGAATTGTCGATCTCGTCGTGCTTACGATGTTGCTGCTTTTGAATTCGGTTGTTGGGATTTGGACTGGACAGGGTGGTGGCGGAAGCAACGTCCTCAGACCGTCCAACCTCTCGCTGCCCCTTTACAACATCATGGACCACAAGAAGCAACGCGCGAGTGGCGGACGCGCTCCCAGCGCCACTGCTCAGGCCAACAGGTAAGGAAGCCACGTCTCTGTCTCACCCAAAAAGCGATCATTGCCAGACTCTGGGAGATGCAAAAGACAGGCCACTCACTGACATCTCGTTACCCCCGTTCCGCAAGCAGTCAGATCAAGCACAAGCAACAACCACCATCAGCTCAGGACGTGGAATCGGATGTGCTCACTCTGCTTGCACGCAAGTACTGGTCGCCAGCAACACCCGTGGACGAGCGCGCGCCGTTCGACCCGATTGTCGTGGAATCCGTCTATCAGTCCGAGCTGGTCGCGTCCAACTTTTCCATCAAGCGCACCATGATCCTGGAGCTCGGCCAGTACCTCGAGTGCTTTCTCTGGCCCAACTTTGACGCCGCCACCTCCAGCGATCACCACGTCAGCTCCATCGTCCTCATGATTAACGAAAAGTTCCGCGAGAACGTGCCGTGCTGGGGTGTGTTTGCAGCTCGCCCAGCCGACTTTGCCGCCTTCTTCCGACGAGCGCTTGCCATTTGCCTCGGCGAGAGTGCAGAGCAGCAACCACAACAACAACAACAGCAATCACAAAAAGACCAGCACCCCCTCTCCTTCCAAGAACGCATCATTTACATTGCCTTCCTCGTTCGCTGCTTTAACAGCCTTGAGAACGAACTGGTGGGTGCCCAAATCCAGCGCTTGGTATCGCTCGGCACGTGGCACAACCTCCTGCCTGGCCGCTTGGAGGAAGAGTTCAAGGCCGTGCCAAAGCTGCGCAAATACTGGCAAGTGTTGAAAAAGAAGGACGCCAAGCAGGACGCCGCCGGCCGAGCTCTGCTGGCCGAGCAGCGCCGATTCCTCTTTGTCTTGATGAAGCAATTCCTCGCCGTCCTCGCCAGCATTCCCGAAGAAGGGCCCGTGCCCGGCGGCGTGTGGGCAGTGCGGTATTGCGAGCGCTTCCTCGAACTCTTGATTGATCTGGAGGCGCAGCTGCCCACTCGCCGGTATTTCAACACACTCATGAATAGTGCGCACGTTGTGACGCTTGCCCAGCTCAGCGCGTTACCCAATCGGAGCAACGGCACGCTGTTTGCTCAGCTCCTCGATACGCTCAAATTCTACGCACGCTTTGAAATCAGCGATCACACCGGCGTCGCCCTCACCGACAGCGAGGTGACTGCCGCGCACTATGCCCAAATCGCCAAGGTCCAGCAGCTGGCCTTCCGCAACTTTGACGAACTGCGCGAGTTTGCCCTGCTGAACGTGGGCGCAGTGGACACGCGCGCAGCCCTGTTCAAGCACTTTGACCGCCTGTCCGACGAGCGCCTGGTCGAGTTTGCGCAGCAGCTCCACCTGGTTGAAGACGCTGCCAACGCCTCGAGCGTGGCTGGCGCGTTCAACACCCGCTTCTTTTTGCTCGAACTGCTCGTCAATCACCTCGAGCGGCGTCAGTCCCAAATGGACATTCTCAACGCCATGCCACTCTACCCGACTGAAGCTCTGCTCTGGGACGAGAACGTGGTGCCCTCCGAGTACTTTTCGGGCGAAGGCTGCCTTGCGCTGCCCAAGCTCAATCTGCAATTCCTCACCATCCACGACTACCTGTTGCGAAACATGACCCTCTTCCGCCTCGAGTCGGCCTACGAAATCCGCGAAGACATTACCGACGCCGTCCGCCGCTTGGCCCCTCGCCGCGACGAGAACGGAGGCACGCTCTTCCAAGGCTGGGCACGAATGGCGTTGCCCATCTCTGCCTTCTCGGTTGTTTCGGTTGGTAAGCCCAGCTTGGCCGAGCGGCACCCATCGAGCGTGCGTGCGGACGTCACCGTCTCGCTCGAAAACACACGCCGCGAGGCTTGGAGCGAGTGGGAAAAGTTGCGCAAGCACGACATTGCCTTCCTCGTCACCGTCCGCGCCAAGCGGCCCGTGGGCGAGCGCAACCTGCCCGTGGCGTCCTCGGCGTCCTCGGCCGACATTGCCGACGCGATTGGCATTCAATACGTCCGCGGCTGTGAGATTGAAGGCCTGCTGGACTCGCGCGGCCGTCTCATCGACGAGTCCTTCCAGTCGCGCGAGCGCCAGCAGGAAGAGCGACACCAGTTCACGCGCCTCACCTCGCGCACCTTCCGCGTGTGGCTTGATCCCAACCAATACCAAATCGATGTCGATGCTCTGACCGAGGGCGAGCGTCGTCGCATTGAGAGCGCTGCCAAGCGCGCGGTTGCCGACCTCAACGGCAGCCAGCAACAGCGGCCCAGCAACGCGACCGAAAACGTGTACGACACCTTCAACATTCTTGTGCGTCGCAAGCCTGAGGAGAACAACTTTAAGGCGGTGCTCGACACGATTCGATCGCTCATGAACACGCGCACTGTCATTCCTGATTGGCTGCACGATGTCTTCCTCGGCTATGGCGATCCGCGCAGCGCCTTTTACGCTGCCATGCCCGAGCGCCAGTTGCGCACTGTCAACTTCAACGACACCTTCCTGACTCCCGCCCACGTTGTGAGCAGCTTCCCCCAGTACCATGTCAAGTTTGTCGACGGCGAAGGTGCCGAGCTGGCTCACAGCGCATGTCGTGCGCCATTCAAGCTGACCTTCCCCGACCCCGCCACCGATCCCACCTTGCGGGCGACGAATGCGGCTTCCCAAGGAGGCGAGGACGACGCGGCCAATCCTGCCGGATCATCCACCAACGCCATGGCGACCGCATCCGCCACTGCGACTCCTCCCTCGTTGCTCGTCACGCCTTTTACGCACGTCAATCGCGGACCGTACCCGCGCGACATTCCCAAGAAGAATGCCGTGCCCTTCACCCCCGTGCAAGTTGAGGCCATCCGCGCGGGCGTCCAACCCGGCCTGACGCTCGTTGTGGGTCCGCCTGGCACGGGCAAGACGGACGTGGCCGTGCAGATTGTGTCCAACTGGTACCACAACTTCCCCGACCAGCGCATCTTGCTTGTCACGCACTCCAATCAGGCCCTCAACCAGATCTTTGAGAAGATTATGGAGCTCGACATTGACGAGCGTCATCTGCTCCGTCTTGGCCATGGTGAAGAGGAGCTTGCCACCACCAAGGACTTTTCTCGCTCGGGCCGAGTCAACTACATTCTGGAACGACGCATCGCCTTGCTTCAAGAGGTGGCGCGCTTGGCCGCATCTCTCGACGTTCCCGGCGATGTCGCCTACACTTGCGAGACGGCTGGCCACTTTCACTTGTACCAAGTCCTGTCGCGGTGGGAGGCCTATGTCAGCACTGTTCGCGCCGCGTCGGCCAACAAGGACGCCAGTCCCGAGGCCGCGGCGGCCGCTGTTCGCGCCGTCTCGTCAAGCTTCCCTTTCACCGCCTTCTTTGCGGACGCCCCGCAGCCGCTGTTCCACGGCAAGAGCTTTGCCGAGGACTGGGATGTCGCTCAGGGGTGCTGGCGCCACCTGCGAAAAATCTTCCAGGAGCTGGAGGCGTTCCGTGCGTTCGAGCTGCTTCGCTCTGCCGGCGACCGCATCAACTACCTGCTCGTCAAGGAAGCTCGCATCATTGCCATGACGTGCACACACGCTGCCCTCAAGCGTCGCGAGCTCGTCGAGCTTGGCTTCAAGTTTGACAATGTGCTCATGGAAGAAAGCGCGCAAATTTTGGAAATTGAAACGTTCATTCCGCTCCTGCTCCAAACGCCCGATGCCAACGACGGCTATTCGCGTCTGAAGCGCATTGTCATGATTGGCGATCACCACCAGCTGCCGCCAGTCATCAAGAACATGGCCTTCCAGCGCTACTCGAATCTCGAGCAGAGTCTGTTTACCCGGTTTGTGCGTCTGGGCGTTCGCACCGTCGACCTCGATCGGCAGGGTCGTGCCCGTGCCTCTATCGCGCAACTGTACAACTGGCGGTACAAGCAGCTCGGCGATCTCCAGCACGTGCAGGAGCGCCCAGAGTACCAGTCTGCCAATGCCGGATTTGCGTACGACTTCCAGCTCGTGGACGTGGGTGACCACAACGGCCAAGGAGAGTCCGAGCCGTCTGCGCACTTTATCCAAAACCTTGCCGAGGCCGAGTATGTTGTTGCGACGTACATGTACATGCGGCTTCAAGGCTACCCGCGCGAGCGCATCACGATTCTGACCACCTACAATGGCCAAAAGGCGCTCATCCGCGATGTGCTGAACGCCCGCTGCTCGAACAACCCAATGTTTGGCGACCCGGATCAGGTCACCACGGTGGACAAGTTCCAAGGCTCGCAGAACGATTATGTGCTCTTGTCGCTCGTCCGAACCAAGACCATTGGTCATGTGCGTGACGTGCGTCGCCTGGTCGTGGCCATGTCGCGTGCCAAGCTCGGTCTGTATGTCTTTGCCCGTGCATCGCTCTTCCAAGACTGTCTCGAGCTGAAGGAGGCCTTTAGCGTGTTGCAAACACGACCCAGCCGCTTGGCGCTGCTCCCGCAAGAGAGCTTCCCGACTCAACGGTCCAACGCTAGCGTCGTGGCAGAAAGCGACATTACGTTTATGGAGAGCATGCCTGCCATGGCCGACTATGTGTACAAGCGTTGTGTTGACGCTGTTCGCGCGTTGAATGGCGACAGTGCCGCGCAGGATGCCATGCCGCTGGCGTTGGAAGCCCCGCTTCCCACCCGCCCTCAAGAAACGGAAGGAGACGAGACAGAGGCACGGGACGCCCCCGACGAGCCTGCCCAAGCCGTCGAGGCTCAGCCAGACGAGACCCCCGCTGAAGCTGCAGTCCAGCCGCCTACGCCCAGCAAGCGCGCAGCCGCGCAAAGCAGCGACACTGCTTCTGATGAGGCCAGCAGCGATGTGAGTGCACGCAAGAAGGCGCGAGTAGAGCCAGAGGAGAAGGACGCCGCAGCCGTGTCCGCCGAGCAACCGGAAGAGGCTGAGGACGAGGCGCCGTTGGCAAATGCAGGGCCAAAACACGTGTCTGTCGGTGGTCGTTCGCTCGACACACTTGCGGCCATCATGGAGCTGACCGTTGTCGACATCAAGGCTGAGCTTTCGCGGCGTGATTTGTCGACCTCTGGTCTCAAAAAGGATTTGGCTGGTCGGTTGCATGAGGCGTTGTCCAAGTGAAAGCTGACAAGGGGCTGTTATATTGTTTTTTGTTTTTGTTTTTGTTTTCCTCCCCCCCCCTCGCTTTCTTATGTCGGTAAAAGTGTTTTGTTGTTGAGATGGCGTGGCATTGTCCATGAACAAGATTAAAACACATTCTATCTTGGTTTTCTTTTATGCCTGTACTGTAGTTTCGTGACTCAGCGTTTTATTGTACAGTACGAACAAGGCAGAAAAGCGAAAAATGACCGTTAAATAACACCCTTTTTTTGAACAATATCTCTCTGTTTCACTCATCGTGCGCTGCTGCTTCGGCAGCCAGAGGTGGCCGAGCTGGAGGGCTGGTTGTGCCTTTGCTCACGATACTCGTCGTAATTCAGCAACGCAAACCCAACAGAGAGAACAGCAATGCCTCCGAGCGCCAGGGCCGGAAGCACAGTGCCGTGGAAAATGTAATCTGCCACAATCGAGCCAGGGATGGACAGCATGCAGCCCACAGCGATGAAGAGCGGCGACGAGATGAGAATGCCCAGATACAGCAAAATCTGGAAGACGGAATCAATCAGGGCCGCGCCAACTAGGTACGGCAGAGCTTCGGATGAGGGCAACTCGAACAATTCCCAGCCAGTGTAGTGGCACAAAATGAGCACCGGCCAGACGAGAAGCAAGTTCCAAAATCCAATGTAGCCGAGCACTTTGAAGGAGCTGGCCACATAAAGAACGCGGTCCGTGATGGTCACATCCACGCAAATCATTCGGTACAGCACCTCGTATGCGGCATACAGGACGGTGCTGACGACAACCATGATGTATCCGAGGGCGGAGGGATTGACGGTGGAACTGTCGCTGCTGGAGGAAGAAGGGGCAAAGCTAATCATCAGGACGCCCCCGACGCTCAACGCGACTGCCGCAACCTTGAACTTTGTGACCTTCTCCTTCAAAAAGAGGGCGGACAGGATGAAGACGACAATGCACGACGAGTTGTAGATGCCCGTGTTGGCGGCGACGCTTGTGTGATCGAGCGAGTAGTACCACGTCGCCGAGACAAAGAAGAAGACGAGTTGCATGATGAATGTGGCCCATGCATAGCGGCGGCCGGTGAATGGCAGCGGCGAGCGCAGATTGCGGAAGCAAGCAAACAAGGACGATCCGGATCCGGACGTGTCGCTGCTTGTGCTTGGCAACGTCGAATGTGCGATTAAAGGGGTTTCCTCGTCCTGCAGGTACGGTGATTCATGTTGCTTGTGGATGAGGCTTGCAGCTTTGGACGGCTGATTGTACGCGTCCGAGTCGTCGAGATTGGCGTTGATAGCGGCATTGGTGTGCGACCAAGCTGCTGGCGTGCTGCCTGCACCGTTGGTGCTCGTCGTGCCATCTTCGTGATTGCTGTGGAGCAGACTCGAGCGTGTCAGTTTCCGTGGCGGGCGACGGCTCGTGGTCGTGGTGGCGGCGCGCCATGCATGTGTCCGCAAAACCGCCCAGTACACTGGCCAGAAAATGATGTAGCTGCCGTGGACGACGTATGTCAGGAAGAAGGGCTACAAGAAAATCATGATCATCCCGACAACACTCAAACGGTGAGCTTTGTAGGCAGCGGCAACCCGGGTTTCCAATGTTGCATACGGTACAAATTTGAATCTGTTCACCTTGTTGTAGTTCTTGTCGTGCTGGACGACTTGCAACAGCTCGGCAAGGGCAACCCATGTGATGACCAAGCCAGCAATGATGGCTGCGAGCAGTGCTCGTCGGATCCACACTGACGCCGTTCTCCGTGGTTGGACGGTGGGTGTCATTTTGGAAACCGAAGAGAAATGACTGAGGTTTCTCTTTCTGAAACGGCCGCAATGTTGAGGGTCAATGGCTAGATCTGCTTGTATGATGGTGATGATGATGGTGATGATGATGGTGATGCTTGATGTGAATGATGATTCAGAGTCACTCTTTTGTTTAATACAACTTGTATTGCAAAAATGCCGCTCAATCTTGGAGAGACTGTTCCCGACTTTGTTGCCGACTCGACCGAGGGCGAGATCAAGTTCCACTCGTGGCTCGGCGACAGGTGAGTTTGTCGCAAGAAGCAACGCAAGTGAGGAGGGTGAAGGGGGTTGAGGGAGGTTGAGGGAGCCAAATCCTACTTGCTGCTTGAGGGGAGAGGAGGTAGAGTGCGAGACCAACTCAGCGCAAGGAGTCGAGTTCAATGCTCGTTGTGGCACTTTGTGACTGCGAATGAGTGAGTGAGTGAGTGAGTGAGTGAGTGAGTTAGAATGCAACGGAGGATAAGAACAAAACCAAGTCGAATATTTGGTGGTGCGTTTTCGAGTCACGGTGCTTGCTGTTTGCCGCTGTGCTCAACGTGCGACCTGCGACACACACGAGATGCGTTATGAGCGACCTGCCCATCAACGAGAACGAGTGAGTGACGAGTGAGGCTGTGGAGTGACTGTGGAGTGAGCGAGGTGTGAAGTCAGATTCTACCGTTTTTATTGGCTCACAGTGATGCACCCCTCCTCCTACTTGCCTTACCCCGACCCCCTCCCCTCTCCCTCAACAACATCCACTGGTGGCATGGAACTCTCAACCCTGTTTTGACCCTTTGCTTGTTTGTTTGTTTTTGACTGGTGAACAGCTGGGGCATTCTGTTCTCCCACCCCGCCGACTTCACCCCGGTGTGCACGACCGAGCTCGGCTGCATCGCCAAGGCCGCACAGACGGGCGAGTTCTCGCGCCGCAACACCAAGATCATCGCCCTGAGCGTCGACTCGGCCGAGCAGCACCGCGCCTGGATCAAGGACATTGCTGCCTTCCAGGTGAGAAGACCAACAACGGATCCCCACAGTACAAAGTCAGTGGGTAGAACCGCGCGGCTCCAACCATGGTCAAACAGCAAGGCATTGGTCTGCTTGACATGGAACTTACCTTCTCGAGGAAGGAGGGTGGGGACATTCCCCCAGACACTTTTGACACATTCCAAGCTCAAAACGACCTGCCGATTCACTTGCTCACTCGTCTGGCACACATGCCCTGCACTAATTGAACTTTTATGTGTGTTTGCGCAACATTCAATCAGGGCGTCGAGGGCGCTTGGCCGTACCCCATCCTGTCCGACACAGACCGCACCCTCGCTGTCAAGTGGGGCATGCTCGATCCCTCTGAGATCGACTCCAAGGGCTTGCCCGTCACTGCCCGTGCCGTCTTCTTCATTGGCCCCGACAAGAAGGTCAAGGCCGTCATCCTGTACCCCGGTAACGCTCAAACACGGAGCCGCGGTTTTTTTTTCTCAGTTTTTTTTTGGGGGGGGGTGGATTGCTTTTTTGTGGCGTTCGTTCCTTCCCCTCGCACTCACTCGCTTGCTTGCTGGTTTATTCTGTAACGCATTTGTATATTCGCACACACACACACTCTCCCACCCCCTCCTTGTACGGGGCAATCAGCCACCACTGGCCGCAACGTTGATGAGCTCGTTCGCGTGTTGGACTCGCTCCAGCTGACGGTCAAGTACGCTTGCGCTACCCCCGTCAACTGGAAGGTTGGCGATCAGGTCATGATCCAGCCTTCGGTTTCGAACGAGGCTGCCAAGGACAAGTTCCCCAAGGGCTGGAAGACTGTCGAGGTTCCCTCCAAGAAGGAGTACATTCGTCTGACTCCCTACCCCGACCATTAACTGCAGTGCTGCAGAGCGTCCTGTCGCAACAAGCGTCATGGCCGCCCCCCCCCCCTCTTTTTCTTTGATGCTGGGCTGCAGTGATTTTGTTGCTTGTTGTTGGTTTGTTACTTCAAAACAAAGTCCAAATCCAACCATCGTGCGCTTTCACTGAGCACTCGTACCAGTTTGCATCTCCTCATCCCCCAAGGTGCACCATGTTCTCCACACCATGCTGTCTCGTAGGATTTATCTTTGTCCAATCCTTTTGTCCAACTATTCAATTCGCCTCATTCCTTTTTTTTTTTTTTTTTTTTCTATCTTTCCATCTTTTTCTTTCACATCTCTCTTCAGCATGAGTGACGCGGCAGAGTCGACCTCCGCTGCAGCACCAGCAGCAGTGCCAGAAGCAGTCCCAGAAGCAGCTCCAGCAGCAGCACCAGCAGCAGTGCCAGCGAGCGACGAAACCGCCGCCGCTTCCTCATCGCAGCCGCAGCCGCCGCCGCCGCACCACGCCGGGTCGTCCATCGCCGTCTCGCAGTCCTTTTCCTCGGGCGACGGCCTCGCTGGCTCTGGCTCGGGCTCGTCCCTCGGCCGCTCGGCTTCGTCCGCAGCGTCTGTGCAGCGCATTGTACGGAATCTATTCAAAAAAAAAAAAAAAAAAAAAAAAAAAAAAAGGCGATTCTTTTTGATGGTGGTTTTTTTTTTTTTTTTTTTTGTCTCTGCTCCACGACAGGAAGCGTGAGAGCGTGCATTTCGCATGTGTGCATGTGTGAGTGTGAAAGCGAGAGAGAGTGACAAGTTTGGTCGTCTCAGAGGCGGACTGGAAGCGAAAACGATGGAGATTCAGAACAAAAGAACAAAAAGAAGAAGAAGAAGCAGGAATTTTTAAAACGAAAAAAAAAACATCGGATTTTTGTTATGATTTTTTTAATATTTTATGAGTTTTTGAGATTCACACAATTCTTGTTTGTTTGTTGTTTCTCACTTTTTGACTTTTCCTGTGTTTGTCTTTTTTGATTGCTTTTTATTATTATTATTATTCATATTATTATTTTTTATTTTTGTCGTGCTGCAATGAATCAGGTGCTGCCGCCGGGTCAGCTCGCACAGGGATGGGCAACCCTTCCAAACACCGACGAACACGTCTGGCTCGTCCTCACCAAGACCGCGCTCACCTACGCCAAGGTATGAAGAGAAAGGCGAAACATCCATACAAACACAAGCAAAAAAAAAAGCAATTCCAAGCCTGAACTTTTGCACTTTGACGGAAAGCACCAACAAACTCACTTTTTCTACACTCCTCGCTTGCCTGCGCAGGAACAACCCAACGAGACCCGAAACACCCTCCGGAACGTCAAACTCACGAAAGGAAGGGACGGCCTTGGCCTCACCGTCAAGGGCGGCAAGGACGCGCAGCACTCGGCAGTGGTCAACTCGGTCGCGCCAGACGGCCCCGCGGCGCAGTCCAAGCAGGTCTTTGCAGGCGACGAAATTGTCGAGGTGGACGGCACCAACATTCGCGATCTGTCGCAGCGCGACGTCCTGACCATTCTGAAAAAGACAAGCCGCCACGTCCGACTGCAGCTCCAGTTCAATGCCGTCTCGCGTGCGCACTACGTGACGATGATTCCCGAAAGCGAACTGCTTCCTGCTGCTACTGTGGATCTTGGCGAGACTGTCAAGCTGGAGCGAGCGAACAAGACTGTCCTGACGCTGCGATCGGACGCTGGTCAGGAAGTCAGCTTCAAGTTCCTGGACGCTGCGCGCACCGACGAGTGGGCGGCCAAGTTGGCTCCTACCGTGTATGCCGAGCCGTCTCCCGCCGCCCCTGCCGCGGACACTGCAGGCGACGGTTCTGGCAGCCCCAACCGCAGTCGTCGCACGTCGGAAGTGAGCTCGGCGCGTGATTCCATCGCCGCTGCTGTCGAGTCAATTGTAGGCGAGGAGGGCGCTAGCAACAACAGCAGCAGCAGCAGCAGCGCCGCCGCACCTTCGACGCCGAGCCGTCCACTCTCGTCCATGTTTGACAAGGAGTCCAATCGCTCCACCAAAGAGTCCAAGGAAGCGCGAGAGGCCAAGGCCTTGCTCAAGGAGGCCGAGAAGCGCAAAAAGAAGGAGGAGAAGGATCGCGCCGAGCGAGAGGCCGAAGAGGCACGCAAGCAAAAGGAGGAGTCAAAGCTGGCGGCGCGTCGCGAGAAGAAGGTTGTGCCTGGCGCCGGCTCAAAGCGTGCCAGCAAGCTCTTCAACAAGGCGGACATTGTTCGCGTCGACACGCCACCTCACCTCAACCTGACCGGGCTGAGCTCTTCCGCGGGCAGCTCGCGCGCGTCTGCCTTTGAGCTCGGTAGCGGCGATGCGCTCAACCGCTCCTCGGAGGCAATCTCCGAAGACGCGGCACTTTCGGCGCACATGCCCATCAACAAGCGCCACACGATCGCCTACGAGCCGGGCCTGACATCTCCCATGACGCCCAACTCGCCCAACTTTTCCCGCATGGTGGCCGCCACCGCCGCCAACCAGCAGCAGCAGCTGCAGTCCACTTCTGGCACGTACTCGTATGCCGAAAGCGAACAGTCCTCACGCGACTCGCCCGCCGTCACTGGCTCTAGCACTCCTCGCAACTCGCACTCGCGCCAGACGTCCGAGTCGCTTGCTCACTCGCGCCAGACATCCGAGTCGCTTGCGCACTCGCGCCAGACGTCCGAGTCGCTGCCCAGCCCTGGTCCCTTGCTCGGGGCCAATCTGGACCATGTGAAAGAGTACGCACTGGACGATAGCTCGCGGCCAGCTTCCCAACGCCAGCCATCGGTCGAACCCGCAGAGTCGCCACTCAAGACACCCACGTCCAGCACCGGCCGCGGTAGCACCCTTGTGAAGGAGCCGACAGCCTTGCGGGCCAACGCAAACGCCAATCGCCCCGTGCCCACTGTCGATCCCGTCGAGCGCTCGCTGGGTCTTGCGACCAAGTCCACGCTCTCTGGTGCCGACGCATACCGCGAAATCCTGCAACGCATGGCCGACAAGAAGAATGCCGAGCGCACTGCCACGCTTGCCGCCTTCCGCGCCAAGGTTGCTGCTACCGAAGTTCAGGATCGCGAGCAGAAGGCGTCGCAGCTGCACGCTTTCACGGACAACAGCGACCTTGATTTTAAGAAGATGAAGGCCAAGCAGCACGCCGAGGTCGTCGCCAGCATTGAGAAGTCGCGCGAGGCTGTCGCCGTGGTGGATGTCAAAAAGTCCAACGATCGTGAAGCCATTCTGTCCCACTTCCGCATCAAGCTCAAGATTCCAAGCCGCCCGCGTGTCAAGCGCAACGAATCCCGGCTCAGCAAGAAGAACACGTCGCGCAAGTCCGTCATGAACGAAAGAGCCCAGAAGGCTGCCAAGCGGCGTGCGCGTCGCATGTACATTGTTCAAGAGATTCTTTCGACGGAGCAGAGCTATGTTCAAGGCTTGGCTGTGGTTCAAGAGGTGAGGGCTCGGTTGTGGTTGGTTTCTTGGTTTTTTTTTTTTTGAACTGGTGAAGGCGCTTGGACAACTCAAACCGGCGTACTTTTTTTTTTTCTTTTTTTTTTGGACTCAATTTGTTGTCTGCAGGTCTTCTTGAACCCCCTCAAGGCGAGCGCTGTTTCTGCAAAGCCGCTGTTGAGCGAAAACGACATTAAGAAGATCTTTGCCAATTTCGAAACAATCTTGACTCTGAACACCAAGTTCCTGAACGACTTTAAGAAGCGCATTGACAACTGGACCAACGAGCAAGTTGTTGGTGATGTCTTTTTGGAAGTGGTAAGTTGTCGCTGGGAGGGCGGGAGGTGTTGCAAATCGGGACTAGAGACTGAATCGCTTCTGATCAATTTTCGTGTCATCTGCACACCAGGCCAACTTCTTCCGCCTGTACGCACAATACGTCAACAACTTCCCAGTCGCCATGAGCACCATTGAAAAGCGTACCACCCAGTCGGCGGCATTCCGTGAATTTTTGCGCGCGAGCGCTGCCCGTCCAGAATGCAAGAGCTTTGGTCTGAAGGAGATTATGCTCACGCCCATTCAGCGCATCCCTCGCTACAAACTGCTCTTGGATGGTGAGCGTCTCCCCCCCCCCACCCCTCATATGTTGTTTATTCTTGTAGTTGTTGTCTTGCGGATCGTAGCAAGCTGCCGGCGCACAAACCTCACCCACACCCCTTTCAAACACACAGATCTCGTCAAGCACACTGAAAAGGAACACCCCGACTTTGATACACTCCGTAAAGCCGTCGAGGCCATGAAGGCGCTTGCCCAGTATCTCAACGAAGCCAAGCGCGAGGCCGAAATGCGCCGGGAAATGCTTGACATCACTGAACGCATCCGCGACTGCCCTGTATGAGTTGATTGGCCGTCGTCCATTTGCTCGTTTCCTTGTCGTCGTGCAGCACCTGCCCACTCACTTTGCCGTGTCTTCATTGTTCCACAGATGCTCATCACCCCCAACCGCAAGTTCCTTGCCGAGTTTGACATGGAAGAATTGACTTTGAAATCGACGGACGGCTCACGCTCGCGTGCATTCCGCGTAAAGAGCGACTGCCAAGTCTTCCTGTTTGACGACATTGTCGTCATCACCAAGCGATCCGGTGCCAATTCGAGCGGTAATGAAAAGTCCAAGACTGCGCTTGATAAGAAGGCGCTCAAGAAGGTTACGTTTGAGTCCATGATGTCTGTGGCGGAAATATCGCTCAAGGAGGTTTCCTGGTTTGCGACGACTCCAGGTGCGTCGTGGTTTTTTTTTCTCTCTTGTTGTGCTCGATGTGTCAGGGGGGTGTTGGTTTTGTATGTGTTTTGTCGCCTCTGTTCCTTACTTGACTTTTTTGTTGTTCCCATTTTTGTGGATCACTCTCAGAGTTGGTGAACGCCTTCCAACTCAAAAAGTTCCCCAATACTGAGCGCACTTTCCGCGTGTCAAATCCCAAGAACAAGGCCGCGTTCGTCAAGGCCTTCCAGGATGCACAGGCCGAGTTCCGCAAGGCCATGTCTGCGGACGGCGGCTTGCAGCGTGGGCCAGCCGCTCATCCCGTCTCGGAACCGCCGTCCGGCGAGTCTTCTTCAACTTCTCTTGCCACCCCTACCACTCTTATCACAGTGTCTGCCACCTCAAACCCCAACCTTGCCGGTTCAGCGTCATCCTCCAAGGTTCAGCTGGTACGAATTCAGTGCTTAGAGCTTGAGCGGGGATTTCACTTTCTTTTACCTGTCTCTCACAAATTTATCTTGTTCCCGACATTGTTTGACACAACACAGGAAGCCCCAGTTGCCAACGTTCACTTTGCCAAGGACAAGGACAAGAGCAAGCAAAAGAAGAAGCACACGCGTTCTGCCAGCACCAACGTTCCTTCGGGAATTGCGGCTGCGATCGGCGTGACTTCAACAGGAGTTTCGCTGCTGGTTCCGGGCAGCACTCCCTCGGATCGTGCGAGCGTCGTTGATGTTTCGGACGACGAGGATGCAAACACTGACAACCGCGCTTCCCGAGTGTCGCGCACGCCCTCTGCAGCCGAGCGTCAGAACGTGGTGTCCAAGACCATCAACGCCATTCGCAAGGTGACGTCGTCGACCGAAAGCAAGAAAGGTGTGTAGTCGATCTGCTGTGTGTGTGCTAGTTTGGCAGAGGTGTTTGTGATGGTTTTGATTCTCATCACCTATTTTCTTGCTTCTTTGGTTGCCTGTTTGTCGGCATAGTCGACGAGGCTGGCGAACCGTCCAAGCGCGTCATGATGCACAGCGAACTTTAACAGCGGCAAGCCGCGTTGTTGTATTTGGTTGTTTGGCATGCCGAATTTCCGATGAAAGATGATACAAGAAGTGTTTTGTTTGATGGAGAGTTTTTCTGTCCCAATACAAAAAAAAAGAAATACCGTACACACCGAATACCCATCAAGAGCATTGCATCAAAAGACGCAGCATGACCGCTATGGCAATTTGAGGCTTCATGCTGCGTTGTTGGTCTGCGATTGCTCGACCACCTTGAAGAACTTGGTCGGCCAATTCTTAATCTGGCTGATTTTGACGAGACGGCTGTTTGGAGTGACTGGCCAAGCGAATTCGCAGAGCGACATGAACAGTGCGTCGTTGTGCGAGTTCCCGTAGCCATGATATCCCACGCGCTGCTGGGTCCCCGGCACAAGGGCTCGGGCGAGCGCGGAATTCGCCGCCTCGACCGCAAGAATCCGGTTGACCTTCTCCTGCTGGACGCAGACCGAGCCCAGCACACGGCCCGTGTACCGTCGGTTGTCGTGCGTGCGCGAGACGTGCGTGCAGATCAGCGAGCAATGGAGCGTCTGGTGGACAAAGTCGCCAATCCAGTCGGAAAGGTTTCCGCTGACGACGACGACGTGGCGGCCTTCCGCCTGGTGCACGGTGATTTCGTCGCGCAGCTGCGGGCGCAAGCTACGGAGCAACTCTGCGGTGACTGCCTTGCGTCCAAGCTCGGCGTCGGCCACAGACAGCCGGGAGAGCGTCACCCAGACCAAGCCGTGCACGCATGCGGCCTCACTGTGGTGGAATCACAGAGCAGAGAAAGGTGTGCCGTAAGTCAGTCTCGCAGAGATGCCTCCTCGTCTCAACCTCAAGCCCCGCAGTCGACTTCAGAAGGCCAAATGCCAGCAACAGAGTAAGCGCATTTACCTGAAGTAGTTGACCACCACCATCACGGGGATACCCAGCCAGTAGCCGGCAATTCGGAGATACTTTGAGAACGAGTTTGGCAGCCCGTGCAAGAACGTGAGCGCGGTATTGTGCATATCTGTTGACACGATCGTGCCATCCATGTCAAGAAACACGGTTGGAGCCAGGGTTCGGTTGGCCACAGTGGCCGGGGTGGCGATGACCAAGCTCATTGCTTGTGTGTGTGTTTGTGTGTGTGTGTTTGAGTGTCTGCAAAAATAAGAAGTGGTCAACCAAAATCGGCCGAAACGGCTCAGAGCGCCAAATCACAAATTCGCCAACACTGAGCGCACACATCAACACTGTTGTGTACTTGCGCACAAGATAAATTGGCCAAAAACCAACAACAACAGCAATACTGGCATTCTGGCCGACTTCAAACTAGATCTAGGCCTGGGGATCCATCAAAATCTTGCATCCTTCGGCCTTGAGCAGGGTGCTGAACGCATCTTCAAACTTGCTCATCGGAATGTCGTGCGACACGATGGGCGAGATGTCGACCAAGCCCTGGCTGATCAGGCGCTCGGATTCCTCCCAAGTGTGGAAGATTTTGCGTCCGTGGATGGTCTTGAGAGTGAGACTCTTGAAGATGACGTTGTGGAGAACGTTCTCGACGTGCAACGGCTGCTTGGGCAGACCGACGAGAAGGATGCGGCCGCCCTTGCTGTGAAAATGCCGAGGAAAACCAAAAATAGGTCGAATGATTAGAGCTGGCCTCTCTCTCTCTCTCTCTCTCTCTCTCTCTTATTCACAAAGCAACCGGCTCAAGACTCACCGAAGGAAGGTAAAGCACGTGTTGACCATGTACGGAGATCCCGACGCTTCAACAATGCAGCCCGCGCCATCCGAGTTGGTGATTTTCATCACTGCATCCAGAAAATTGTGGCACAACAGAACAAAGCTGTTAGCTCCCGAGTCCTCGCGGCACCCAAGCATCCCATTCAAACCTACCGGCGGCCAGCATGTCCTCGTCCTTGCTGTTTATGACGTGATCGGCACCCATCGTCTTGGCGAGCTCCAGCTTGGCCGGGATGACATCGGCAGCAATGCTGGAGAACGAGTTCAGTATGTGAGATGATGCTTCCAAAGTTGTTGCCGTTGCCTCAAATTGGACGTGCAACTCAAAAACCAAAATCTGTACATTGTCTTTGCGCCCATTGCGCGACCAACCGCAACCGTGAGCAGGCCAATAGGACCACATCCGATGACAAGAAGCGTATCGTCCTTGCATTCCACCTCTTCGATAGCATGTTGAGCCACTCCGAAAGCTGGTCAAGACAGAAAACAAAAAAGGCGATCAATTACCTGCAAAGGTTTGATTTTGCCCAAAAAAAATACTGTACACCACTGCTGGCAGACGTACGCTCAAGCAAGCACGCTTGCTGAGAGGTCAGATTTGTCTTGAGCACGTAAGCGTAGCGTGCAGGAACAATGGTGTACTGGGAGCAGCCTGTCCAAATTGCAACAAAAACGCAACAGAGGGAAATGAGTTGGAATGCGCAGCACACATGCAAGTCAAACAGCTTTGCTCATACCTCCGTGAACGGTCTGCTTGCCGTGTCCGAACTGTCCCATCGACTTGCAGATGTGCGGCAGATCTGTGGATGAAAAGTTTTTGTAGATGTTGCAATCTCTCTCTCTCTTCCCCCCCCCCCGCCTCCCATCGGTGTTACTGGCTTCGAGATGCTTACCATGCGTACACTGGTAGCAGTTGCCACAGTAGTAGTGATTCTCGACGCCAATGCGTGTGCCGACGCCAATCTCGCCACAGTTCGGGCCAACCTTGACAACCTGCCAAACACATCACCAAGACATTGGATCGCACAATGATCGAACTGCTCAGTCTGCTGCGAGAAGCTGCATCCACCGTGCTTGCTCTTTACCTTTCCAACACATTCGTGGCCCGGAGTGAACGGCAGGGTGGCAATCGCTTGTCCGACTATCATATTTCATGAAAACAAACAATGTTTGCGACAAGTCAGAGCAGTTGAAGTTCAAGACGTCACGCCCCAGCTAGAAGGACTCCACAATCTGATATTTCAACGTTGCTGCTTCTTTTTTATGGTTCGCGATGGGGAAGACCTTGGCGCGGTCATTTGAGGGGAACGCAATCGCCCTGAGAACTTGCCCGACCCAAATCTCGCTCCAACCACCACATCCCGCTGCTTCCCCACTGCGCACCAACGCCCCGTCGCTCAAGCAAGGCCGTATCATCAGCACAGACAACGCCGCATCATCATCGTCATCATCCATCAGCATCAACCGCGTTCGCCAAACCTTCGTTCCAAGTGTACAGATTGATGTCGCTGCCGCAGATGGAGACCCGCTCGACCTTGATGAGCAGCTCGCCGTCGCCAGGCACCGGCACGGGGATTTCGACGAGCTCGTACGACGCAGTGGGCTTGGTCTTGACCAGCGCCTTCATCGTTGCGGGAATCGTTTCAGCCATCGTCTTGAATTGTGTTGCGTTGGAGAGGGCAAATTTTTGAAAAGTGAATTGGGCTTCCATTCGGCTTCCATGTTGGGTTGTTTTTGCTCGATTCGGCCAGACGCAATCGCTGAATGGAAGTCGTTGATGTGCAAATGTCAAGCGCACGCATTTTTGCATGTATGTCTTGAGAGGGGGGAAGGGAGATGAAGTGATCTCTCATTGAATTTTCAATTGTGATTCGTGACGAGCCGTTGTTTCTCCTCCCATCATCCCCCACCCTCCTCCTCCTCCTCCTCCCTGTCATACCCACTCTATCGTGATTTTAGTGCAATTCCCCACCTCTCTCGCATTCTCAACCAACCTGCTCAAACAACAACCAGGGCTCACTTTTCATTTTTTTTTTTTGTTCCAAACAAAAGCAAAACCATGAGCAAGAACACCTCGTCCACTGCCTACCGCAAGGTGAACGTCGACGCCTACGACGAAGACAACTACGAGGACGAGTCGCAGGCTGTCGACAACGCGGCCCAGGTCAACGCCCGCGACGCCGAGGTCAAGAAGCTGCTGACTGGCGGCAACACGGAGGGAGCGCTCAAGGCCGCCCTCGCCGATCCGCCGCTCGACGCCAAGGACCAGTCCCTCAAGGCACGCGCCACCCTTCACTTTTTGTGTTTTTTTTTCGTTTGCCTTTTCACTTTGTTGGGCAGCAGATCGCTCACAGACAGCGGACAGGAAGAGAGAGAGAGAGAGGCGAGAGAGAAGGAAAAGAGATCTCATTTTATTTTTTTTTTTAACTATTTTCAATCCAATTCTTTTCGCTCTTTTTTTTTTTCTCACCATCGTCATTGTCACCACTTTGTCGTCGTCATCGTCATCGCCATCGCCACACAAACACCGAGATGCCTTGCCTGGCCGATGTGTCGTGAGCGTCGTCCCCCTTTTGAACTCTCGCGTTCCGTTTGACTTTGAGGAGGGTTTTTTTTTTTTTTCATTTCCCTTTCCTTTTTCAATGTTTTTTTTTTTTTTTTTTTTTTTGTTGCTGATTCCCGCGCACGACAGAGTGATGAGATTGAAGACTCACGATGCTCTGGGGCGAGTATGTGTGCATATGCGAATGTGCGCGTGTGGACGGCAACGTCAGTCGGAGGAGGGAAAGACAGACGATCGATCAACAAAAGTCAGCAAAAACAACAACCACAAAAAAAAAAAAAAAAAAAAAAAATTCTTTCAAAATTTTCTGCTTTCAATCTCGTTCCATACAACCAAAGAACGAAGAACGAAGAAGCGATCATCGACGTTGCTCACTTTGTCATCCATCACACAAACAAATACAGGACAAGAGCGTCGCCTCCGTCCTCTCCGTTTTGACTGCAACCAAGACCGCCGATATTGCCAAGATTGTCGGCAACCTCAACCCCGAGCAGATCGACGTCCTCATGAAGTACGTGTACCGCGGCATGAACGTTGACGGCAAGAGCAAGAACGACGAAAACCAAAGCGGCATCTTGCTCGCTTGGCACGCAGCGGTAGGTTGCCTTTCATTGTTCTGTTCGCTGCTCTGCTCTCCCGCACGTCAGCTCATTCTTGTTTGTTTCCGCCGCTTTCACGCTCTGTTGCCTCACAGGTTTTCGCTGTTGGTGGCCACGGCTCGATTATCCGTGTCATCACCGACCGTCGCTCGCTTTAAAAAAACAAAACCTCGTTTTTTTGTTCAACCTCCCGTTTTCCGTCCCTCCTGTCCTGGCCATCGGTGTCTTTCCTCAGAGCCAGCGCCGCCACTCTTTTTCACGACTTTTTTTTCGCGCTTTGACAGCGTCTGGGACGCTTTGAAAGCACTTTCTGTTTTGTTTTGGGTTTTCTTGAACGGTCGTGTTTTACTGATGTGGTGCGTGCTGGTAATGTTATCTCTAGACGTGCACATATACCATTTCCTCCCCCAAAACAAAAAACCACCAGTTCTGCAGAGTCTGGAATTACTAGAATGGTTTGGTTTTTGGTTTGGTTGTATTTATTCGGTGCCTTCACAGGCCGGAATCAGGACGCGTGCGCTTCACCAGCTCGAGAATCGACTTGAAATTCTCGTACTTGGCATCCTGCATCAGCTCGAACAGCATGGACTCGCTGGAAGTGATGGTGACACCAACCTGTCGCAAGCGCTGGTTGTAATGCCAAAAGGAGGTGGTCGAATTCATTGAGTTGTTTGTTCCCCTCTCTCTCCCCAAGTCACAGAGTGACCCACATCTCTCAATTCGTCTTTGGCAAAACTCACATCGAAGGCAATGGTGCGCTCAAACTGGCGGGAAGAGGACGAGCCATCGGCGAGAACATGCACGCCGTAGCCAGCAGACACCAGGTCCAACGCGGTCTGCTGGAGGCAGACATGGGCCTGCGGTTGATGTAGAAGAGTGGGTGAACGTGTGTTCTTGACCAACCCCCGGACAGAGCAGAAAATGGCTGAAAGCAATACAGAACGAAAAATACCGCACCTCAATGCCAAACAGAACGACAGAGCGGAATTTGCCTGCAGTCAAGAACGACGCCACCTCTGGCGTCGCCATGGAGAACTTGGTCTTTGAGAAAATGTTCGTATTGCGGGGATAGACGGCCGAGATTTCCGAGAGGGTCTTGCCGAACACTGTCCAAAATCAACGTCAACGACGAACAACCAAACCGTGAGCGTTTCGTTTTGCACACAGCTCAAGGGTGGGGGTGAAACGGTTTGCAAAACGATTCATCATGCTTGGAGTCGAATCTGTGAAAGTGGTACCTTGTGGGACCTGTCAGGTTGCCAGATCACGGATAATTTGGAACAAAAGAATGGGCGCAGAGCAGCAAAGTGTGAGTGTTTCTGCGCGTCGACAAGCAGCAACGACGATGAACGCATCCAGTTGATTGTTACATGCTCGGTCACGATGAGAGGGACGTTCAGGATACCCGCAGCTTGAGTCTGTACGCACAAAGCAGGCGGGGGGGGGGAAGAGGGAAAAGGGAAGCGTGAGTTGTCGGAGATGATACGAAATTTCACCGTTTCTCTCGCTCTCTCTGCTAACTCTACCATGGTGGTGGCGACGTGGATGACAGACGGAAAGTGGACAATCGAGTTGCGGAAGCGCTCTTGAATGTCGCACAGCAGAAACGCAGTCGACTCGCGAGCAACGCGCGGAATGAGCGCCATGGTTGAAGCAAATAGAATTGGACTGGATTCTGTGCAAATTCGATGCAAATTGGAGTGTGTCGAGGCAATGTGATGCACTCGGACTGGATGACAGAGCTGATTTCGACCTTTGATGAAAGCGAGGTGCCAGCTGCCAGAGACCGCGAGCGAGCGATTGCAAGTGAGAGGGACGAGTTCATTTTGCCATTGCTGTGCCCTCCTCGCCTTCCTCTCCTCTCCTGAGCCTCATCCAATGGTCAATTGTCTCATGGCTTGCTCTCACTATTTAGTCTTCATTCGTCATTTTTTTTCTGGGTTCTTGCTCGTTTTCTCATCCACTCAGAGGATGGCAAGTCAGAACGCAGTCACCGACATTGTGCTCGTCAACCAGAGCAAGCACGAGAGCTGCCCCATCCGCTACAGAGAGGCAAGTCAGCGCAACTTGGATCCCACCTTGGCAACTGTCATTCATGAGCATCATTGGAAGCGGGGGGAACGGTCGAGCACAGCACAGCGGTTTAGAGCTCGAATGCAACGTCACTCGCAGCCATATGTCGTCGTCGTCGTCGCCGTCGTCGTCGTTGAGGGGGCTTCTGTCAACACCCAGTTGGACTCATATGGCAACACACTCTGCTTTGTTGGTTGCTCTGATTTTGGGGGCGGGAGCAGATCTCGCACACGTTCAATGGACGCCACAGCGCCGCGCTCAAGGTCGGACGGTTTATGCCAAGCACGGTCGTCGTCTGCTTTGCGCAGGATCCGATGGCATCGGAAGTCGTCACGGACGTCTACATCTTGGAGAGCGACACAGAGACGCCGCCGCCGGGATTTGCAGTCATCAACACGAGCGTCCGAGGTCATCATTTCGACTTCAAGCATCGCCTGTGCGTCCGGAAGGCCCCGCGCGCAGGCTCTGCGCCGTTCATTGAGGACCTGAAGATGGCCATAATAGGGCACCAAGACCGCATTCCGCAGTACTTTGTGCCCACCAACCGCCCGCTCGTCGACGACCTCGCCCTCATCGTCCGAAAGCGGGACTCGACCGGCGCGCCGTTGCCAGACTCGCAGGGTCGTCTCACCCGTGACAACGAATACCTCGATGCGGACCACGCTTCTTTCCAGGCTCCACGGCGGGGTCACGCACCTCCACCGCCAGGACCACAATCCAACCACTACGAACGTGAGCAGTCGACGGCCTCGCTCGCTGCCATGCCAACTCAGTCCCTTGTGCCGCCCAGTTCACTTTCTAATGCTCGCGCGTCATCCACGGGTGCTTTGCCAGCGTATGTTACGTGGTGGTTTTTTTCTTTTTCACGATGAAACAGGTTTTTGTCGTTTTTGCTTTGACTGATGTCGGTGTCTCACTCCGTCCTGTCTCCCTCTCCCTCTCTCTCTCCCCCCCCGCTTGCAGACACATGGGCGACAATTACGATAACGTGTATACCAACGTGCCACCCATAGTACCACCACGAACAAAGCGCAATCAGCAAGCACACCACTCGTCCACCAAAACGGCGTATATCTGGCTTGAAGGCGTCCCAATCGCTTCTCCGCCTGGGCATCCAGCCCTTGGCAGTGACCGTGGATCTCAGCCACAGGTTGGTATACTTGTAATGTCCGTGGTGTGTTTTGATTTCTTTTGCTCATCGATGTTGTTGTGTTGCCTCTTTTCCCAGCAAAACAATCTTGTATTGACAATCGAGCCAACGCCGTACATGGACATGTCCAGAAAGGTAAAAAAAATTGAAACGCTCTGCCGTTTCTCAAGGGGGGGGGCTTGTGGGGCTCTGCCTTGTTGAAACTGACCTGTTTTCTCGTCTTCTGCTCATCCGGTTCTGTTCCTCCTCCTCCTAATCGTTACCAGTATCCATATTCCTTCCAACTTGAGCAGCGGCTACTGGGCAAGACGGGCTGATGACGAGATGTTTGTTTAGTTTAGTTTAACTTGTGCCATCCCAACCTAATGCAAACTTGTTTTTGTGCTTCAGACTTCCCTTCGTTGAACAATCGTCACTGAGGTGAGAAAGCAAGAAAAATTGTATTCTACAAACGCGAATGGACGACAAAAACAAAAGGCCAAAAGAGAAAAAAAAGAGGAAACGGAAAAAACCCAACGAACGTAACAAACGTTGGATGATGGAACTAACTTTTGGGGAAAGTAACGTGGAACATGCGGCAAAACAAGCCACTCAAGCCTCATACGCAGCAATGCGATCGTCCAACAGAGCAATGTACTTGACAAGCTGGGCAATCTTGGGCTCGAGCGCCTCGGGTAGGGGCGACGAGGCCGAAAAGTGCGGCCGTCGAACAGGCAGCAGATCGTTCTCCATGTGATCAAAGTCTGGGGACGAGTAAAAGTTTGCCCACTGCTCGCGGAGACGTAGCCGATGCTCGAACGCCTTGAGCAGCGCATCGCAAATGGTAGCAATGCGTGCATTTTCGCTCTTTGTGGCGGTGTGCAGGGCCTCGCTCATATGCCGTGTTATTGAGTCCAGAGATTGCCGAGTCTGTAAATAGCGGATGTACAGGGCAGAAAGCATGAGCACACCATTTGCATCAAATCGACAGCGGGGTACGGGGGAAGCCAAACGTACCAAGCTTTCCAGTTGTTGCCACTGCAATTCTAGACTTTCGATAACGCGCTTCCAGAACGCCTGGATACGCGCGTGTCGCAACCCGTGCGCCCAGAACTGTCGAATCCAGCCGCACTCAACCTCCGTCAGCGCTTGCTGCACCTTTGTCACCGACATGAGATCAAAATGGCTGCCGGATATCAAGGCATCGGCAATGGCCGAGTTGCACAAGTTGACAATGTAGTCACGAGTGCCGCTCGAAAGAGGCGAGTTCTGTTTGTTCAAGGGGGGAAGGGGTTAGGGTTATGAGCAAGACAGCCCGCATAGGCAAGTGGGACTTCTCGCCAAGAACGCCAGCATCACCATCACCATCACCATCACCATCACCATCACCATCATCATCAAAGCGACATACATCAATCTTGCGGCAAATGCAGGCAATGCGCTTGGCATGGCCAGCGTAGAGTGCGCGCTGGTGGTGCTCGGTAAAGCCTTGCAGCATCAGATAGATGTCACCCGAGCGCAAATGCGCAAGCAGTGGCGGCGCAGTGCCGTCGGATTTGGCACGGAAACCGACAGCCCAGGCGCCAGAGTCGGACGTGTCCATCTCAACGGCGGAATCGTGCTCGTCAGCGTCAGCGTCGCCAGAGTTGTCCTTGGACAGGGTCAAAGTCGGGGCCGCGGGCGTGCTACTGCTGCTGACCTCGGGCTGGGCATTGGTTGAAGCGGCGGCGGCGGCTGCTGCTGCTCCGTTGGCCGACATGGAAAGTCGGCGCTCGCGTTGCTCAGCCTCCTCTGGCAGGCAAATGTACACGCCAATCGTGGACGACGCATCGATAAACGTGTCCGAGTTCCAGCCCATCGCGAGCTTGCCGCGACCCAGCAAATCGTCCTGCAAATCCGTGTCGGGCATGTCTGCAGGGTCGTACAGGTTGAGCATGCAGGCGTTGAACTCGGTGCCGGCGACCAGCTGGTCGGACTGCTTCCACAGCGGATGGCCCGCCAGCAATGGGGCGGTGATGGGAGGGATGGAGAGCAGCGAAGTGCCCGCTGCAGTGGCAGCCTCGTCCCCAGCAGGACTCTGCGGCTGGGGAGTGTGCTCGCGGATCAAGTCTGTCGTCCGTCGCTCAATCTCCACCTTGGCCGTGTCTGCAAGAACCTTGGCAATCTTGTGCAGGCCGGCGGTCATGCGCTCAATGTTGGGGTGGCGCTCGGCCGCGGCAGCAAGCGCCGCAGCGTCCGTTTCGGACAAATCCGACCACGGGAGGGCAAACAGCCGCAAATCCATCACACGGAAGGTCAGGCCCGGCTCGCCCAGCAGCAGGCGCTTGACCGCCGTTCGCGACACGGCATCCGGCTCGCGCAATCGGAGCGCCATGTCGTTAAAGACGCCCGTCTGCTGCAAGACGTCCAGCGCCTCTCGAGCCTGCGTGTGCACCTCTGGCGCAATGTCTTCACGCGCGCCAAACCATAGGTCTGTGAATTTTGTTTTCAGCTGTAGTTTTTTGGGGCGGTGAGAAGGGAGGTGAGTGTTTTGCACGCGATGCCAAACGAGACCAAAGCGTTGTCAAGAATGTCGAAACCATGATGGATTGGTTTTTGCATGAGCGAATGCTTTTTTTTTCTCCCTCAATCTTTCAATGTTTGCGAACGTTACGTCGGTCGCCGCCGCCAAGCACGCGGTTGCTGCACGAGGGCTCGTTGAGTGCTGCTTCTAATTGAGGGTGGCTGGGACTGGGACATCCAGCACTACAACAACAACAACAACAACAACAACAACAATAACAACAATGTTGAAGCCAAAGCTGGCGCGACTGCTGCTACAAAAAATCTGTTTTTAAAAAAAAAAATCCCGATGAAAAGCATGCTGTGGACACTGCGCAGAGCCGCCACACAGATGGATGCAAGTCCCCGCGCGTTGGCGCACTGACTGCAGAGACACGGAAACAAGGTGCCGCGCGCATGCGTGACTCGGTCGTTGTGCCCGGGTGGCTGAAATTTGTGGTCGGACCACTCGCTCACCAACACGCCTCCCGTTCACTCACTCACTCCACTCGACTCGCTCGCTCTCAAATCACTCGATGGTTGCAAAACTGACAGTCCCTCCCCTCACAAAAGCACAGCCAGAAGGAAGGAAGGGGGAGGGGGACGGGCCTTACCAAGTCTGCGAGCGCCGGTTGCTGCAGCTGGGGAATATCAACAGTGAGCGGCTCAGTCTCGTCTCGCCGTGCTCGCTGCGCATCCACGCGACGGAACAACAGGTGCAAAGATGCATGGAAATCACAAGCAGGCAGTGAGTTGAGCAACACAGGAACAAGGCGCGACGCATTGCGCATGAACAAGGACGAAGAAATAATTTAGCCGAAAATACAAAATAATAAAAAATAATAAAATAATAATAATAAAAAAAAAAACAGGTTTCCACCGCGTCGCAACCGCAAGTCGCGCCGCTGCAAGTGCGTGTAAGAGTCAGGGGCAAAATTGCTGCAGCCTCCACCAACACCCCCACACGACAACAGGGGAACGAGAGCGCCAGGGAAAAAACCCCTTCCAGACAAATGGAAAGAGCTGCCAAAACCAAAAAAAAAAAAAAAAAAAAAAAAAAAAAACCGGGGCTTTTTCAAGTTTCGCGCGCATTTTGTTTGGATTTTTCGGTGGCTGGGGATGGAAGCACATGGTTGGAACTTGCCTTGGCAATGTGCTCTGGGGCCGATTGCTCAGTCTCGGCAGCCGCAGCTGTGGCGGAGGTGGTCGCGCTGGCGCTGGGCGCAGCAGCAGCGGCAGAGGGATGCGCGTCGCTCGAGTTCTCGTTCCGTCGCTTGTGGCGCGCCGGCGATGCGCACTGATCGTCGAGTGCGCTCAAGCTGGCGGCTGTCAACATCCAACAACAGAAGAGAGGAGGAGGAGAGGAAGAAGAAGAAGGTGGAAGTCGGTGCGAAGACAAAAAGAAAAAGGGGGGGATTTTGCAATGGAAAAGAAAAAAAGAAAGAAAGAAAAAAGAGTGCATAAAAAAAAGTCACTTTTGGATTGTTGTCGTTTCACTTTGTGTTTGTCGAGATGCAATCGTGTCGGTCATTGTCAACAATAAACAGAACATCTCATTTTTGAATGTCCAAGTCAAACCTTACAAATCCAAAAAAAAAAAGAAGGAAAAAAAACGGAGTGATGGCATTCTGTGTAACCGGAGGTCGCGCTCCTTCCATCGTGTGCCCTTCTTCCCTGAGCACCTGTGACGCATGCGTGTGATCATCAGGCGCTTCAAGGAACAGCTCACGGTGGAAAGTATTCGCCCCAATCCTGATGCATTATTGGAACCAAATGGCTCCGCAAGCGCCAGCCGCTACTGAGTGCTTTTTTGTTGTTTCAGGGATGCCACCCTACCCACATCTCAGTCTCTGCAGCCAGCGCGCGCATTTCTCCCAGATGAAGCTTGACAACATGTGTCTCCAGCAACACTAAGATTTTACAGGAAGGACAGCTCCGTTGCCTGTGTCAAGAATGACCCAAAGGTTTTGCTGTGGTGCCATTCCCGACAAACAGAGCGCGAGGTCGGGGTTTTCGTTCGATGTAACACATGAAATGAAGCACTCTCGAAAGCTCATCGGATAGAGCGTGCATATTAAAACCCTTTCGTGCATCGTCCAGCGCGGAATTATGGTTGTTTTGTATTTTCGGTTACATAACACTGAAACTGCTTGCAAACGCGACTCATGATCGCTTGGCAGTCGATTTGGTCACGCCACCGGTGCTCTTGACTCCCGCATGGGCAAGGTGAGGGCGCAAGGCGGCCAAAGAAATCAGCAACGATTCCTATGTTCAAGCGGAGCAAATTGTTTGTGAGAAATAATTGACAACAGGAAAACAAAAAAATCAGTTTGTTTCACATCCCCTCTCCCGACCCGCGGCTCCCAACAAAGGCTAAAGGCTTCATAACATAACCAAAAGATAAATGCTTGATGACTTTACATCCGGTCGAACAGAGCGGCAACCTCGGCTGGGACACGTGCTCAGGAACTTTGAAAAGACGGCGCGAGGGTTGTGCGCCTCCATCGACTCGTCGGCTTCGATCGCGGCAGGCAACCCCGATACACCGCCAAACACAATGAGGGCATGTTTGAATTCGGGCAGCTCGCTCATATCGTCCACAGAATCGCCCTCATCGCCGGCGCCAATCAGAAGGTCGTAGCGGCCACGTTCATTGAAGGGGCAGTCAACGAGTGCGCGGCTGAGGGTTGGCACTAGTCGCACCGAGTAGCCCCAGTACAAACCACGCAGCTCGCGAGGGAGCGACGGCGTCACGACGTTGCCGGACGGGTAGCGGTGGTGGGAGGGCTGCGAAAAGTGGCCGTCCTTGTTGTCGACAGACCACTGTGGGAATTGGACAGTGACACGCGTTCCGGGCTGCAGCGCAACGTTGATCTTGGCCTCCGTTCGCAAGCCGACGTCGACAAACGAGCTGGTGGGCAACGGCGCAGAGTGGTGCTGCTCGCCGCCCTCCTGGTCGTCCCACGCGCTTGCTGGTCCGTGACTGTGGGCATTGCCGCGTTGCCCTTTGGAACGGCTTTGCACGAGGCCTTCGCGGAATTCGACAAACTCGTCCTGTTTGGGATGGTGCGCAGACTCGATCGGGGCGAGCAAGCCGGCAAACTTGAGGTCGCGGTGCATCGGGAAAAGCTGGCGACGCAGATACTGTGGCGTCTCGAGATACTGCAGCACACGCGCCAAAAACACGTCTGGGTTGGAGGTGGCCTGCTTGCCAGCGCCCTCAAACTCGCCCTCCGTCGTGACAATGCTTGAGCTCGCTTGCTTGCCGCCGCTGCCGTCGTTGTAGATGACAATTTCGTCGACATTGAACAGCGACAGGCTGCGTGCAATCTGGCCTGCCATATACGTCTTGAGCTCGGCTGATTGTGCAAGGTGCAGCACCGATCCGGGAATGGCGACCGAGACAGTGTACGCACGCGGACCCAGCCCTGCGTTCATGCGTGCCTGCTGCGTGGCCTCGCTATTGGCTCCACCAGCGGCAGCAGCAGCGTCTTCTGCCGGATAGAATCCAGGACGGTGGAAGCGACCCGACGCACTGGAGCTACTGTGGCTGCCTCCACGCGGCGGCGGCGCCGACTTGCTCGACGATCCAGCGCCTCCGGCGACTGTTCCGCCGGTGGCATCGTCGCCGTCGTCGTTTTCGCCATCGCGATTGCTGTAGGCAGCGTGTCCATCGGCTGAGGGCGCGTCGCCGTGGTTGCTGGACTTCCACGCGCGCTCGCTGGCTGCGCCGCCAATGGGCCGCTGACCTGCGGGGCCAGCCGCGCGGCTCTGCTCGATCGCCCGCTCAATGCGAGACTTTTTCTTCTCGCGCTGGAGCTCCTTCTCCTGGCGGTGGTTGCGGCGCTTGGGTCGCAAGACGGATCCCAGTCCGTCTGCTGCGCCATGTGCGGCGCTGCTCATCGCCGTGTAGTCCGGCTCATCGTCGTCGTCGCTGTTATACTTTTGCATTGAGTTTTTGAGTGTGTGAGTGTGTGAGTATGAGTGTGTGTGTGTGTTTTGAACGGTCTTTCTGAAACGCGAATGTTGAATGAAGGAAGACTGACTGGCTGAATTCTCGGATTCTGAGCGCGTGAGTTGTGATTTTTTGACTCTTTTGTCGTGGATTTCTACGCTGATACACAAATGGTGTTTTCAGTATTTTGTTTCGCATTGCTCTCAGATTTGCTCTCAGATCTTCCACTCCTCTTTTTCTGCAACCTGATTCTTGTTCAATCATGGTGTTGATGAAGCCGATTGAGATGGGGACGGTCTTCAAGGGCACGTCCTTCCCTCCGAATCTCAAGGCACGCTCACACACACTCACACACCCATACACCCCATATAGACACCCAGACACACATAGACGGACTGACAGAGGCACAACACTCGCAAATCTGCCCCTTTTTTGACTTCTCGCCTCGCTTTTGGACCGCTTTTGTGTGTCTGATGGGGGGGGGTTGGGTTTGTGTTGTTGTTGTCCTCCTTTCATCTCGTCTTTCCCTTTCGCTTCATCCCACTCACTCTATGGCGACGACGAAAGGGGGGCTGCGATACAATTCAATACAATAAGAAGAAGGAAAAAAAAGTCGAAAAATCGAGGGTGTTTTTTTTTTTTTTTTGTTTTTTTTTTTTTTTTTTTTTTTTTTGTTGCTCTTCTTCTTCTTCTTTTTCCCTTCTGTTTTGGCTTGTTTTCATTGGTCGTCGGCCATCGATCATCATTCAGCCTGCACGAAGACAGACTTGCTTCTGACGCTGACGCTTGAGCACCGTGAGCACCGTGAGCACCGTGAGACAGGGTTTTGGTTCAAAAAAGCGCTGCTGCGAAAGTTCACCAGGCAGTCAAGCAGCAGTGCATGGATTGGCTCGTCACAGAGTGTGGATGTTTGCTTCCCTCTTTCATCTTCAATGGTCGTTGCGTGCTCTTTTCGTTGATGGACGATTGGAGCAGCAGCAGCAACAGAAGCAGAAGCAGCAGCCAGCAGCGGTTTCCATTGATTTTTATTATTATTATTTTTTTTTTTTTTTTTTTTTTTGCCATGGTTCCGCGCAATCGTCCAAACCCTTCCACCAAATCCGTTGTGCGCTGACGACGGCATTGCTACGCAATTGTGTGTGTGTGCAATGCTATTCGCCTTTGGACAGATCCTGAGGCGCAAGGTGGACGACCTGCCATCGTCAGCATCGCCTGTGACGTCGATTGGCTCTGCTGCTGCTGCTGCTGCTTCTGCTGGTGCTTCGACCACATCATCGAGCAAGTCGAGCAAGTCGCGACCGGTCTCGATCATCTCCCGTGCCCCTGACGCAAGTGGCGCTCCTGCCATCATCGAACCCGAGTCAGCTGCGTCGCCCGCATCGGCTGTCGCGTCACTGCCCGAGAGCAAGAGCAAGACCACCGACAGGTAACCGTGCACACCTCTGAGACAAGCATCATTATTTGCTGGTTTTTTTGGATTGTATTATTGGGTATTGGGTGTTGGATATTGGGTATTGGGTATTGGAATTGCCGTTGTGCTGAAACCACCCTTGTTTTGGTTTGCTTCTTGTTTTTTCTGCAGCTTGGCAGAGCCCAAATCGAGTGGCTTCCGGCTCCGACGCAAGTCAACTGTGAGTGCTGACAGAGTTCGGACTGTTCGGCAGAGCATGGTTGGTTTGGGCGCTCATTTGGCCTTTTTTGTTGTTTTTGTTGTTGTTTTGCTTTCCGATCGTAGGGCCATGTTGTCACCTCAGCAATGTTTGGCATGCTCGCAGTACGTTGCAATGGGGTTGGGGGGGCGGGATTTGTTCCGCTCCATCGCCTCGCGTCGCTTTGAGGTGTTTGAGGAGCACTCACACACTGCACTTTGCATTTTTTGACCATAATACACGCAGGGCGGACTGGTCGTTCCAGCCGCCCCGATGGCGCAAAAGTCCGAGTCGGACAACGCGCTGCACGTCATTAACGACTTGTACGAGAACGAGTTTTTCGCAGCCGTCACCTACCACTCGTGGGCGCTGCTGTCCAAGGCGCTGCGCAAGTACCAGTACAAGATTCTGCTCAAGCCCGTGGCCGCGCGCACTGCTGACATGCGCGAAGCGGACAATACGTATCGCGTCATTGCACACGCAGACGCGCTTGAAGACATTCTCGCAGATTGGAGTCTTCTGAACGAGCATGTTGTGCCCGTGTTGCGCAGCGATCCCCACAAGGTCATTTTCATTGACCAAATCATGCGTCAGCTTCTCAAGAACTCGGTTGTTTCGCCTGTTAAAATTACTGCTGAAGGATCCATCAAGGTTTGTGTTTGGTTGTTGATCAGGGGTGGGATATGGTTGGCTTCTCACTTGATCTGTTGCGGTCATCGTTGTCCTTTTGTTGTTCTTTCTTTTGGTGTTAGCTCAAGCGCATGCGCTCTTATCGCGTGGATCGGAGCATTGGTCACGGCGCATTTGGTGCCGTCAAGCTGGGCATTCACGAAGGCTCTGGCCAAAAGGTGAGGGGCGACACCTTCGACTTTCTTCTCAAGCTTTCAACCGAAAATTCACGCTGACTGTTGTTGTGCCTGGACTTTTGATGCCGTCGTGGCTCTCCACTCTATAGGCTGCTCTCAAGATGATTCCAAAGGAAAAGGCAGAATCGCTTGCTACCATTATGAAGGAAATTGATTTGTTGCAGGTAAAGGAGCAAAATGAACAATGCTTGCATCGTCCACTATCCGGAGCGATCGGTCTGGCTTGAGACTCACTTGCATCGACCTGCCTCGTCAATTTCGTTGCAACTGTACCGCAGGGTCTACATCACCCCCATGTTGTAGAGGTTTTGGAAGTCATCGATCGCCCAAAGTACGTCTGCCTGGTTCTTGAGTTTGCCGCTGGTGGTGACCTTCTCGACTACATCAACCACCAGCAGAACAACATTATGCCAGAGCGCGAGTCGGCCCGGTATGCAGTGACCGATCTCGGTTTTTTTTTTGTTTTGTTTTGTTTTGTTTTGTTTGTTTGTTTGTTTGTTTGTTTGTTTTTGGTGGTTTTTTTTTGTCTGTCGTAGTTGGCTGACATTGTGGCTGTTTTTGTTTTTTGTTTTTTTTTTTTTCGTGAATGCTCTTGGGGTTGCTTGCTGGTTGGCGCCGATAGCATCTTCTTGCAAATTACCTTGGGTAAGTAGCTCGTTTAAGTGCTGCATCGGAAGACGAACAACACAACTCACCTTTTGTTTTTGTTGGTCGTGTTGCAGGCGTCGAGTATCTCCATGCAAACTGTGTCTATCACCGCGATCTCAAACCGAACAATATTCTGCTCGATGACAAGAAAAATGTCAAAATTAGCGACTTTGGCCTCTCCAAGCGAACCAACTCTCAGACTGAGCCGCTGAAGACCATGTGCGGCTCGCCCATCTATGCAGCACCCGAATTGATGACACAGGTAAGACGGTGCTTTTTTTTTTTTTTTTTTTTTTTTTTTCGTTGGTATTTGTTTGTGTTTGACGTTTCTCACTCTGGCCCTTTTTTTTTTGTCCCACTCTTGTACTTTCGTCCTGCAGAACTACCTCGGCGCTCCTGCCGACACTTGGAGCTTGGGTGTCATTCTCTACAATTTCCTCACTGGTCGCCATCCTTTCAACGTCGACACGGCTGACGGTGTCCCGTTGATTTACAAAAAGATGCGCACCAATCGCCTCGAGTTCCATTCCTCGCCGTCCGATGGAGCGAAAGACTTGTGCGCTCGAATTCTCGTCTGCGATCCCATAGCACGTATCACTATTCCTCAGATTCTTGGTCATCAGTAAGAGCGTCCTGTTGTTCTCGTTGCGGCCTTTCTCTCAGTCTAGTCGTCACTAACTGCTCGGTTTCTCTTGGACATGATTTCTTTTTTTTTTCTTGCAGCTGGCTTGCAGACGTCAAGGCCGAGTACGCCCTACAGTTCAACCCCATTGATAAAGCCACACCCGCGAATAAGGCGGCGATTCAGCTCAAGCTCGATGCTGCTCATCGGCAACTGCTGGACGAGTGGTCAAACAAGGATGAACGATGGAAGTTTGATCACCTGGATAAGGAAGTCCAGTATTGGGGTCCTGCCACCCCGGGTGATGCCGGCGCCAGTCTTGTGCGCATCAAGGCCAAGGCCGTGATGCAGCACAGCGTTGACGAGGTCATTCGCATGATCACCTCTCTGATTCGCAGCACGGAAACTAGCAAATGGCTCAAAGAAGATCGTCTGATTGTGAGAAGGCTGGCTTTTCGTTTTGTCGTGATGTTTGTTTTGTTGTTTTGGTTCCTTTTTGTTGGTGCTGACGCTTTGCTGTCGTCAGGAGCAACTTGGCGATCATACAGAAGTGCGATACCGAGCTCACGAGCGCTCCACGCTCTTCCACAAGACTCTTCGTGACTTTTGCGTTGGCATCGACACCAAGACGGATGCCGCCACCGGCAATGTTTACAGTAAGCGCTCAAAGGGGAGACCAGGGTCTTGGCAAACGTGCCAAAAGCAGCGACTTAATTTTTATTTTATTTTTTGTGCGTGCCTCTGTGCAAACTTTGTGCATTCCAGTCGCTGGATGCTCTGTCGAGCACCCGGGCTGCCCGCCCAAGAGTGGTTTTGTGCGTGCCGAGATCAATCTTAACGGTTGGGTGATTGAGAATTTGAATCCTACTTCCTGCATGGTGACCTATGTGTGCTTGGTACGTTATGATTTGCTTTTGTTTTTTTGTTTGCTTGCTTGTTTTGGGGTTTTTTAATGGGGCGCGTTTGCATTCATGCTCACATGAGATGTGATGTGTGCGTGTGTGCTTGCTTTCGTTCAGATTGATCTCAAGGGCAACATTGACGACGGAGTGATCAAGATGCTCACGACCGACCTGCCGCTCTATGTCACAAAAGTGCGTGATGCGCTCAATCTGGACAAGTCTAGTTGAACGTCCTGTGCCTCTTCGCCTCAAGAGAGCCATTCAGTTGTGTTACAGGCGCTCGTGTCTGCTTTTATTGTTGCGTTGGTTTGTGGTTGTATTGCGTGAGTGTGTCTTTGAGCCAACTTTTCTCTTTCATCTTATTCACCCGCATTTGTCTTTCGTTTTCTTTGGATGGTCCGTTGCCTCCTCGTTATGAGCATCGTTCTGATATCGTTGGATGACAAAATCGAATCGCTTTTCCTTTTGCTCCCGCAATGCTTGTTTCCACGTTTCCACGCCATGACGCCACTGATTTGCAATATTCCGTCATCGACTATGACACGATACGCTTTTCGGCTCCAGTCTAAACTTCTCAGTTGTTGCTTCATTCATGTCGCAGTTCAGCCAAGGTAAAAAAAAAAAACAGTCAAAATCATCACTGCTTTCGCTGCGGTCGTTCCCACCTGTTCCTCTGCTCGACCACGATCCCCTTCGCCCACTGCTCCGCCGGCGCGAGTCTTGTGTCGTGTCTGTTGAATGACGCGCATTGAAGGAAGGGGGAAGCGGTCACTGATGTCGGCGGCCGAGACGCGCGTGTGGCCCTCTGCCCTCTTCGCTCCCTCTCCTCGTCCTCCTCCTCCTCCTCCTCCTCCTCCTCCTCCTCCTCCTCCTGCTGCTGCTACATTCATGCTAGCGCGCTTGCGCAAATCCCATCCACCCGCCGCTTCCCCCTGCTCGCACTCGCCGGCGCGCGAGACTGAAGATGAAAAGGGGCTGCTGCAGCATTTTCCGCGCCAAAAAATCCCTTTGCGTTTCCCATTTCGTGCTTTTGGGGGGTTTCTCGGGCTTGTGCTGTCGTCGGGCTCCCCGCTCGGTGTCAAAGTTGAACGCGCGAACCGCAGTGACCCATCCGCGCTAAGTGGCACTCCTGGGGTCGGACGACGCGTGCGCTGCTTTTGCCAGGTCTTCGCTGTTCAGTTTTGTTTCGCTCTCAGACAGTTTTTTTTTTTTTTTTTTTTTTGGAGCTTCTCGCTGAAAACTCATCTGTCGCTGACCTTTTGTTGCTATATTCACTTCTGTTGATGTGACAGGTTCTGCTATTGCGGATTCGTCGTCCAAATACGTGCGTAGCCAACGCTTTTGCCCAGCTTGTTGTAGCCAAACACGGCACTGCAACTCACATTCCAAATATGACAGTTCTCAGACTACATCCATGGCTACATGGTCTTCCCAAGAAACATTCTTGACTTTGTCGATACGCCACAGTTCCAGCGACTTCGCGACCTCAAGCAGCTTGGAACGACGCAGTTTGTCTATCCTGGTGCGTCGGGTTTGACCACCCCACTCATCCACCCGTTGTGTTGTGTCGTGTGCATTCATTTTGGGCGTGCTTGGTTGCATGGGTTCCACCCCATCTATGTGCAGGTGCGACACACTCACGATTCGAGCACTGCATGGGAGTTGCGCACCTCGGATCCCAGTGGATGGAGCGGTTTCGCATCAAGCAACCAGAGTTGGAAATTACCGACCGTGAGGTCAACGCTGTCACTCTGGCTGGCTTGTGTCACGATCTTGGTATGGAGGCTTTTCTGAATGTGTGCGCAGCTTCGCTGCTCGTGGAATATCGAGTTTGACTTTGGCTTTGGCTTTGGTTTTGTTTTATTTTGTTTTTATTTTCGTGTATCACAGGGCATGGGCCTTTCAGTCATGTTTTCGATGGCGGGTTCATGCCGCGTGCGCGGTACGAATGTGTTGGTTATCGTCATGCTGGCATGGGGGTTTTTTGTTTCCTCGGCTTTTTTTGCTGACATGTCTTTGATTCGCAGCCCCAACCACAAATGGCACCACGAAGATTGGTCTGAAATGATGCTCAACCATCTTGTGGACGAGAACTACGTCGACATTGAGGCGGAGGATCTTGCGTAAGACTAAAATTTGCTCATTTGGTTGAAGCAGCACACACGCACTCACGCACTCACGCACACTCACTCGCTGTTTTCTTTCTTCTTCCTGCCCTCTTGGCAGCCTTATTCGCGATTTGATTCAGGGCCGCGCGCCGAATGAAGGCGGGTAAGAGCGCTCGTTGCGGTGCGCTGGATTCTTTGTTTGCTTCCTCCCCCTATCCCTCACCTTCGTTCCATTCTCACACATCAAAGAGCCAACGCCCAGTACCGCTACATGTTTGACATTGTGTCCAACGAACGCAATTCGGTCGATGTGGACAAGGGCGACTATCTCCAACGTGACGCGTACAATGTGGGTATCAAAACCGACTTTGACTTTTCCCGGTAAGCTCGCGTTCTCGTTGTCATCTTCAATGGCATGCCAGTGTGGGGAAAGCTGCCGACTAACTTGGAGCAACCAATGCTTGGATCACAGATTGATCCACTTTAGCCGTGTCGCCAACGACCAGATCTGCTTCCAAGAGAAGGAAGTGTTCAATCTCTACGAAATGGTATGGTTTTCGCATAATTCGATGACTTTGAGATAAGTACATTCAGCATGAGCCTCACTTCACTCTTGTGCAGTTCCACACGCGCTACAGCATGTTCAAGCGTGTCTACACCCACCGTGTCGGTATGTGGAGCCGTGTTGTAAATCGCTTTCCTGTACCCGCTTCCGTCCTCGAACCGGCTCATTTTTTTTTCATCTCTGTGCTGGTGTAGGCAAAGCCATCGAGCACATGTTTGTCGATGCTCTGCTTGAGGCAGACCAGTATTTGCAGATTTCCGCTTCGGTCGATGATCCTGCGGACTACCTGAACATGACGGACAGCATTGTGAAAGAAATTGAACGTTCCAAGGTCCCGGTACGCATCCTGCGATTCTTTTTTTGTTTGGCCGAGCCTCGAGAATTCCGCACTGATTCAGCTCCTTGGTTTTTTTTTTTTTTTTTTTTTTTTTGTGGCCCAGGAACTGGAAAAATCGAGGTCCATCCTGCGAGCTGTGCGAAAGCGCAACCTATACAAGGTAACGCCATGATTTCGTTGAGAAAAGGGAAGGCCGGTGGAGGGAGGTGCGATTTCACTCAACGTTTCGCTTTTGCTTTGTCCGGCTCTTTCAGTTTGTGGATGAAGTCGTCATCCCGCAAGACATCATGGCACATCTTGACAAGGTTAGCCACAGCTTGCCGTTTGGTTGTATTGCGTTTTCTGTGCCTGACGTTGCTTGTTTCTCCGACAGAGCCGCATCTCTCCCGAAGAGATTGCCAGTTGCCAGAGTGACGGATTCCCCGTGACGGTACGTGAACGGGCAAAGCTGGCTTGAGTCTCCAACGCTCACTTTTGCTTGCTTTTTTTTTTTTTTGGAGCAGGCATCCGATGTTATCGTTGACTGGGTCGACATCCACTATGGTCTGAAGAATGGCAACAATCCCGTTGAGCAGACGCGCTTTTTCAGTCGCTGGGAAGCGGACGGTGAGTCCTTGTTTTCTGTTTTCGAGCCCGAAGTTTTGTGGATGATCTTCACGAGCTCCGCGCCTCACTCGCCACGCTCCTTTGGTTTCGCTCTGTGTTTCAGAAACGTTCAACATTCCTCGCGACAAGGTCAGCTTCATGCTGCCGGGACAGTACAAGGATAACATTCTTCGAGTGTACTGCCGCGACCCCGATCAGGTAGGAACGCGTCACACCGCGTGCCAGTTTGCAGGGCTGCGGCTTTGTACTGACGCTACGTTTTGTCTGTTTCTCCCCAGATGTACGCCGTCCAGAACGCGTTCAAACGTTTCAAGCAACGCTCACTCCCGACCAGCATCACTGTGTCTGCCATTCCGTCCATTCCCTCGGTCGACTCTCCGCGCAAGCGTCGGCTGATTGAGTTGTCTTGAAGTCGTATGTTTTTGATGAAAAATCGACCATGCTTTGGGCGACCTTGGACACACCCGTCCTTTGATTTCTCTGTCAAGTCAGCTGTAGAAACTAAACATTGCACTCCTCTCAATCGATCGCACAAATCTCTAGAATTCTACAAAACAAAAACAATGCTTTTAGTGATCGACGCGTTCAAAACAAATTAACTATGAGACAAGAAGAACCAACAAACAAAAAAATTAGTCCCGACTCAAAGCCGTGCTCAAGTCACTGGACGCCAATCAATTTCGTCCGTCGGCTCTGAAGAAGAAATCAGAGCGTCAATGTCCAGATCGGCAGCATCCTCCGGGCCAAGCTCAAGCTGCAGGTCATCAAGCTGGCTGGCGAGAGAATCAGGTAGCTCCATCGCGCGGTCATGCTCGCCCCTCCCGCGCTGGCCAAACCACAAGTTTGACGGCAGGGAGCTCATAATGGTGGCATTTCGCTCGCGCCGCTCGAGCGGGAAAAGAGCGTCGTCGGCCTGCGAAAGCGCGCCGTCCTTGGGCAGAGGGCCTTGATCGTAGACAATGCGTGGCAGCGGGCAGCCAGCATAACAATTCGACCGCTCGCAGAATCGGAGGAAGGTAAGCCACAACGGATCGTGGACAAGAAGGTTGGGGTTGCCCGTGACCACAAGAAGCGACATGGCGCGGGTCAGGGCGACATTGAGCCGTTTTGGATTGTTGATGAGGCCGAGATTTTGCCGGGCATCCTGTGGAAGATAGGCCGCTGTGGTTCGAGTGGCCGAGAGAAAGATCACGCGGCTCTCTTGGCCCTGGTAGTCCTCGACTGTGCCCACGCCGACACCTCCGAGTCCGATGTGGCGAAGAAGTTGGCGCAGCCGCTTGACTTGGCTGCGGAACGGCGCCATCACACCAATGTGTGCCGTGCTCAAGTGCGGATTGGAAGCGAGCAAATCCTGCACCATTGAAGCAATCTTTGCGGCTTCCAGCGGATTGTAGAAAGAGACGGTGGATCTCTGAGTCGCCGCGGTTCCTGGGACAAAGCCCCCTGGTTCGAGGTCGGTGGCAACGGCTTGTCTGTCAAACGGTTCGCGCACGTCTTCGGATTCCAGGCCCAAAAACAAGATTGGAATGCTGGGATTGGGCAATTGGCTCCAGCTCAGTAAGCTTTCCGTCACGGATTCAGATGCGTGGCTAATCAGGTTGTTCTTGTAGAAAAGTGCCGACGACATGTACAGCATGCTCGGATGGCACCGGTAGTTGACGACCAGTTGGATACACGGCGACAAGCTTGCTGCGTTGGTGCGCGCTCCCCGACTGGCACCGAGCGCGTACACGGGCAAGGCCATGAGGCGCTCTTGGAGAGAAACGTGCAGGCCGTGTCGCATGGCAAATGCAGACCGAACAGATGCGCCAAGCTGGCAATGGTCTCCAGCCAGCACCAACAGGCCGCGAGAGTGAACGGCAAATAGGGCGGGGACGAGCGTCTCGGGCTCCATTGCCTGGCCAGCTTCGTCCACGAACACGTGCGAAAAGTGTGTTTGTTCCAGGCCGATCGAAACCAGCGCGCCAGCGGCCACGCACGTGCTGACCACGATCCGGAACTTGCGCAGCTCTGTCAATGGCGGGATGGCAAAGGTACCGTCAACCAGCTGAGAGATGTGTCAATCAGAGCAAATGAGAGGTGTCCAACAAAAGTGAAAACAAAACGTCAACAACGAAACGACAAAACACAGCGCATTCCAACAACCAAAAGGCCGCGAGCTGGACAAATTACAAACCTGACAGTATGGATGAAGTGACGTGGGTACTTCATCGATGCGGCGGGAGACGGCGTTCAACCGGAACATTTCGCGAGGTGAAAAGTACGTTGCGAGGCGCTCACAGATTAAATTGGCAGCCGAGTTGCTCGGCGCTGCGCAGAGAACGGTGGCATTCAACGTTGGATGCTTGACCACCTGTGCGATCGCCTCCACCAGCGTTCTCGTTTTGCCAGTGCCAGGGGGGCCGAAAATGACGACGGGTGGCAACGCCTGTGGCGGACTCAGCACAACCTGCACCGCCCGGAGTTGCTCGTCGTTGAGCTTCTGGTCCAGCAGGGTTGTCTTGGTTGGAAGGGCCTTGGAACGTGGTTCGGGCAGCGGCTCGGCCGACGGGAACAAAACACGTCGGATTGCGCTGGACTCTGACAAGGCTTGAACCTGATCAAGTGCCCGATGCATGTCTTGCAGAGCAAGGCGATTCAGGCGGAAAACCACAGTGCCCTTGACACGAGTGGGCCAGGGGATGATGTCGGCAGGCAAGCGAACAAGCACGGTCTTTTTCTGGCGATCGACGTTGAGAACGCGTGCCTCCCACACGGCGAACGGTATGTGGTCGGGTCGAAAGTGGACAACATCGCCATAGACGAGCGGTGGTCGCCGCTCGACCAGACCCGGCACCTGCAAGATGTACACGGGCTCGTTTGGTCGGAACTGCTCCAGCACTTCGTCGCGCTGAGTAAAGCCGCTCATGTCGCTCGCCATTTGGTGTTCTTCATGCGCGAGCAGAATGCGAAAGTGCGTTACATAGCTCGAAATGGACGTTGGAAAGTCATTGGACATGACCAGCTCTTTGGCGGCCGCCCGGAGCGTGTCCGTCGACACATCTTCAAATCGGGCCCTTCGTTGAAGAGCAAAGTACGCCATGTGGGGAGCCAGTTCGGGATACTGATCGCCGAGCGCCGCGTAATCGAGCAGCGGGTTGACCACTGGAGGACCAAATGCAGGAAGTGGGGCAGCAGGAAGGATGTTCGTGTAATCGTCTTCCAAATGTTGTTCAAGTGCAGCTTTTGCGGGCACTGGGGATGCACACACGCACGCACACACACACACGTTGAAAACCAAGATCAAGAACGAAACAATTGGGGATTAGGAATTTGAGTGTCAAGCACATTCAGCGAATGAAAAAAAAAAAAAAAACACTTGCGGCCGCATGCCATCCACCTTCAGCACGCAACACGCGCCCAGCAGAGGACTTTACCAAATGGTGCTGCTTTTGGATTGAGGGCCGCGCGCTTTTCGTTCGTAACCACTGCGTAAGACTGTCGGATGATCACGTGCGACGCGTCAAAGACGAACGCATGCCATTGGCGCAGGGTACCAGGAGCAGCATCGGCTGTATCGCACTCCACCATGACTTGCACTTGAGACAGCGGTGGGATGGTGATGGGACGGGACAAGCTCGTGATCGATTGGATGGGAACATAGTCGCCGAGATGCTCAGCTTCGCCCGCGTCGCCCGCGTCGCCGAACGACCGCGGTACCAAGATACGAAAGACGGTGCTCGTGGGGAACGATGCAATGTGCGTCAACTCAGTCGGGACTTTCGAGTTGTTGTAGATGGTCAAAGGCAGATGACGGCGTACTCCAACGGGCGAATTGGCCGACAAGCCGAAATTGGCATTGTTTCCGACCTCAATGTCATTGCGAGTCGCTGTCAGCGGGTGAATCCAATCGAACGGCGGCGGCATCGGCGGGTGGCTCGTGCTGCACACCAGGTTGAACAGGATGTCGGGCGAGCGGTGCATGTCGGCTTGGGACGCTTGAGTTGGTCTCAACCCAACACTTGCAGCCTGTCGAATAATGTTTAGAATGCACCTGTGCAGCTCGTCTGCCATCGTGCGAAGGTGACCCGACATCGTTCGCCGCTCGGACTCGAAATCTGAGGGCGGCCACGCAGCGTATCTAGCGTCGTCCGAGATTGCACGCAATGCGTCGTGTCCAGCAGCTTGCGGATGCATGAATCCGGGGTGCATGAGCGCTGCTTGCGGATGCATGAATGGCTGGTGGTGGCCGTTCGGAGGCTGAGGAGGCATCCTCAGTGGCGGGTGAGGGTAGGCTTGCATCGGATACGGCCACTGCGCAGGACCAGGACCAGGACCAGGACCATACCCATGCTGCTGCTGCTGCGGTCCAAACGGAGGGAAGCCCAGCGGGACTTGCATGAACGACGCCGACGACGACGACGACGACGACGACGACGACGACTGGTGTGAGTGTGGTGAGTGTGAGTGGTCGTGGAAGAGCGCCGGCGCGAGTCCGTTGCTTGTCGGCCACATCGATACAACAAGCAGTGCGCTTTCAAAGCGAAAGGATGATGACTGAGAACAACATCGTACACGAAGGAAATTAAGTATTGTATATAAACTGTGTGCTGGCTTTTATCACACTCAAGCTCAACACAACAAAAGCAAAAACCAACGTTGAACGACAATGTTTGCGCACCGATCACTGCTATGAGCATGAGCATAAATCTGGAACCAGCCGAGACGACAAACGGGTCGCACTTGCACTGAGCTGAGTTTCGTTTTTGGGGGGTTGACAGGTTAAGGTCGGAAGCAGTCCTTGTTCTTTGTTCTGTGGGGAAAATGGATTTGCTGGCCGACATTGAGGCTGAGCTGGCGAGTCGGTTTGGCTCGACATTTTCCATTACCTCCTCCGCCTCATCAGCCGCAGCAGCAGCGCAACCAGCCGCGGCGTCAGAGAAAGCAAGGGTTTGCGATGCAGCGTCTGCCGTGGCTGTCGAAAGCGACGCTGCGAGCAACAATGAGGTGAGGATTTGGGGGTTTTGAAACCGTTTCAAAATCAATGTTTCACACGACTGCCTTGTTGCTACTGTTGGCCTCCTGATGGATTGGGGAGAGGGGACCTGTTGTTGGCATGGAGAGAGTGAAGATGGTACACTCGACAACAGGAACGCGACGCTGGAGGTGGTTATAAGTGGGTTGAACGTACACTGACCTCATTCTAACATTGTTGCTCTGTTCAAAAACGAACCTCACTGTCATGACGCTTTGCTGCCTTTGCTTGTGGTTTGTTGGATTCAGAACACATCGCCGCAAAACAACTCCATTTTGGCTGCCGAGAGTGAGCAAGCGCCGAGCTCGCCCGTCCGCAAGCCGCGAAAGCCGGTCGAAAGCCTGGACCCGACAACCGGTCGCCGACCAGCAATTGGCACACTGCAAGCGACCAGTCCCGCGTCTCCCACGCGCAAAGGACCTCGAGGAATTCCCCAAGTGACCTCTCCAGCCGCTTTCGAGTCTGGAGTTCCGAGTTGAGTCAAACTGAGGTCAACGTCGGAGATGATCTGAGACCTTTGAGCTCACGCTGTGCTCACTCTCTCTCTCTCTCTTCTCTGATCACTGCACCAACCCAAAAAAAAAACCAGTTAGTCAGAAGGTCCTGCTTGCTTGCTTGAACAATTGCCCGGCCGAGCTGGCCGTCTTGCTGCAGGTCAAAACAATTTCTCAAAACACGCTGGACGAGTCGTTGCGTATTTCGGCCGCATTTGGGCACACAAAGTGCGCCTTGCTGTTGGTTCAGCGTGGCAGCAACACCAATAGTCGCGTAAGCCCCCGATGCTCACCAATGGTTTGAGCTGGAGAAACCAACAACAAGAATGACGCCAGTTTTCCAAAGTCCCGATTTCCATCTCACGCCCCCTTCTTGTATCATTGGACAGGCGGACGACAATTCGACAGTTTTGCACTTTGCGTGTAGAAAAGCCGATGTTGAGCTTGTTCAGGCCGTGCTCCAGCATGATGGTAACTTGTGTTTTTGTGTTGAAGCGGCCTTTGGATGATGTCGTTGCTCACCTGGTGTTCTGTGTTGATCGAGACCAGCCGACGTTGGTGCTCGCGATGATGACTACGTCACCCCTTTGGATATTGCTGCAGAACAAGGTCTTGAGCGCATCGTCGCCCTGCTGCTTGACCGAGCAATCGAGGTTGCCAAACACAGCAAGCCACCGCTGTCCGCCAGCGATCTCATTCTAGCCGAATCCCGCGCCAAAAACTGCTACTTTTATCAGTGTGCAGAAGCCATTGGCAACGCCCGTCGGACTCTGTATCCGGTCAAATCCTAGATGTACTTTCGTTGTTTTTGTTTTGGGGCGTATTTTTTTTTCATCAGATTGTATTTGTACAGGACTCCAACAAACTAAATAGCTACATCAAAATCGAATCGAGTTAGAGTGATAAAAATACCAAAAAAATCCAGGACATGCTGCTGCTGCTTCTGCCAGTGTTTTAGAGCATCTTGGCAAAGTGGGCCACAGCGGCGAAGAGGAAGGTGAGGATGGAAACGGACACCATCGAGGCAGCGCTGCCAGCGCCCACAGTGCCGCTGGGAACAACACCGGTAGTGGCGGGGCGCGAGACAGAGATCGAAGGGGCGGCAGCCGAGCCCGAGACGGAGGCCTTGGAGGAGGAGGAGGAGGACAGGCGAGAGACGCTCGAGGAGCCGGCAACGGGGGCGCCGGAAGAGGCAGCGGGGGCATTGGACGAAGCGACTGAACCGGCAGCGCTGGAGGCGGGGGCGATCTGGGAGGTGGTGACGACGGCAGGGGGAGTCAGGCCGCCAAAGTTGACGTCAACCTGGGCAGAGGTAATGCCAATCGCATCCGGGGGTCCAGAGATGGGGGTGGACGAGGCAAAGCTGAAGCGGATGAAGATGTAGTCGTGCGACTCGATGGCAGCGTTGATGGAGACGTTGAACGACGCGGTGCCGACCTGCGACGAGGCGAGGGTGAAGGTGTAGGGGGTGCCGACATCGGTGAAAATGTCAGACTCGGACGAGGACTTGGAGTTCGAGACGCGGTACGAGAGCTTGGCAGTCATGCGAGCAGTGTTGCCGTACGAGTAGAGGCCGTAGGAGACAAAGATGGGCAAGCTGGTGTTGATGCGGTTCTGGAGAGTGTTCTCGAGGCGCATTTCGATAAAGCCGGGGTCGAAGAGGCGGGAGCTGGGGTCGAACGAGGGCTGGAGGATGAATGCGCGGTTGCTGCTCGAAGCGGGGATGCCGTAGACGCCAGATTGGGTGGGAACAAGGGTTTCGCCACGGGCAAAGAAACCGCCAGTGCGGGTGGTGCCGTAGTCCATGCTAACACCGCCGCCAACACGCCAGGTGTCAGAGCTGAGCTGGCCGGTCGAAAGGTTGCTGGCGGGCTGGAAGCCAAGACCAGTGAAGGACAGGAAGTTCTCGTTAATCCAGTTGACCATGCCCGTGCGAACAGCGTAGGCAACAACCTTGCCAGTGGTCAAGTCCTCGGGGTTGGGAATGGCAACAGTGTTGTCGGTGTTGTCACGGCAGAACATGGTGTACTCGTACTTTTGGCCATCAACACCGCGGAAGTTGAGCACGTAGCGATCATTCGGCGGGGGGCTGCCAGCGCCAGCGTCGCCAGCATAAGTCATGGCAGTGTCGGTCTGAGCAGATTGGGCGCCGCCGAAATCGTCAACTGTCCAGGTGCGGAGGAAGCAGCCAATGTTGCCGCCAGCGCCAGCAGAATCCGTAACACCGTTCTTGAAAACTTGGATGGCGAGGGGGAGCGTTTGGCCGGGGAGGAGTTCGTAGAGAGGCTGAGGGGTGCCGCCGGAAACCATGGCCGGCTCGATGCCGGTCACATAGCCGAGAGCGGCATGGGCAGGCATTGCTGCCATTGACACACAGGCGCCGACAAGCGCAAGTAGCACAAACTTGTTCATCTGAACTGCTGAGGAGCTGAGGAGGGAAGAGAGAAGAACAAAAAAGAAGACTGATGGAAAAGGAGGAAAAGTGTGCGCGCTTTTAAAGGGACGGCGGGAGGGAGGAGGAAATCATGCTGGGAAAAGTGGGAATATCTTGCTTAGACAAGCAGGTTAGGAAATCTGTCCACCACCAATGTATTTGGTACGCCCACCCACCCAGTGTCCCGACACAGCTTGACGCACTTGGGTCTGACGGATTTTTTCAACCCACGCATTCACGCATTTGTCCAGCTGGGGCGCTCTGCTGCCGATCTTTTGCCGGCTGCTTCTACAGTGCATGTGGTGTATACTTTTTGTAGGTATCCGTGTGCTGACCAATGCAGTGAGGAGGAGGGAGAGAGAGCAGTGACGAGGAACGGGCGGTGGGCGGTGCCGCGGTAGGAGCACTGGAAAATGTTTCCTTACACGGCTTGCGGACTTGTCACTTCGAATTGGCTGCCTGAGCTGGTGGTTCAACGTCCAGTTCGGGTGCATGGGTGAGCCATGAGGCGAGTTTTGTGCTTTTTTCAATATTGGCTTTGGAGGGGGGGTGATGAAGACGTTGAGCCTTCGACAACGAAACAAAAAAAAAAACAATGGAACGAAAAAAAAAAAAACAAGTTCAAACCGCAAGTACGCACAACGCATGCCAGTCATCGAGCAGTACGACCCGAGCGATCGATCCCAGTCCCGCACGATGAAGTTCAAACCGCGTGACACGAGAATTCCTCTTCCGATCGGCATTCATTCCTGCATTCATTCGATCGGGGAGATGGTTTTGCCCCAACGAACGTCGTCGGTTTGTGCTGTACAAAGATGAGCTTGCTGCATGCGCTGAATTCGCTCGTTTGCTCGTTCTTTGCATTGGTTTATTTGTGCACCACTGCGGCGGTAGGATCGATTGACAGTTGCAGCGCATATGGATTGGAAGGATTGGTGCATGCAACAAACAAAACAAAACAGCTCACGCTCATTCCGCTCATTTCTGAATATGCTGATGGTGGTCGTCGGTCGCCATCACTTCGACGAGATCTCCAACGCGAAGACGGCCTGCCTTCTCGTAGTGAATGAGGTTTTGGCCGAACATGACACCGTCGCCCACCGTGCGGAATGTGCGCAAGGTCTTGGTTGGCTCGGACGTTTTGTCCCGAATGCCCGTTTGAACATCAACTGTCGGCACCGAGCAGCGAGCGCATGATTTGACCACGCCAAACTTGGTGGTGCCGATGCGCACCGTCTGCCAGGTGTCTTCCGCCCACGGGTTGCCGGCGCCAGCGACAACAATGTTTGGGCGGAAGTTGAGGATTGGGACGGGATTGGCCAATCGGTTGTTCAGATCGACGAGCGATTCCTCCGATGCGAGCTGGAATTACAAGACGCGTGTGCGATCAACAAATACGCGGGTAAGTCACGCAATGTGCAAGGCAAACAACAAGTCAGCGGGTAAGTTGGTGGTTGGATCACAGTCTATCTGCATCGCCCCGATCGATTCATCATCATCATCCATCCATGCAACGTTTGAGCAGCACATACCAGGAACGGGTAGCCATCGGAAAACGCAGCGTGGGCAGGCTGGCCGTCAATCATCAAATCGTATTCGGTCTCCACGGGGCGGCTGTGAACTTGTGGGGGCAGCGTCTTGACCAGCATCGCTGGTGCACCAATAAACTCAGTCAGCCAAGCAGTCACGGCGCTGTCATTGTACGGCAGAGCCACAATCGAGTCGCCCCAGATCTGCCATCAGAGTGTCATAGTATCAAAAGTGTCAAAGTGAGCGTTGAGCAAAGCAAAAACGGGAAAGGAGCTCTGCGATTGCATTCAAGACCAACTCTCTTGACACTGTGCGGATGGTGCCATGTAAACGATCGCGTTCAACAATACTCAATGGTGCCATTTCACGCACGGAGGTTTGTTTTTTTCTTCTTCTTTTTTCAGGCTTGCTTTACCGTGACGGTGACGCGCGGGGTGCTGGCGTCGTTGGGCTCGACGACGTGCAGGGTGGGCATGCCTGGCGCGTCGATGACGAGATGTCCGTCTGCCTTGTCGAACGACGGGCGGATGAGCGCCATGCGCGGGAACTGTCGCTGGGTGATGAACTTGTGTGTCTGCGGGTCGACAATGACTCTGCGGCGGTCGTCCACGACGCCCAGGCGGTCCACCTCGACTTCCTCCATGCTGGTGCCTGCGCACGCCTTGATCGGGAAGCACCACAGCTGCGTCACTCGAACGACCTGCAGCGACAGAGAGACAGAGGAGAGTGAGAGAGTGAGATGAGACAGCAGCCACAAAACCACACCAGCCCCCAGCTCACTCACCTTCGGACCAGTCGCTGCTGATGATGATGATGATGTTGATGATGCCAAAGACGTAGTCGATGAGCCGGGGTGACTGCTGGACGCACGGCGGCGAGATTGGAACTCGCGGGCTCCGACGTAGACCAAGTAGCCAAACGCCGCCCAGCCAGCCGCGCGCACTGCCACGTCCAACACTGTTCGGCTCATGTTGCACGAATCAATACAACAACAAAAATAAAAAAAATAAAAAGGTTGACTGAAGATCCAATTGCAGCAAGATAAATAGGTCGGCTTCATTCATTTTTGAGTTGGTGATCTGAGACAAGCAGAGATGGGCAAAGTCGCACGCCGTGAGCTGTCGGACAGCCGCCGCGGACCGGGTCGCGCGAGCAAGAAGCAAGCCGATCCCACTCCGCTGTTCAGTGGTAGCACTAGCACTAGCAGTGGTGGCAGTGGCAAAAAGGCGCAGTCGCAGCAGCATGGCAAGCAGAGCAATGGAAAGCAGCAGCAGCTCAATGCAAAGCAAACCAAGCCAGCCGTCGCAACCGCCACCAAGCAGCAGAAGCAGCAGCAGCAGCAGCAACAGCAACAGAAGCAGGTGATGAATGGCAAGCATGGATCCAAGCGACAGGAGCAAGCGTCCGACGATGATGAAGAGGACCTCGAAGACGAAGAGGACGAGGACGAGGACGGCGAGCAAGCCATGTGGGACGATGATGATCATGATGATGACATGGACGACGACGAGGATCAAGATGATGATGATGAGGATGATCAAGATGATGATCAAGAAGATGACAGGATGGACGACGACGACGAGGACGAGGACGACCAGGACAAGGTCAATGCTACACATGGCAAACACGCCGCAGTCCAGGCCAAGGGTCGCGCTGCACCCGCCATCGCACCCGCTGCCGCAAAGACCTCCAAGGTGGCATCTGCCAAGACCACGCCCGTCGCCGCAGCTGCTACGGCCGCCAAGAAGGGCAATGCAGT